TATGTCAGTGACGGTGATCACAGTAGCACCAGAAGTGAATGGAGCAGTGACGATAGTTTCAACGGAACCAGTACCAGTGGAAGTAACAGTAACAGTCTCAGTAGATGGTGATGGAAGTATGTCAGTGACGGTGATCACAGTAGCACCAGAGGAGAATGGAGCAGTGACGGTAGTTTCGGCGGAACCAGTACCAGTGGAAGTAATAGTAATAGTCTCAGTGGTTGGGAATGGGATCTCAACGACAACAGTGGCAGTGTGATCGGTAGAACCGAATGGCAAAGTTGTGGTGGAGGTAAAGGTATTACTCCAGTATGAGGTGGTGGTAATTTCAAAGTCAGCCGTACCATTAGAGTAACTGGACGCGTCGTTGATAATAACCGTGGAGGCGAGACTTATAGAGTCGGTTTCACCGTCATCGCAGAGGTAGGACTCAAAGTAGTCGAGGACGAACGCAGCTGCCTTTTGCTGCATGTTGGTGGTAAGGAACACTCTGTAACCAGGATTGATGCCAGTATAAGAAACAGATGCTTGCGAAGGGCTACACTGGATCTGGAAGTTGGCTGGCGTCTGACTAGCCTGCATAGGGAATTCCCAGGTGTTGATTTCATCAGTCACCCAGGCAGAAACTTCGCTACAGATGATTCGGCTAGTGCTATCAGTGATGGAAAGGAAACCCTGCTTAAGCTGGCTGCTTGGACAAGCGTGGGAAAGGAAGTAACTCTGGAAGGTACCGTCTGGGAGGTTACGCGAGTAGTAGTTCAAGTTACCCTTCTGGGAGAAACCGCCAGTACCGAAGTCGACGGTAGTAGTCAATGCGTTACCGCCATCCTGGGTCCAGGTGATAACATTAGTACCAGCCTGGTAGAAAGCGGCATCGGCAAGTTCAAAAGAGTTTGCAGAACCACCAGAGGCAAAAACAAAGTTAAACGTCAAGGTACCCGAAACGTTGACAACAGTAGAAATGGCATTGGTAACGGTACAGGTAAGAGTGGAGTGGTCCAGAACAAGACCACCATTGATGGACTTACAGGTTGCGTATGTCACATTACCGGCCACCAAGTCAAACCCAGGAGAACCAACGGCACGGAAAGTGTGTGGCATAGTGAGGGAAAAGGTGTCGCCAGGCTGGGTACCTGCTGGAAGGTCCCAGTCAAGGGTGGCTTTCCAGACGTTGAAGGGTAAGTCTTTACCGATATTGTTCAAGTCAATAGACTGGACCAAGGTAAGGTCGCTGAAAGCATTGGAAACACTGGCAGCCGCGACTGCCTTGAGTAAGAAGATCGCAGTAACAGCAGTAGTTAAGTAAGATAACATGGTTGGGTGAAAGCCGATGTGGTTACTGGTAGATATTAACAGGCAAAATTATATAGAAGCACCTTTTGGGGAGGAATAGCCATTTATTTATATGCTCTGGGCCTAACTGGCCATGGCAAACCCAAATGGGGAAGACCTATGAAATTGGGCGTCGGGAGCCAGGCGCTGCCAAAGTACGCATACAATGCTTATGACGCACCTAAAGCGGCTGGACTAGCGTATTGCCGAGGTTAATTTCGCAAAGGATGTGAAATTCTGCACGGAAAAGGCGGCACACGGGGGGTAAGGAGAGAGAGGTAGCGAGTCCCACGATGAAAGTGCCAGAAACGCAGTGCAGGCGGGAAGACGGTGCGTCTTGGGCCTCGCTACCATATGCGAGTCACCTTAGCGAATGCAGCGAATAGCGATGGAATCCTATTATGCACCAAGGAGCGACCTGCAGATCTTCCCATATTCCTCTTTTTGGCTGTTTGGACCTCAGTCTGTGTGTTGATTTTAAGGAGATTTGGACCCAACCGCGTGAGCCGCACCTCCTTTTAGTGCCATTCTGTGCATGCAGGCGGGTTCGCTATATGCACGACAAACGACCAAGCTCCTCCAGGCGGGGCTGCGAAGCGAGTTTAGGTGTCTTTTTACCTCAAGGCGTTTGTTTAGCCATAGAGTAGAATACATATTTTGCTGTAGTCTACCTCGTCTCTATGCTGTGTCTTTATATATTTTACGTCGACAACGCATTGCGAGAATATGCGACTCTTACTTTAGGAGGTGCCATTGTTCGAGGCATGCGGTGCCCAGCCAGAGTTGCCTCACGAAGTACACAAGACTTGGTTTTCGTGGGCAACCTGCTACAAATTTCACTCTACTCATGCAGATACAAATTGGAAACCACACGGTATTTTACGTGGGTTTACTCTTAGTACGGCATCTTGTAGCGGTTTCACTGCGTCTGAGGCTACCGCGAGGCGATAGTATGGGTGGGAGGCAGTTGATTTGGATTTAGGATGAGATTCTTTTGGAAGACCATTTGCAGGTATTTAAGCCTGGGATATCCGCTGTTGGGCGTGTTTTACGACTGGGTGGTTAGAATTTGTGTAATCAAAATACTGGCCGTTTCGGCGGTGGAAATTCCACCAGTAGTGAAAACATCCTTGCAGGGCGAGGGGGTCCGCAAACAAAAAGGGTAAATCTAATGAGCATAGCCTGAGTATTGGAAACATCAATGTGACGGAGTCAGGCCACGGCAGTTTGATAAAACCTTGGACGAGAGTGGAGTCGTGGAAACTCTTTCACTTTCACTAGGAACAGTGAAGCTGGTGTATCGTACGATTATTATAATCGTTGAACAATTTGCGAAACAAAGATGGAAAGTTTAGAACCGTGGATGTTTCGGGTTCACAGAAGATTGGTTCACGCCGCATGAGCCCCATCCGGTGGTAACCGTGGCAACTGTATGTAGAGAGCTATAATATGCACATGTAAGGAACCGTACTAACGTTTCAACTTTACCCGAAAGGATTAGAGGCTGGTCGGTCCTGCTAGTGAACGATAAAATTAGCGACACAAGAGGCGAGGGGGGGGGGGGGGGGGGGGGGGGGGTAATTTAGCGAATTTTACGTCACCCCTGTCATTTGGCCGTGTGGTTGGCTCAGAGCTTTGTCCCTTGTCTAAGGTATATTTGTTGTGCGTAACCAATTACTGTTATCTGGAGGCGCACATGACATATTCAACCGATGCTTCCAGTGATCGTCAACGGTTTTAGGGTGTATTACTGCTCCTTCGCATCAATCCGGTCTTGAAATTTGAACCTTTCAACTATATTTGGCCCGTAAACTATATAGATTCTCCAACATGACTGGTGAAATGGCTCTTGTCTAGTTTTGGTGGACTGGCAGTAGACGAGGAGTAACGTGCGGCATGGCATTGATGCAAGGCCTAACGCACGCCTGGCGCCCAACGTCTAGTATAGGCCGGCGGAAGCAAAATTGCCTCTTCCCCTCTCCCTAATCTTTCATCTGTTTCCGGATCTGGTGCCAGAAAAAGAGATATGCAGGGGCTGCAAAGATGGCCAAATCTGCCTAATTTGTGGAAATTCGCCGGTTGCAGCTATTTATGCTTGCAAAAACGCCTGTATAATGGGGTCTATAAAGGAGTGCGTACCGAAATAGCTTTAGTATATGAACTTGAAAAAATTTTCCTCAGGTAGATAAATTCAGTTTGTACCCCAGTGCTCGTCTTTAAATCCGGTAATGACAGAGAAGGAGGTATAGGGCTGAGTAATGCTTGGAAATCCTAAACTTAGACCTTTCCAAGACGGCGTCGCAGTTGTCCAACCGGTCGTTTAGACTACGCAATACTAATCAAAGTCCAAAAATATTTGAAAAATTCCAACACGCAAAGACTACAGTCATATGGAATTGAGTAGTCCAAAGCTTAATCATGTACAGATATGTATTTTCCGTGCCTAGGTATATAAATGTTGCATCACAGTTTGCAAGCATTACTATTTAACGTTTGGGCGGATTTTCAACTTTCCTGAATCATCAGCCCTTGAGAATTTGATATATGTTCAACTAGCTTTCGGATTATATATATATATTCATCCATAGTATTTATGATGCACAAGCTCTGGAAAGTAAAGAATGTCAGATTATATATTTTTTTAACGGGATTGTGTTATATATATTATTTAATCTTGTAGATTTTGTTCTAAAACACAATTTTATCCATAAGGTAAGATTAAAAAATACCATAAAATACAACATCCAAACACATAAGATTAAAACGTTACGCATCCGGGATAGCATCTATTAGGATGATCCAGTGATTTCACAAATAGGAACAACCATCCGGAAATCACCTAAAATTATACAAAGTACAAACTAGATTAAATACCCGGCTGACCGAGGACGAGCCTGGCCAAGTCAAACAGATCAACCACTTGGTAAGCTTCACATCCCTTCGGCATTCACTGAGTTTCGTTGCTGTTCTCACCAAGCTCGCTTGCTTCACTCGTACCCTCTACCACCCCTCAAAACTCACAAAATCATAGTCATTCACAAACTCATCGTACGGTCCGTTCAACATCGCAAAACTGTTAGGAATACTCTCACCCAACATCGCAGGGGCCGGCTCAGCTACACCGCTATCAATCAACGAATCCGGTAACCACATCGCCTTATCGGAAATCTCATTCCACAAATCTGCAGTCTCCCCCTCATTCTGTTCGCGGATAAGCATCTCCTTGAAGTTGAAATACGCGTTATCCTCGGGCATCGCATTCGTGTCGGAAATAGCCTTCGAGAGGTCCATGACGGGGATCGGTGGGGTGGTGGAAACGGTGGAGCTGTCTCTAGGCGGGCGCTTGGAGCTTCTCTCGTCTTCCCTTCCGCCCTCGTACTTTTCGATGATGGCACACATTTCGTTTCCTCCAAGGTCCAACTTTTTGATCAACAGCACGAGCTGGCCCACGCGCAAGTGAGCCGGAAAGTTGCCCAACCTGGCCATGCGTACCATGATCGCCAAGCCGTGATCGATATGGGGGATGGTGGTGGAGTAGACACCGAAAGCAACGTTAAATAAAATGAGCGTAGCAAGGGCACCGTAGAGATACTCGCGGTCCATGAAGCCAAACAATGCCACCTGGTTCTGCTTAAAGAGCGACCAGAGCGAGCGGATCATGTCAATGGACGAGCGGAACGACGTGTTGAGGAGCGAGAGAATGCTTTGCGGGAAGGATGTCAAGTCGATGTAGACGGGGTCCGCGCTGGCACCGTCGCGCGGCGTGGCGTAGTGCACCTTCAACTGCTTCATGACGAAGTGGAACACGAGGGGGCGGATTGCGAGGTTGATGCCCTGGAAGAATTCCGAAAGGAGGTTGACCTGGAGCCGTGAGATGCAGCTGCTCCAGTCGATGGTAAGATAGTCCGGGAGCGCCTTCTTCCAGTCGACGAGCGTGTCCACGAGCTCCACGACGGTGGGTAAAATGTTGGACGTTGGTTGGCGCGTGTAGAGGCGTGCGAGAACTTTGGCGTTGATTTTGGTGATGCGGATGGTGGTTGTGAGGATCTCCGCCTCGGGGAAGATGTAGTGTTCGCAGCCGGCAGGCGGCTGGGTCATGTCAAAGTCCGACGGGAGCGCGGTGCTGACGCATTCGTCCGTTACCAGGAGCGGAAGCCCGATCTTGGAAGAGAGCATGCGCTCGTAGATGTAGACCGTCCACCACAAGCGGCGCCGGTGCTCGAGTTCATAGCGCGTGATGGAGTTCTTTCCCGCGTCTACGTGGAATCCGAGCACCAAACTCGCACGAAGCGCGAGTCCAAAATAGAAGAACGACAGCACGGTAAAGTCGGCCACTTGTAAGTAGAACGCGTAGAGCAAACACACCTCAATCCCGCACTCGTGGGTGATGTTGTCAAGGTGCCCCGCCGCAAACAAGCCCGTAAAGAGCTCGGAGGCCTGCTGGAAGAAGGCGCTTCCGGGCAAGTTGGTACCGGGGTTCTTCTTGCGGCGCTTGAGGTCCGGGGGTGCAGCATGCGCGATGGTCCCGAGGTACATCTCGCCGATGGCAAACACAAGGAGGATCTTGCAGTACCAGATGGTCTGACTGAGGCGGTCCTGGTCGGTCTCGGCACCGGGCTCGTAGATCTCGCGGAGTTTCTCCTTGACCTGACCCTCGTTGAAGAAGTAGAAGCACGCATCGTTGTAGGTCACAAACGTGTCGACGAGGAGGATCGCATAGGAGAAGCTGGGCAACGTGAACTTGACCTTAAGATTGTTCGCGTGCGAGAGCACGATCTTGTACGCATTGCCCTCGTTCTCCAACGCGCGCGCCTCCTTTGCGTGGTCGAGCGAGCTGAGCGCGGTTGATGATGGCACACGCGACCCGGGGTGGCTGTCGTGGGGGATCAAGTTCTGGATCGCCATACCGAAAAGCGTGATGGAGGAGGAGCCGAGGTAAAACTTGGACCCCTTGGAGTTGAAAAGTTTGCCGTATTTATCGAGATACGGCGGAAGCACCTCTGACTCTGCCATCAGTTTGGCGTCCAGGTTCGAAAATGCTTCGTCGAGGGGCTCGGCGCCGGAAAGGGTCTGAAGGCGGCGCAACCTTTCGTTCTCTTGCTTGCTTCGCTGTAGCTCTTCCTGGAGTTTAGCGAGATATTTAACGGAAACGACAATCTTGCGGTCGGCTTCGACGTAGACACACTTGGCCTTGGAGGAGAAGCATTTGCTGCAGGGCTCGCCGCCGGGGCATTTGATGTGGCGCTGGCGGCAGCGGAGGCACGCTGCAGGCGCACGTTTCTTCTCGGAGGGGGAGGCGGATTCGTCGTAATTCATCATGAGAAGTTTGGAGGTTTCTCTATAGGGTATATGGGCTGTGCTTGCAAAACAAAATTATGGCGGGAGACTGGGTTTATATAGTTCGATATCTAGATACGGCAAAAAAAGCTAGGAGAAACAGAAATATAAGGATCGGAAGGAATGACTTGGCCAAGAGACAAGGAACGTTTGTGATTGTGAGTCTAACTGAGATGAAGGATGGGTATATGGCAAGAAAATAGGGTTCAGATATGACAGGGTGCTGGAGTTGGAGTTTGATACTTTAGAAGTGTTAATGTTTCAGGGAAAAAAAAAACGGAATCTTGAAACACGATCAGAGGTTCTTGGGTGATGACCTCAAAACAAGTAGACAAAGCACACTGGGTGATTCAAAACGGATGACGAGTGACTTAGAACTGGATAGGACGAAAGAGCTACTTGGAATTTGGGATAGTAAGCTCGTGAAAAACTGCGCCTGATGGGTGTTTTTGGGCCGGGGATAGCGCCGAAAGATAACGAAAGGCTCAAGGGTTAACCAGCAGAAAGAGCACAGATAAGGTATACACTAGTTGGCGGTAAGGACTTCAGTAATACCTCCACGCTCAACCAGCACAAAAATATACCAGTTCTACTGGGCGTCTAGTCTTGGAGATCCGAGCCGATGCGGCAAAAATCCATGTTTTCGATCTCAGCATTTTACTGTCAGACACAGTCTGGAAGCGGACTTGGCCGCCCGCGAATTTCAACGGCCGTCTAGAGCTAAAAACTCAAGACCCTTTCGGTGGTATTAAGCCTCCAGATTATTAGTGATATTATTAAAGATGCAGATTATGGTAGATTAGAATATGGTGCGTATCATGCTCAAGCCATTTATTTGAGCTCAACGGGATAGAACTGTCGTGCCAAGAGCCGACACGGGGGCGCTCGCTAAGAAAGGCAGAATTGCAAATTCCCATACTCGCTTGTGCCTACTCCAGGCAACAAGGGTGGGGGAATGAGTGTTTACAGGAGCCACACTGCCAGTCACCTCTGTTTGCGGGAAGCTATAGCATAAAATATTTATATAAATAATATATCCTATAATGTTTGAGCTTTCTCTACCACTATATATTGCGCAGTCAAGTGTTAAGCTAAAGCTTAACTCTGGGGGATGCTTTCGTTTTTATGAAACGTTACTTACTTTGTGCTTATATTGACCGGGCAAAGGTACATTGGAAGCACCCAAGACTAAGCTGTTCAAGATTGAGGAGAATTCATATCCCTCCAAGGACGAGATCATATTTTCTCCCAGACGCTTAGAGTGTCCCAGGAAAGACAGCCTTCAATTATGCAACCCTGATATCGGGGAGATACGATGCGGTTGCGTATCCAAGTATATCACATAAACCCCAGCCGGACATCCGCCGCACTGTAATCCACATGGCTATCACCACCTAACGTTTTTATCCTGCACGCCAGTGAAATATTACACATTTTCCGCTCTGCCCTTTGTACGTTTAAGCAAAGCCCTTATCAGTCTAAACGGAACGTTTCACTTCCAGTATTTACCTCGCAACCCCATGAACAGATCCATTACACGGTTGCAGCCCCGACTTGTTCGGGCTCGTGTCGCCCGGGGTCGGTTCCAATCTACCGTTCATGCCCCTGTCAGGCCGGTTGATCCCGCGCACGGCTTTAACCCTCACTCTTTAGACTTGTGGCCGAAAACAACCCCTCTACCCTCGCCCAAAACGCTCATCCAAGACAAGTGCACGGAGTATCTTTCGATTGATGTTCCGGAGCAGTACCTCACGCTTATCCACCAGCCCTCTGCCGAGTTTTCCGGGTCCTCGGAGCTCCTACAGATCGTACAGAGCAGCGGATGTGTCGGCCTGCGGGTGGTACGAAAGAAACGGGGACTTCAGATCGAGTTTGTGGGTCCAAATGAGACCAGCGTAGCCATCGCCGTGGCTTCCCTCGCGCGATTGCTTCTGCTCTACAAGGCAAACCTTGCCTGTATCAAGCTTCCGTTTTATGTTAAAGATCCCCGAACCCTTGAGGCTTGCGGTTTGTCGCATCGGACCGAAGCTATATCACAGGCCTTGCAGGTCTCTACTCTCCTGGACCAGTTTCCAGGAGTGGGCTTCTACACTATGACCCACCGTCTTGATACCGATCATGAATACCAGGTTTACGTGTTTCTGCGAGAAAAAGCTGCTCAGCAGCCGGTGGTGGAGTTTCTCGAGAAATTTGTGGCCCAGTTCCATCTTGTCCACGATAATGTGCCTGTAACCAAGGAATTGTATAAACATTTATACGAGAACCATACGGCCTTGGACATGATCGAGAGAGAACTTGGTGTAATCATTGGCCGGGGTGACATCCGCACATTATACAGCGAGAGGGAGGTGAAATCGTTCGCGGTTGCATGCAAAGAAAACCTCATGAATCAAAGAACGGAAACGATTGAAGGTTTCGAAAAACTTCCCAAGAGTGATGACAGAGCCCCAGCCGGCTTTCTCCCTGGGAATATTGACACCATGATTTCCCCACCGCCTCTCCAAAAAGCAAGGGACACAATCACAAAACTCGTCGTCCGCTTCCACAGCCAGAAGAAGCACATCCCCATTACGCCCAGAGTCCAGCAATACCTCCGTCAATCGCAGCAGGTTCGTACGGAATTGCTTTCCAACCCTGAAATCTACCTTAACGTAGACGTGAACCTGACCAGGCTCACACCCACCGCCACCCTTCACTTTACCGGCGCCGAAGACGCATGGATCCATGTTTTGGCAGACGTGGAGCAGTTTCTTTCGCTGGTCGAGGCGTCGCTTGTGACCATCCCCTTGACGCGTCAGAAAGTAGCCAAGATCAGGGAGGTCTTTCCAGAATTTTTCAGCGAGGTGACGACATTCTCCTCCGGTCTTAATGGAGGTAGTGCCTGCTACTTTGACACGGTAAACTGTGAAATTGTGGTGGATAACGGCGATCGGCTGGTGGCAGAAGGCGTGAAGGTACGTATCGTACAGCAGCTTACGCATATTATGAAGGATTGCGAAACGGTGAAAGTCCCGTATCGTGAAATCTGGCTGTTGCGGAAAGGCGTACTACAAAAAATGGCCACTAAATACAACTGCTTTGCAAAGATTCGCCGCGAGTATATAGATGACAATGGGGACACCGAGATTTGGGTGCGGCCGCTTGGCGAAACTTCCGGGGTGGCGCAGCTTAAGGAGGCAATTTTTGAGCGGGTTTCGTCGCCCGAAACGGTCTTCTGTGAAGTGGTCCGCTTCGACTACCGGCTTTTCATGATACTTCACTCAATGGGCTTGGAGAAGGCATACTGGTACAAATACATGCCCGAAAGCCATTACTTCCCGGTGGATTACCTCACCGAAAGCAGAGAGTATCTGAATTTCCGGAAGGATCTCCGCCGGTTTGGGCTCGCGCAGCTCCAGAAGTCGCCGCGTGAGGTTGCATACTGTCTCATGGGTGAAACGCCCGAGGAGGCCAGCCGTTTGCGCCAGAAGTTTGAGATTCGTGTGAAGTTGTTTCTGAGGAACTTGTCCCTGGTTAAAGTGCCGAACTGGATGCTTGAAGATGTGTTGGGCGAGGGCGATGACGCCATCCGTCCGAAAGAAAACAGTCCTCATCACAAGTACTCTACAATGATCCATGTTGTACCTGAATACAGTGGGACCGGTTCAGATGTATTGGTGACGGACTTGGATCTCACCAGACGGAAGGAAACCGTCGAAGAATTGTGTAAGCGTGTTGCGATATACCAGGCGATGTGCGGGTTTCCGGTGTGGGAAGAGAACCGAAACCGGTTGAGTGTAATAAAGACGTGGAGATATTAGGTACAGGCAAACCGGATTTTGATCAAAATTCGTTGTATGTCCATAGGGCATCACCAGTATCGCTAGGGTGTGAATGAAACATTGCACTGTTGAGAGGAAATACATTAATATTTGATATTAATAAAAGTGGCCAACAGCTTTGATAATTTAAAGTCATACATAATGGGGTTCTTGCTGGTAGATTAGGTTTTGTATGGGTTTCCATAGTTCTGACCTTACTCGCAAAAACACGGGCCAACAAGAATACAGTATGTGCTCCACTACCGAACAGGCTTTCGTGAAAACGACACGGTACCCATTATTCCTTTATTTTAGTATCCCAAAGGAAATAGCTAGGTATAAAAATAGTACTTCTACTTGTTTGACCCTTTTAACAATCACTCGTTCAAACATTTTTTATTACTTAGCACGCATTTCTCCGCGCGTATCAACGCTTACCTAATCGGCTCATCGCGCACATCAGCTACTTTAGCATCAACAAAGCATCAACACCGGCCCGTTCCCAGCCTTCTTCACCTTGCATACAATGTCGCCGAAGGCTAGAACAATCCCAAAACGCGACAATCTAGCGGTTACTCCGCGCCAGACGCGCCGTGCGAGATCAGACACGATACCGGTAATCAACCCGGAGAAAGTAAAGGCATCCAAGAGCGCACCCAAAATCACAGCGAAGAAGAACAAAGATACAACACCCACTGATATTGCTGCCACATCAGCTTTGCCCACGGAGGCACATCTAACGCAGCTCTTCACGAACTCAGACGCCAGCGCACTCACGGCCGTGATTGAGGACCTCAAGAACTCGCACGCGGAGGAGGCTTTCAGCCAGTACCGCGCGGCAGCGGAACTCCGGTTCCAGCAAGCAGATGCAATGATTGCTGCGTTAGTGGCGGGTGGCAGCTCTGTGGGCGGTGACGCGGTATTGCGAGCGGAGAACGCGGAATTGCGCGAACGTATTGCAAACTTGGAGGCGCCGCGCAGCGACGACGCGAACGTATTTCAGTCGCCCATCAAGCCCGCGCTGCACCTCATTTCACGCCACGACTTGGAACTGGAGCTCGAACAAATTGGCGTCATATTCGATATGCTCGAGGTTATCACAGGGCTCCGGATCCACAATTTGGACGAGGACGAGGAGGAAATCACGTTTGATTGCTCCCAGATAGCGAATGATGGTGCGGCAAGCCCTGAGAGCTTTAACTGGGACTACAAGTTGATTGTGTCGAAATTAGGCACCAGTGCTGCGAACGACATTTTGTACATCCCAGACACGAATAAGGAGCAGTTGGCAAACCTTCTCCGCGTAAAGGGCTTAGGGGAAGGGGATAGGCGTCGGGTAGAACGTCTTCAGGCGAGTCTTCCGAGCTACTTTTTGGACACACTTACTTTCCCGTATGATACGTTACCGCAGTTTTATCAAAACTTGTCCAAGGCGTTGAACAAGAAGGAGAAGGAGTAAGGATAATGGTGAGGGGTTCAGCTGAGGCTTGTATCGGAAGCCAGGTTTTTGGATCAGGAACTTGCTATCACAGGCGCGTGGTTTTTGAGATAGTTAATCGTGTATTGTCTGAAAGCAATGTCTGAGCGCCTGAACCATGCTGGTAATTGCAGGGACTAATTCCCATCCCCTTGCGTGAGATTACCGTACTTGCCCGCTACCTACTTTTCCATTGAATGTGCCAGTTTGTTCTATGAAAATCGACAGCCTTCATTTGCCATCGGTTTAGACGCATAGACCATCAGAAAAGGTGGAGATATCTGCAATAAAATCCCATTGATTAAAGCAAAGCGGGAGATTGTAATTAGAGAGAAGTTAAAGCTAGAATGCATATCCTGACGATAACCCTTATGTGTAGGTTTCCGAATCTCCGCACAAATGAGTAAACTCGGAGGAGGCGACGTGCTGACTAGACCCAGTTTCAACCCAAAACATGCAAGCCCCGAAGGCAAGACATACGCTCTACGCTGACTAGAAAATACAGAATCATATGGGCAAATACCTGTTAGAATAACTTTAAGCAAATCAGAGACCCTGAACCTATCCAAGCTTACTCAACAAATCTGAAACATCCACCTCTGGCTCTATCACAACGTCGGAAACCTTCGGACTGTCCTCCACTAGCATTTCCACTGGAGTCTCCCCATTAAGAGCTTCTTCTATTACGGCTTCTACCGCAACCTCTGGCGAAGCAGTTTTTTGCTTCTTAAGTGGGGGCTCATCCTCCATTGGAACATCATCCGCATCGGAATCGGAATTCGCTTCGTATGCTGGAATGGCGTCGTCGTTCATTTCATATATTGGAATGGCACCGTTTGGTTCATATGCCTTGGCCTTTTCTGCAACAGACGGTTCCTTGTGCAGCGGTGGAGGGGTCAATTCTTCGACCACCGGAGCTTCTGGCTCAACAGATTCCGCCACCAACTCTTGCAAGTCCTTTTCTGTCTCGATCAACCGTTCCTTCTTAGTCTGGCCCTCCTCGCCTGTCTGTAATTCTCCCAAACTCGTTCTTTCCGCCTGAATCTTCTGTTCCTGCTCTTGAAGCAATTGTTTCAAAGTCGTCACTACTTTCCCTCTGACAGAGATGTTTGACTGGAGGCGGCGCTCGATCTGGATGTACTTCTGGGTCAAGCGCGTGACGGAAGTTAGGTACTCCTTCGGCGCTGGAAGCTGGTCCGCCTCAAACAAATCGACATATTGTTTGTTGAACTTTTCAACGTCCCCAGCCTCCTGTAACTGTCCGTACTGGCTGGTTAATTGGGCCAACTCCGGGACATCAGACCCACTCGAGGAAGTGCTGGAGCCCTTAGACCCGGAAATTGCCCGTTCAATTGCCTTCTGAGCATTAATATCAAAAATACGCCTGCTTTCCCACACGCCCACCACCCGCTCAATACGCTTGCGCAGATTGGTATCTACCGAGCCCAGGAGCCACACCAGATGGAGCACGCGCGGAAGGTGTTCCGCAAACTGCGTGAGAAATTCCGTCTTCCGCTTTGACCGCGCCTGCTGTACAATGTCGTTGGCAAGGTATATGAGCGGCAATACCTGTTTGGGGGCGTTAGAAACCGCGCCCTGGGTGTATTTTGCCCATACTTCCGCCGTTTTGGCCGCGTGGCGCTGGTGGAACACAATCCACTGCGAAATCGAAACAATCGACTGCTGTGTTTCGTTGAGGTGTTTGAGTTTGTTGGTGAGGATTTCTGAAGAGTAAGACATGGCGATGAGAAGGCAGATGAGAGAGAGTTTTGCTTTAATCTTGCGTTTTGATGTAACGCGCAGGAGAACTGTGTCACGTGCTACTAGGAATCGTTACTGGTAGGGTCGGAAGCAAAAACAATTGCAGCTCGAAGAACCAAATTGTTGAAGATTCGTTACCGTGGCTCTCTCCGACAGACGACGTTGTTTTGAGATAAACCAAGCCTGAATAACAATGTCTCGGACTGTGATTCAGTAATAGGAACTTCGGCCGAATCAACAATGTATGGGAGCTTGAGGTTAACAGATTGGTCTAAACAATTATGGGTACGGTGATTAAAAAATGGCATTTTCTGGTTTGTCTTTGTTGGAACGCGTAAAACAGGTGAAATGTTTTAGCCATCGATTAGAGCCGGAGTGCTAAACTCTCAGTGTTGACGCGTATTTTTTCCGTCTGTCGGTTGTAATCCAGCTTGGCATCGATTCTACTGGGCCTTCACACGTAACGATTGGCATCGTGGGGGGGGGGGGGGGGTGTCCCACTCTACAATAGGTTCAGGTAAAAATACATAAAGATAACAAAAAACGCCAATGGCGTGCATAGAGAAAGAATAAGATACAGAAGAAGAGAACGCGGTACCCGGAATAAATACAATATACTCAACACCAGTCAATGGTCAAATACGCACTCCGTTCCACGAAAGAGGCAGAAATTCACCGAAACATCCTCCGGTAACCTCTTCGGCCATCCCTCGATGCAGCAGCAGCTTCGCTGCGGTTTAGCTGGACTTGGTCCATCTCCAAATTCTTGCTCTGCAGTCACCAGAACCGGTGGCAAACAACCCAGAGTTGCCATCACCAGAGTTAGCCACAGACACGCTGATGACGGAGTTTCTGTGGCCCTGCAACATCAAGAGCGGGTCACCCGACTTCTTCTCCCAGAAAATCACCCCTCTGTCTTTGGAACCAGACAAAATATACTCACTGTTAGGCGTGGCGCAGACCGAGAGAACAAAGTCCTTGTGGCCGACGTACGTAACCTCGCACGAGTTGGACGAGGCTGGGGCTTCCGGCGCGTTCACGCCGCTCTTGGAGCCCTTCAACGACCACAACTTGACCGTCTTGTCCAACGACCCGGACACGATCTCGCTGCCATTGTTGGTGAAGGCGACAGAGTACACGGAGTCCTGGTGGCCGTTGTCCAACTCAACCTCGGAGTCCAATCTCTCAACCAAGAATCCGGTGGCGGCGTCCCAGACCCGCACGGCTCTGTCCAAGGACCCGGCGGCAATGTGCTGGCCGTCAGGAGACACGGCCACGGTGGTGACACCGTCTTCAATCGAGAGCGTCAACGAGCACTGGCCGGTGTTGCAGTCCCAGATACGCACGGTCTTGTCGCCGGATCCGGAGACCAATCTCTGGCCATCGGGGAAGAAGTCCAACGAGTAGATGTCCTGCTCGTGGCCCTTGAGGTACTTGACAATGGTTCTGGTAGAGAGGTCCCAGATTCTGATCAACTTGTCTTCGGCACCGGTCGCAAGGTACTTCCCGTCTGGCGAGAAACACACGGAACGGATATACAAATCCGAGGTTGGCGTGGCGGCCGCGTCGGAGGTGGAAGCGCTGGAGGACTCGTCGATCAACTTGGCAACGAGGGAGCCGGTCTCGACGCCGTAGACCTGCGTGGTCTTGTTGCAGCCGGTTGCGAGGAACTTGCCGTCCTTGGAGAAGCGCACGCAGCACACGACGGAGGAGTGGCTCAAGGTGTGCACCACATCCACGTCCATCTTGTGCTGGTTGTTCGTGGTGAACTGCGGGTTGTAGAGCACGTAGTAGTCGTCCAAAACCTTCTTCAAGTGCGCCGGGACCTTGGCCGGCTCCAAGTCCGCGAGGAACGATGGGAGCGGTTTGGAGTGCTGGGCGCGTTGCGCCTTCGGCAAGGTGAACTCGGACGCCTTGACGACCGCCGTTTCGGTTGACGCGGCCGGCACGGCAGCTGGCACGACGGTGGCGACGGACGGAACGGTGGCGGCCGGAACCGCTGGGGCCACCAGCGCGGCCTCAGGCTTGACCTCAGTCTTGACCTCGGGAAGCTGCGGCGGCGGTAACAGGTGCAACGGTGGCTGGGTCTGGGTCTGTGGGGAGTAGTACGCGTTCTTGATTTGCTGCTGGTGCTGCTGTTGGTGCTGGTGCTGCTGTCTGTCTCTGGCGTCCAACTCGGTCTTTAAGCGCATGATTTCATCCTCATACGCCTCTTTGATCTTGCGGTGGGCCGACTCCAACTCGTAGACGGTCTGTCTGATCTGGTTCATCTCGGCGGTCTGCTGGGAGAACTTGATGTCGAATTCATCCTTGTGCATGCGGTAGACGGATGCCTCGGAATTGACGCTGTCAAACTCTTGCTTGATGGCGTCGAGGAGCTCATTGAGACGGCCGTGAGAGGGCGGGCGGTTCTGGTAGGACATAATAGCGATTTGACGTCTCTAGCAGTGTGTAGCAAAGAAAGTGTGAAGGGTAGAGAAAGAGCGGCAGATACTTTTAGGATTGGCGCGTTTTGCTTTGCGTTTGTGTTTTTTCGTTTTCGGTTCGTTTTGGCGCTGAGCTGTGCCCCTCATAGCGGAAAATGCCAGCGCGAAAAAGAAACGTGAAAAAGAAATGCGAGGGTAGAAATAGCGCTGCCGGGTGGGTGCAGGAGGGTGCAGGAGCTGGCGAGCGTACCCGCCCCCGAGATGGATAGATGGCGCGATATAGGGGGTGGGCACCCCCTGTCTCAGGTAGGCAGGACCGCTGCCGTGATGATCAGGGGGGATTTCATGGTATTTTATCGGAGACGATATTACCCCCCCCCCCCGTGAGACAAAGTTGGGAAGGGTATTTTAGCTAGAACATTCGAAGGCATCAGACGTATTGTTCGGCGGACCCATGAAGGTTGCGAGTGATTCCTTCCCGTATTCATGGTTGTATGTACAATACATTTGTTCTTCTGTGGGTAATACCGGGTGCACTCAAGATGGTAGAGATTAGTACCAGGTGTTCTCAAATAGGCAGAGATTAGTGCCTTGAAGAGACGTTATACAGTAATCGCGCTGGATGGCGCGACCGTTAGGTTCTGTAATTAAAATGCGGGCCTAGACTGTCATTCGTTAGACGACGGGGTTTGAGTGGGCTCTCACATGGGCATGTGATTTCCTGCCGAGGAATCAGACAACCCCGAAGGTTATCCAAGCCGGCCCATCGTATAATTTTTGGGCTCATTGATGCTTAATGAGATAGTGGAATTCAATGTAAAGTGTGTTAGCTCAAAAAGTGTCACACTTGACTGATGGGCTTCGAGAAACGGCACTGGTCGTGTGCAATCCTATGTACTCTTTAGGCTGAATATATACCCGGGGGTCGTTTCTGCTGTATGTTTTCGACGAAACCCTGCCATTTACGTAGCGTTGCATCACTGGTAATAGTATATCAGGAGCCGGACCTTCAACTCCTTAATAAATTGTTATAAGGGCTGGGAGCAAGGTTGCGGGGGTTCAACTGGGCTACCCAGTGACTTATCAGTAGACGATCGTGAGTCGCACAATACGTCTCCGGTATCGAAGTGTTTCCACACCTAGCAGCCCTGCAGATTTGAGAACTTGGCATAATACTCAGGCGAGTGTACGACGGATAGAGACGGATAACGACGGATAAATACTAGGACATTTGGATGGACTGCCATGGGATATTATTTTCAGTTTTGGTCAAATCTAGAATGCACGATTTAGTGTTACCAATGACTGAAATAGTTTTGTGCCATCCACTGGTTTATGATTAGATGTAGCTGAGTGGGCAGTCCCATTATTGGCTCCAAGAAGGCCGTGTGGCCTTACAAAGAGGATCTGAGCCAATCGAGTGTACTTATATTAGAACTTGGACAAATTTCCGTGACCTGATACGAGCACAATGTTTCTGTTGAATGACCTCATGGAGACTTTAGAAGCGAGAATATTTCGATTTAAAATTATGACCCACCAAGCTCTAGTCCTTCAAATATATGGATCAAACGTTTCACCTGAGCTACCCTTGGCCTCATCCGTCAATTAGTGTCTTCCAATCCATGTAGACTGGTCTTTGCCAGACCATTTATCGTTTTCCAACCCACGTAAACTGGTCTTTATCAGATCATTTCCCGTTGGTCTTTCATCGCTACGCTCTGAAAGCCCAAGCCCAAATTCTGCGCTCCGAAAACTTACACTTCAATAATCAAATCACTAAATAAACTATTATACACTACTTGCTCATAGCCATCACCTGCTTCTTCAACGCCACCACCTCACTCTTCAACTGGTCACGCTCCTGCTGAACAATAATCAAATCCGCCTCCAAATCAGTAATCTTCATATCATAATGTGCCGTCTCCAAGGTCCCTTCCTCATCACTAAGCAACAAATGGTCCTCGTTGACCCCCCTAAGCGACAGATCCAACACATCGCTATTATCAAAACCCAACCCGCTGTTGGACGGTGTGTTCACACGTGAGTTGTTGCGATGAGTGCGGAAACGAAGCAAGTCCATCTCCTTAGCAAGCTTCTTGTTCGACTCGCGCTGCTTCTGGAGCTCGTCCTGAGTCACGTTCAACGCACGGGACGTGTTCTTCACAGAGTTAAGAGCTTCTCTGTAGCTATCTTCAAACTTCTTCAGAGAAACAAGCTGCGTCTGGAGCGTCTGGTGGCTCGTCTGGAGCTCTGCGAGCTGACGCTTGTGCTCAGAAAGGTCCTCAATCGTCTGCTGGGCTGTGGCATCTTTGTCCTTGTTGAGCTGGGTGAGCTCTGCGATCTGCGACTGCAAACCTTGCGAGATGTCTCTGGAAGACGGTTCGTTCCACTTTTCAAGAATTTGGTCCACCTTGGCCGTCAAACTCACCACCACCCCTTTGCTATCTTCCTGTCCATCCGCCTTCAACACGTTATAATCCACCTGAAGGGCCTCATACTTCAGTTTCCAGTCGAGCAACTCCCGCTCAAGCTCCGTCTGGTCCCGGACCATTGCCTTCACCTCAACGATGGTCGCTTGCTGGGCCTTCACCACATCATTAAGCTTTCGCAAACCATCGAGTTGACTTGCCTCCACCTCCCTGGTTTCTTCTTGGGGTTGTTCTGACGATTGGGCAAGCCGACCGGAAACACTAGCCAACTGTGTTCTGAGATCCGCAATAATCGCGTCTTTGTCCTGGAGCTCGGCTGGGAGGAAAGACGAAGAAGCATCTTCGTGGAAGCTCTTGAGCTCGCGGTTTTCGTCTTCAAGGTGTGCGATGCGCATCAGGGCGTCGCGCATCTGCTGGTGCGCAGAGGCTTTGAGGGTGGTGAGTTCGGTCGTGATGGAGGAAACAAGGCGTTTGACATTTTCCTTATCAATACTAGTACCGGAGGCATCATCATTGCTGAAAGAAATGCCATTGAAACGAGCATTGTTCACAGAGGTGCCCGTGAAAGCATCGTTATCCAAGGTAAGGTCCTTAGAAAGATTGTCTTTACCAGTTGAGGCGTCCCTAGAAATGTTTCCAGAGGCATCCTTAGAAATATTTCCGTGCAAAGCTTCATCTCTAAGAGCAGAGGCAACGGCAGTATGGTTGGATATATTCGTAACGTCCTTGGACACATCGGAGGCAGTCTTGGATGTATTAGCCTCCTTAGAAGTATTGTCGTTCGTAGAAGCACTTAAGCCCCTCTCGGAAGCGCGCACATCCTGGGAGCCATTCCCAACATGCTTCCCAAGAGACCCGTTAACATTTTCAGAAATTTCCTCCACAGAACTGTCAAATCTTTGATCAAACCCTTCAACATCCACATATCTTTCATCCTCTGATTTTTCGGAAAGAAGGATCGGCCTTCCAACGGATCTCACGCTAGGATCAGTGGCCTCAAGAGTACCGTCACTGTCAACAGAGCCGCCCATCGTTCTATATCTCTCAGAGACCGGCGCCGCCATCGTCTCCACGGATTCAAACCCAGAAGGAGGGACCGGATCTACGTCGGAAAGACGGGGACCGAATTGTGTCTCTTTCCTCTGGACCTTGCCGATGCTTGGAACCCTAACAGGAGATCCAACAGTGTTCGGACTCACAATCTCCGCGTAGTTAGACGACGCCCCGCTCGCACTGCTGTCGAAGAACGAGGAGCTCGTCGGGGTCTGGAGCACACGCACATCACCATTACTCGGATGCGCCGCAAGGATCCCAGCGATTCCTCCTGCCAATCCACCGCTTGCGCCCGCCACCACCAGCTTCAAGCCCGAGAGCGAATCAGAACGACCACTTGAAGAGCCACTACCCGCAACGGCCGTCGCGAAGGCAGGGGCGTGGGCGTCTCCAGCCTGAGAATCCATGACCGGCTCCGGGAACTCAGAACTCTTCGCCAGTGGCTCTTCTTCATCCTGGGGCTTATTTCCCAACTCGGCTTCCCTGGCTCTCCGAATCGTCTGAGAGATTTCGGCGTCCCTGTCGTCCGCCTGGGATCCTTCCGGATCTACAAGCGAGCGGTCGCTGACGTACTGGGCCTCCTCCTTGGCAACGTCAATCTTCTCGGCCCCACGGAACGATGCATTGTAGCTGAAGCGCGGGTCAACAGAGTTCATGTCGCTGTACTTTTCCGGCGAGCCGTCGTACTTTTCAGGAGAGACGAGATCATCGTACTTTTCCGGTGAGGCGAGGTATTTCTCACCCGAGAGATCCCCTTGACCATCAAAGGTAGGCTGTCTCGCTTCGTCGTCGTCGTAGATCTGTGTCGACGACTCGAGAGGTTGGAAGGCTGAATAGCGGTTCGCCTTTGCCTCCTTGGATGGGAACGAAGACGTCACGGGCGAGGCGCCGAACTTGGTGTAGAGGTCGTTGAGGGTGTCTTCATCGTTCGGGCTAGAGCCAGTGGCGAGGTTGCCGGGGTTAGCCTGACCGCTGGCCTCATTTCTAACCCGGTCAATCGCCTCGTGGCTTACCACCGGGCGGTACATGACCGAGTCATCCGATACCCCAGAAATCTCTCTCGCAAGCCCCACCTCTCTTCCATTAGCCCTGCTAGCCTCGCGGCTCGCGGCCTTTTGGCGGAACAGGTGGCTCAAACTCTCGCGGCTCTCGTTCGCTACGGAATTGATAATCGACGCAAGCGGCGAGTCGCTCGTCATATCGCTGTGGTCAACCGCTGAGGTCGTTCGCTGGTGTTCGTAGCGGTGGGGTGCTTGGTTAGGGAACGGCAGGCCGTACGTCGCCGGTGGCGGGCTCTGTGGTGGAAGGCTCTGAGAGTTGGAGCCCATCCGGACGGCCTCTGGATACTCGGGCCGTCTCGACTGGTTGTTGACCTGGCCTGGGCTTGCCCCAAGCTGTCTCGCTTGGATGCTATCCTGGCCGTTAGCCACGCCGCTCACCTCCGCCTTGGAGCTGAAAAATCTCCCGCACGTGGCCATGTCTAGCTCATACACAAAGTCACCCGCGCCACCGAACACAACCAACTTGCCCGTGCTCCCCACGAAACAAATCCCCATACCGCCGTCGCTCAACGGCGGTTCGCCAGCCAACCCATTCGATAACCGGCTCCACAAGCCCAGGAACAAGTCGCACGAGTACATCTCGGCAAGGCTGCCCGCCTCTGTCTCACCCCCGTAAACAAACATCGTGTTGCCCACGACCGTGGCGGTGTGGAGGTGCAACGGCGGTGGCACCGCGCCGTGCGCGGCGAGCTGCGTCCAGGCGGCAGTCGCTGGGTCAAAGCACCAGAGCGCGTTCGAGAGTCCGGTGGGAGACATCCCCCCGAAGATGTAGAGCCGCAGGTCGAATACGCACATCGTGTGGTCTGCCAACGGTGGTGCACGTGCACGAGTATGGCTATCCACATTCGGCTCAACGAGCTCCCACGCCGCGTTTGGCGCCTTGAAACTCGCAAGGTCAAACGCGTATAGCGTATCGAAGAGATTGTTGTCGAGCTGCCCACCGTACAAATACAAGCGCGAGCCGGTGTTTTGCGTGGCGACACAGCAGAGGGTGGAGCCATAGCGGCCTTGTGGCTTGTTATACACGTGGCTGGGGATAAAGTAACGGCCCAGCGACGTATTGAAGAAGTAGAGCTCATTGTCGAGCTCGCCGTTTGGGAGTGGCGTCGTGTCACCGCCGAAAATGATGAACGCGTTACCCACAAGCACGGCGCAGTGGGCGACACGCGGCAGTGGGCCCGTGCCCGGCGGACACTGCAACTCGGTCGCGACGTATTCGCCACCCACAGGCGCAAGCGACCACGTGCAGCCAAAGACCGAATCGTCGCGGAGCCCGCCATTGATGAAAACTGCAGTGCCGTTGGTGACGGCCGAGTGGACAAAGCGGTAGCGGGGGAAGGGGGAGTTGGCAAGGGTCTTTGCGGACCACGGAGTGGATGGCGAAGTTGACGCGGAAGACGAAGTCAACGACGGCGCGCGTGCGGCGGTCTGGGCTGGAGAGCGCGCGTCGTAGTTTGAGTCATACTCGCGGTTCGAATCGCGCTGCCCGTACGCCTGATTTGGTCCTTGTAACTGGCCTTGTAACTGTTGTCCCTGGGACTGCTGTCCCTGATGGACTTGGTTCTGGAACTGCTGCCCTTGGTGCTGTCCCTGGTGCTGTCCCTGGTGTTGTCCCTGGTGCTGTCCCTGGTGCTGTCCCTGGTGCTGACCTGGACTCTTCCCTTGGTATTGTCCCGGGGCGTAGCCTTGTTGCTGGTACAGCGCGCGGTTCAGCTGGCCATGCTGCGGTGGCTGGGGGTGCGGGTTTATCGAGTGGCGTTGCTGCGGCGGGTAGCTCTGGTCGTCACGGGAGGCGACAGATCTCTGGCCGAGCGACGGCTGGATAGAGCTCTGGGAAGTTTCACTGTACATACGCTGGACAGGCTGCACGAAACTTGGGTCGAGCCTGCGCGAGTCGGGCACACGTACGGGCGACGAGTCGGGGCTCGCGGAAACGTCCTTGCTCTTTTTCTTATTCTTCTTGAAAAACCCAGCCATGTCGAGTGGTTAGGATGAGATATCAATTAGGGCTGAATGAGAAAAAAAAGGTCTTGGTGAATGGTCTTGGTGAATAGTCAGTAAGCAATAGATCAATGACACGATCAAAGGTAAGATCAAGCGTTGAAATAAGGAGCAATGATCTATGTCAGGATTGATCGGATGTCAAGATTGAAATAGCAAGATTGTTTCTCAAGATAGATCAAATCGTGATTGATGGAATTGTTGGACAATGCGAAAAGTTTCACCCTACGGATCAGGTGTCTGACGCTAAAATCGCCGACTTTGCGAGCTGCGTCACTGGGCGTTTCGTGAGTCGACGTGTTTGTCGGGGAACCGCCGCATCTGGCGCCATGGGCGTGCGGGGCTAATTTGGCGCGGCTCCGATCCTTTGGTGCGCGGGTCTTTCACCTGGCAGCGCAGGAAAGCTTAAGCTCCAGGAAGTTATTTAATAGAAATAAGAGAAGGAGGGCGATTACTATACAAGATAGGAGGAGGCCTTGATGATAAAGCCAAATAGGTTTAATCTACTGAGATATGAAGGACAAGGGAACGAAATAGGTATCTAGCGTGTGATATATCCGTACGTGGTATTGATATCGATCTCCAGAAGTTGCTATAAATAGATATTTAATCGTAGAGCCAAAATCGTTCTCCGTTCTGTCACAAGCTTTTTATTCCCATCCGATAAAATGGCTCTCGGAGGGGCAAGCATGAATTGTGATTGCCCCTACAAGTTCACCGATCGGTAATGACGCCTGTAATGTGGATGTTAATGCACGCCCGGTTGATTTCCCACGGGTATGGAGATTCTTGCTAATATTTATCCTCCTATATCTACGATTGGGTGATAACGACTGTGGGGTGTATTCAGTTAGAGCTCTGAAGGCTACTATTTTTGGCTAGAATTTGTTTACAGGCAGGCCGCGGGGGACAATGAGCTAAATATCTAAGAGTTGGCTAGTATATTGGAAATTACGTTGATTAACCTCTTGTTTGTTTTGCACTATATCCAATCGAAATCATTTCCATGCTCATTTTCACCTACTCCAAGTTTGTGGAATCCGAAGCTAGTAGATAGATATCCTCAGAAAGATTCGTTTCCTCTTGGCCTCTCTTTCAGATATCTGGTGATATGCATTACACTAGCATCCATAAAGAATCATGAATGAAGAATCATCCACGGCCTATCCTCTACCTGATAAACACACACAACGCGGCCTCATCCTTGATATAGAAACTCTCAAACCCGGTGCCCATGCCTACGGGCAACGGAATCTCCAAGGCGTTATTGATAACCACAGTTGACTCCACACAGCTCTCCACCACTAGCACATGGCTGTCCTTTAAATAAGCCAACCTGTAGTCAAATGACGATGTCAAGTGCTCGTTTGAGATTTTGATTTGCAACTTATGATTCCCTGTGAGTTTGTGAAATGACACCCTAAATTGGAGCTTCCTGATATCCTTCGGGGCCCCGGTGACTAATTTAACCTCTGTCTTCAGACCCTTTGTACCTTCCTTTTCTTCAATAGACAACTCGCTGATCTCCTGGATCAACGGTCTGGCGGTGGTGGTCAGGGGGAATAACGCAGGCAATTCATCATCATCCTCTCTGCTCTCCAGAATCAACCCAATCACCTCATCCTCTTTTAGCCGCTCCATTTCGTGCTGCATCCCACTGCGCCCCGCCAATTCCGACAGTAATAACTCGGTCGCAACAACCTCGCCCTTGAACTTCATCTTCGGAATCGCGTACTCGCGGCTGACGGTGCACAGTGAGTTGTACTCAATACTCTCTAAACACCATTCGATTGCAATCATCCGCAAGTTGGAATCCGCGTGGATCCACTCCATCGCTGAGTCATTCACCATACAGTCGTACACCGAGCACACCACGCCTTGCTTATCCGTGGCGGTGCGCTCACGCGACACGATGATCGGGATCTCCCATGCATTCTCCATAATGAGCGGAAATGTCTGTGTTGGATGAAACGGCGTTGGTGGCAACGGGACGAGGGCGTTGCTGCAGATGTTGAGGAAGATCTTCTGGCCAAGGGCGTAGGTGGCACCCGTGAGGTTGTGTTCAGGAAGCGACGCCACCTTTGTCTTGACAACGAAGGAGGGGGTCGGAGTGAGCGAGACCGTCAGGCTCAGCGATACTTCCTCAATGTGTGACATAACTGGTTGAGGTCGGAAGGAGAGGTGAAGATGAAAAGTATAAAAATTTCTGATATTGTATAGCGTGCGGCGCGGACACCAATTCAGATAAAATGCATCTGCAAGAGCTGGAGTGTATATATTTATATTTGTACGAATATATTTATCTGTAAATCTCAGCCCCTCACCACGTTAATTTTAATGTAATATTCAATTAATATTATACTTCTGTAATCCATATACGGATAAGATTTGACGTTGGATGCCACGATGCATACCATTTCAACTTAGAGGCTTAATTGACAACCTCATTCACAAACTTTAGCAAAAGATCCGCCGCAGCCAGGTAATCCTCCATGTCATTGTACACAGTACACGAAAATCTCGCGTAGAGCTTTCCGTTGTGCTCAAATAACGGCACAAACACAGAGTTCTCAAGCATCTTCTCTTCGACGTGCTTTCTCCATCCAGAACTCAACTCCAGCGGCACCACTGGAACCTCCACATTCACCATGGCAAGTTGACGCGATTCCTTGTGGCTGTTGTTCAAAACGCTAGTGCCCCACCTGGCAGCCAACATATCCCCCACGTCTTGGGCGAGCTTGTAACAGTAGTTGGAGATTTCGGTCTCACCCCCACAGACATTGTTTCTAAACTTAATGGCAGCGGGAACCACGGTAATATTGGCGAAATAACTGACCAAGGTCAACCTAAACCGATCCACCAATCTGGTAGCTTCCAATGCCAGAGGCAACACCACATCGTCCTCCAAAAAGCTGTGGGAGATTGGAAAGCTATGGATGCTTCTGTGGTACTTGGGCGCTACGTACACAATTGCACAGCCTTTCGGAACCATGTACCACTTGTGGAGGTTGGAGATGAAAAAGTCGGGCTGCAAGGTCCGCAATGCGATGGGAATCTGCCCCACGGTGTGAGCTCCATCCACAAACGAAATCACATCCTGGTCCTTGCACAACTGGACAATTCTTTCGAACGGGACTCTGAGTCCTGGAAGGGAGGAGATGGCGTCAAAAAGGCACATCTTCACCGGAATGCCGGTCTCGGCCTCCGCTTTCATTGCCTGGGCAAACTTTTCCACCACCTCGTCGTCAGACAACGGGTAGTCGAGCTGAACCGTCAACGGAACAACACCGTAGCGGAGCGCAAGAAACTTGACGGTATTGATGCAGGCAGAGTAGGTAGTGGTTTGGAAGAGAATCTTGTCACCCCTGGCGAACGGAAACGAGCGGAGCACCATGTTTACCCCGGCGGACGTACTATCAGCGAATACCAAGTTTTCGTAATCGGCGTCCACAATGTCCGCAATGGCTTTGGTAGAAGCAATGACATCGAGAGGTTGCTCCGCTCTGAGATAGCGGTCTGGAAAGCCTTCCTTCTTCCATTGGATGTCGTGGAACTCCTCTAGGACCACCGTTGGTGCCACGCCGTACGAGCCGTTGTTCACGGGGATGGCAGAAGGGCTGAGGGAGAAGTGCTGCTCTCTGAATTTCTTTCCAAAAACTGGCATGTTTAGACCATATTCTTAGTTAGCTTGGGGAGGTATCTGAAAAAGGGGGTAGGTAGGGCGGTGCATTTATATTTTGAGGTAGTGATAACAGCCCCGTGAAATTTCAGTGACTCATGCGCCGCGGCTATGCACGGCAAAGCATAAACCGGAATCTCTTCCAAGCGAACTAAGCATGACTAAATGACCAGGTTGGCCTAGAGAGAATGTTAATCAAGGTTCGGTAGACATGAGCCATAATCTAGAAGGGTATATAATAATTGTGTAAGTGAGTCATATCGGTGCCTTGATTGTATATGCAGGTCTTTGTAAAGTTCCCCTATGTACATATAACACCTATTCGTTTCTCGTACCACTGGGGGAGGGTCAATTGTCCTATTTGCGTTGTTCTGATATCTAGCAGAGACTCCTTGTACGGGCAATAATCCACTGAATATGCCTTGACATCAATCGCTTCAAACCTCTGAATTCAATGCATTGCGTATTCTGGAATATGGTTCACCGAGGATGCCAGCCCTTTGTATCATTCCGAGATGCTGGCACGCTCCTACACCCTTTGTTCTACGTATTATTTATTAAAGTTCACAGCTGCCCACCGGCACCCTTTTTAGTTCGGGAGACCAGTCTCTTTGTTAATCAAGCATTGCTCGGTGTCTTGAGGACCTGGCCCGACTCTGGTCAAGATGATCTTAGCGACACCCTTGGTGATATCGTAGTCCAAATGCTCCTTAGGGAACGCCTTTAACAAAGTGAGCTGCTCCTTGTCGACCTTTTCCCAGCCCGCAACCCCGCCAAATAACTCGTGCAAAAGCCCCAAGACAACAGCCTCGTTCTCTTCCAAGTAGTAGATGACGGCGTTTGGACCGGCATCAAAGGTGTAGGCAGCGATGGTTTCACCAGCAGCGGCGTTCAAAGTGTGGATGAGCTTGATGACCTTCATGGAAGTGTCGTTGAGGTATTTGATGGGTGGGTAGGAGTCCAAGCAGACGGCGTGGAAACTGTTGGAATCCTTCATGGTCAACTCGGCAAACTTGGCAAAGTCCTTGTTGAGAATGGTCTCCTTCATTTCGATGAATCTGGTAGGAACCACGTTCTTGATTCTGTGCTGGAACAAGTCGGAGGTGGCAACGGTGGTCTGCATCCCGGAGGTGGATGGCGTGTCCTTCTTGTCGGCACTGACAACCAAGATGGCGGCCTTCATGGATGGCCAGTGCTCCAACGGAGCGACCTCGACAGCTTTGGAGTCGGAGCCGTCAACTTCTGAACCCATCTCCCACGCAACGTAGCCACCAAAGAGTGAGCGACAGGCAGAACCAGAGCCCTTCCTGGCAATCTTCGAGATCTCGGACATGGATTCAGGCAACTCGTACAACTTGGCAATGGCCTTGACCAACGCCGAGAAGCCAGCAGCAGAGGAAGCGAGACCCGCAGCGGTTGGAAAGTTGTTTTCGGAAACAATGTGCAACTTCCACTCGGAGAACTTTGGAAGGGACGTGTCCCTGGCCTCAACAGCGGTTCTCAACGCACGGAGGTCCTTCAAGCAGGCAACTGTACGCTCGGAGGTGAGGGACTCTGGCGTTCCGTTCAACCATAACTGGTCCTCGGTGAAGCTGGAGGAGGTGGCGACAGAGGTGAGGGTTCTCAAGTCATCCTGGGACAAGGTAACGGAGATGGACGAATTGGTTGGAAGATTCAAAGATTTGTCTCTCTTACCCCAGTACTTCAAGGTCTACGAGGTGTTAGTATTGGCTACGGAGAGGACCTGTCCGAGGGGGCAGAAGAAGGAAAACGGATGCGATTGCTCTCTGGGGACACACCGAGCCGAAGGGCCATCTCAAACCTAGTTGCCGTCACCAAAATCGAAAGATTCTCATCTTCAATGCGTGAGGTGGTAGCAGCTTGGAATGGGTTCACTTTGTCTCAAAGACAAAACAAGACTTTCTTAGTACATACGGCAATGTTAACTGGAGCGGTGGTGGAGGCTGTGTAAACACTCATCTTGGATATTAGGCTAGAGAGCATCATGGCTGGGGGTCGGTTAAGCAAAACGGGCCATTTATTTTTGACGCTGTAACAGTGCGCGCGATTTCGCTGTCACGTGACGCAGGGCTGACATAAGCCGAATAACATTGTTAGTGCTGGGGTCGCCTCTGTGGCATCTCCTGAATTCTACAACACGGTAATACTGGCGATGATGAGACTAGGATATTATAGGAGAATCAAACCAGGTCAATACCTGGATAATAAAATAGGTATAGACCTCCGAAGTGGGTAACCCTTATCCTACATCATGGTTGGGTTATCGTGTCCTTACCAATATCCTGCACAATCGTTACACGCCATTGAAGAAAAATGTGCGGCTTATAAATTTTTTACTCATTGCGTATCAACCTCAACCACTAATCACCGTACAAACATGCCCTCCGTTGAGTCCATTTCGATCGGGGCCAACAGGCAGACCCACGTGTCGGACGTTCATCCCGAGACCCATCACATTGCCTACGGGGCTAACACCACGGTTGCCTTGTGGAATCCATTAGATGCATCCAGCAAGGGTGTCTACAAGACGCTCAACGCGCACACCAAAGAGGTGACGAGCGTTAAATTCATGCCAGGCACACCGTTTTTGATCTCAGCAGCCGAAGACTGTGACATTTGCATCTGGAAACAGGATCAGGACCAGGGCGAGTACGCATTGTTCCAGACGTTGACCGCCTTCCACACCGCGTCCGTCACGTGCATGGCTGTGTTCGGCACCTTGCTCGCGACCGGCTCCTCCGACGGAAAAATCTTCCTCTGGGGCTTGCAGGACGGGCTATTTGTGCAGGTTCACTCGTTTAGGGTGCGGGTGGGCTACTTCCCTCTCTGTTTGGCCCTCCAGCGAGTAGAAGCGAACAACTACCTCCTTGCGGTCGGCGGGACCCACGTCAACATGTTTGTGTATTCCTTTGGGTATGGCGAAAAGATTGATGGTTTTACGCTCAGCGCGACGCTTCCAGGCCACGAAGACTGGATCAAGGCGATTGCGTTCAAGCAGGAGAGTGTGGGAAACTGGCTCGTGGCGCTGGGCTCGCAGGACCGATACATTCGCTTGTGGCGCTTCCGGATCAACGAATATATTGATAACTCAGACGAGGATCTGGCAAAGTTGATTCTCCTCACAAACAAGCAGTACAAATTCGCGGTAAATTCCACAAAAGTGGCCATTAACTTTGATTCCTTGATCATGGGACACGATGATTGGATCACTTCGCTTAACTGGCACCCGTCCCCTGGCGCGATGTACTTGCTTTCGTCGTGTGCCGACACGTCGTTGATGATCTGGAGCATGGATCAGCTTTCGGGGATCTGGTGCTGTGTATCGCGTCTCGGGGAGATCAGCATCAAGGGTGCGTCCACCGCAACCGGCGCCGCGGGTGGGTTCTGGTCGGCATTGTGGTTTGAGGACGCGCAGAGGCAGTGGATCGTGACCAATGGGAAGACCGGGAGTTTCCGCGTGTACTCGTCGGCTAAACTCGGGGAAGCCGAGGATAAACTTTCGCAATGGGACCAAAATCACTTGGGGATTAGTGGCGCCACCAAGTCTGTCACCGACTTGTCCTGGGCCCTTACCGGTGATTACCTTATGTACACGTCTTTAGACCAGACCACGCGCCTTTTGGCCCAGTGGACGCAGACGGATGGCCGGGAAAGATCCGCGACGTGGCACGAGTTTGCCAGACCGCAGATCCACGGCTACGACATGGTTTGCCTCAAGCCGATTGACGACTTGAAGTTTGTTTCCGGGGGTGATGAAAAGTTGTTGCGCATTTTTGAGCTTCCCAGGGGTGTGGCGGAGATTTTAGGAAAGTTCTCTGGTGCAAAATTCAACAAGCAGGTTGTATCAGACGCTGCCTCGCTTCCGGTGTTGGGGCTTTCCAACAAAGCCACGGCTGAGGAGGAGGAGGAGGAAACAGAGGCCACCAACATCACCTACGACACGTTGCAGCTCTTGACGCAGCCGCCGTTGGAAGACCATCTCCAGAGACACACATTGTACCCGGAAATGGAAAAGTTATATGGCCATGGGTACGAGTTGGTCACGGTCGATGTTTCCCGTGACGGGAAAACCATCGCCTCGTCATGCCGCTCCAACTCCAAGCAGCATGCCACCGTCAGACTCTTCCAGAATGGTGCTAAGGATGACTGGTTGCTTTCTGATAATAGTCTCTCTGGACACAGTTTGACTGTAACCCGAGTCAAGTTTTCGGCCGATGACACGTACTTGTTGTCAGTCTCCAGAGATCGATCGTTTGTTTTGTGGGAGAAGCGGGGCGATGGGTATGCCATGGCCGTGACGAATGAAAAGGCGCACTCCAGAATCATCTGGGATTGCTCTTGGGGGCCAGATGCATGGGGTAATGTAGCCTTTTTCACCGGCTCTAGAGACAAGACTGTAAAGTTTTGGGAAGTTACGGCGAATGGGGTCGAGCTCATAGCCACACTTCGGCTGCAAGCTGTGGTGACAGCTGTGGATGTGCATAGAGATGTCTTCGGAGGGAAGGCTGTATTGGCTGTGGGGTTGGAAGACGGGGGTGTTTTGGTGTATTCCATGACGAGGGCAGGGGAGTTTACCTTGGTTTCACGGTTCCCGGACGAAATCTTGCCCGCTGCGAGGGTCAACAGGCTTGCCTGGAACCGCCTGGTGGCGTCCAATGGTAGATTAAAGTTGGCTGTTGGGAGTGAGGACACTTCGGTGAGAATCTATGGCGTGGACATCACTAGCTAATATATAGTAATGAATATTTATTTACGAGAGGGTGGGCGGGGACTACTCGGAGTGATGGCCGTCCTGGGATGTCGGCTAGAACCGGAAGGGTCACTGAGGTCCAAGGGAGCATATCCTTAAACCATAACTAACGAGAGAAGGAATAACGATGGAGATGGTTTCTGTAGCCGTCTTTGTAATATTAATTCAAGCCTATTACATTTAACATGAAGGATACAAGACGTCACCCCCAAGGCTGAATTTTTTTTCTCAATACCTTCACAGCACGGGTAACACTCAGCCTGTTATCTCCTGTCACATTCAGATCTGCCAATCTTTTGGAAATAACCTCTAGAAATCTCAGCCTATCCCTCTGATGCCTTTGTTCTGGACCGGGGAACAAAAATTTGAGGCAAGGCGGCATTTGAGCCCGAGCCTAACTGCAGCTCAAAGAAATCAAGCTCATCTTCGGAGTTGACAATCTTTCCAGCTTTTTCAGCTCTTGGGTCGGACTTGAGTGACGATACCCTCAGAGACCTATCAGAGAAACTCCTCTCACCTGCTTTCTCAGTGGATCCCTCAACGAACCTTTTTTCTGGAACCCTCTCGGACCTGTCCGAAAAGCTTTCAAAGGGTCTCTCAAATCTTTCAGATTCCCCCACCTTTGGCGTAATGGACGTCGAGGGAAAGCGCGAGACATCTTGCGGCGTGGCGCTGCGAGACGGAAGCTCGGTCAACTCTGCCAAAGTATTTAACGAGGCCTCATGCGCATGCATCACGCCTAGCTCTACTTCCTTCGGCTTCCTGGGTATTTCCTCCTGGTACTGCATCAAGTTCGTCTTCACCTCGGATACAAACGACCAGATGGAGTTAGATACCGTATTCATCACGTCTGGCTGGTCGGGCGGGGTGGTAAAGGATAGCTCGGCAAGATCGTCCGACGCGGCCGAGGCCTCGGTGAAATTCTCGTCCCTGACGCTGAGTGACTTTTCAAACTCGTTCTGTAGCATGGTATCGAACTGGTTGAGGAGATCGAGCGGCTTGGCGAGAAAGGAGAACCGTTTTGACTCTGGGTCTCTGGTCTTGACCGGCTTTGGCTTCTGCGGCGAGGTGAGGCTGGAGGAGCGCCGGTTTCGCGTCAGTCGGATCGCTGCCGCGCGCGGATCTAACTCCTCTTCACTGTCTGTTTGGAGCTTCTGCTGCAAGTTCTTTCTCCCGACGGGCACCATTTCTTTGTAGAGCGACCGCTGGACCAACTGCTTGAGGTCGTGGAGCTCGGTCTCCAGTCGTTGTAACGTCTCCGTCAACGCTTTAATGTTGTCGCGCATCTCCACAATCGACATCTCCTTCATCGCGAGGAGCCGCAACTGATCGTTCATGTCGAGACCTTCAATCGTCGCTGGGTTGATAGGGAGCGAGAGCAAGTCGTCCGGGGGCTGCTCATTGGCCTTGGTGGGAGAAGCCACCGGTGTGCAAGTGATGGCGTCAAGGTTCGAGCCCGGCTGCTGGGCCCGGTGTTTGGGTGCGAGTGGGGAGTACGACAGGTGCCGCGAATGACCGGGTGTGCTTGTGGCGGACGTTGACGATGCACTAGAGGTGGTGCGCGTGCGCCCAAACAAGTTTAAGCCGGTTTTTCCGTTGTACACGGAGGTTGATCGGGTGAGTTTCTTTGGAAGGGCCGTTTTGAGGTCAGGGGTGAGGAAGTCCGGACCGGGCTTTGGCGGAAGGAGTGTCGGCGTACGCACAGGCGACGGCGTGCGCGTGCGCACCGACAGGGGATATGTTTCCATGGGTTGAGGATTGAAGAAATGAAGCGAAAACTCGGTGAAGGCGTAGGAAAGTACTGGCGCAAGGGGAGGGCACTATGGGAAGCGGGTACCGATAAGCAGTACAATTGGAGATGTATTTACACCACGGTATATTGTTGGGGGCACACCCTAGTAATCGATTGAGTGCAGGTGCAGTTCCAGCTGCTGGATAAGTTGTGAATATATACCGGTGAAAGGTTGGAGGTGCAAAATTTATGAGAGATAATAAGAGATCAATAACATGCCAATCGCGTTAGAGTTCACGACGCGTTAAGAGCTGGCCTTAAACGGTAAGTGGGCGAGTCTTTGGGATTACATGCAGGATTCCCTCTTGCTCTGACACGGGATTTGGTGGGGTTTGATGAGACGACAAATCTCCGCACAAAAGGTGGATTTCAAGAGTAATTGGGTATTAATTTGGAGACGAAGAACAGAAAAATAAGAGGAGTGAAAAACTGTGAGTCTGAGCCTTCTATGGGGGAGACATGAGATACGGAGTGGTTGTAAGGTGAAAATTCCCAATGGAATATAAAAATAAAGTTTGGCAGTCGGGAAGATTAATCCGAAGCGATCAATACACGTTTATAATCAATAAAAGGGAGTTTAGGAGGGGGAAAAAAGTGGCATTAACAGGAAGTAAACCTTCAGTCTTACGGGAAGCTCTACCAGAAGTTTCAGGATGGCGACTTTAGTTTCTCGAGTTATTTACAAGTGTTAAAGAATGCACTGTAGGATTTGCGAACAGACCATGGGAAAGCCTGCCTATGTCCTGAGTGGTGCTTGATATCTATTACCTTGGGCATTCCTATACCAAAAAAGGTTGTACTCGGATTCAAACCGGGGGTTATTGGATCAGAACCAACAGTGATAACCACTACACTATACAACCTATATGATAGATCAATTTATCAGAGGTTATTAGCAGCGTGGTAGAAAATGCACCTACATGGTTCATGTGCCTCGGAAATTAAGGCAACATAAAACGTATTATTGATTTATCATTTCGAGAATACCTCTCTAGGCAGTCATTCCGGTTCTTCATTCCTGTAAGCATCCCAATAGTCTAGTCAGTAAACCTCTTTCCTTCCATCTCTACATCCACATATTACAATCGTCTATGATACACAGTACACACTCTAACCCTGCAACAATCTTGCAGACAAGGCTTCCAAGTCCTCCAAGGTTTCTGGCTCCTCGATCTCGTACACGTCATCGGCCTGGTTATAGGTCCCGCCAACCTTGTCGTTTTCAAACCACTTTGGCTTCTTGGCAGACGGCTCCTCGTCACTTTCATCGCTAGATTCCAAGTCGCGGTCCAAATCGGCCTCTGGACTTCCCAGTACCATTGACTCATTACCACTCTCGTCACCGCTCTCGTCACTGCTTTCATTGGCTCTTCTCTCGGCCTCTTGTCTCTTTCTCTTTTTCTCCTGCTTCTTCTCCTTGGCAAGGGCCTTATCATCCTCATCCGCCACGGCCATTTCCTTGGCCTCCTGCGCTACAAACTGCTCCTTCTGGGTCTTAGCGTCCCCTCGCTTTTCAAAGTCATCCATGTCTTCCAATTCGTAGATCGCGTGCGCGACCCCCTCGTCGTCAAAGACTAACTTGGTGGGGTTGCCGTGGGCCTTTAATGATGCCTTCTTGGACAATCCCTTCTTGGCAGCTCTTTTAGAGGTGGGCGCCATCAATTCGGGCAACTCCTCCTCCTTCAACTCGTGATCTGTGCGCTTCACCTTCATGAACCCGCCGTCAGCGTCCTCCACGTCCAGAGTCTCTCCCTCTGGCTTGTTCCCCGTCAAGGTCAAATAGTGCTCGGAAAGGACATTTTGATTCTGACGCTCAAACATACGGTCGTATTTGGTTCTAACCTTACCATCTTCTTCCTCCATCTCGCCCTCGTCGTTGGCCTTAGACAACGCCAACAACTGTCTGGATGCGTTTTTCATTTCCTTGTTCTTGCTTCCCCCGAGCATCTTGATCTTCGGCGCGCCCGGCAACCCCAATGACTGGGCATATTTCTCCGTCGGAAGCTCCTCAATGTTGAAAACCTCCTTGTCCTTCTGCACATAGACCGAGCGCATGTACGAAATGAACGCCTTTTGGCCGAGATACTTAATCTCTGGACTGGAGAAACACAATGCCTGCAACTTGCTTCGGATCGACTTCTTCTTCGCCTCTTTGATGTTCAACCGGTTGAGTTCGATTTTCGCCGCCTGCAAGCGCTTGAGGAACGCCTCTTCCTCGGACGGAACCAAAAAGATCAATGACTTGCCCGCACGGCCGAACCGGGCACATCTCCCCACCCGGTGGATGTAGGTGGCGGAATCCTCCGGACAGTCCACCTGAACGACCCAATCGATCGCAGGAAAGTCCAAGCCCCTGGCCACGACGTCGGTCGCAAACAAGCACACGTGCTGGGCCTGGGAAAACTTGACCGTGGTTTCAATTCTCGACGTCTGTTTCTGTCTCCCGTGCAACTTCATCAACGAGATACCCGGCTGCATCGTCCTGAACGTCTCGTACACGTAGTGTACTTCCTTGGACGACGAAAAAAAGACCAAGATCTTGCTCTTTAAGTGAGTCTTGATAAACGACCATAAGGTGTCGAGTTTTTCGTCCAAGGGAAGCGAGAGGTAGTGCTGCTCGAGGGAATCCGGCGTAGCCGTGTCCTTCTTGTCCTCGGTATCCACGTACTTCGGGTTGGTGAGCGACAATCTTGCGAGGTCTCCGACCGACTTGGTCTGGGTGGCTGAGAACAAAAGCGTCTGCCTGGTTGGCGGAATGTTCTCGATAATCGAGTCGATCGTCTTTTTGAACCCCATGTCCAAGATCCTGTCAGCCTCGTCAAGCACAAGCATCTGCAAGTTATCCAAGTTCATCCCAACGGTCTGGTCCATGTGGTGGAGAATTCTGCCGGGCGTCCCGATCAAAATGTTAATCTTGGCGATTCGCTCCTTCTCGTACTTCACGTCCTTCCCACCGATGACTAACCCGGCGGAAAAGTTGTTGTGCTTCCCGACCTTGGTCAAGACCTCGAAGATCTGCATCGCCAATTCTCTGGTTGGCGAGATGATCAATGCCCCTAGCCCATCAAATTCTGTGAATTTGTTCTGTAACAAGGACTCAATTACGGGAATGATGAACGAAAGCGTCTTTCCGGACCCGGTACGCGCAGCTCCTAACACATCGTGGCCTTTCAACGCTAACGGGATCGTTTTCTTCTGAATGTCTGTCAACTGCACGAAACTGGCTTCCTTCAACCCCTTGAGAGTCGGCTCAGAAATCGGCAATTCCGAGAACTGCGTCACGGCGGAGTCGAGATCGAACGCCTCGATGTCATCCTTCAACTTCTGCAACGTGTTCTGCTCCTTGTCACGTCTCTGTTTGCGCTCCGTGGAGGTGAGCTTTCTCTGGGTCTTCTTAGCCATCTTGTCTTGATAAGGGGAAGAGTGGGATAGGAGCGTGTGATGGCTGGAGATATAGCCATGCAGGAGTGAAAAATTAAAGAAAAAATATTTTCTCCGGCACCGAAGGAGATGAGCACGAGTGATGAAGGGTGCTAATATAGTTTATAGTGTATAGACTCTATTAGATGGGATACAAGCAAGCAGTTTCGTGGAAAATCAGGTGATAAATGTTGGTTTTCTGTCGCTAAGGGATTATTTCTGCAATAGGCATGGTTGGGGTTTTCTACGGAATGGAGTGAGTACCTAATGTTATATGAACGTTCTTGGGAACCGGTTTTGAAGGTGTCAGGATGTTTTATGACGGTGCTTAGCTACGAAGAAGTACACGTTGTTAATAAAACTGTGGGTAATTTGACAAGGCTTGAACGGTGTTCATAGGTGGAGACTCAATCTTGTTTACTTCCGTCGTGTTGCACTCAAAAATACAGACGTTATAATTGCCATACGATCGATGATTAACCATATCGTTATTGTTATGACACTAATTTGTAAACACGATATTTATCACTCATATATCCTCCTGTAGTGTCTTTGGACGCTGGAATAACGCTTTTAGCATTCGTATCCTTATCAATCCGAACGGCCTAGCTTTCTGTGTCGCATCCCCCGTAACTAGACACGGCATACTAATATTATCTCTTATGTTTACGAGCTAGATATATTTGATAACGTGATTTAGTATACAGTAGCTGAGTGTTTATAAGGTGATGGAGACTTCACCGTTGGCGTTCTTGACCAACTTGAGCTTCTTCAAGATATCCTTCAAGTCTGCATCCTGGTCAGAGGAAATCTTTTTAACAATCTTGTACAAGTTGTTGTTCTTTTCATCAACATAGGCCGTCAAACCCTTGTTCTTTTTGTCTTTCTTGTCCTTCACCTCAACTGGCTTTTTGTCCACAACAGACTTGACTTCCTTCTTTGACTGTGGTTCCTTCTTTGACTGTGGCTCCTTCTTTGACTGCGGCTCTTTCTTTGATTGTGGCTGCTTCTTTGGCTTGTACAAGGCTTTCTCGTATTTCTCAGCCTCAGAGATGCACTGGGTATGGTTTCTGTAGTCGGTGCCATTAAAGGTGGTGGAGCAGTCAATGCAGGTAAAGTAAGCACCGTAGCATCTCTGGGTGTGCTGGTCCAACTTCTTCTTGATGATGGTGTCGTTACAATTTTCGCAAGAGAAGGAGACCATTTTGTGCGCAGAGATGGGATAAAAAGAGGGTTATACATACAAGTGGAATCTTTTACAAGGAAAAAAATGTGAAAAATTATGATGCGGCTCAGGCGATGAGTAGCCACACCCAAATCTCAACCATACAGAATCACGGCTTGGGCTCAAAATCTAGAGAAAAGAGAGTTAGGATCGTAGCCGCTAGAAGTTAAGGGTCAACTATTTTATAAAGATTGTTTAAGAGGTATAAGGAGCATGTGCTCGTAAAACAGATACGGTAAATCGATTTTCATACAGCAAGCTCAAAAGATCGTGTATTCGTTAGAAATAGAGTATGTACAAAGATGGGGAAATAATGGTTCGTCACAAAAGTGGGGGGGTGGAATAGGTACCATCAAGGGGGTGGGACTACGAAAATCAAGAGTTGGAAAATGGTACAAAACCCATTTCTGTAGATATAGGATATCAAATATGAAAAAGGCTGCAAGGCACTTTCACCGGAGCTATAGCAAGACAGCACAAAGGATTTCAACAGAACTATGGTGAAACGACACAAAGGATTCCACCAGCTATAGTGAAACAACACTAATGATCTGGAGGATACACCGAGAGGGCCATAGAAAACTACTCAGCTCTCATGTAATCAGGGGTTTTCCAGATATGCTAGCTCGGTCACGACAATGTGAATATCGTCTTACCCAAATACGACACTTGGGTACTGGCCAAATGGAATATAATCAAGTCTCTTGGCCATCTACCACTTATTCTCCGACTCCCCTTCCAACCTCGGCACACGCTTCGGTTCCCAGTCCTGGTGCTCCTCCATCAAGCCCTGGAGCTGGTAATACTGTTCCTTCATGTCTACCGGCTTTCTGTTCCCCAAGATAGACAACTGGGTCTCTTCGTCCACTTCCCGCACCTTCTGATCATGTTGCTCGTAGCGGGTAGCCGTGAAGTTTGACAATAAGAAGGAACCGCCCACGAGGGCAGCGATAAACGGTATGCCAAATACCCAGAGGTGGTGTTTGCGGTACAACTTCTCGTATCTACCCGCGAGCGTCTTTTCGTATCTCGCCTGACTCGCCTGCGAACGGAACTTTTTTTTCATCATGGAACTCATGGCTGTGTTTTGGATATGTATAAGGCTGGGACGAATCGTGGCTTGAGGGCTGGGAGAAATGCACTGCTTTTTCTCACCAATGGGTAACTTGCAAGTCAGGATCATGTGACCGGTGGCTCGCGCAACGTCAGCTTAACCGATTGTAGCCATAGCCACTGTTTTACACCATAAAATATTAAGTGGTCGATAAGCTATCAGTGGTAATTCTATAAATATTAACAGCTACGGATGAAATATAATTGCGCACTGTCTAGTAATGAAGGGTAATTGAGCGGATCTTGCGTCAAGATGGAAACTGGAGAAAGGCTTTGACAGGCTATACGTAAAATAAATAAAAAGTATTATTTCGTGAGATGGCCTCTGTATTATATATGGCGATTTTATTAGCTAAATGTAAAAATAATCACCAGTATAAGTATATGAGTCTAATCATGCTTTAATAACAATCCTCGAAAGAGGAGCGAAATCTCAAACAGCCCAGCTTAATCTGATATTATACATCTGACACTACTCCAACGGAACCTCACCGATGTTAAATCTTGTAAGCTTGGTTAACTCCCGAAAATATCTCACGTATCCTACGCTAGAACCAAACTTCTTGAAGCTGTTTCACGATTATGTACCAAGATCTTTGCCCGCCTCTCCACCTGCAATCCTGCTTCAACCTCTCTACTCATGGATAAGTCATATCCCTACCTCATCCCCGCTACACCTTATCTATAACCCTATAACATTAATATACACTGCATCTTCGCATTTGGCACTTCGGGCTTTGCTTTGCTCGCTAATCAGCCTGGTCCCAGTTGCCTGGTCTGGCCTGCTTTGGCACTGACGGTCCACCGGCTCTCTTTGCCATAATGATAGAATCCACAGACAATACGGTGGTGGCGGCATCGGTAGCCAACGAAATGGCACTCTTCTTGGAAATGAGCAAGTCATAGACACCCTCAGCGGTCACGTCAACAATCCCGTTTTCGTTCTCCTGGTCAACATCCACACCATAGTGGACCCTCGCATCTGCCGCGACGGATTCCTGGGCAGAGGCAGCGGCGTACAAGTTGGACAACGTCTCCGTGGCATTCAACCCGGCAGTCTCGGCCAAAGAGCGCGGAATAACCTCCAAGGACTGGGCAAAAGCCTTGATGGCCAACTGCAACAAACCCGGCTGCTTCTCACCCCAAGCGGTCAACTTGTTGATCAACTGAATCTCCACGGACCCGGCACCTGGCAACAAGGATGCATCCTTCAACAAGCCCTTGAGAGAGGAGATACCGTCATCAATCGCGCGCTCGATATCATCCAAGTTGTTTGTGGTGGCGCCTCTAACGATAATCGTAGCGGTCAACGAACGGGAGTTGGCGTTTTCAGTGTCTTGTCTGAAGATCGTGACTCTGTCCGAGCCAATCTCCTTGGTCTCGACAAAGTCAATCGCACCCATTTCTTCTGGCATCGGCGCGCCCAAACGGGCCAACGGACTGGCGCCACAGACACGACAAATACGTCTCAAGTCGAACTTAGAGCCAACCTTTAACACAACAAAGCCATACTTGTTCAAGTAGTGGAGGAAGATCTCGCTAACCGAAGAGCCGGCGATAATCACCCGAACCCCAGAGGCATGGATCTCCTTGACAATGGCCTCGATCTGCAGCTCCTCGCCCGAGGTAAAGTCCAACATCTCCTGCGCGTTGTGCAACAAGACGGTCCCCTTGGTTTCGGTCGCAGAAATGTCGATTGGACACGTGTAGACCGCGACCTTTGTTCTACCCTCAGACACTGACTTCTTATGCGACTCTGGTTCCTGTGGGAACACCATCCCTTTGATAACCTGGGAGTGGGCAAGGGACGAGCCCATGATCTTGACAACCCTGATAGAGTCAACGTTGAAGGAGTTTGGGTTCTTAGGGTTGAGCACAGAGTGAACAGCGTCAATGATTAACAGCGAGATGACCCCCTCGTTCCCGTACTGTTTGGCAGCAACCACCGGCTTGACCAACTTCATCAAGCTATTCTTGGAAAACACGTCCTCGACACGGTCGACGGTAAAGTCTTGCAAATGCTCCATCACGTAGTTGTTGGCCATCTTGTAGCCCTGGATAATCTCCATTGGAGACAACCCCAACACGAGCATCTTTTCCGAGTTCTTCAACAATTCGCCGGCAAAACAGATGATAAAGTTGGAGAAGTCGCCCAACTCGTAGTCCTGCTGCTTCGACGCCATGATCAAGATCTTCACCGCTGGGTGAACAACATCCAACTCGTTCAAGATGGTTGCCGCATCGTTGGTGATGAAAATCTTACCGAGGTGGTTCACAATGATCTTGTTGCGCCCACACGGCCCAATCGAGGTGGCCACCATCAGCGAGATCTCGTTGCACGCTTGGATGTTGCGGATGATCGCACCGTCCGCGGACGAGTGGGTGGTGTACCCTTGCTTAAAAAGTCCGGCGTTTGGCGCTTGAGGGAGGTTTAACGACATGTCTGGATGGAATGGCTTTAGATCAATTGGACGTGTTTGGATTCAAATGCGTAAAAAAAACTGGTCGTTTTTGAATCCGGCATGGTGTGATGGCGATGGGATTTGGGTGTAAATATGAGCACGTCACGTGTTTTTCTTGACAGTGCTCGTAGGTATAGTGGCCGGATGTGCCACCATGCGCCACCTACTGACTGTGTCTTGATGTAGACTGAGGAATTATACTGGTGTAACGGGTTGGTATGTACACAACTCCTGACATCTTACTTTTCTTATTGTCCGGTCAATACTTTTTTGCGGCCTTGGCTAAGTCTTTAGTCTGATCGTTTAGAGGCTTGCTCCATCATTCCCCTCCCTTTGTTTAGCCTGGGATACAGAAAAACTCCCTGCTATACGAGCTGCGTCTTGTATTACCAGGGAGGAGAACCTGACAGCTATCAGGGACGTATTGTTGTCGCATGCCGATAGTGCTGGTATAAACGTCAAGCTGGGAGTCATTAACATAGTTGCAAGTCCAACTCCTGAGTCGGCAAGCAAATTCCGCTGAGAATATTCCCACCAGTTGGTCTTCACCGGTGTTTTTATGCCCATGCCAGGCTGGCATTTTCGAGACATATTTGCTTTTTATGCACGTGCTTGATCACGCTCTCACCGAGAAGATGACGCCTCCACCGGGGAAGTAACGCCGAGTTTCTTGCGTGACGTCAAAATGTGGGGAACGGACTTATACAAGCAAAAAAAAAAGGAGGCCGCTGCCGGATGAGCTGCGGAGGTGGGCGGGAATTTAAGCCGGTAGTGAAGAGGCTTAAAGTATAGCACTTTAAGTTTATTTTTTTCGACTGAGGGGATGACAACCAACAGTTTCCGCGACTGTTTCACATTTGACCGTAAACAGAATATATACCAAGAACTTTCCTGCCCGAGGATGAGCGTTATAGGCGAATAACATTCAGAGCATAGACATTACTTGCTTCAAACAGCATAATCACTCGTACTATCAAGTGTTTGACTTTAGCACTTGTATCTACAAACCGTTTTTTCCCTCACATTATTTCTAATGGCAATCATTTCAGACTACGAGCTCTCGCCTTACGCCTCGTCCGAGGACTTACCCCAGCGTTGTCTCCGAAAACCCATCCGGATCGGGATTTTGGGGGCCAGAAGGGCCGGTAAGACACTGCTTGCCCAGAAACTTGCAAGCCTTAACGACGGTTCAACTTTCGCCACGGATCAGTACTATCCAACGGTACAAACACTGTCAGCCCTCTTTGAACACTGGGTCTCTCCATGTCAGACGGCGCCTCTTTCCGCAGAATCCTCGCAAAGTTCAGGTCTAGACAAATGGAAGACCCGCATCCTCACCTCCAGCAAGGCACAAAGGTTGGCAAGCCAAGGGGGACAGCTTTCGGATTTTGAGGCCATGTTGCAGGACGCGGAGTCGCCAGTGTTGGTTGAAATTATCGACACCCCTGGCTTCCAGCTGAACCCCGCCGCTTCGCTCACCGGGCTTGGCTCTATCGATGCATATATCATTGTCTGTGGCTCGGGCGACGCCTCAGAGTTGGAAGCAATACGAGCCGTCCACGAGACTTTGAAAACGATCGCCAGAGATACCCAGGTTCAGGAAGAATGTGATCCGTACATTTCGGATGGCGAGTACTACGGTACACTCAACGAAGAAACAGACGATGATGATAGTATTGGATGCTTCATCAATGGGCCTAGCCCACCTGTCCGGGCGAAAGAGAGAGGCCGCAACTTGTCCACCGCCACGCGTACCAGCCAGGCTTCTCCTTCGAACTCCGAAACGTCGGAGTCGGAATCGATGTTTACCCTTCAGCATCAGAGTACCAAAGAGTCAATGGGATCTGCCTCGGGCCAGGACGTATCAAAGGCTAGCCTAGGGCGCAGGGCTGGGAGGTTCATGTTCAAAGCTTTCAAAAAGGTTGTCTTAGACACGCCTTCGCGGAGACAGGTTCAGCTGACCCCCAAAGCGGGAGTGGCCGAGACAAAGCGCAGAAGTCAGCACAGCAAGTGCACGGACAGCAACCTACCAGCGGTGGCTGGTAGAAAAAATGTTACCCCGATCTTGCTCCTTCACAATCTGTTTAACGGCACGGACGACACAACAAAGACCCAGGAGTTTGCTTCCCAAAATGGAGTGCTTTTCCAGAGTGTTTGTTTGGGGAAGAACCGAGACGAATACGTAAGAGCCGCGCTTGATGCGTTGGTGAATGAGGTTGGATGTTGAATCCTAATGTTTGTCGGGGGAGGAACGGGTACCCGAAGCTCGGGCCCATGTCTCCTCATCTCCTTTGACTGATCTAGGCACACGCAGTGTCATAGTCATCTCTTTTTAGATTGTTGATTAAATGCCGCCGATATCTACTCGAGTCATGTGTAATATAAAAAGCTTAACTGGCGTAGCTGGGTGATAAATTGGGCGTCCAAAAATAACAGGGGTTACCGAAGTCCACCCCCAAAATGCCTAAAGTGGTTTAGAGTGCCCGCCGCGTCATAGAACGTTTTCAGAAGCGGCCGGCGAGATTTAGGGTACCCCGCTAAATTATGATTCAAGCAACGGCTGTCTAGGTCAATACGAAGGCTTAATTCCCCTCAGCGCGGTCTGGTAACCCGCGGCTGAAAAGTGACTGTCTAGCTGATCTTTCGAATTTGTCATTTGGACCCGCGGTCTATACACTCATAATTCAGGCCCGGTAAAAACTAATCGATGCCGTAGGGTCTGGGAAACTCTAAATTTAACCCCACTGACATAGGGTCACAGCATCAAACTATAAGTTTGCGTCAGGTGCCTGAAGCCGGTAGTGTTTTCGCATACGCTCAGGTCTCGAAAGACGGAGACTTGTCTGTCTCACGCCCGCCGTGACAGGTATGTACCACGGCGAAAGCATCTCTCCGGGAGGAGTTCCCGACGTCTCATTGCTAGGGTGCGACAGACAGCACCTGTACCAGATGCAAAAATAAAGCGCCGGGGAAGTGCGACTGACTCTGCACAGTCAAAGTCAGCCTATTTCCGCGGCTTCTACTGGATCTCCGCGGGTAGGAAACCTTATCAAGCTCCTTAGTTTGCTTGGCACTTATTTTGCTGCTTAAACGCCGTCTAGAATTCACACCAAGACCACTTGCTGTGCATAGTGTCAAACATGCAGTCCTGGAATAGATTGGCGACATGTGACTTTTCATGTCTGGTGAAAAATTTTCACTCCCGTCCATCCACGACCTTGTCTCCGTGCATGGGTGCGAGGCGTCACAAATGGGCTTGAACCGCACCAAGCAGAAGTGTCTGTCAGCGCTCAACTTGGCAGCCGGGCTTCCAGGGAGACTTTGGCCTTTTCGTGGCGCTTTGACGGCCAGGGAAAATAAAATGCTGGGCATATGCATGACCGAACAACAAAGATAACGAGACCGAAGAACTCCTTCCAGACGGGGGTCAAGTTTTTACGGAAAATCTCGCTTCCCCGCCAGACGTATGTAGGACGCACGCAGGCTGTACGGCTCTTCTCAGTTGGGCCCTAATTTCCGAGCTATCAATGCAACATGTACGGCCGCGGAACATACATTTACGCGCACTACCAGCTTATACTGATGATGGGGAAAGGTGCCGATTGCATCGTCTTATCGATGAAAGTTTTCGGAGGTCACTCCCGTCTAACGTTGCACCCTTGGCTGGGGAAACCGTATATATAGAGCTCTAAAGGTGTCTGTAACATTTTTTTTTTCATTCTGATTCTAACGGTACATCTCATTCTCCACTTTGATTGGAGTCAACAAAAAAAAAATCCATTGTCAGTAAATCTGCAGCTTCAACCATAAATGTCCTCCATTAAATCGCTCCGGGAGCGCAACGAACTTGGCTACGCCAACCCGTTACACGACTATGTGTCTGCCAACGAGGTGAACCTTGTCCACGACCACTCACATAGTGCCGAAGACAGCCTCGAGAAGAACCACGAGCACGTAAAGGAAACTACCGACGAAGAATCCAAGGCTCAAAGCACCGGTATTGTCGGTAAGGCGAGAGGCTTACTCCGCCGCAACAAGTGGGTGTGGGGTCTCTTCTGGGGCTTGTTTTTCACCTCCTGGTGGTTGTCCATCATTATCCAGGACAAGCACCGTCACAAGTGGTTGATTCCGACTATTTTGTGGGGCTGTATCATGCTCCGGATCATCTCCTGGTACAGTCCGATTCTATACTGGATCTTCCATAAGGCGCAGAAGGTCTGGTACTTCGGCTCTGACTTCATCTACAAGTGTATTCCTAACCACAATCACAGAATGGCAGTAGGTGCTCTTATCACCATTGCAACCATGATGGTGGCCACGTTTGTTCCGACTGAAACCCAGTATTCCAAGCGTAGTGACCGTGCGATTTCGTTTTTCGGTGTCTGCGTGGCGCTTTTTGGCTTGTGGGCTACCTCTGTCAACAGGGCTGCAGTCAGATGGCAAACGGTTATTGGTGGAATGTTGATGCAGTACATTATCGCTCTCTTTGTCTTGAGAACTAAGGCTGGCTACGACATTTTCAACTTTATCTCCACGTTGGCTAGAGAGTTGCTTGGTTTTGCCAAGGACGGTGTTGCGTTCGTCACCAATACCGAGGTTTCCCAGCTCGGGATGTTCTTCTTTACCGTTTTGCCAGCGGTTATCTTTTTCGTTTCCTTCGTGCACATCTGGTTCTACTTCGGTGTTATGCAATGGGCTGTGGGTAAGTTTGCGTACTTCTTCTACTGGACTCTTAGGGTCTCCGGTGCCGAAGCCGTCAACGCCGCCGCCGCTCCGTTCATCGGGATCGGCGAGTCCGCCATTTTGATCAAGAACTTGTTGCCATACTTGACCAAGGCCGAGATCCACCAGATTATGTGCTCCGGTTTCGCCACGATTTCCGGGTCTGTGCTTGTCGCTTACATCGGCTTGGGTGTCAACCCCCAGGCGTTGGTTTCCTCCTGTGTAATGTCCATCCCGGCCTCTTTGGCGGTCTCCAAATTGAGATACCCTGAAACCGAACACTCTGTGTCTGCGGGCAAAATGGAAATCTTGGGTAACGGGGAAGAGGACGAGGCGACCCGTCCTCGAAACGTCTTGCAGGCCTTCTCCAACGGTGCCACCTTGGGGCTTATCATTGCCGCCACCATCATGACCCAATGTTTGTGTATCATCGGGCTTGTGGCCTTGATCAACTCTTTGTTGACCTGGTTCGGTAACTTCTGGAACATCAAAAACTTGACGTTAGAGTTGATGGCGTCGTACTTGTTGTACCCAGTGGCGTGGTTGTTGGGGGCACCAAAGGATGAGTTGTTGTTGATTTCCCAGTTGATGGCCACCAAGATTATCCAGAACGAGTTTAATGGGTACTTGATGTTGATGAACGACGAGCCATACACCTCTATGTCCAAGAGAGGGTTGATGATTGCCACCTACTCCTTGTGTGGTTTCGCCAACTTTGGTTCCGTCGGTACTCAGGTTGGTGTTTTGGGAACTTTGGCCCCTACCAAGTTGAAGGAGATTGCCGAGTTGGTCATGTCCGCGTTGTTCACCGGTGCCATTTCCACTTTGTTGTCCACCGCGGTAGCCTCCATGGTTATTCACGATTTGTCCAACTTTTCTGTCACTGGTACCACGTCTAATTAAATCCGCTGTGACCTCTGCTTCTTCCACTTTCGTTGCTTGTTTTAGACCGGACCGAGGGATTTCTTATGTAATACCTTGCCTTGGTCGTGTATATTATTTGTGTTTATCCCATGCTGTATGTATACCATTTCTATTTATTTCATATCAAGTGCGTCTGATTAGTTGAAGAAATCGAGAAGAGTAGCTGCGCCAGCGTCCCAGAATCTTTCAAATAGACATTTCCTATTGGTATTTACAAATCAGCGAGTGTTTTTTTTAAGTACTCCACCATTGATATTCTTCCATGCATGCATCGGCCGCCGAAGTCAAATAGTTAGGTTCTACTCTATCATTCCAAGCTTAGGAGATAGGAACCCTTCTGGAGAGGCCTTTGTGGATTGGAAATAGTGCTAGATAAATTAATTGGCTCCGGGAACTGTCTCACTGTGATCAACCTCCTCAACGTGTGCCTACCTTGGCTTGAAGTCAACTCCCTGGAATATAACATCAATTTCTAACCTTACTCTTGTCACGTTTTAGCTCCGCACCTTGTGCTTACATCTTCCCCGCAGTTTATTGGCTAAATTCGAGCCGGCATCGCAAGTTTCTCACGCCGGTGCAGGCCTCTGCTCTCGGCACGTGACGGGCGATGAATCATCGCATTTTTCACTCACCTCTCAGCACCTACGTGCTATATATACCTTACCCCTCTTATAGTACTGCCTTAGTTTTCCTATCCACACTCAATATTATTATGGGTTTCCTTGCCAGGCTTGCCAGCCGTAACGTGAAGGCTTCTAGGTAAGTTTATTTTGTTGCAAAGCCGAGAAAATTTATAGCGAATCCAGCAGAGACGACCGATCGGAAACGGCGTGCACCAAGAACCGCAACAAGGGTGAAAAGTGACGCTAGTTCTGCGATTCTACAGCTTTCCTATCGAAACGCCGTATGTGAGTGTACCTTGAGTGTCCGGTTTGGAATTTCCGATTAGCATCGCAAAAGCTGGAGCCCTTGCACGTGCAGGTATCCCCACCGGGCACACTTCATCCTAAACGGCGGTAAATCTTGGAAATCTGAAGCTTCATACGCTAAAACGTGGCTGTTATTCCAAATTCCCTTCTGTTGGTTCATTCCCTCCGTTGAATCATCCCCTTTGCTGGTTCATCCCCTTTGCTCGCTCGCTCAGCTTACTAACCTCCAGATCCTTCTCCATCTCCTCCACTGCCTCCACCAAATACAACAAATACTCCTCCATCATTACCGAGCCAAAGTCCCAGGGTGCATCCCAGGCCATGCTCTACGCCACCGGTTTCTCCGACGCAGACATGAGCAAGGGTCAGGTTGGTGTTGGTTCCGTGTGGTGGTCCGGTAACCCGTGTAACATGCACCTTCTCGAACTTAACAACTGGTGCACCGACTCCGTCAACAAGGCGGGCCTTAAGGGTATGCAGTTCAACTCCATCGGGGTCTCTGACGGTATCTCCATGGGTACCGATGGTATGAGGTACTCTCTCCAATCCCGTGAGATTATTGCCGATTCCTTTGAAACCATCATGTTGGCCCAGCACTACGATGCCAACATTTCCATCCCGTCCTGTGACAAGAACATGCCGGGTGTTCTCATGGCCATGGGCAGACACAACCGTCCGTCCATTATGGTCTACGGTGGCACCATTCAGGCTGGTAAGTCTACCTGCGGCTCCCCGTTGGTTGACGAAAAGATCGACGTCGTCTCCTGCTTCCAGGTCTACGGTCAGTACATCTCTGGCCAGGTTACCGACGAAGTCCGCCAGGACGTTGTCAAGCACGCGTGCCCGGGCCCAGGCTCCTGTGGTGGTATGTACACCGCCAATACCATGGCCTCGGTTGCCGAAGTCATGGGTATGACCCTTCCAAACTCTTCTTCGTTCGCGGCCACCTCCAAGGAAAAGAGGATCGAGTGTGCCGCCGTCGGTGACGCCATCAAAAACTTGATTGCGCTCGACCTTACCCCGCGCGAAATCATGTCGAAGAAAGCCTTTGAAAACGCCATTGCGTACGTCATTGCCACCGGTGGCTCCACCAACGCCGTGTTGCACATGCTCGCCATGGCCCACTCTGTCGGTGTCGAGCTCACCATCGACGATTTCCAGAGAATCTCTGACAACACCCCGCTCCTTGCGGACTTCAAGCCTTCCGGTAAGTACGTCATGGCTGACTTGCAGGCCTACGGTGGTACTACTGCCGTCATGAAGTACTTGATGGAGCAGGGCATCTTGGACGGCTCCACGTACAACATCACCGGTGGCACCATGAAGGAAACTTTGGCCAAGGTCAAATCCTTGCCGTTGGAGCAAGACATCATCCACTCCGTGGACATGCCGATTAAGCCTACCGGGCACTTGCGCATTCTCCGTGGGTCTTTGGCCCCAGAGGGTGCCGTTGCCAAGATCACCGGGAAGGAGGGCACCTACTTCAAGGGTACTGCCAGAGCCTTTGACGATGAGGAAACCTTCATCAAGGCCTTGGAGAACGGTGAGATCAAGAAGGGCGAAAAGACCGTGGTGATCATCAGATACCAGGGGCCAAAGGGTGGTCCGGGGATGCCAGAGATGTTAAAGCCATCCTCTGCCTTGATGGGCTACGGGTTGGGTAAGGACGTGTCTCTTTTAACCGACGGCAGGTTCTCCGGTGGTTCCCACGGTTTCTTGATCGGCCACATCGTTCCAGAAGCCGCCGAAGGTGGTCCGATCGGTTTAGTCCAGGATGGTGACGAGATTATTATTGATGCCGAAAAGAATGTCATTGATTTGTTGGTGTCTGAGGAGGTTTTGGCTGAGAGAAGAGCCAAATGGACCGCTCCTGAACCTTTCTACAAGAGCGGTACTTTGTTCAAATACCGCAAGTTGGTGAGCAACGCCTCTCAGGGTTGTGTGTTGGATGCCTAAGGCGGTGCCAATCCAGCCTGGCTCTTGTTAATTTTTATTTCATGCTTGTCCTTGGAAAGGATAGCCTCACATTCTGTTTATATTTATTTATTTCGCGACGTCTAATGTATAGAATACATACGCGTATATGAGCTGTAGTGTAGTAAAGGTGCCATTTAACCGGACGGAAGTAGGCATCCATTATCTCCTTACCTCCGATAAACAACCCTGGCATTGTACCCGCCTTGGTACATAAGGCGACCGACTACCCTTGTGTATATCTTACAGATGGAAAGAATTCTCTTTTAGCTAGCCAACAGTATCCATTACCTGCTAGATATACCATATGTAGGTTGGAATAAGGTTGTACTACAGGATTTTACCGTATATTTCCATAATGTAACGTCCATTTGACTTGAATTTTGTTCTGGATATTCAATATATATGGACTGTAGGTTGGAATGAGGTAGTGGTGCAAGGCTGTTCCTTAGTGTGAGCACATTTATTTGAGTGGTATTTTTAAAATACATCTTTGCATATGTATTTTTTAAAATATTCAATTTATAAATATTTATATCGTGATTTCTCTGAACTATTCATCAGCCTAGGAGTATGGGAAATTTTAACAAAAAATTAGTCTCCGCCTATTTACACCATACACAAATTCATACCAGCTCAAGCTATTCTGGAATATGTTTCACGCGTTTGGTTTAATTTACACCAATCTTTGCTCACCGCTAAAACCCAAAATTAAACGAACTCATATCCGGCTCGACAAACGCAATCGCAGGTGGTGGCTGCTGCTTCTTCACTTGTGTAGCCGTCAGGGGCGCGTCAAACGACCGGAGAGTCTTGTTAAACGTTGTTGCCAAGCTCAACTGTGACTTATCCTTCGTGTCCCATGCCACCCGATTCGTCGCGGTGTCAAACTTAACAAAGCTCCAGTTCTTCAACACTGCGAGAGCGAGATACTCGCAGCCCATCCGCTCATATATCTGCGCCACGTTTACAATCGCGTCAAACTCCTCCGCCGGGGATACCTCCGCTGAGCCGTGCAAATAGTGCACGTCCTTGTGGCGCAAGTTTGCAAAGAGAATGAGCAAGAGCGGGTCGTGCTGGAGGAAGTTTTGGCTGCCACGTTCCACACGCGCGCACTGCACGGCCGTCAAGTCCGCAACCATGTCTGCAGGCACGCGGAGCAACAGCTGGATGGCCTTGCGCTTGTCGCCAAGGATCCAGAACACCCAGCTAGTGGTCCAACGGTCGCCTAGCACCACCGCCTCTGGCAATACCTCGGTTTCAAGGAGTGCGCGCAACGCAGGGCCGCTGTCGCCATCGTAGACGCGTGCGACTGCAATCGCAAGCGCAATGTCGTCCATCTTGCGCGCAATAACCGAACAGGCATCCTTGATGCTGTCGGCGAGGAGAAAGAAGCAGGCCGAGTCGACGTAGCGATGCTTCCCCAAGAGCACAAACGCGTTCTTCAATGCAGCGGTCCGCCAGCGCTCGATCCTGAAATCGTTCTTGAGGAACAGCATCATCTTCAGCTGCTCCGGGTGCCCCACACATGTCTTCCACAAGCCGAGCCAGATCTGCTTCCGCTTCAATGAGAGGTAGAAGATTCCGCAGCCGGCGGGGCTGCGCGCGCGTGTAAACTCCGCGCGCGCGACCGCTTCAAAGTGCTGTGCAAGGCTGTCGCGCGGCAACCAGTACGCGAGACCCGTCGCCTTCGCGGACGCCCAGCCCTCGGGCCCCGCCACACTGCGGGTAAGCTGGAGCAACGCCTCCTTATTCTCGCTGTGCAACGCCCAGTTAATGTCGCGGATCGAAACCGCCTCCTGTGTCGCGCGGTGGTACTGGTACAACTTCAAGCCGATGAAAAACCGAAGCCCGTTCACGTCCAACGAGCGGCTATGCTTCTCGATCTCGAGGAGAATCTCCACGACCGACACCAACGTAGACTGTTGGTGGCGTGTGAGGTATGGAAGTGAGACCCTGGTTAACTTCTGGACTAATGCCAGCGAAAACGCGTCATTAAAATCTGTAAACTTTTCGAGCGTGAGTTTGCGGAGATCCGTGTCGAACAAATGGTCGTACTTCTTCTTGCCCACGGGCGTGCTAATCCCACTCTGCGCGACACTATTCTCACCGCTGCCGTGGGGCGAAAGCGAGCCCTGTAGGTCGAGCGACTTCTCAAGGTTGAGGCCAAGGGTCGATTGAATATCGTTGAGCGACGCGTTTGGGTCGAGGTCGAGCTTCCGGAGAAACTTGTACAACCGGAGCAACACCGTCTTCACGAGCTCGCTCTGGTTGAGGAACAAGCATTGGATGAGAAACTGAGGGTGGTACACCGGGAGCGGGCCGTTGAGCACTGCACACAAGTGGAAGATGTCGTTGTGCGTGATAATGCGCGAGCTTAAGGACTTTGCGGTGACAGGGTCGTGTGTGAGGTCTAGCTGGCGGTCCGAAACGAAGAACTGGTTGCCCGCCGCGACCACGAGGGTCCCGTCCTTGAGCCAAAGTGAGTCGCCAATTGTGTGGGTGGTGTAGTCGATATCAATGCGTTTAATGGGAGTGAATGATGGCATGCTGTTGGTGTAATCGTAGCGGAGTTGGCAGTACATGAGGATGTGTGAAGCAAAACCGACTGAAAGTATGCTCTGGGAGCCATTGGTACTGGTCCAATCCAAGTCAATGGCCGGAGTTGTGGATAAAACCGAAGCGGAAGTGAAAGTCGAAGGCGAAGCAGTAGGCGAAGCAGTAAGCGAAGCAGTAGGCGTGGGTGTGGTTATGCGGGGCGTAAGAGGGACCTTGAATGTAGCAGAAGGACTTGTATGCACATCAGTTTTATCTCCCCGTACATCGTTCTCCTCAAACATCTCCTCGTACTCTAAAACCTTCCTCTGTGTATCCCAAATCGTCAAACTCCTCCCCTGAGCATCCACAATCGCCACCTTCTTTACCGACGACCCCCTCAACGCCGAGACATCCACCATTCCCGTCTCTAACCGGCACGTCTCAATCCACGAAATTGAATCCCCTACCATGGCGGAAAAGCTCCGGAAGACTCCGTTCCTGTCAATCACCGAAAGCACATCACGATTGTTTTCATTGTTCAAGTCAACCTTCCAACCCACAGGGTCCACGATGGCAAGCCGGTGGATGGTTTCAATTTCCGGCAACGGGTCCACGGGAAACTCAGAAATAGAGTACGTCCTCAAGTCGACTTCCCAGGAGCGCACCAGTTCGTCGTAAATGGCCACCACATGCACAAGGCCCTTGTCTGCCTCCGGGAGGTCCAAAAAGCAGAGGGGATCACCGGCATCCAACGGTAGGGATGCTCTGAGTTGAGCAATCTTTGCGCACGCGTCCCAAAGCTGGATACCATCGCACAAAAGAGCAACAACCTGCGGCCGGGTTCCGTCGTCCAAGATCACGGCCTTGCGGATGGGCGAGGCGGTGAAAACAAGCGACTTTTTGGCAAGTGTTGTTCCGGTGTAGCCTTCGGACGAATGGAGGGACAAGGGTACCCACACGCAGTTCTCGTTGAAGCGCGAGATAGAGAGCATCGCCGAGCCGTCGAACGTGCGAAGCACCTGCTGGACTGACTTAGTGTGCCCCGTGAACATGTGTTCGAGATTAAGGTCGACAAAGCCGTTCGAGGCTCCCTCGTGGTGCAGGGGCGTGTTGGGTATAGCGTCGACGTCAGCAGTCTCATCAACGGGACCAGAAGCATTCTCGGAGGAGGCTCCATTGGAACCATCTATTGTTTTGGAGGTTGCCTTATTAGCAGTGCCGGGAGCATTCCCAGAGGAGGTTCCGTTGGAGATGTTGGTCGAATTGGAGACCAGGGCATCGCTAGAGATCATGGTTGCGTTTCCATTTCTGTTCCTGCCCCTTCCCAACTTTGCAAGATTCAACGAATTATGCCTTATTGTCCCTCCTACCAAATCGTGCACTACAATGGACAAATCGCCATTATCCCTCACAAGCGGCTCGGCAAAGACCACTAGCTTTGCCGATTTGGGAAACGTGGCGGCCATGATTCGCCTCTCGGCAACTTGGTCAAACGTGACAAGCTTTGGGGGATCCAGAGCCACGTTGCTCACATGGTAGACTCTTACTTGGCCGTCCTTCACCACCAAAACAACATCGGAAAAGCCAAGAAGCAGCTTGTCGAGCACCAACACAAAGCCAGTTCCAAATGCAAGGGACCCCCATTGTGAGACGTTATGAAAGCAGTCAACCTCATAACTCGCCCATACACGCAAGACCCCGTCGACAGCCACCGTATACAACGTTTCGGTGCCGGAGCCGTTAGATCTCCACCGGAGGCTGGTGACACACGCTGGATGCTTCAAGTATACGAGGTCGAAGAATGTGAGCTCAGAATCAAACGAATTGCGATTCCAAACCTTGACCAAGCGGTCGTACTTGGAAATAACCGCGATCTGCGTCGCCTGCGGCGTGAGTTTGACCATGTACACGGGGTTTGGCTGTTCCATCGACCAGCACAAGCTGTGTAGGGTTACACCAAATTCGTCACGAAAGCTCCATAACGCGAGCGACGCATCGGAGCCTACTACCAAATCGGTATTCCCCCAGTGGAGGCAATTGACAGACGAATTGTCGCGTGGGTTAACCACGGTGATGTCGGGGATCCAGCGCGGCAGTGCCATATACTCCTGTGCGGGGCGGAACACTGCAACCTGCGCACCGACCGCGACGGCAATTCGACCGCTGCGTGCGTGTATGTCCACCGCACGCGCATCGCCCGGGAGGTAGATCGTCTGGAGGTTGCACAAATCACTGGAAAGTACTATCAAGTTGTTGCCCGAGCAGTATGCGAGAAGCGAATGTGTCTTCCATTTCGCCTGGGCAGTGGCCTGTACGGTGGCATTGGGTTCCCCTGGAATGAAATTGAGCGTCATATATGCCGAATGGGAGTAAGGTGGCAGAGAGGGCTGAGACAAGGCCTGATATGCGAAAGGGATATTGCTATTTCTGCCTGCAGGTCGTGGCGGCACCAGCATGATGGGATGCGGGGAGGCCGACCTGGGATGTATTAGAGGAACGGTGTGAGGTGAGTGGAGTACTTTGGAGTTGATCCATTTCCGAGCTTGGTCTATAAAAAAGTTATGGACTAAGAAGTGGTTATATGACTGGGGACTCTGTTAGATGGGATGTAGGAATTGGCAACATCTGGCCTGGAATGAAGGATTGAAATATGGCCCTTTTATTCATGGAGTTGAAGTATTCAGATTACCCACTTTAGTTGATGGGTTAGTGAAAATGGATAAATCCAGAAATAAGGATTTATGAGGTCCATGCTAGAAGTCAGTACCGAGCCAGCTCTGAAAGCTATAAATTAAGCGTCCATAAATTAAGCATCCATAAATTAAGCAGCTGTCTTTAGTGCAACCATTTTTCAAGGGAATATACACTTGGTGTGTCGATACCTCAGCCATGGCCCTCTATCTAGCACTGCTAGAACATCGAGAAAGATCAATCAATTATGAAGTGCGAAGATGGCATCCCCGACTCTAAGCACATCTTGGAAGAGACAGTTGTTTGGAAAAATGACGTCATACGGTACGAAATCTAATACCAAAACGTACCTTGTCACTCATTCCCAAGTCTGATACAATAACTATGCATACACTGTCTAGACTGGGGAGTTGAAGTTTGAACCGGGATTTTATAGGACAGATAAGTATACCTCAGATGCTTCCGCCCTCCAAAACTCTGGTCACAACCAGATAACTAGGCATCAATACAACGTCTTTCAGCCAAATACAATCTCTACCCCTGATTTCACATCTCTTCCCCATCCCAGCACCTATATTATCGTTAGATAGAGTCATATATACAAGCTAACGCCACAGCGAATAAATTACCCATAGGTTATTTACCATTCAACTTTCTCAACTTCAGAACCTCGTCTTCGGCGTTAAAATCACCACTAGAGAGCTTCGAGTACGTTTCGTCGTACTTCCCGGTGGATAACGGCCCGTTCCCCCTGATACGCTTGCGCATGTCGATCATGCCGCGCTTACAGTCCATGAAAGCTTTAAACTGATTGACACAGAGCTCGGGCAAGTCACGCGCCAACTCCGACTTCAGCAAACAGTCCTTGGGAGAGTTTCGCTCTATGAGCACACACGGCGATCTCTGTAAGCAAATAGCCACCGCCTTTTTTTGATCGTTACAACTGAACCGGTTAGTACCTGCAATAGAATTTTGTAGCGGAATCGACTTACCTGGCGCCCATTATAGATTGTAGTGGTTTGGTCAGCTGGTTGAAAGCGCAGCGCCTGACAAATCTGATAACTGCCGATTCTGCAGGATGAAAAACTTGGCAAGTGCATGATTCGTATTACTCCCCACGATTTTCTCAAACTAACGATAAATGCCACCGATTTGGGCTGCAAAATAAAGAGTTCTCCGGACCGTCCACTTTACTTGATATGTAACAAAAAGCGATAAATTGTCAGACAAGGCCATGGGGCTGTCTCCTTAACTATCCCGTGATGCAAGAGCGTGCTGTTACCACATATGCCGGAGGGCTAAAGTCTCCCTAGGCAGATGGGCAAGCCCAGCTATGATTTCCTATATTGGTGCCGCTTATCATTTAAAACCAAAGTCTTGAGACTGGACGGATAGACATCGTCCTCGAGTGTAAGTCCAGTTTCGGTAACATCTAATTCTTCTAGACCTTCGGGAAATACCAATGAGTACAGTTCAAGAGGTACCTTCTTAAGTGAGAGAACCTTCAAGCATTCAGGAAACCTAATGTATTGCGGACGGTTACACCGGAACGGATTACCGGCCAATAAGAGCCTCTCTAGTGTTTGGGATAACTTTGGCACGAAAGAAAGCGTGGTAAGCTGGCTATATTCGATTCCCAAGGAAATGAGAGTTTGGGGGAAAACAATGGCATTCACAGCGGCGGAATTGAGACTAGACTCAAGAATGTTGAGCGTTTCCAAGCCTTCCGGTAGCGTGAGATCGAATTCGTGTAGCAGGTGAACGGAAAAGGTGAGGGAACTAAGGGACGGAGGAACATACACCCCTGAAAGGGACTTGAGTTCGTAACTGCTGAGGTAAAAGTGTCTTAGCGTGGATGGGAGGGCGATGCCCGTGATATCTAACGCCGTGTCGTAGCTGCTTTTCAAGCGAAACGTCTTTATACCGGGAGGGAACGTCATCTGGTTGAACGCCGAAACGGAAAACGTCTCCAACTCCTCTATTGAGAACTCTATGAGCAGAGGAGGAAGGCTGGTAAATATCTCGGGTGTCATATTCACCCCACTGAGACTTAAACTTTCTAGCGAGTCCGGGTACTGGAGCAACGAGTAGGATGTGGCGTGGAGGTTTGCGTTTATGCGAATCTCAAGCCTTTTAATCCTGCTCGGGAGCACCAACGACCCCCAGTCTAGATGCGAGGACGATAAGCAAAGGTCGTGGATATTCCCGAATTGGGAAAGCTCTGCGAGTTCTGGCTCCTGCGTGAGACTAAACACATATGACGCATTGAGCTGGTTGAACAGTTTGAGCCTGGTCACCGCTTCGGGTGTGAGATTGAGCATGCCCGTGGAAAAGAGGTGGATGGACCCAATGTCGGGGATGACTGACAGCAATTCGGCATCGCTGGCAAAGGCTTCAAACTCTTTGTAGCTCATATAGGTGAGCGATTCATCAATTGGCAGCGGGTTCCAGTGGATCACTAGCTTTGAGTAGTAACAGTTTGTGGCGACGCCCTTGAAGACTGGAGATTCGAAGAAGGGAAGCATGTACTCTTTGGGAAGAAGGGCAAACACACGGGCTACCACCTCAGTGGGTAGCTGAGATAGCCTTGTGAAGTCGACATTATTGGGCATCTAATGGTGGCTAAAATTGCGCGGCGAATGTCTTGTACGTCTCTGAGAGCCTAGATTTAGGATATTGTTCACAGTTAAAACCCGCATACACACGTGATGATAAGAGTTTAGGCTTTTCTGCCTGACAAATATCAGTTATCTTGGCTTCCTGCTGAAGGAAAATGAGGTATGTATTATATAATTATTTGTATTATTTATTTCATTGGTTGAAAATCTGAAATTAGAAGCACCCATCAAATAGCAAGCTTCGAAGTCTTCTCAACCTTGGGCCTGTATTCGACCGAAGGGTATATACCGATAATCAAGTTTACGGCTGCCATCTCCTACAACATGGATGATATATCGATAGTAATATTGAATACGTGTAACGTTGAGGTAAATTACGAATCCTACAGGCAAAAGCGAATAGCGGTGTATACCCACGACGATCTTTACCTTTTGTATCATATTCGGTTACACTGCCTTTTTGGTACGTTCCAGTTGCGCACCAATAAACCTGTTGCACAACTGCTTCTGCAACAAGTAGTTAGCATACGCAAATAATGTGATAACCACGTAGATGGCGAATCTAGGAAGCGCTGGGACGTTCAAAAAGGGGTAAGGAAAGGTTGCCAATTTCAATGAGTGTTCGAGCCAGTACCAGTACCCGACAGAAATGACAGCACATTCCCGGAGAACCACCCTGTCCGAAACCGTCCAGGATGGCATGAACAACCAGCAATCCAACACCAAACTGGTAATAGGCATTAAGTGGATCGCAAGATCAAGGGGCACTGGTGGTATCATACCCTCTACGGCAATCATATCGACAGCAAAGAACCGCAATGGCCAGTACACTCCGGCAACTATACTTTCAAGGGTCAAGGCAACGACATGAACCTGGTTTTTCGCATAAAACAAGCCTTGTTGCTTGGTGATATGGGCCACTGCACCGAGGAAGAAATATACCATGGACACAACCAACGAGAGGTTGGTGAGAAACTGGAACTGGCCACCGCTCTTCAAGGCTGGTGGGAGCTCCACAAACGAGAGAAGATAGAAGCCGTAGGCCCCGATAAGGAAGGACACGATGTTCAAGACAAGCGCGGTTGGGTTGCCCACAGTTCTCATATTGAAATAGCGTAGCGTAAGGTGTTAGTATGATCGACTTGCGCGATTGGTTGGGGGAGGGCCTCTTTATATAGAGTCACCTACCTTTCTAGAAAAGCGTGATGCATGTCAGTGGGAGGCTAACGACCCTAGAACGGACCTTTCACCCTATCTGCATGTGTTTAATTTGATAAACGCGGGGACTGGAGAGCTGTAACACCAGAAGGGGCAAGCGGCAGGATGCCGGATTCTCCGAGTATCGTGTAATCTGCAGTCCCAAGGAGAACGGGCAATAACTAATGTAAGTATTAGAGGATTATCCTGTATTGGTGAATTGTTAACTGTTTGTATTTTAATCAAGCGGGTTACGGCCAATAAATACACTATATACAACTAGTGGAGCATGTGCCACTTAGAAAACCATTGAAGATACCGGTACTGGTTGTGGTCGCCCTCCATGCCGTAGACAAACGGTGAAAAATGCCAGTAGAACCCGATCGTAGTGGCGTATAACGCCAAATAGACCGGAGGCTTCACATAGTGCGTGTGGCCCACAAAGTAGTCCAAGACAAACACCAACACAAAGGTGGCAAAGTAGAGCGATGGAAGGTAGTGGTGCACGTACGTGACTCGGCCCATGATAGCGAACGGATAAAAGTTAAAGAGCCAGCCCAAGAACGGGAACACACCGCCCACCAAGAACTGCTCAAACTGGACATTGTCGAGACGGAGCAGCTGTCTCTGGTAATTGTAGATCTTGGATGCGACAATGGCCAAGAAAACACCCAAGGAAGCAGTTGAAGCAAGCGTCGTGAAGGGATGCGACAACATGTAGTATCTCACGGACTTAGCACTCCAGCTACACATGCGCAAGCCAATGTTAACGGACGGCCACTGCCACCAGGAGGACGCCAAGTCATCGTTCTTGTTCGGATCCAGCACCAAGGCATTGTTGGACGCCATCATCGCAAAGTTCAAGAGCACAAAGTCCTTAAAGAAGCGTGAGCTGGGTGGAATGTAGTCCTGGACCAGCGGAAGCACCAGGTTCTCGTGCAGCTCGACGTTCCACCACGTGGCCTTGTCTCTGGAGATCCAGGAGTTCTTGCAGACCACCTCACCCTGGTCGAACCCCCACTTTGGCAACGCCAAGCCGGTAGTGGCGAGGTAGCAGCCCATTTCCAAGTGTCTCAAGCGGAAGTTAGTGGAGAGCGGGTGGAACGCGGTATCGTCTTCCTGCAACTGTTCTACGATCTCCACCACCCAGTAGTCGTTCCCATCCTTGAAGGCGTTTCTGTCGCCGTAGCCACTCACTTCGTACGAGCTCTTAGACATGGGCGCCTTGATAGGATGCGAGTGAAGGTTTCCACCGGTGGAGTTGTGCACCAAGCGGATGACCTGGCCGTCCTGGATGAGCGAGGTTGTCGGTAAGCCGTCAAACTCCTGGTGCGGCGGGTACACGATCCACACGTTGTTTTCATCCTTGTGGCCATACGTGGTGATCTGTCTCTGCTTGGAGCCTTCCGGGTAAAGGTGTTGGTGAGAGTGGAGAAGGTTCGACGAGAGACCGTGCGAGCGGAGGGTCACGGCGGAGCCCAACGCCAAGGATCTAGGGGCGGTGAGGTCGATGTCAGTGTTTCGGAGGTTGGCCTGGAACAAAGACGACATGGACCCGTTACCGGTGCCCGACTTGTTCAAGATCATAAAGTGCAATTTGAAGGAGATGAGGTAGACCACGAGGGGAATCACGATTAGCGTGGCCACCCTGATCGCCCAATGCGAGTAGTAGCGGGCCCGGGAGAGACCGAGGTCAAAGTGCTTGCGCCCCAAATCGTACAACACGTAGCAGCCGTAGGTGGCGGTCACAAACAAGCCGACCCATTTGACACTGCACACACAGCCAATGGATACACCGGAAAGTACGAGCCATGCGTACCATGAAAACGTAAACTCCTTTCCGCTGGCCCTGAGACGGTGCACCTGGGTCATGCAGAAGAAGGTGCTGACGGTGAATGCTAACAACAACGCGTCAAGCAACACAAACTTCGACAACTGCACGGAAAGGGTCTCGAAGCAGGTCATGATGACCACAAGCCAGCTGGCCCACTTCCCGCTCGCAAGCTGCAAGTTTTCCATCGTCAAGTACGCAAACATCGGCACCAACCCACCGACCACCGCCTGGAAGAGCCGCATTGATCTGAAATCTACGTGGTCTGGGAAGCTGCTACCGCTGTCAAACTCAAACTCTCCAGAAAAGTTTGCGAGCCAGCCAGAAAATGCCACGAGCATTTTTCCCAACGGTGGGTGTACGTCAAAGTAGAATTCGCGTTTGAGGTAGTATGCGCCGAACTTGCCGAAATGCGCCTCATCCCACACAACCAGCTTTGACAAGCCGATCTTGTACGCTCTGACAAGGAAGGACGCAAGGAAGATTAAGAGCGGGATAAAGAGCTTGGAGTAGTTTGTCTGCGCCGCTAGGAGCGCAAGCTCGTACTCTGTGTCCTCATTCATACCGTCGTAGTAGTATGGCTCAGGCTCGACTTCGTCTAGCCCTTCCCCGATGTCCAAACCGGACGTTTTGGCAATGATGGTTTCAACTTGCTCGTCTATCGCCTCCGAGGCTCCGCGAAACTTCAAGGACATGGCAATGGTTGAGAAAGAAAAGAGGCGGCGTTTGATATTTGTTGACGTGCTTTTTGACGTGTAGTGCCACGCCGGCGTGTAATTGCCGGCACGTGATATGTAGTCCTACACGAAAGATTTCGAATTGGTCGCACTTGGGCTTAGAGAGGGCAGGCCAAAAATTGGCAGCGGCATCGGAAAGGGGATTAATCCGGGATTAAACCATATTAAAGAGCCATCTGCGACAGTACTTTCAGCTAGAAAATAGTTGTGACCTTTTAACTCGCTGCCCGCACCTTTGCCTCAACCGCACAAAAGTTCCACGCTCTTGTGCAGGACAAAAGCTGATACCATACTTTGTCGCGCCGTGTCAACCGCTGAGAATAGAACGAGCTAGAACCGTATAGACAAGTAAGATGCCCTCTGCGTACGTGTGTTATACCTTGATTTCCAGGACGCTGGTGCCTGGCGTGACCTGGATGTTACTGACGGCCACAACTTGGCGGCTCATCCATTCTCCAAATCCACCTGCTCTTTACTAACTTTCCAGGATCGTCCTCGTGCAAAATGCAAGCCCGTCCACAATAACCGGCTTCCATGACCAACTTTCCAACGAATTGCCGAAAATCCTTAATAGCAACTGGCAGTTTGAGTTCAAAATCTTCAAGAACAACCCGTTCTCCAGGGTAGATCCCTCGGTGCCCACGCCCACTACCTTCTTATACACACTCTACTTGTCTTACTTTCCGCAGAAGATTATTTCCATCACCAACAACTCCACCTCCTCCATCATAACGTCTGTTGCCGTTTCCAGCTCCAATGATATCAAGACCGAATACGACAGTGACGGCGACGATGACGAGGTTCGTAAGCCAGACTTTGACGTCCCTGCGTCCCACATCATGAGCAATGCCTCTACCGGCTTGAGCAACCCCTGGGACTCCGTGCTCACCTCAAAGCTCCAGAGTTTGTGGACATTGCGCCAGGTCATCAAGGGAGATAACGGTAACGTCTACAAGCTACACGTGAACCAATTGGCGCTTACCATCCCAGACGCCGTGTCTGGTGAGCCCACCACCGTTACGCTCAGCGGCGCGCTCATCATCAAGACCGCCAACTGTTTCCTCCACGGTTCCTTCAAGGGGTTCCTCATTGAGGTGGAGTTTACGCCCAGCGACGGCCAGATCGTTGAGAGCGTTATGCGCAAGGTTGTGTTGCGTGGTTTAATGGAGCACTACAAGTTTCCTCTGGGGAAGTTGTGTCTTGAGCGGTTGAACGAATATGAGAATGTGGAAGACAAGTATGGCGATTTGTGCCACCAATATGCCCAGGCGTTGCAGTTTTAGATGAAACAACGGTATAAACACATGTGTTAAAGGTGGTGTGTGCGTCGCAGATACTCAACTTGCTGGGTTCATCTAGAGTAACGTCTTACGGTATATAGGGATCTCGATTCTTCCTCTCTTTGTATATATCTTACATCTAGCTATTCTCTCATACCTAACTATTCTCTCACCTAACTATTCTCTCACATCTAGCAACCGGTATCCATTACTTGCAGAGCAACATTTGCACATCAATCTGCATCCTCGGGTATGCCAGTCTGACTCCTTCTTTCCACCCGTCGAAGTTTTCGAACACGTTGCCATGCACGTGCAAGTCGTCCAAGCAGGCGGGAAAGTCCAAGTGTTGCATGGCCTGCTCAGACAAACGGTTGTTGCATAATCTCAAACACAGTAACATGAGAGGAAGCTGGATAGCATTGATTGATGCAAGCCTGTTATGATCAAGCTCTAACCGACGGAGACTGTCCGGAAAATAGACATTGGCCATACTGGATATTTGATTTTTCAGGAGAACCAACTCTTCCAAGCGCGGTGGGAATTCAACGCTTTTCAACAAAGTTATCTTGTTGTCATCAAGGCTCAATCTAAGAAGACTGTCTGGAAAATAGACATTAGCCAAGCTGGATATTTGATTTCCCCGGAGATGCAAAACTTCCAAGTGTGGTGGGAACTCAACGTTTTCTAACGAATTTATCTTGTTATTAGTGGCCTCGATGTGCTTCAACCCCACCGGAAATTGGATTTCCGAAAACGAGCATACGTCTGAGCCGGTTATCTCAAAGCGGGTGAGGGATTGGGGGAGGGGATAGATGTCACGGAGAGCGGTAATAGCAATACTCTTCCAACTAAAATCTCGGATTTTCAAGTCCGGGTTATCAGCGTTGGTGATCTGGATCTTTTGGAGAGGGTTGGACGAGAGTCCAAGCTTGGTACAATTTACCGGAAGGTGAAAGTTCACCAATTCTCTTAATTGGTTATGCTCAAGGTTCACGGATTGAATACCGTCTGGTAGCGTCTTTGAAAACCGTTGGAGCTTATTGTGGCCCAAGTCCAAATCGATCAATGTTGGTGGAATATCAAGTTCCTCGACTGAGCTTAATTTATTGGACCCTAGGTTGAGAATTTGAAGCAGTGGAAGGTTTTTCAATCCCTCGACTGAGCCCAAATGATTGAACTGTAGGTAAAGTTCTCGAAGCAGTGGAAGGTTTTTCAATCCCTCGACTGACACCAAATTGTTGAAATATAGTTTGAGAACTTGAAGCAGTGGAAGGTTGAACAATCCCTTGACAGAGACCAAATTATTGGACTGTAGGTCGAGGACTTGAAGTAGCGGAAGATTTTTCAATCCCTCGACTGACACCAATTTGTTGGAGCATAGGTTGAGATTACGAAGCAGAGGAAGGTTTTTCAATCCTTCGACCGATATCAAGTTATTTTGCTCGAGGTTGAGAACTTGAAGCAGTGGGAGGTTTTTCAACCCCTCGACTGATGTCAAATTATTTCGTTCAAGGTTGAGAACTCGAAGCAGTGGAAGGTTTTTCAATCCTTTGGCCGAGGTCAATATATTGTGGCTCACATCTAAATCGATCAAGGTTTGCGGAATATTGAGTTCCTTGACCGAGGCCAATTCCGTGCTCTCTAGGTTCAAATCCTTCAAACTTGGAGGGAAGACAAAGTTTTTTGGCGGGTATATGGTAAACAACGAACGATTCCATCTGAGATTAAGACTTCGAAGCCTTTTGGGGAACTTGATTCGGCTCCATCTGGCTGTTCTTTTACCTTCATCTCTTTCGTTTAAACAACCAAGGGAGTTACCACGGAGATTGAGAATTGCTAAAGATTCTGGTAACGATTTGACGAAATCTAGCGATGTTAGCCGTGAGCTCATGATCAGTAAGGAAGCCAAGCTCGGAGGAAACTTGAGCATGCGAACCTCAGACGATGGGAGCTCCGTATGGTCTAATACCATCTCTCTGAAGCAATTTGAAAAGGTGCCCACACGAAACGTCTTCAACGGACACCAGGTGATGGATAATCTCTGTAATTTCAGAGGCAATTTCCGTTGTATGAAACTTTCAAAGTCCAGCTCCCACAGATCGTACTGCTGGTAATACGGATCCAGCCACCATAAGTCCAAATTTTCCAACAGCGAGGGAAACCTAAGCAGCTCGTCGATCTCCATCAATTCAGGGATGTTTTCTAATCGTAAATATTTCAAATTTGGTAACTTTAATTCGTTGAACCCCTCAACGGAGAAGTTCAAGACCTTCAATAGTGCCAATCTCCGTAAGGTCAAAGGGAGGTTGGCATACACCGACATCGGTCCCCAGGGGTAATGAAAGACAAATTCTTCAAGATTCGGTGGGAAACAGATTGGTTGGGAGTGAGTTAGTGGATCATCGTCATTACGCCAAGATGATTGTTTACGGATAAGTTCAAGCTTGCGGAGATTAGGAGGCAAAGGTGGAACTTTTGGATCAATCAGTGCGGATTGGACAGATATTTCTCGGATGTACTTCCAGACCAGGGGTGATGACGGCAAACTGGCCCAGTTGAAGACTTCTCCGTTGTCCATAATAAACTCTAGCATAAAGTCAGTCACAATTGAAGATGCTTTGGCGAACGCTTCTTTGTGGAAGAACTTGCTATCATTGACGTCCTCCCGTACAGAGATGGAAAGCTTTTTAATCCGAAGTTGGTCGAATGTTTCGCTGTTGGCCAACTCTTCAAACTCAGAGGACTTCATGCAAACGGCACTACTGTCCATACGGGGGACATTACTTTCATCCGGCGAGTTGCAGATGATCAATTCAAGGTTCGAGTAGTAGCATTTCCGGGCCACAGAAGCAAGGGTAGGATTCTCAGACTTCCTCAATACACCAACTAGTGGGATTGGTAGGTGGGAGAAAATTATCTCGGCAATTTCCAACGGAAGCGTATCCCAAATAGGGGGGGCGGCCCTGGCATTCATAGTAGGGGGGCGACGAAACATAGAGGATGGGAAGTAGACACGTTGCTGTCTACTGAGTGATGTAGAAGACTCTGTTTATATGGGATCTTGGTCAGTGGAAGGGAGAATGTATTTTGTAATCAATACATTTTGCGTCACCATGAGGCGTCCCAGGATACTGGGTGGACCGTCAAGGGAAACTGTAATATGCACGGAACACAGGAGCCACAGCATTGTGCAGGAAAATCCCTTATTGAAAAATGCAAGGTTAATCGCAAATAATCCACTGCATATTTAAAAATCGCAAGATATCTCAAGAATATAAAAACTCGAGGGGCTTCATAGTTATTCAATCCTTGTTGTGGTACAGGTGTTATGTGTGTTGTAGACACCCTACCCCTTATACGGAGTGGTATTACGGTTATCTTTATAGTGTATTGGAGCATCGATTCTTCCTCTATTCGTGTATAAATAATCAGAGATGTATTCTCGTAGCTGGCAAACGATATCTATTACACGTAGAGAAACATTTGCAAAGCAAGCTTCGTCCTCGGATGTGCCAGCCTGATTTATTTCCACCCACGACAATTTTCGAACGTATTGCCATGTACGTGTAAACCATCCAGCCTGGTAGAGAACTCCTGGTGTTGGATGGCTTGCTCAGACAAACGATTGTTGCATAACGCCAAAAGATTTAGCTCGGGAGGAAGCTAGCTGGTGTGGTATATCTAGTAGGTAATAGTGGATACTGTTAGCTAGCTATAAGAGAATACCTTTCCATGTAAGATATCTACTAGGGTTGTTGGTGGCCTAATATACTGAGACGGATACGATGCCAGGGTGTCCGCTTATCGGAAGTAAGGAGGTAATGGACTCCGACTTCCGTCTAGTTAAATAGCACTTTTACTACAGCTGGCATAGATCGGTATATGGTTATTAAAACTAAGCTTTAAGGTACATAGACTGTCTGTAAAACAGATGTTGGCCAAGCTGATTAGTTGATATTATCAGAGGTAATGATTTCAGGCACGATAGGAATTCAACGTTTTCTAAAGAATCTATATTGTTAGATTCAGAGTCATAACAAGTAAACTGTCTGGAAAATGGACATTAGCCAAGCTGGATATTTGATTTCCCCGGAGATGCAAAACTTCCAAGTGTGGTGGAAATTCAACGTTTTCTAACGAACTTATCTTGTTATTGGTGGCTTCGATGTGCTTCAACCCCACTGGAAATTGGATTTCTGACAACGAGCATACGTCTGAGCCGGTTATCTCAAAGCGAGTGAGGGATTGGGGGAGGGGAAAGACGTTATTGAGCGTGGTAATAGAAACTCTCCTAAAGCTTAAATCTCAGAGATTCAAATCCGGATTATCAGCGTTGGTGATCTAGGTCTTTTGGAGGGGTTGAATGAGAGTTCAAGCTTGGTACACCTCATCGGAAGGTGAGGTGTCCCAATACCCTCGCGTAGTTATGCTCGAGGTTCACGGATTGAATACTGTCTGGTAGCGTCCTTGAAAACCGTTGAAGCTTATTGTGGCTTAAGTCTAAATGGGTCAATGTTGGTGGAATATCGAGTTCCTCGACTGAGGTTAATTTATTGGACCCTAGGTTGAGAACTTGAAGCAGTGGAAGGTTTTTCAATCCCTCAACTGATATCAAATTATTCCGTTCAAGGTTGAGAACTCGGAGCTGTGGAGGGAATTTTAATCCTTTTACTGAATCCAATTTCATGCCCTCTAGGTTCAAATCTGTTAAACTTGGAGGAAAGACAAAGTTCTTTGGTGGGTACAGGGTGAACAACAAATAGTTCCGACTAAGATTAAGACTCTGAAGCCTCTTAGGGAATTTGATTTGGCTCCTCCTGGCAGTATCTGCATCTTCATCTGTTTCCTTTAAACAACTAAGGGAATAACCACGAAGGTTGAGAATTACTAAAGATTCTGGTAACGATTTGACGAAATCTAGCGATGTTAGCAGTGAGCTCATGATCAGTAAGGAAACCAAGCTCGGAGGAAACTTGAGCATGCGAACCTCTGATGATGAGAGCTCCGTATGGTCTAATACCATCTCTCTGAAGCAGTTTGAGAAGGTCTCCACACGGAGCCTCTTCAACGGACACCAGGTGATGGATAATTTCTGTAATTTCAGAGGCAATTTCCGCTGTCTGAAATTTCCAAAGTACAGTTCCCACATATCGTATTGCTGGTAATACGGATCCAGCGACAATAGTTTCAATTCTTCCAACAGCGAGGGAAACCTAAACAGCTCGTCGATCTCCATCAATTCAGGGATTTCTTCCAATCGTAAATATTTCAAATTTGGTAACTTCAATTCGTTGAACCCTTCAACGGAAAAGTCCAAGATTTTCACTAGTGCCAATCTCCGCAAAGTTAAAGGGAGGTTGGCATACACCGACATCGGTCCCCAGGGGTAATGAAAGGCAAATTCTTCGAGATTTGGTGGGAAACAGATTGGTTGGGGGTGAATTAGTGAGTCATCAAAATTTAGCAAACATTGTTTGCGGATAAGTTCAAGCTTGCGGAGATTAGGAGGCAAAGGTGGAACTTTTGGATCAATCAGTGCGGATTGGACAGATATTTCTCGGATGTACTTCCAGACCAGGGGTGATGACGGCAAACTGGCCCAGTTGAAGACTTGTCTATCCTTCATAATAAACTCTAGCATAAAGTCAGTCACAATTGAAGACGCTTTGGCGAACGCTTCTTTGTGGAAGAACTTGCTATCATTGACGTTCTCCCGTACAGAGATGGAAAGCTTTTTAATCCGAAGTTGGTCGAATATTTCGCTGTTGGCCAACTCTTCAAATTCAGAAGACTTCATGCAAACGGCACTACTGTCCATACGGGGGACATTACCTTCATCCGGCGAGTTGCAGATGATCAATTCAAGGTTCGAATAGTAGCATTTCCGGGCCCCGGAAGCAAGGGTGGGATTCTCAGACTTCCTCAATACACCAACTAGTGGGATTGGTAAGTGGGAGAAAATTATCTCGGCAATTTCCAACGGAAGCGTATCCCAAATAGGGGGGGGCGGCCTTGGCATTCATAGTAGGGGGTGACGAAGCATAGAGGATGGGAAGTAAACACGTTGCCATTTACTGAGTGATGTAGAAGACTCTGCTTTATATACGATCTTGGTCAGTGAGAGGAAAAATGTATTTTTTGATTGACACTCTTCGTGTCATCGCAGGATGTGCAGAAATACCGAGTAGATTTCAAATGTAACTAATTGGTGTTATGCACAGAACGCAGGCGGAAGAGTCACTGCACTGTACTGACTGCAAGCAAGTTTGAAGATTTGCACCTAAGACCAGCTTATTACTCCGGCTTAGAACCCCCTCGCTTCCCCTCTGAATATACATCCAGTATAATCATTTAAAAATTCACTCTTATCCACTGGAAATCCCGCATTACAATCAGAGAGAAGGGCAATTCTCAGTAGGCTGCCACTGTCGCGTACAAAGCTGGATCAGGAATCTGATATTTCCCACACTAACGTTCCTGTAGGAGCCATTCAACTCCCGCCGGAACCCTTGGCATTTTCATCTCCTTACTACAGTTACGATTTAAAGTACGCGCTAGTATACCATATATGTATAAAAAAAGTGAGCCGACACACAAAGTAGGGAAAAAGAAGTCGTAAAGCGTGTTGTAAGTCATAACCCATTTCGGAATAATAGCCATTCAGAGAAAAAGGCAACCGAAACCGAAAAACATAAGGGGGAAAAAAACGATGAAAGCTCCAAGAAAAACGGAGGCTGGTTGATCAGTCAGCGGTTACGCCGCAGCTAAACTATGCAAAGCAGATTGAGTAAAGCTATGTTTCTCTCCGAGTCAATCTCCAGTTATGGCATGACAAGCAGCTGAGGAATGATCAAAATCACCCCATTCTCCACCAACTGAATCTCCTGGATATCCACAAACTTCCAGTCCGTGCCCGCCGAACTCACCTGGAACCCACCATCCGCGACATTCTTCAATCTCAACGCCTTCCCGTTGATCGTCTTGACTTCCACGATCCCCAGGGCCACTGCATCCGCACCAGCAAGCGGACTAAAGTCCAAGACATCGGTGACTATGTGTGACTCCACAAACGAGGCAATGTTCGACGCAATCGTCTCATCGATTTCCTGGTCCGTGGACACGTTATTCTCGTCCACCTTCCGCGGAAACTCCCACGGCTTTGCGGAAAGCTGCTCGACCGCGGAGTTGCGCGGAGCAAAAATCAACGTCGACTGCTTTGGGTTGTCAATACGCAGCGCAATGGACATGACATCGCGCACGTACATCGAAAAGATGGACAAATCCGGGTGGTTATTGATGTATGTAGTCAAGAGCGAGTTGTGCACGGTTGTAGTAACTTCCATGCCTTCGGGGATTACCAACTGTTGGCTTGTAGCCCGGAAAAGCTGCTGTTCGAGGAACTCCTGGTCCATGATTTGGCGCTTGGTGAGCTCCTCAAGCTCGCGGATTTGGATATCAGAGAGTTTTGGGGGCTTGTAAATGTTTTTAGCAATAGCAGCGGTCACAAACGTGGCAAATATAGTGGTTTGTATCTTCATTGTGTATTGGTTATGTTTGAAGGAAAAGGTTTGTCACAAGACCGTTTTTGCTTTGAAACGCTAGCGCGTAAGGGATTAAAAGTTGCGTGACTGATTGCTAAGCTGTGGGTTAGATGCAGGAGAGGGGTGAGACCCCAATGCTTGAGCTATCTTATGGACATGTTTGCAGGACATTATAGTTAGTCTTTATTGTGGCTGCCACAAAGATATACGGTAAGTGGGAGGGGGTTTCTGCAAATTGATATGAATGATTTTGAATGGGCAGGTGTCTGATCACGAGAGCTAGGTGATAAGAGTTGATAGTCCTATTTTCGGTCAACAGTAGATTGGCCATCTAACTGCGGCTGTGGTATATCTAGCAGGTAATTGTGGATACTGTTAGCTAGCTAAAAGAGAATACTCCCTATGTAAGATATCTACAAGAAAAGGGTAGTTGGTGGCCCTATATACTGAGGCGGATACGATGCCAGGATGTCCGCTTATCAGGAGTAAGGGAACAATGGCCTCCGACTTCCGTCTAGTTAAATGGCACTTTTACTACAGTGGCCAAGGTTTGCTAAAATCGATTAGACTAGTCCTCAACCCCACGAAGGGTATACGAACGGGAGAGGAATCAGAAAATCCTGGTATAGATCTTAGATCGAATATCCTGCCGCATGCTTAATTCAAATATACCCCTCTTATATCAATTAGTTGGGCCAAACCACCATTTCAGCCGGACCAAACTCCCGAGAACCTCACCGAACGCACCGCCATAATCGGGAAGCAGAAACCTTCACTTGAAATCTCACAATCTAAACTAGTTGGAGGAAGCACTATTTACTCCATGGCATGAACATTTGAACGTTGCAGAGTACCATGACACCGCCGTCGCGCTAATTTTTCAACCAATAGTGGTGTCGCTCATATACCCCTCCAACGTTCATGGCATCTGATTATACTAAATTCCCCGCGTACACTGCATAATATACCACACCAAACGAGAGAGCTTGAGGGATAGGGTGAAAATCCGGCGGAGGGCACTGGCATTACTGTATAGAATTTTCAACTTTCCCCTCATAAGCCATGGCTAAGCCAGCCATTACTCGCAAGTGTCCTTCGGCTAATCTCGTATCTGCACGTTATTTAAAGAGTCAGCCCCAGACGTCACGAGTCATATACGGGTTGCAGGAGTCCGGGGTCCTTATAGTGGGGCATCCGGCGGGATGAGTTGCGGGGTGATAAGCATCCATTAAACCCAGACGCTTATAGCTCTCACAAAGGTCCCTTGAAACCCCCTCGCAGCTACAGCCGTCAAAGAGGGGTAATTATCTATCGTATTACCAGGGAACAAGGGACTTTTGTAAGGTAGTTGGCCCCACTATCGCCCCTCATGTAAGCACAGCTAAGACCCCATCTGAGCCTCGCAGGTCATGCGTTAAGTATCGTCCAAACTCAGATACACCCGCATGCAGGCTAGTGGACAATGCTTGAGTAGACAGTGAGTAATTAAAGATAGTATTAGGCTGTAAAAGCATCATTACAGAGATGTATCGGAGATCTCAATGTCCCGGCGGGGTAATGGTGGCTTTGGCCCTATAAAAGAGGCACCTTCCGCCAGACTATCCAAACCCAAGGTACTCGTCTCTTCAAGATACGCCCTACCCAGTTTTCCACAAACAAAATGACCATTGATATTCCTCACTACGATGCCGCAATTGTTGGCGGCGGTTTTGGCGCCGTCAGATCCTTGTATAACCTCAGAAAGGCCGGTTACAAGGTTCACGGCTTTGAAAAGGGCTCCGCCATCGGTGGTGTTTGGCACCACAACCGTTACCCAGGTGCCAGAGTTGACTCGGACGTTCCGATCTACCAATTGTACTTGGAAGATGCCTGGGGCGGTTTCAAATTCTCTGAGCTATTCCCGGGCTGGAAGGAAATCCAGGCTTACTTTAAGTACGCAGACGAAAAGTTGCAGATTTCCAAGGACTTCACCTTCAATTCCACTGTAACAGCCTGCCACTGGAACGACTCCTCCAACAATTGGACCGTCACCGCCCAGTCCACCGATCTTGGAGAGATTGTCTGCACTGCCACCCACATCGTCTTCTGTACTGGTTTTGCTGCCAAGAAGATAATTCCACGGTTCAAGAACCAGGAAGGGTTCAAGGGCCAGTGGTTCCACACCGCTGATTGGCCATGGTCTGGGGTGGATGTCAAGGGCAAGAAGGTTGCGATTATCGGCACTGGTGCCTCCGGGGTCCAGGTGATCCAGGAAATTGCCTCTGAAGTTGGTTCGTTAACGGTCTTCCAGAGAAGCATTAACACTGCGATCCCTATGAGGCAGCGCAAGTTGACACCGGACTCCCCGGAAAATAACATGCCGATGAAGGAGTCGGTCGAGCATTTCTTGTCGACTAAAACTGGTTTCCTGTTTGACAACATTCCACACAGGTACCATGACTTGACCCCAGCTGAGCGCAAGTCGTGGTTGGACAAGATTTATGCCAAGGGTGGCTTGCGCTTCGCCGCCGGTAACTTCTTGGATGCCCTTATTGACAAGGAAGCCAACCGTTTCTGCTACGACTACTGGAAAGACTCTGTGCGTGCCAGGGTCAAGGACCCAAGAAAGGCCGAGCTTTTGGCCCCTACCCAGCCACCCTACCACATTCTCACCAAGAGACCATCTTTGGAGCAGACCTTTTATGAGGCATTTAACCAGGATAACGTGGACATTGTGGATTTGCGCAATGACTCTATCGTTGAGTTTACCGAAACCGGGATCAAGACCACCGCCCAGGAGTTTGACTTTGATATCGTCATCTTTGCCACCGGTTTCGATGCCGTCACCGGTGGCTTCAAGCTTGTTGACATCAGGGGCCAGGGCGGTGTGAGATTGGAGGATAAATGGAAGAACGGCACCTTTACTCACTTGGGGATGACCATCACCAAGATGCCAAACTTCTTCTTCATGTACGGTCCCCAGGGCCCCTGCGGCTTCTCCAACGGCCCAACCTCCACTACAATTCAATCCGATTGGGCTGTGAGAGCCATTGAGTATATTGAGAAGAACCGCAGGGTGTATATGGTTCCAACCGAGGAGGCTGAAAATGCTTGGAGAAAGAAGGTGAACGATACCGCTTCTTTGACCTTACTTCCGTTAACAAAGTCCTGGTATATGGGCTCTAACGTTGAAGACAAGCCGGTTGAATCTTTAAACTATGTTGGGGGTCTTGGGCCGTACCTCATGGATATTGCTGGAGCCGAAAAGGATGGGTACAGCCGTGACTTTATTTTTGGTGCTTAACGGGTGTCATTTCACCCTGTTTTTATTCTTTCATAGCCCCTGTGCTGGTTTGATCCCACATAGGTTTTATACTTGGAATTCTACACGTATCAATACGAGCACGTAAATGGTATCAGTCTCATGAAGGATTTATGCGCCCATCTATACTGTGATATCTGTATAAACATATTCAACTCGTATGCATGTTACACCTGCATAGATGGATTGCCAAATACCACTCCGCCCATTTTCCGGCTCACGTTACTCGTGCGCCGCACGATTCTGCACGCCTGAAGCATGTGATGCCCGGCGTTACTCCCCGCAATCCATATCACACACACAATATAGATAACCCCTATTCATCTTATAAACCGCTTTATATCCACCTCCCACGATTAAGCTCCTCCCTACCCTTGCTATGTCCACCCCGCTGGCGATCCACGCGGCCTTCAGCCCCAAGCCGGAGCGCCGCGCCGACTTTCTGCCGGAATCGCTCACACAAATCTCGCCCTACGTGACATCCTCGCTCCTGAACGTGTTTCCCTACTTGTGTCTCGCAGACCACGTGTTGCAGAAGCTCACATGGTCTGAGCAGGCCGATCCGTACTCCAACTTCATCTCTCTCGTCATTGTCACGACGTTTTTTGTGTACTGGGACACCATCAAACAGTGGTTCTTCCCGTTCTTTCTCTCGCTCTGGTTTGCCATCGTCGTCTGGCTGACCCAGTCGATCCTCGTCGACTCCAAGTCGAATGAAAAGCCGACACTAGACGAGATTGTGAACGTGTTGAATAACGTGGTGACCCAGATAGACTTCTGCGTGGCGCCGTTCAAAAACGTGGCCACGGGTAGACAGGGCCTCTTCCGCCTCGTGCGCGCGCTCGTGCTGCTCTCGCCGCTCTACGTTGCGGCGTTCCGATTCTTTGTGCCGCCGCGCTACTTTCTTCTTGCGCTCGTGCTCTTCGGCGCGACGTACCATTCGCGCCAGGCGGTTGCGACACGGCGCCTCCTCTGGCGCAGTATGTACATCCGCATGGCTGTGTTCTATCTCACCGGCTATGACTCTACCCGGCCCTCCTCCGCCCATCCCCAGGGCAGGGGCCATGGTACTATGCCGGGACAGTCGTTCAGAATTGTAAATAAGTCAAACATCTCCTTCACCCAGGAGGGCCAGTTGATCGAGTTTGCCATCTTGGAGCACCAGCGCCGCTGGTTGGGTCTCGGCTGGTGTGCTTACTTGTTTCCGTCCGAGCGCAGTCCCCACACGACGGAGACGTTGGTGGAAACGAGCTCGCCCGAAAAGTTTGCCTTCCCCTCGTTCGATTTATCCACTACCGAGTACCGATGGAAATGGTCCGACGAACAGTGGAAGACAGACGAGAGCTTTAATCACGGGAAGGTTGGCGTGGACGGATGGTGTTATTACGACAACAACTGGCAGTACGCCTCGCCGGACGACGGGTTGTTGAAGTATACCAGGACGCGAAAGTGGAAACGGAGGGCATTGCTTGTTATTGACAAGAAATAAGGTTGATTCATGGCGATACCAAGAGCAGGGTCCACTGAGCTGCGACGTTGAGGAGCTATGGATATTTTATTGTAAAATACCGCTCTGCGACTTTCCCGGACTGACCCTCGTGCTTTTCCTGAGCGTGTGGGTTTCATGCTGCGAAAAAGCCTTTTGATATGCATCACTTGGCCGTACTTCGGTAACAAAGGTCTAGCCAGCGTTATACTTGAATAAAGAGACGATACCCCATTGCCTGTTGGCACACTTCAATATCCCTTGGCCCTTTGGTATGTTTTTTTTTAGTTCAGTCCCAGGACATATGTAGAAGATACAATAGGTATGTGCAAGCACACCTTATAATCCCGTGTTCCATATCCCACTCTACATATTCACTCTAAATCTTCACTGTTTACCATATAAATTATCAAACGCATATACACTTTATCTCGTTCTCAGCAACCTCCACCTCTTATATAGACCGTGACGTGGGGTGTGAATGTACAACCAAAATCTCTTCGTACTCCTTCCGAAATAACAATCTTTTTAAGCATAAAAATACAAAAAAGGTTAGCTCTGGCACTACGCCAAGCCAAACCCCTCGTGTCCCTCGGTAGTTGCCAAAAGAAGCGAACCCCTCAACTGCTCATACGAGTCATACTCTGGCAAGTCAATCTGGTTAAAGCATGTGTGTGACGACGGCAAACGGTCCGTCTTGCCGTAATCCCGGTGAATGGAGAATTTGGCAATCCCGTTCACCCCACTGAGCTCCTTAAACCCGTTTAGCGGCACCTTACTCGTCCCCGTCGCAAACTGTAACAACTTCGCGCGCTCCTCAACGTCAAACGAGCGTACCGCGCGCCAGAACCACTGGATCTGCGGCGACGACCCAGAGTAATTGACGTAATTCGAGTTGTTCTTCCAGTCGTCCACATCGATATCCGGCAACCCGGAAATCAAAAGCTCCAACTCCTGTTCGTCAAAGATCGCGATCAAGTCCCGCGGAATAATGTCGTGGAAGCCCTGGAGGAAGTTATCCATCTGTTCCGCGATGCTCGTCTGCAAGCGGTACGCCACAACCCTCCGGACGTAGTCCTGCTTGTTTTCTTGGGTCACGGGCACATTTCTCCCGTCGGGAATCAAGTCAATCACCTTGTGCTCACCGTAGTCATCCGTCTCCACCGAAAAGTCTTCGATGATAATGTCAGTGATGTCGTTCTCCAACATCCAGATCAACGACTTGAAGTACTCGAGGTCGAGCGTCTCCATGTCCTTGAGCGACAGCGGACAGCCGAGAATCTGCTTGTAGACTGCACGCGAGAAGTGGCAATCGAGGAAGAAGCCGTCGTAGATCGCCTTACCGATGATCCGCCCGATGAACTTGAAGAACGAAAGGTGCTCGGGGTTGACCCACGACGTGCGGTTCGGGTGGAACGTTGTCTTATCGCTCGCCACCGGCGCGAACAACGCATAGTCGGGGTTGAACATCTGGCGCGACAACACCAGGTACCACTCGCGAGTCACCCCACCGGCATCCACCCCATCCTCCCCCTTGAACTTGATGTCAAGCTTCGCGTTCTTCATCTCCTCCTTGGACTTGAAGAACAACGCGCGGTAGGAGTCCAAAAAGACGAGATCACGACCCACCGACACGTTAAGCGTCGGTCTTTCGCCGTCCTTGTGCAACTGGCGGTCGAAGTAGTTACGCTTGTTGTCAAACTCGAGCACCCGCGGGTTCTTCACCAACATCGCGAACGGCCCGCTCATGAGCTTCGGATTCACCCGCACCATCAGGTTCAAGATCTTCTTGTGTTCGTCGGTGAAGGCGAAAAAGAGACTCTCGATCGGCTCCTTCAAAAAGTCCTTGCGCACAGTGTAAACATCCTTGGTCTGGAGGTCCTTAACCCGGGAGTGCTTGCACACCACCATGAGTGCCTCGATGAGCGGAAGGAGTACGGTCGCGACGTTGGTGAGTGCCGCCCGCTCCTCCAAGACGCGGAGACACGAGGAGAGCGCGTCCCAGAGCGGCCCAAGGGCGATCTTGGTGTACAACAATGAGAGCTGTTCGACGGTCTGCGTCCCGCCAAAGAGATAGTCCAAGGCGGTGAGCACGCGGAGGAGCTTGGCCTGGTCGGACGATGGCGGAACGAACTTGTTGATCGTTATTCCGCAAAGCTCCTCAGCGGCTGGCGTGGAGGTGATGTCTGTGGCCAAGTCCCGTAGGTCACCAACGATAAGACCCCCAAGGCGCGACGCCTGGAGCGAGAGCTCGCGGGGAAAGACTGTCAGTGCGTTGGAGACCAACGAGAGGTTCTGCATGGCGCCGAGCACCTGCTGGAAGGTACGACTGGAGCATTCGTCGGCAATGAGGATAGAAACAAGGTGGGTGAGCGAGGCCTCGGAGAGAAGCGGCGCAAGCGCGTGCAGAGCAGCAGGCACATGGTCAGCCATACTTCCGAGAGTTGCATTACCATCGTTGTTTTTATCCATCTCGGTCTTCCCCTTGAGGGCCAACGGCCTCGTTGCCACCTGAACCACCCGCGATACAAGATCCATCAAGATCGGCTCGTTCTGCACCAACTTTTTCTCCACAAACGCAAGCAACGCGTTGACAGGATACTTCTTTGCCTTATCAATCGTATCTTTAAACTTCTTCTTGCCCTTGCGCACGGCCTCGTGCTCCACGAGGAAGTAGAACCGCGTGTGCGGATCCGCCTCCAAGAGATATTGAAGCGCCTCGAGCGTCTGGGTCGCCACCACAAGCGGTGTCGCACCGACAGGGAACTCTCCCGCTTCTCGGCCCTTCTTCACACGGCTACACAACTGTGCGTAGCACTTCTCAAGCGACTTCTGGCCGCCAGTGCCCTCCAACACCGAGAGAAGAAGCCCCAAGATTTCTGTACGCGTCTGCTTGCTAGAGCACAAGTACTCCATCAACGCGTGCATCGCGCCGCGCTCCTTAAACGTTTGCGGAAGGAACATCAACTTGGTGAGCGACGCGACGCCCGCACGGTCGAGCAATGGCGTGAAAAACAACCGCTGCTTCAGCTTCGGCACAACCACGTCAGTTTCTTCCTCCTCTTCCTCCTCACCCTCGATTGCTTCGTCATTGTCCAGCTCTTCCGTCTCCTCAAACCGGTTGGCCATGGCCTCCTGCTGGAGAATCTCCTCACGGATCTGCGGCGGGAGCGCGTCAAGAAACTGGGGATCGATCTCGCGCGTGTCACCGCCGGCGACGGTAGCCTCTGCCCGGCGTTCGCGGATGTGCTGCGTGAACACCTCCTCGCGCATATCTTCGGGCAACGCTTCGAAGAAATCTGGATCGATGTCGGTACCGCTAATGTCAACCTCACGTCCCCCGATCAGCATGAGGATTGGCTCCACCGCCGGGGTAACAACCGGCGCGTTGCGGCGCGCGGTTTCGCTCTCACGGCGCTGGCGTTCGCGCTCCTCGCGCTTCACCTGGAGCTTTGACGTACGTGCCGCGCGCGCCTGCTCCTCAGCTGCACGTTTCGCGACCGAAAGCTCGAGCGACACATCAAAGATGCGGTTGAGAATCGCCGGCGCGGCCGCGTACGACTCGTGCGACAACGAAAACATCGCCGCCACGTACTTCCAGCTCTCGAGCGTCGACTTGATCACAAAGTTGGGCGCCAAGCTGAGCTTGTCCTTCTTCTTCTTGTCGAACAACCGGTCGAGAATGCTAATCGCGTCGCTGCCGGGCACGTTGATACCTCCACCCTCACGGAAGATGCTACCACCGTTCGCACGCGATAGCTCGCCAAAGGCGCTCATCAAGTCCTCGATCATTCCGCTGCGCGACCCACGCCGGTTCCCCACACCACCGTTCGCAAAGTGCTCAATCCCGGATTCCACGATCGCGTAGTCCCCGGCCGCAGAGTCAATATCAGACTCCAGTTCGTCCTCCTCCTCGTCATCATCATCCTCCAGGAACGCGGTCGGACCGGTCTCCTCCCCGTCAGACGCGTAGTTATCCATCCATTCGTCTAACGCGTCATCAGACCCGACAGATATCTCGTCGTCGTCAAAGTCATCGTCAAACGAGATCTCGCTCTGGAGACTCTCCTCGGACATCTCGCTGGAACTGTCTTCGGTCTCAATTTCAACAAACCCGCGCTCGGTGATCTCGTCAGGCTCCGACATCGAGACATCCTCGCCTGACCACGCCTCTGGTTCCTCCATGTCGACGTCATCGGAATCCTCCTCCAACTCCTCGTCGGTCACTTCATCCTCGGAGTAAACCACCTCCAATGGTTCACGTTCGTCGTAGTCCATCTCGTCGTAGTCCTCCTCCTCCTCGCTGTCCTCCACGTCGTACATCCCGAGCGTCGAGTTCTTGAACAAGTCTGGCGTGTCTTCCTTATCGTCATCCGACAACGCCTCCTCCTCCTCGCCCTCACCCTCACCACCGGCGCTGCGAAAGAGGTCCTGGAACTGAATCTTGAGCTTGCAAAGCGTCCTAAGGGGCCCGATACACGCGTTGATAACCTCCTTGGCGCCCGGAAAGTTGAAGTCAACGTCGGAAATCACGGCGGAAAACTGCGCCGGGAGCGCTTTCTCGAGCATGAGGCGCCCGATGTAGTAGCAGTCAAGCTCGGTAGAGCCCTTGTCGAGTCCCTTCCCAAGACACTCGCGGTACTCCTTAAGTACCAAGCTCTCGCTGAGACGCACAAGGTCAACAATCATCCCAAAGCGCTTCTTGGCCACGTCCGAAGACACAAACGCCTCCTGAAGCACGCGCGCGATCGACTCCACCGTGTACTTGCGGATCAACTGCATGTCGGGGTCCTCCTTTTTACCGTCCTCGCCTAGCGGGGAGGAAACAAACGCCACGATCGCCATCTTCGCCAAGCGTGACACCATCTTTGGCCGCTCGCTTGCGTCAGCCTTGCCGTCCGCGAGCGAATGCGTCGGAAGAACCTGGTGAAGAAGGAAGTTCATCGACGTAGAGCTTGCCTTGGCCACCCCAAACGCCTTGTGCTTCTTCGAGTACGAAACAAACTCGATCTTGGCGAGTTTGTACGACGCGAGAAGCTCCACCATCGCCTGGAGAAGGAAACATGCGTACGCACAATGCGGGTTCTTGGTGATCCCACCTTTGAACTGGCTCAGCGCGTCCTTCGCCTTCTGGTCCGCCTCCTTGGCGGCCACTTGCTCAGAGGTGAAAGGTTCGCTCGGCTCGGGGTCCTCAAACCAATTGTGTTTCTTGGCCGCCATGAGCTCCGAAAGGAGGAGGTCCATGATGCCCGTAGGGTCGTCCAAGGGCTTTGCCGACGGACCCTCCAGAATTGGCGGGACTGCCAGCTCCACTAAGCTCGTCATCAACGGCTTTGTACAGTCATGAATCCGCATCTCCTTGCTCCCGACCTCCACGTACACCTCCGGCGCCCGCACCACCATCGCAGACGTCTCCTTCACCACCACGTTGATATCCTTGTGGGTACCCGGGCTGAACCGCCCCTTCGTCGCGAGAACCCTGCGCAACTCGGCCTCCATCGTCCGCCGAATCACCTCCGGCGACTCAAAACACCGGCGGAACAACGCAATGAGCGACTCCTGGAGGATGAAGAACTTATCAGAGGCATTGAACACCGCTACCGACGTCACTATGCGCTTGACCACCCCCGCCTCGATCATCTTACTAGTGTTTTCGGTCCTTCTTCCAAAAAGAATGAGGATCCGCGTGAGCGAAATGGCGGTATCAATGTCGGATATCTCCACGTCGAGTGCCAAAACGCGCATAAATGTCCCTTCGTACGTTTCCCGGCTAATCGACGGATGGCCCGGCACCACGGGGAAGCGTAACTTGCCCTCGATGGCCAATTCCTCAGCCACGGGAATATCGGAATACGAGAGAATCCTCTCAAACACCAAGAGCGCCTTGGAGAACCACGGCTGGTTGAGATGCTCCGGCTGGAGCACATCTTCGAAAAACCCCATAAACTCGTCCACGAGCTCGAGCGTGGACTCGCGGTAGAACACCTTGCTGTCGCTCATAAACAATGACAAAAGCGTGAGCATGCTCGCAAGCTTTTCTTTGTTTCCCACATCGGCCATGTCGAACGAGTACAAGTACTCGAGCACCACGTGTGGAATGTCCTCAGGATCCTTCTCAAACGCCCCGTCCACCACCTCGTGTACCTTGAAGACCGACTTTGGCGAGAACTGGGGAATGAGCAACCACCTTTCCAAGAAACGCCCGCGGTTCTTCGCTCGCAAGTCGTCTAACTCGTTGAGGAAGCGGTACTCCCGGTACTGGGGACTGACAAGGTGCGCCTCCGGCTTGACATAGCCCTTCTGGAGACACTTTTCCACGATTCCGTCCCATTCATCGTCGTCAATGTCGTCTGGTTGGTGTGCTGGAACGTCGTACACGTCGTGCTCCTTGACAAAGTCGACCGCAACGGCCTCTGGCATCCCGAGCGACCGGAGATACGCCACCTTGGAGGAACTCCGGGCGGAGTCCAACTGTGCAAGCGCTCCGGCGTGGCTCACGTGGAGCTCACCGTTGTTGGTGAACACAAAGCGATTGATCTCGAGAAAGCGGTGGATCGCCAACGGCGTGAGGCGCGTGATGATGTCCTCGTCAAAGGGATACTTGCCGTCCATGACCGTGTCCAAGAAGCCCATCAAGAGGAGCTTTGCCTGGACAACAAAGTTCGCGCTAACCTCCTGCGCGTTGATAATGCCGTTGTTGTAGAGATGGTTGACGGCAGGGATCTTTTCAATTTGGTCGCCGTTCAGTACCTTGGTGAACAAGTTCAACAATTGCGAGATGATTACGAGCGTCGCGCACTCCACCGTGTTCGGGAGGTACTTCAAGTTCTGCGCGGCGCGGAGCCTCTCCGTGTCGAGCGTGTAGAGGAGCTGCCAGTGGTGCACTAAGACCGCTCGCGAGCGCATAAACCCGCCTTGCTGCATGAAGCAGATCGCAAGCACCGTCTGGAGATGCTCCTGCCCGGTGCGCGACTTACCTGTCAACACAAAGCAGAGAAGATTGACCACAACTGCAACGTAGGAGCCCTGGGCGGCGGGATCGTCAACCGTGACATCCATCAAACGGATAAGGGTGGTTGCGAGATGGTTCGACGTGGCGACAAGACTTGCCTTCAGCACTTGTGCTTCCTGCTTCTTGGCCATCGGGAGGTTTGCCATGGCGGAGAAACAGGCCGCGACAGCCACCTGGATGCGGTTGGTAAGGAACCGGATCTGTACCGAGTTTTTGTACTTGGCGCTATTCTTGTCGTTCTTCACCGGAGTCAGAGAAAGCTCACCGTGACTAAACTGGAGCGGCGGCACGTCGGGGTTCTTCGGCGGAGACGTGAGTGTGGTGGCCTCGTCGGGCATGGAGCAGCGGAGGAACGCCTCCTCGAGCGCACAGCTCTGGAAAAGGCACCCAAGGAGCTCCATGAGTCGCTGGCCTTTGGCTCCGGCAAAAATCTGCGAGAGCTGCGTGATCCGGACCGGGAAAAGGTTGTACGGGTTGCAATAGATGTCCATAAAAACGACAAGGAGGGCTGAGAGGTGCGCCAAATTCTGGAGTAAGCTGCTGGCGGCGGAAATTTGGCCGTCACGGGCCATCGCCAGAAACGCCGAGGTGCCGCGCGCGGCATGGTCAAACTGCAAAAACGCATCCACGCTCTCCAACCACGCGAGCAACGCATCAATTATCGACCCATCCCCAAGCCCATACTTTCGGTCTTCCTCGTCAAGAAACTTAAGCACCCCCGTGATGGAGAGAATGGAGTCCGAGAAGACAAAGTCATATGGCGCGTTTGCCACCGCGAGAAAGTCCAACCAGCGGGCAAACGGCATCTTTTCCATGAGCGCACGCGCCATGCCGCTCTCCTGGACCAACGACGAGAGGAACAAAGTCGCGCGGTCAACCATGAACGAGCCTTCAGTGATTTCCCACTCCTTGAGATCCTCAGCCCCTTTCTCGAGGTTGAGAACATCCTCGGAAATAGAGTGGTAGAACGCACCCTGGGGCGAAGTGTACAACTCCGTTCCTGGCAACAACCCTGAGGCAGCACGGGGAACGGCGGCCGCGAGCTTGATCACCTCCTGCACGATGATCGGGCGGAGCTCCGGGTAGTGGCGGCCGAGCTCCTCAATCAACGACCCAAGCTGCTCCGTGTTGCTGGTGTCTATGGCCCGCACGTGGTCCTTGGAGTAGTCTGACACGAGAAAGCTCTGGAAGAAGGTTGGGAGGATCCCCATGTCGATGACCTTCTTCAATCCCACAGTGTTGAGGCAGATGGCCTCAACGATCTCGACCATGGCCGTGAACAAGCCAGACGATGGCCCGAAGAGTGTTGCGTAGTTTGCCAACACCCTGTCAAGGCAGCCGGCCTCCTGGAGGATAGCGTACGATGATGGCTCGTTGTGGATAATTGTCGCAAGGATGTTCAACGTGCCGGTGATGATTGTCGGGCCAAACATCTGCGGGCGCAAGACAATCTCGTTGAGCGCTACGAGGAGCGCGGAATCAAACAAGTTACGCATGCGGTCGCTGGTATCAGTCTGGAGGAGGTGTAACACAAACTTGAGAAGGGTTTTGAAATACTGCGCCTGTCGGAAGGAGACTTCGTAGTGGACAATACAGCCCTGGGGTTTTCCGCCCGCGAACTCGGGGTTTGCCACCGCAAAGTTGACCTCGTAGACAATGGCGTCCACAAGCCTGGAGAAGCCCTCGTTATCGATGAACGTGTCAAGCATCTCGGGGTATGAAAGAATGAGGGCGTCGAGGAGGTGAAGTGATGCGTTGGAAATGCGTCGCTTGGTGGTGCGCAACGCGAGAAAGTCGAGCAAATGGGTCATAAGGCCGGCAGAGGTGAGCGAAACCGCAAGGGATTTGGTTTCGAGGATGCGCCCGAGCATCTCCACGAGGAGCTCGGCGCTGGCCGCATCGTCAAGCGCAGGGTCCTCGTCCTTTGCAGCCTTGTAGATCACGCGGAGCATCTGGAAGAGCACGCCATGCGACACGTTTGCGGACAAGGCGCGCACGATGTCGCTGCTCCAGGTGCGGCGGAACGCAATGCAGGAGAGCGCCTTAACGGCGGCCGCATATACCGGTGGGCTGACGCTGTTGGCGGGTGAGACAAGGTCCACGAGGTAGCTGAAGATGTAAGGGTCGAATTCAAACAACTGCGACGTCACCAGAGACGTATCGTTGACGCACACGATGTACGCGATAGCAAGGCACCGGATCTGAACGAGGTTTTCGCGGAGCTGGAGCGCTTCGAACGACTGGTTGTTGAAGGCCTTTGCGACCGGAGCCTTGAGCCCGAGCTGAAACCATGCCGCGGGCGGGACACTCACCGCTCGGTCATAGATCTGCGCAAGCGAGAGCTTACGAACCTCGTCCTGGGGGAGGGTGAAGTGCGCGAGGCCTTCCGTGTAGATGGTGTGGGTTTGGGTCTTTTTCTTCTTCTTGGATGCCTTCCTGGAGACCTCCACACCGGCAGGGGTATCTCCGGTCTTGTCGGACAGGGAATTTCCGTGCTTCCCGGCTATATCCTCCTTGGCATCTTTCGGTGCGTCCTTTTTGGACTTGACGTCATGTTTCAGCGGCTGGTCCTTCGGAAAAAGGGGAACGGTCTTGGCGGTCGTCTTGAAGTACTCAAAGTCCAACGCGCGCCACTTTGACGGAATCTTCTTCTTATTGCTAATGCAGTCGTACAACCCGATGTGGTCGTCGCCAGAGTGATTGTGGGTCGCTGGGGGAAAGAAGCGCGCGAGTGCTAGGATGCGCGCCTTCACCTCCGCCGACGCGGCGTTCTTCGAAGAATGGGTCACGCACGCACTTTCGGCCACAAGCACCAACACGTGCAAAGTAGCGAGTCTAAGGGGCACAGAGCACGACCCAACCAAGTTGTAGAGATGGTGGGTGGATGCGTAGATGTGTTTGTTCGAACAGTGGCGCAAGAGCAACGCGGTGTAGGCCAAACAGGCGGTGGAAAGCGTCTGATCCGTGCGATCGAGCTCACGGAGCGGCACATGCTCGGCGTCGAGGGCATATTTCTTGACAAGGTCCTCGAGGATAGAGTCAAAGCGGTTAAGGAGCGGGATCCAATGGCACAAGTCACCCTTGGGCTTTTCCCAGGCGGTGAGCGCGTTGAGTTTCGAGGGTAAGAGGGCGAGGTCGCACGATACGAGGTCCTCAATGAGACCCTTGATCGGCAGCGCCCGTTCCAAGAGTTTTGCATGGTCTCTTTTTGTGATGATCATGAGAGCTGGTGTGGGAAGGTTAGAGATGTTTCAGTGGCGTTAGCAAAACGTTCCAGAAATAACCGCCGGGTGGGATACCCTTTGGTAGAAAAAAATATCGTGCAGGAGGGTGGGGCACGACCGTATCTGGAGGGGGGAGGGGTCCAAGTTGAGCTACCCAAGGCGTTTGCATGTTAGAGTAAAGCATTACGGCCTCTTCGGAAGGCCTTAATAAAGGATGGAGTGAAAAGCGGTGTGGGGTACTTTTGTGGTAATTAAGCTGGGAGGTAAGGGCGGAAAGCCAGAAATAGGTTATTGCAAAAATGGGCCAGCGAGCGGTCTTGATTAGCAGAGGAGTTTTAAGGGTGCAGGACATCACAACATGATCAAAATTGACACAAAGTCTGCTTCCCATCCCTTACACTATCCTCCAGGATATTTCCCTTTTATCTTTTGTTTTTCCCCTTACCTCCTGGACATTTCACCAATCATGTCCAACCGCGATTCTTCAAGGTCATACATCCACCTTACGGCCTCCCACCACGTCCTTTATCTCGAGGAATGGGTGCACGAGAAACTTCCCTTTGACGATATTGATGTAAACCTGAACCAAGACTCGGACGATGAAGAGTATTTGACGGGAAATTTCGGACACAGTCAGCCGCAACACCCTTCCAATGGTACGTTTGGTGCCTCCCGGACGTACGCAAGGCCTGTCCCGCCCGCATGGAAGGACCTTTCGCTCAGCGAGTTTTTAGCCGACCACGAGAACTTTCCACGCGACGGGACTATTCTCAAGCGGATCAACCGCGAGGATTTTCTGGAGGCGAGAGAAGATAAAACGATGGATGAACATGATATCTCTGCCATCTCGACGTCGTCGCTAGGTCAGAACGTGTTGGATGCATTCACAAGTGAGGGCTTGAGCCAGAACCTGGACGGACTAGACAACTCGCCGAATTTACGGCCACATGCCCGTAGCTCTGTGAGTCCGGCTGGGACTATGAATACACCAGAGATGAATCGTGTGAGGAGGAGCTATGAAACTCCTGTGGCGCGAATCATGAGATAGATCCAAGGTATGGGAAGCCCCACGTAGGATCAATCCCTCTTGAGAGTTCACTGGTGGGTTTCCAACAGGCCGGTACATTTTTTAATGCAACCGTCAGGTACCCAACCAGATTCACCGCTAGTTAAATATGAGTCGAACTATACCCTGGGGGAGGGCCACAGTAGAGTTTCAATCTTGTCCATGTGACTAAGATTTCTTGAAGCTCCTGCCTGACGGGATTTCTTGAAGCTCCTATTCGATAGGTTTACTCGAGAATATAGCTACAAGTCACACCCGATAGAGCTATCCCGGGTCAATAGCATGAGATTTAAACAGACTTTACCTATGTATATATTTTAATCAATACATCCGGGGTGGACGCATCGGCACATGTCTCTGCCGTGATTTGGTCAATGTGCGAGTTTAATCCCTTGGCCGATTACGACTTAAGCACCGGATTATATCACCTTTTTGACCCCTATTACTGACTGTCATGCCTGGCCATTATATGTTAGCCAGGTCTCTAAACGCAGGAAAATCGATCTTCCTTCCCCGCGTGTTTTTCAGGTGCATAAACCTTTCAACAGTAAACAAAGGACGCCACCAGTCGTTAACGCCCTCTGTGATGGCCTCAGACATCAACTCACCCTTAACGGTGCCCTCCATGGATCCTATTTCACAAATTCCCGTAAAATCCCCACACAATCTTCGCTTTGTCACGTTCAACATCAACGGGTGCCGCTCGGTGCTCAACTACCACCCCTGGAACCGGTCCAAATCCTTCGACTATATGTTTTCGAGCCTTCAGGCGGACGTGATTACCCTCCAGGAACTCAAAATCCAGCGCTCGGACATCAACCACCAGAAGGGGTTGGGCTCCTTGGCGGGCTACCGCTGTTTTCTCACAGTGCCGCACGCAAAACGTGGCTACAGCGGCGTCGGCGTCTACGTGCGCATCCCTGCGGCCCACGAGCCGGAAGCCGTGAGGAGATCTTTGGTGGTGATTAAGGCCGAAGAGGGAATCACTGGTATTCTCCAGTCGCCAGATTACAAACCCCTGGAGTATCGCGAATTGCCCCCAGAGAAGGGCATTGGGGGGTATCCCACAAGCAACCAGGCATGGTATCCGCGAATAGACAGCGAAGGACGGTGTGTAGTAGTGGAGTTGGCATGCAACGTGGTTGTAATCTCGCTCTACTGCCCCGCAAACTCGATGGGCACAACGGAGGGGGGAGCCTTCAGAGTGGCTTTCCTTGAATGTGTATTTGAACGTGTGAGAAACCTTGAAAAGCTAGGCAAACAGGTTTTGGTAATGGGGGATATTAATGTGTCTAGAGACTTGATCGACAGTGCCGACGCCTGTTTTGAGCTTGCAAAGACCGGGGCCGTGAAGAAGCTTCCGGAGGGTGTCTACGAGTCTCCCTGCCACGAGGGGGCGGCGTTTGAACGGTTAAATGCGGATGAAGTAGAGCGGTTCCGATCTTCAACCCTTCCCAAAGCGTTGCTCAACGGGATCGTGGCAAATTCCAAATCAAAGGATGGTGCACAATATGAGACTACCACTATGGAAGAGACAACTGCAGTTGATATTGCAGTTGATGACATTGTACCTGGAAAGGTCTTGTATGACATCGCAAGAGAACTCCACGGGCGGCGACTCAAGATGTTTACATGCTGGAATACACTTAAAAACGCAAGGCCGTCGAATTATGGCTCACGGATTGATTTGATCTTGACTACTGAGCAGTTAAAGCGTCGAGCAGTGCAGGCAGATATCTTGCCTATGCTCCATGGCTCCGATCATTGTCCGTTATTTGCTGATTTCAGCCCTGACACTCTCATAATGACGCATAATCTGACATCGTTAAAGTTCGAAGCAAAGGCTTTCTACAAGTTACAATACAACGGTATCGATGCCATGTTTGGCAAGTGCAATGCAGAAACGGTGGATACCTCAACAGAGGTGGAGGGTATACTTCCAATAATGAAAGAGGAAGCACCATTTGCTTCGCCAGAATGCGACACCACAAAGCCATTAGGCCCACCAGCAAAGAGGCTAAAACTTGCTTATGTTAGCCGGAAGGCGGTGGTAGTACCTAAGAACCAAAAGCTGATTGCCAGCTTCTTCACCCCTGCCAAACCTGCAGCCAAAGAATCCTTGTTTGTTGAAGAATCGGACGACGAGTTGTATGAGGCTGTGACAGAGGCTGCTATTACTAAGCCCTCAGCGTCGTCTGTTGGCTCAATTGGTAGTTTCATGGCTGTCTTGGGGAAACCGCCACGGTGCAAGCACAACGAGGCCGCCGTGTTGAAAACATGCACCAATTCTAAGAGTGCCAATCGCGGAAAAAAGTTCTGGTCCTGTCGTGAACGGTCGTGCAATTTTTTCGAGTGGGCGAATGCCAACCAGTGAATACGACAAGCTCACGGGACTGTGTATATGGTCCCTTACGGACGATTTGAGTGTCATTACAGCCTACATCTAGATCTACTGAGTATGAATAGCCCCTTGTAGCCTGAGTTAATTGTGATCTTCCGATTACCTTCCAGGCCTTGTAATCGATAGCTATTTTCTCGACTCTTACTCTATGAGAAGGGCTATGCCAAAGCTTCCAACATCAATTTAGTGCTTCCTTTTTGCGACGCCTTCACAAATTGGACTATAAACTCTAGCGGATTCTACTTTTGGGCATCAATCATGGTGTCACTTAAGCGCCACATGATGACCATTATAACCGACTGGTACGGCTCAAACTGGTCAAAGAAGTAATCACCGTACTCTTCCTGTATCACCAGCCAGTTTCTATTCTTGGCCACAGCAATCTTGGACTTTTTCTTCTTTGTTCCGTCGAACGTGACAATTCCCTTGATCGTCTCGTGCAACTCCGGGTGGATATTCGAGAAATAGATAGAGACACCTCTTGCAATCCCCAAGTCCTCCATCGTGTACACGTTCATCTTTTTCAACGCAAAGAGGAGAAACATCTTGGCAGACCACACGCCGATGCCCTTGATAGCCACCAACTTATCTACAATCATCGGAATATCATCGCTTTGGAAGACCTTGGCGTTCAATTCTTTGTTTTGGAAATTCTCAGCCACCGAATTGACGTACTTCACCTTTTGACCGCTCAAACCACAGGTTCTCAATTCCTCGTCCGAACAGTCGATGATGTCCTGGGGCCCTGGGAAGGGTAACTTATCCGCTTTCTGCCACTTCTCCGCCAGCTCTTCCAACGGAAGATGCGTTTTGCCGTTTAAGAAATACAACAGGAACTTGCGCTTGATGGACTTGGCTGCGGCACCGCTAACCTGTTGGGAAATGATGCCCGAGCACAAGCTTTCAAACCAGAACTGCAACTGTTGGTCTGCGTCATCGAACTGGTGGCTAACTGTCTTCAAGTATGCGTCAAAGGGTTTCAGAACCACAGTGGCATACAAATTTGGATCCTTGGAAAGGACATATTCTACGCCCTTAATGAACTCAGGCGTGTGCTGGTCGACATACTCTTGTGGCAACGCCGGAAGCGTTTCAGGGGTAGTGGGAAGACGGGGGATCTTGAGGGGTGGTAGCACCCGTGGAGTAGCTGGAGACGCCTTGACAGTAGTGGCCTTTCTGGCCCTCGTGGCCGCTGGTTTGGTTTCGGCGGTCTCTTTCTTGACTGCGGGGACGTCGTTGGAGATAACTCTTTTGGAGCGGGTTACGGAGACCATGTTGTGTGAGATACGTAAGGACTTGAGAAAATAATTGGAGCACCGTCTACGGAGCATAAATGGTGGACTTTTGTATGGATGGCCGGGATAATCCAGCTAGGTTGACAGTGATTGCTTGGGTGGCAACGCGTACCAACCAGGGAGATGGGTTTTTAGATACCCACATGCATGTGTCTGCATTGGGACAGAACGGCGCAGGCGGCATGAGCTGGGAATTGATCCCGCAGCGGTCAAGTAGCTAGGCCAGTCACATTGGATGAATTTTTAATTCCAGGAAATCCTAACCTAAAGAAATGGGAGAGGTTTTGAGTGGAAAGTGACTGCTAAATCAAATCCCACAAGCGTATAGGAAAGACGAGACAGGTTGACAAATTTATATTCTAGCGTAGTGTAAATTTAAATAAGATGAGAATATATATCTGCATATATATGAAAATATGTACACGCAAACAATTTATTCTCAAGCATAGATATATAAACTTTTGTAATATTAAAACTTAGCTCTACCCGTAGCTATCTATAGCTAAATCAACATTACGGTGTAGTGTGAGTATATACAAGAGGTTTAACGGCTGGAGTGGCGGGCATATGTGCGGGGTTTGCACCCTGGTTGTGGCACCTGACGTGCCCCACCTTGCTCCTCACTATATTGCAACACTCCGGATATGCCCATTGGGTGGAGTTTCAGCCAAGGAAATAATTCGAGCTACTGATATTTAGTCATCCGAGTTGGTAAAACTAAAATTTAGTAACTGGGTGTTGGTGAACTCAGCTGCTCCGGCCGGCACGCTACAATACCAATGAATCCTGCTCTACGATCCAGTGGCTTGTTCCGCACGAGTATACTCAAAAATGGGCTATCCAGAAACCAGAGTAGCACGATTATTTACCATTATCCCCTGCCAGTGCACGGATGATTTTGATCATGGTACCACTGCACGGATGATTTTGATCATGGCACCACTGTTGAGGGCCCAAGGATTAGCTCCTTATGCATCACCCTCTGCTCCGAAAGTATATTCTCAGTTACCGATTTAGACTATTTCCTCCCGGCTATCTTTAAAAAAATTAGGTAAATCGGTAGTCGGGTCCGACTCATTCGGTCTCTGCCCTTTTTTAGCCCCTCGCGCACGAACTGCAAAAATGAGGGGAGCACGTAAGATTCCTCCTGCAGCTCTAAATTATCGTGCACATACTGAGCCGTCCTCTGAATCTGGGGTAAGGTTTTCCCCGCGTGACAGTTTATAAAAGCCCGTGCAACCGCAACATGAAAGGATATCCCAGTCTCGCAACTACTACAACACAGGTATTCTCTTTAGCTCTATATCCATCTCGGATCTCTGCTCTCTATTTCCATCTCGGATCCCTGCTCTCTATTTCCATCTCTATGCCAGACTCCACCTCTATCCATACGCTGGAACTGCTTCCAGTTCCGGCCGGGTATTTTGAACGCCATCCCACCGGAAAGCCCCACGTGCCTACCCTTGAGGCGTACGAGCGCATGCACAAAGAATCGATTGAAAACCCGGCTAGGTTTTTCGGCAACTGGGCAAACAAGCTTTTACAATGGGACGTGCCCTTTGACAGTGCGCGCCTTCCAGAGCTGCCCGTGAACGACTTCAAGAACGGTGAAATTCCGTCCTGGTTTGTGGGCGGCAAGCTCAACGCGTGCTACAACGCCGTCGACAGGCACGCAATGAAGACCCCCGACAAGGTTGCCATCATCTGGGAGCCAGATAACGTGAATGAAGCGGGCAAGAAGATCACATACGGGGAGTTGCTCGCACAGGTGTGCCGCTTCTCGCAGGTGCTCGTCAAGTGTGGGGTCAAAAGGGGTGACACCGTAGCCGTCTACCTTCCTATGATCCCCGAGGCGTTGGTGGCTCTTCTTGCCATTGTGCGGATCGGCGCTGTCCATTCTGTGGTTTTTGCCGGCTTTTCCTCCGTCTCGCTCGGCGAAAGAATCAACGACAGTAACTCCAAGCTTGTAATCACCGCCGATGCCTTCAGTCGTGGAGGCCGAATCGTGCATACGAAGGCTATCGTCGATGAGGCTTTGCAACAAGCGCCACAGGTGGCGCACGTTGTGGTGGTGGAGCGCATTGGCCAGACGGACTCTCCAATCACCATGGTTCCGGGTCGTGACTTGTACTGGCACGAGGAAACCGCCAAATACAACCCCTACTACCCAATAACGTCCATGAACGCCTCCGACCCTCTTTTCTTGTTGTACACGTCTGGCTCCACCGGCAAGCCAAAGGGGATCCAACATCTGACTGCAGGGTATTTACTTGGTGTGGCACTCGCCCTCACCTGCACCTTTGACTTCCAGCCAAAGACCGATGTCATGTTCTGCGCGGCCGACATTGGCTGGGTCATGGGGCACACGTTTGTGATGTATGCTCCATTGGTCTTGGGGGGCACCACCGTGGTGTACGAGGGCACGCCAAACTACCCGGACTGCAGCAGATACTGGGACATCATCGACAGACACCAGGTTACACACTTCAGCACCGCTCCTACCGCGTTGAGGCTCCTCAAGCTGGCTGGACCGTCGTTCATTGACGGCTACAAGCTCTCCTCTCTTCGTATTTTGAGCTGTGCGGGCGAGCCTATCGCTCCAGAGATCTGGCACTGGTTCAACGACACGGTGGGGAGAGGTAAATGCCACTTGCTAGATACCTACTGGGCGACTGAGGCCGGCTCGCACTTAGTGGTGCCGTTTGCAGGGGTCACCCCAACCAAGGCCGGTTCTGCTGGCAAGGGCTTTTTCGGCATTGATTTGGCGGTGTTGGACCCTCGCACGGGCAAGGAAATCACCGAGCTGCCAGCCCGCGGGGCGCTTTGTATTCGTTCTGCCTGGCCCCTGATGACCACGGGGATTTACCAGGACTATGCGAGATTCAAGAAGACGTATTTGGAAGACTACCCAGGGTTTTATGTCACGGGTGACGGTGTTTACCGCGACGTTGATGGCTACTACTGGGTCTTGGGGCGTACTGACGACGTGGTTAATGTTTCGGGTCACAGGCTATCCACCGCTGAGATTGAATCCGTCTTGATCCAGCAGGATTTGGTTGCCGATACCGCTGTTGTTGGGTTTCCCGACGAGCTCACAGGCCAGGCCGTAGCTGCTTACGTAGTGTTGAGAGACGTAGAACGCCTCCTGAACGAGAACGCCGTGAAGAGTGAATTGGTGCAGGCCATCAGAAAGGAGATTGGACCGTTTGCCGCGCCAAAGTTGTTTTTGTTCGTCGAGGAATTGCCAAAGACACGTTCTGGGAAGTTGATGAGACGTATTTTGAGAAAGGTCTTGGTGGGCGAGGAGGATCAGTTGGGCGATATCTCCACCTTGGCGAACGAAAATTCGGTCAAGGGGATTATTAAGGCCGTTAAAGGAAGGAGATCTACAGGGTCCAAGTTGTAAATCCAATTTTGTTTCTAATTCTGTCGCTCCATGGGTTGTTTTTGTAATTTTAACCCGTACTGTTGCTTGCGTGTAGGTGAGGAGAGCCTGGAATCTTAAGGTTATGTCCGCAATAGGGCAATTCAGCACGTTTCAGGGCATACCGTACTCATAGAGACATACATCTGTTGACGCATGGGGCTCGTTTTATTGCTTTATATTAGTACGCTCAGAGGGCAGCTTTGGCCCAAAGTGTAATCCGAAGTCGTCGCCATGGGACTTCACTGTCCAAAAACAATAGAATTTTCCTGAGCATAAAATTGCCATGTGGTGTAGGTCTGAGATCAATATCCATTCATGGGTAGGTGTGTATACTAGAGAAAGAAAAAAAAAGAGCTAGTTATCGACCTCTGATCTTTGTATGACTTCAAAATCGTCTGTTCTTTAACCAACCCCAGCATCCAGTTGCTTTAGGTCTCGGCGGTGAGACTGAGAGCGCAAAGAGGAAAGTCGCTATACGATTAAAGGCCGACAGCTTCTCTATGGGCACAAACGCAAGCTATATATGCACAAGCTTGAATCAAAACAAATACTAATAAAACAAATGCTAATTTGGCAGGTAATATTCTTTTCCTTTGTAAGAGGAATCGAACTTTCTCCATGAGCCATTAGATGTTGTGGCTTTAACTGGAATATCAAACTGTCCCATCAGACAGTATGCCATTATTTAGTGACAGATCAACTAGAAAAGACGAGTGCCGGGGGTTGAAACAGTGTGTTGGATGGCCGCCCTCCGAAGCTCCATGGTGTGTGTATTTCGCGGAAAATTGTAGAACCCCGAAGCCTTCGATAGTGCAATAAATTCCAGTCATACAAATTCATCCCTGAAACCTCTTTGACACGGTCAAGTTGGCTTTCTTCAAGTGGATCGGCATCACCTCGCTAGCGCCGTCGTCCGCTGCCTGCGCCGATGCTTCCCGTAACAACTCCTTCATATACGTGAGGTAATTCAAGTACACAAGCGTGGTGGTGGAATCAGCGTTAGTGATGGAAAATGACGTCTTAGACTTAATGACGCGGTTCAACTTGGATTTGGGTATAGACGGTGCCATCGTTGTGATTCTACTGAAACCGTTATCATGGGGTACATCAAATGGATTGTTTACTTTAAATTGGAACGTGCGACACCCAAGTGCAGGACCGGTGGAGGTGCTGACATAAGCAATATCGTATATCTTATGTCGCATACGCCCGCCATATGGGCAGTACTGCGGGGTTGAGGACCATGCGGTGTATTCGGCCCGCCTGTGACTCCTGGACTTTGGCACTATACTCAGACTTTCCCAGGACTGCCTAGTCTGCCGATTAACGCAGTAAAGGTCGCCCTGAATCCTCCCTGATTATCGAGAGAGAAATAAAATAGCCGCGGAAGCGAGCTACGGTAGGTACAGTTGCAGCTGCATGAGGCATGATGTAACAAGGCTTTATATGGCGAACAAGGCTTGTGTAGATTAGGTTTGCCTAATTTTAAGCACTGCGGAGCGTCGCTATAACTACATTAGTACCATGTGCCTTATACAGATCTGAAACTACGTTACAAGATGGACTGCACCCGAGGGGGATGCATTTTACTCGGATCAGAGCATGAACATGTACTGAAAAGAAATGCGACGTTGAAGCCAGACGGTTTTATGAGGGGTCAGGCTGACACCAAGCAATCTCAGAGGCGTCGCCGTAGCTTTGCGTTAACGCAGTCTGCGTTCATCTGAAACTGACACACAACAAAGGGAATAATCCTCGCAGAATAACCAATATGCATTCTGGAGGCTGGAAATAGGTATCGGCGTCGATTTATCGGGGTTTACCGGGATTAGCTTTCTCTGTGTAGCGTTCCGGCCCCATCCGAGTAGCATACCGTCGATCATACGGGGTTTAGCAAGCATTACAGGTTTCTTCCATAAGTGGATTCAGGCAAAACCAAAACAAGACGCCAACATACCAATATATCCAACTTGGAAATACTCTAAACGGAAGATATGAAAACACGGAAGTATGGATGCGCAACTTATAAAATACGTCAAGACAGAATCTGAAACACTCCGGTGGCAGCGCAACTTATAAAATACGTTAAAACCGAATCTGAAACACTTCGGTGGCAGCGCATTGAACCGCGTAATTGGGAGGCATTGTGGGGATGTTTTTGGGCGAGGCGGACTGTAGACATCCATAGACATCTATAGACATCTGTTTATGGCTTTATACTATCCCCTGACAGGGGTATTAGGTTACTGGTCGAAAGCTCCTTACTTGATATTTATAAGAATTATGGATCGATAATCGTAAAGGTTCACCCTGAGATCCTATGTATCGTTCTGCCTAGCAACGTAAATGGACTCGCTGAGCTATATATTTCTTTCATGCTTCAACTTCTGCGTTCTTCCATACACAAATATTAGTTATTGCTATGTGACCAGCACCTCCAATACCTCTACCAAAGTGCAATATTTAGGAGCATACGTGCGATGCATACTTCCCAGTAACCGAAACTAAGACCTCGATCTTTCCCCGCAGTTACTTTGCACTTACCTTCCCCGGTCAGCATGCCATCTGCCTGATGCACAGAGACAGCCAGGGTAAGATGCACGATATTTCATTGATGTTTGGAAAAGCCGGAATAGATCTCTGTATGCCGGTTTATAACCATCGGGTAACACTGAGACATCCTCGTAGCACATTTGGGGATCTTCAATACTCGGCCTGTCGTCTCTCTTTTGTTGCCACTAAGTCTGTCTTTCAGATTTTCGAGACGACTTTTGATGGAAGTATACCACAGCTTTACAATACACTGGTCTATTATAACCCGCCGCCACAAACCACCAGCTCCAGAGAGGGTATTACCGTTGCTGCAGTCTGCATCATGCAATAATAGGAGATTCAGACACTAGGCCATGGCGTATGCTAGTAGATAAGCAGTGACAGGGTGATTCGACTAGGGTATGCGAGCTTCTACTGGCACAAAACTTTGTCCTTGTGAAACTCCCGAGATCATCGCCCATGCCTCGTGTATGTCCCGTTGGTGTCCTAAATTGTCATCGGATTAGCTCTCCATCTAAAGCGCACCCAAAATGACCCATGTAGCGCCTTGAACCAGTGGTAGCATGTACAGAGCGCGTTAAAAAATTTCTGCAGCATGCATGGCCGCGACAGCGCCAACGGCGCCCAACGTACTAACGGCTTCGTATGTGCGCGAGGTGTTTCAAAAGGATGCCGAAATGCGTTACTGGCCTTGAGCGGTGGTAGGTCAAGTTCTACCATTACGACCCTTGCATTTCGAAATATCTCCTGTCACCGCCTTCAGATTAGCGCTTTTATGTTGCTAGAGAGATCTGCGGGAGGTGAAGCGCCTGCTTCTTCGGAAAGCACAACACATACAGTCCGAACAGACGCACTGGTGAACGTTTCCCGTTACGGAAGTGGGTCCACTACTGTGCAGCAGGTATCTTCTTGAAAGCTTGGCTTCGTGCATGCTGCCTGCATATACAAGCCACCGTACGAGCTGTGGGCCAAGAAATTCCGTGGAAGGATGTCACTGAATTCTGTACCGTGTATTGGCCCCAGGGTCGATGCCAGTGCTTTGTTAAGATAGGCATGTATAACGGATTGGCCGTCCCCCCTGCGAAGTTTGCCTCAACCATGCAGCTGTTACCGCTGAAGGAGCGCGGGGATGGTCGAAAAAATGGTGCACTTGCCTCCTTGTCGATGCACAATGCGCGATTGACCAATCTATAGTTGGTCGGTTTGCTCTAATGAAGCAGCCACACCGACGCACGAAACCCAATCTTCATGTAACCCTAGTTGAATCAATCACCAGGCGAACTCACTAAAATCAGTCAGCCGCAAGACCATCCAACTTGTCAAATTACTAACTTTCCAAGATATTAGAGATTCAGTTTCTCGATGACTTCCAAGCCCCTTGATTGTGAGGAAGGGACTGGAAAACCGGCTCGACAGGTACGATACTGAGAAGTCAATCCCAGTTCGGCTTTGCCAATAGTTGCCTGTGACTGCAGGACTCCGCGTTACCGTTCGGCGAACTGCTGCATCAATACGTTGGCGCTTCGTGGCTATGGTTCTCACGGAATCCCGCCTAGGGTCCTCCGTTTCTCACGTGATCCACAGCCATGGAACCCGCCATCCAAGCTGTATGCGGCTCCCCATCAGTCGAGGGAGTCGCCAATTCGGGGTTAGTGTGCATGGTACTGCAGCTAGCAGGCTCAGGCTCTCGGCCGCAGTAGAGGCGTGACGCTGGCTATCGATCATGCCCACGCATGTGATCGTTGTTAAACTCCGTTACAGCATTGAAAGGGCAAGAGAGACCGAAATTTACTTCCAAAGCGTATCTTGTCCCCGTCGGTTCTAACAACCATGCTGTACCGTAGACATCTTCCTCCGGTTTTTTCCTTTTGTTCGGGCTCCGAACTCCGAGCCATATGCTCTCTCAGTAAAGGTGTATCCAAGCACGCGTTTCATCTCTGCTCGTCTACAGGTTCAGATTGAGAGGGCCTCGTATAAAAGATTGGGTAGTGCGCGGCTCACCGCCTCGCAGGTAGTCACGTTCGTGTGCATGATACCCGGAGGGCTACACCCAACAATCACAGTCTGCCGCTTGGTAAGGGGGATTCATCGAACATCAGCGGGTTCCAGAATGGAAGGTGACACAACTCTAAAGGTTCTCGTTAGTCCCGACAGCCGCTCCCTTTCTGATGGCGGATGAATGCAGGAAAGATCTGCTGCTGCGTAACAATAGCGTGGGCTGACGCTGAGGAGAATCGGCACTGCAGCCCCCACGCAGAACGCTGCACGGTGGTTGCAGGAGAGGGAGAGAAGTTTAGGCGGAGATCTGGACATGCGCAGAAGAAAGTGGTAGAAAAAAAACGCTCACTAAAGAGGCTACAGCAAAGTAGAGCGTCAAATTTGGGCCACAAATTCACTCACACGTCCAAGACGGTACAACCAAACGAAACTTATTTTTGTTCGTCTGAGAATCTTTTCTTCACCTAATCACATTATTGTCCTGCGAAGCAACAAAGAAACGTATATTTGCTTCACAAGCCTAGATTCTCGCCTATTTACGAAAAGCAAAACAGAACGATTCCCCGCTAGCCCGCCAACCCACGTTGCATCCCTTTCGAGCGTTACATCGCATCTACTGCTCCCAAAACGCTCCTGCAACACGCGACGCAAAAATCGCATAAATAGCCGCTCATTCCATCTATCCAGCTATTCTCCTCCCCCCCGGGACTCGCTCCTTCGTACCCGTAACCATTTTCTGAGTACACAATGTCAGACGCTACGCACAACGAGCCGGCACCGTACCGCCGCAAGCACAGCACCGACTACGATATGATCAAAGATATATCACGCGCGAGCGATGCGCGTGCTGACGAAGCGCTCGTGGACGACGAGACGAAAGATGTAGTGGCCGCCAGTGGCCTCGCAGCCAACTCCACCAAGGGCACCCACACCGTGTTTATTCACAAGCTCTACAACATGCTCGAGGATGCGCAGATCCGACATCTCATTTGGTGGACCGCGGCGGACGATGGATTCTACCTCATTCCCGGTGAGGAGTTCTCCAAGGTGTTGTCGCAGTACTTTAAGCACACCAACATCGCGTCGTTCATCCGGCAGTTGAACATGTATGGTTTCCACAAGGTCAACGACCTGTTCCACTCGCTCACCAGCGAGGTCACCAAGTGGGAGTTCCGCCACCTGTCGGGCAACTTCCGTAAGGGCGACCTCGAGGGCCTCAAGGCGATTAAGCGCCGCTCGCTGAAGAACACGCACTCGCACCGCGAGGTGGTGAGTCTCAAGGCGTTACCTGCAAACGGCATGGACATTTCAGGTGCTGACTCGCCGGTGCTGGTTGCGGACTACTCGGATGTGGAGTCGCGGTCCAATTCGGTAATTGACATGCAGTATACCGGGGCCGCGGTTCCTGGCGAGCCGGCCAGCCTCAACGCGCGCCTCGGTGAGCTTGGCCACAGCCTTGCAGCGCTCCGTCATGAGCATGCGCGGCTCCAATCGCGCTACGACACAGCCGTTGATGACTTAAAAAAGACCAACTTGGACATGGCGCACCTCGTGGACATTGTTCTGAAAATGATCGATCAGCGCATGGGCGACAAGCTGCTCGGCATGCGTAGCTCCACCAGCTCCTCACACTCGCATTCCGGCAAGCCCGGAATCCCAGAGCGTGTGGCGACGCCCGTTCTGCGCAAGCTCCACGATGACGACATGGCCTCGCCCACAAGCGGCATGAAGCCAGACACACTGCGTGACACGCTCGAGCGCGAGATCATGATTTTCCGCAACAGTGTGATGCAGCGCGCGGCCGCGTATGAAACCATCCAGTCGCAGACCCACATGGCCCATTACTCCGGCCCGCGGCCGCTGGCGTCGCGCCTGAACGAGCGCTTGCAGCAGCCGCGTGCGCAGTCTTACCAGGCATACGCGTACCAACCGCAGCAGCAACGCACCAACTCAGCGGTTACATATGCGTACCCGCCGGACCCCAACATGGGTTTCCAACAGGTGCGCTTCGGCAGTACTTCCGGGTCGCAGCGCCACATGTCAGTGTTATACGATCCGCTCGCGCCCGCGCCGTCGTCACAGCGCAACTCGATCACCACCCCGGGTGCTGCCCAGCCGCAGGTGATCTACTCGCCCATCGCGATGGTCGGGACTACACCCACCGCCACGGGCCACCCGGGGCTTGGCGAGTCACCCGTGCAGTCGTACTTTGAGGCGAAGCGCCACATGAGCCAGCTGGAGCTTACACGCGTCTATTCACCGTTGAATGGCGACCTGGCGCCGACCTCCATCCCCACCGCCGGCTCCCAACCCACATCCATGCCAGGCAATTCCTCCGGTCCCGTGAGCAGCAACCCGACATGGGAAGCTTTCGCTGCGCGCCCAACGCGTCCAGCTTCTGCCTCCTCCAACGGAAGTTTTTCTCGCGATGCCGCCCCCGACGTTCATTTTTCTAGTAACAGCCGCGCAGGCTCGATTCAAATGCAGCTGTACCAACAGCTGGCTCAACAGCCCGAGGTGACGGTGTATATTCCACGGACGTATCCGTACAACGTTCCCCACCAACGGTCGGGATCCCATCCGACAGGGTATCCAGTCCAGCTGTATCCATCGCTGGCGTCTACGACGGCTTCGCATCTCGCTCCGGGCTGGCACACGCGTTACGCATCGGCCGAGTCTCTTCAGGCTGAGCGTCCGGCTCCGCCTGGTGCCGTGCCGTCGCCTCGAAGCGATAGCAACGCGATACAGCAGCCTCCTCGTAGCGTACCGACCGTCGATGTGAGCGTACCGATTCGCTGTGATACCCCCGAAAGTCCCACAGCGAGGGGGCCTCAGGCGCGGAACACTATCCCGGCGATTGTCTACCCGGCGCTGCCGTCTCAGTTGCAGCCAGCGCCGAGCATCCGGAAGTTGCCATCGGTAAATTCGCTCACGTCGCCGCCTGCGAATTCGGGTGTGTATTCGTTGTTGAACCACGAGGGCAAGGACGAGGAGAAAATCGAGAAAATCGAGAAAACCGAGGGAACTGAGAGAACTGAGGAGACAAATGAGAAAAACGATAGGAAGCGGTCAAACAGCGAGGGTGAAGACCAGGACAAGAAACCGAGGATTTAGACCGCCATTCCTGATCAATAAATGCTGGGTTTGGAGGGTTTGTATCCGGCCTTTTCGGCTTTCCTTGATTTATGCTCATATCGTAAGATTTCTACAATACGAGGTACACCTCGTAAGTAATAGTGAATACCATTAGCTAAGATTTTTTTTGTAGATATTTACAAACAGACGGGCCAATTTTCTACTGAGGGCCGGCAAGGTGAGCAACAACCATTTAGCTTGGGCCGTAGCCAGATGGAAGCCAATGAGAACTTCAGGTTACACCTATAGCCTGATAGTTAAGTACCAAAATGTGCATAAATAACAGCCTCCAAGAGTTTTTTTTTTTTTTTTTTTTAAGTATTGGCAGTATTTAGTTGTTGGTTTTATTCCTATATCAAGCAGTTCCAATACAAGCTGTAAACCTCTTGGTGGTGCGGCTCACGCGCGGCTAGAAAAGTATTAAAGATTGAGTGAAAAACTGTACCAGCAAAATTTCATCTCAGCGAACAATATACCTCTCGCAATGAAATACGTCATCGAGCACATGGAGACTGGGTTCTCCGAATGGACCATCTTGGAATACTCCCAGATTATCAGAGATCTCGGCAAGGAGAACTTGTTCTTGACCTCGTTGCCACAGGGCACCACCGAGGCCGATATTCCGTCACGCTTAGTAGCTTTAGGACTCCAATGGACCACTCAGGAGGTTATCGACATTGTCGGGGGACAAGAAAAGGCCAAGGAAGTGTGTTTGTTGGACCCAAGAGCCACCCAAGACTTGGTTCCGGCGGATGCCACCGAGTTTGAGTACTTTGTCTTTGGTGGGATCTTGGGGGACCATCCGCCAAGAGACCGTACCGGTGAATTGAGAAAAAAGTACGGCTTTGCTGGCAGAAGATTGGGTAAGTTGCAGATGACTACCGACACTGCCATCAGAACCACCCAGCTCATCGTCGCCAACAAGACCGCCTTCGAAGACATCAAGTTCATCGACTACCCCGAGTTGAGATTCTCCACCTATGAGGCCACTGAGATGCCGTTTCGCTATGTATTGGACACCAACGGCAAGCCGATTTTCCCAGAGGGAATGTTGGAGTTGATCAAGAACGACTCCGAGCAGTCCATTGACGACCTTCTCTAGATGGTGGGTTTCTGTATTTTTAGTCAATTATCGTAACGAATCGCATTGAAATTGTAGCAACTCCCTGGTGAATGAGTTGGCCAGATATTTATACTATGGTTAGTCTAAAACAAGGACAAATATGCATTTTTATCACAACCACGTTATCAATTTCAACTCCAAAATGCTATATATATATATATTATTTATCTACTCAAAGCGTTAAACCAGCACTGACCACGCCCGTTTTCAGTTCTCTGACAAGATCCCTGCTCACAACCTTCGATCATCAACCACACGTGGGTTTCAACTTTCCGCTTTGATCAACATTTCCGGACACAAGAAATAGTCTGGCAGGCTCAGACTCTGCGCTGTCAACGCCCGCTCTTGAATATGATCTGGTTCAAGCTTTTCTTCACGAGCAATCTGAATCAAGCTCAATCTCGCTCTCGTCTTAATCGCCGTTGCTCATGTCATACATCTTGGCATCACGCCAGTAGTTCTCCACCCGGAAGCGCTGTAAAACTTCGATAGCACTGGCGTCGGTGGTGAACCACTCGCTGGACCATCTCTGGAAGTGAAAGTCCTTCACCTGGCCCTCCCAGATCAACAGACACTTGTTGTGAGAAAGATCCTCGATCTCAATCCCTATAGGATCAGTCTCCCCCTCCTGGAGCAACCGCTTGGCAACGGCATTCTCCTGCCAGTCTATACGGCCCATGATCAACTTTTTAAAGTGGTTGATCGCCTTTTGTGCCCCCTCGACAATCACTAACGAAAACTGCTTCTCCTGGTCCCCGTCAAGCGCGGCATTGCTGGGACTCAGCTTTGCGTGAGCCCCATCGTGCACAAGCATGACCCCGTGGAGCTTCAACTGTTTGGCGTTAATGTTCAACTTAAACCGGTGTTGGGGGTTGACCAAGCGGTCAACGCGGACCACACAGCTGAAGATGCCTTTGTCCAACTCTTTCTGGTTTTTTTCAGCCAACTTCTCCAGCTTTGTCTCTAGCGCTTGCGCATGCCTCGCTTGATTCTCCTTCAAATGAGTGAGTCGTCTCTCTTCAATCTCGCTCTGGACCTGCATTTCAATCATGGTTGGGTCCTTGATCGACTCGTTCGTCAAAACATTCATCAAGTTTTTCAACTTGATTTTAGGCTTCGGCGTCGGATCCAACCCGAGCCGGATGCGGTCCTGGCGCTCCCTGTCCAACTCTGTCCGGTTGTTCTTCCGCAACTTTTTCAACTCCTTCTTAGTCAAGTAGAGTTTTGCCGGCTGCGCCTCCGTTTCCCACGGGGCTGGCATAGGCACCGGATGCTGTATATACAAGGTGATGGGCGGATCCTCCGCGTCCTCGCTGTACGGAATAATGTAGTTCTCGAGCATATCGGTCTCATTCTGGAAGCCATAGCTCCGCTGTTTGAGGTACGGCTCATCCCACCACTCGACTCTGGGTGGCATTTTTGGCACAAATAAATTCTCCCCCACAGACTCGTCTGCGACCAATCCCTGAGACTTTAAAAGCTCCTGGTGCGCTCTGGCTTCGCTCTCCTCCCTCAATTGCGCCCTGAGTTCCTCAGCCTTGGCAATGTACTTTCCTTTGACATTGAATTGCAAACCCTTTTCCTTCCGTCGCGACTTTACCGCGTATTTCATGTCTTCCTGGTTGAGATACGGGTTCAAGGCGCCAAACTGAAAGTTGTCACGCGGTCCAGTCTTGCCGGCTGCTGAGGCGATGGGCAACACGGGGTTGAGCACTGGGTTGTAGTCTTTGTCTATTGTCATCAGTGCGTTTGGCCGCAAGAGCGGATGGATCTCCACGTTGAGACCCTTGGCTTTGAGCACGGTGGCGGGCACCGCTTCGCTTTGTCTACTTGCAGCCCTGGCTTTTGCCTGGGCGATTCGCTCCATGAGCTCTGGCGACATGGAGGAGGATCTGGGTTCGCCCGTGCGCTGTTTTTTGGCGGGTGGTGGCATTTTATATGTGGTTCGTGTGACTTAGCGCTCAGAGTCTGGAATGAAAGGGTGTGGTAATGCAAACCGTGAAATTAAACCGTCTGCACTTTTTTTCCTACAACCTCTGCGATGTGACATTGTTCGCGCACGTCCGAGTTACGGCACAGGGCTAATATCCTCTACACCATCTAGACTTTGGGAGATGTTGGATAGCTAAGGTTACTATACGATTGGATTGTTAGTTGGTAAGAATTATTATATGTGTCAGCTTAGCATGAAATAGACTTGGCGAGGCATCCGCATTACCTCCCATTGACAACCGGCTACAGTTTCACCGTGCTACAAAGGCTGGTGCCACATTACCCAAGCCAAATATTTATTCACCATGTCAACTCACGACCCCTATGGCAGTGTGTTTTCCTTGTCGTTCTCATCGATCGGAGGGGCCATGACCAATCGTGGAGGAAGCGCGTCAAAGTGCGGGGAGCTCACAATGCGGGTCTTCTTAAGCGGCGAACCGTGCTTCAGGATGTTGGAGAAGGATCTCGACTCTCGCAACGGTGACAGCCCATCCATACCGCTAGAAGCTTCCACGTAAGGCGAAGAAGCACGGTTGCTTTCGCTCAGCTTCTTCGATAAGGCCATCATGGTAGTGGAGGTGAAAATGTTTTTGTAATTTTCAAGCACCAGACCACTGATACGAGCCTGAAGCTGCGAGTGGGAGTCGGACAACTCCTGGAACTCAGCGAACCTCGTACGATACACCCCCTGTAAATTTCCCATTGTTGTGTCAAGCGCCACTTTCTGCGCCACAAGCTGCTTGATCTCCGCCAGTAAATCTCTCTGCTCTTTCCGCAAGTCTTCAATGTCCGCAACGCGTTCGCTAAGCTGTTCGTTCTCCAAGCCCTTGAGCCTGAGCTCCGCCTGCAACTTCTCGATGAGGGAATCCTTTGTGGCATTGTCCTTTTCCAATAAGGATTTTTCACTGGCAAGGCGCTCGTTGGCTAGCTGTAACGTGCTATGGGCATCAAGATCGGCTTTTAGGGAGGACAACGCCAGCCTGACAGACTCATCCACGGTTTTGGTTGTCGCGTCGTGCATAGACGAAACAGAGGTGTGGAGGTTACCGATACCCACCTTCAAGGCGTCTCCCACGGCTTGCAAATCGTCGGTAACCGCCGCGTGGTTTTGTTTGGTCAAGTCGACCGCGCTCCGGTGGTTGGCCTCGTGTACACCCGTATCCACAAGCTTCTTGAGCTCTGTAAAATTGAGCTGGAGGGAGTGGAGACCCTCACAGACGGCGATGTGGCTGGAAGTTTGCGTTTCCTTTATGAAGGAGGTAAGTTCCTGGATGGTTTTATTGGCCGAGTTGGTGCCTTCCAGAATCTTCTCCGCTTCCTCGTGTAGTAACTTGGTGATACCATCGGTGTTACTTGTCGCCTGCTCCATGGTTCTGGCTGCCACCATGTCAAACCCCGTGAGAGCTGCAGCTTTTGAGGCTGTAATCTCTGACACGATAGATTCTATCTGTTGGGAAAGGTCATGTTTGGTGGTCATTCTGTCAGCAGCATCCGACTCCAACTTAACGCTCAACCCCTTTATACCCTCGGCTAGGCTCTCCAAGCTCTCTTCAACGGAAATTCTAGTTTGTGCGTCCCCGAGCTTTTGTATAACATTGTCTGAAAGGGTCTCAAGTCCAGCTTTATGTACATCCGCCTGTCGCTGCACCATTTCCTCGAACTTCTGGGTATTCCCCACAAGTAATCCCTCTACCAAGGCACTCAACTCGGCTTTACTAAACGTTTCCTGTTTGAGTTCGCTGTGTAGCTCCGTAAGCGCCTTGAGGTCCGCACCAATGCGCGCGCAAATGTCGTCGCGCAACTCCGGAAATGTGGCGCCTTCGCTAATAGCCTTGGTCATTGTCGACACAGACTCTTTCACTAGCGCCTCAATGGCTTCAAAGCGCGGCAACATTTCAGCCTCGAGGCTAGAATTAAACCGCTGGTGCACCTCAAGCTTTTCCATGAGCTTGTCACTCAAACGGTTCAAGCGTTCCTCACTGGCTTCGTTCGATTCCTTGGACACGTGGATCTTTTGGATGAGGTCCTTCAAGTAGTTGTTGTTGTTCTTTGACCGGTCGCACAAGTTCTCGAGATCTACCTGGGTCTGGCGAACTACAAAATCCAAGTCCAGTAACTTGGTGCTGACTTCCTCGTTGTGTTTGTTCAACACCTCCAATCGGATATCCAGCGGCAGCTCAGGCTTCCGGTTGAGCGAGTACATCTTTGGCGGTACGGCAATGTCCTTCAATGGCTTGGCCATGGCGTTGGCTTCCCACATTTTCTTGGTTCCTGCAAAATTTTCACTGCTCACTTTTGACGGAATATCAATCGATGCATCAGACTTTCGGAGCATGGTACGGAGAATGGTTTATATCAGGAAAGGGATAGACATCCACCCTCGCGTAAACTTCTAAGCGCTGAGCGTTTTGACGTCACAAAACAGTCGAAAAGTAAACAAACATTGAACAGCGCACGACCAAAATGCATATTTGGATCTATGGGGGCCGTTTCATATATTGCTATCAAACAGATATTGACGGAACGGTGATACAAATATAATGTTGCGATTGCTATCCATCTGTCCAGTCTAAACTCACAATTAGCTCGACGGTTTTTTTCTCCCCAGCTCCAAAAGACGCTTCGTATATACTCTTACGGTGCCTACAAAGTTCAACATCCCTGCCACACACTCGATTCAAACAAAGCATTTATTAATCAAGGCTACAGAACATGCTATAAGGACGAGCCAATTCCAAAAGCTCCTAGTCGTGGAGCAAGCATGCAGTGTGCTCCATGGCCTTAAAGCCCTGCTGCGAAAGCGCACGGACGGTACCGGTACCACTTCTCATGGTTTTGGTTACAAAACCGCCCTCGGTCTGAAGCTTTCTCTGCTCGGTAAAGGTGGTACCGGTGTGTTTGGCGGTATTCCATGGCAACATTACCGCCTTTGGGGTGGCCCGCATACCAATCGTGCCGACAAGCGTGAGGGAGCGGGTGAACTCGTTGTAAAAGCCGTCACGCGTTAACACTTCATCTCCGCCTTCTGGAAAGTAATTGCGAATTGCCCGCTCAAACACCCGGTTGACAGGTCTGACGACGGGGTCTACCACGCCTGCTACACGCGGAACCACATGGCTATCGACGGCGAATCCAACCGTGGAAGCACCGCTATGTAACCCGTTTCTCACCGGCGCAAATACACGCTTTTCCAAGGTTTCTTGGACCTGTTTGTGCCGAGAAACCACCTGTCTGGCAGCCTCCTCTGAAGCGTGGGCAATGGGACAGGTAATGTCCCAGACCTGGACCGTTTGCAACTGCGGGACAACCTTGTCGAGCTGGTCAAGAGCGCCGTTTCCCACAGAATCCACGGCGTGGGAAACCGGGGCCACCACTCCACTGTTGCGAATGGCAGAGAGGTGTGGGGCAACGGAGTTGGTAAAGAAAGACGAATGGCCTGGTGTGGCCTTTAATGCCGTGTGCACGATCGGGTACTTGTGGAGATGTTCCATCGTCTTGCTTTCTCCCAAGTGGGCAGCACCGACTGGAGCTTCAGTGCCTTCTGGAATCTCTTCAATGTTAGACATAGTAGCAATGGGGGGGTCAAGACTAGTAAAAAAAAGCCTTGATATTCAAAAGAAAAGGAGAGAAATGTTTATTATGAATGGGATGTTTATATTCAAGTTTAGCAGTACGTAAGGCGGTTTCAGGTATCAAAGACCCGTTGTGTGGTTTGTGGATGTCGTAGAGTCTTGTGTATTTTCATGTGGCCACGTGCGTTTCTGTCGATATCCATTTATCTCCTTTTTGGAGTATTTTGTGGATTGCATCGCATACTATCATTTTATTTTATGGCCCGTTATACTGTTTTGTGTATTTTGTTGCGTTTCATTGCGTCTCAAGTAAAGATTGTTGCATCACACTCTTTTGTGAACCTCATCGCTTTTTGTGGCCCATAATGCTACTATTAATGCAGCCAACTCGAATTAATGATATGACCAATAGTACCAACACCTCACAAACCCTCCTGTTCGCTTTGTTATCTCTTCCATACGTTCCCTCTGTCTTCCAGCTAGTCATTGCCGCACCTTCACTGCTTTCTGTGGAGGTGCATGGGGCATATGCGCTCAAAATACACACCAGTCGTTGCGTGTCCCTACCGCCGATCGCGTGACCATCCAAAAAGACCCATTCCTTTTCATTTAGAGCACAAACTGGAGTACTTTTGTTAGATAGCGCTCTTCGGCAAAGTATTTTATATATCGTATAGATCCCCAAGCTAAAGGTTATTTTCTCGCTTCATTATCGTGGCACAACCCTTTAACTCACGTGACGCACTGCTCTTGCCCAAACGGGAAAGGTAAACAAACGTACATATGCAGCGCGCGAAATTTACTGGTGGCACGAGTACTAAAGCAAATCTCTAAACGGATAGCTGAGCCATACTCACCACAAGACCATATACACTATCGGTCAAATATCCAGTCCCTTGCCTCCAACCCTTGCTAGACTTCCAATGGCCTCCGAATGGAGTCAGCTCGACGACTTGGTCCACGGCAGTTCCGACATGTCGTACTTCGATGACGAGGTGTACGTGGACGAAGAAAATATGGACCCTTGCAAGGCCGTACCGTTACACCACAACCAGTTGCTAGACGGTCTAGACAGTTCTCACAACCCGCTCCTCGTGGCACCCTCGCTTCCACCGCCAGTAGGTCCCTTTTCCTCTTTACCCAGCCTAGCTTACAGACCGGATTCGGGTAGCTCCTCGCTGTCCCGTCCAAACTCTTCAGAGTTGCTTGATGACCCAGTACTTGATTCTTACCTCTCATACCGCCTTGACGGCGAGTCGCAGCGCAAAAAAAAAGTGGAGAGCATGATGTACCAGCTCTCGTTAGACGACAAGGACTTGGACTTGGACGACGTGGGGAGAGCTTCCGCGCGTTCCAAAGCTTTCCGTGTCCATGGAAGCAAGCAGCGGTCGAGATCACCGATTAAAAAGGCGTCCAGAGACAGGAAAGTCACTAGATCCAACTTCGGCAAGCTCTTTGACGTGGAAGACGAGTCTGCGTTCAACACGCCGGCGGAAACCTCGTTGGACCTCAGTTTGGACGAGTATTTCGGTATCAGCTCTGCTACACGCCCCAACACAGACAATATTCTCCGAGAGCTAGACCACAACGCGGGGTTTGACCCGTTTGCCGAAAAGACCGCGCTCAAGCGGAGCGTACCGAGCCTCCACGCCCCGCACAAGCGCTCGAGCTTGATTCCCGTAACAATAAGCCGTCTTGGTGCACGAAAGGTGGTTACCGAGTCGCCCAAACGAATTTTCCGGCCGAATAAACACCACTCTGCCCGTCCGATCCTCAAGCCACCAACCTTTAACCGCCTCAATATGCTTGTGTACGCGTCTAATGGTGATCTAGACGATGCGACAAAGTACGCAACTGAGCTTAACGCGACCAATGCTCGCGACATCCCGCTACCTGATAACACTGACGAGGTAGTGACAATTCCCGTTGCCAACTCCAAGCAGAGCGCAAAGGCCGCGATCGTCCGCGCCGTCTCCATCGCGCTGGCTCAGGGCCTGTCATCTACGGCTAATCGGACCCGAGGTGTGTACAGCGAAGGCGACTTCGAGGTGTATCTTATGGATGGAAAGACCAAGTCACCTGTGTTGGGAGTGGAAATGGAGGAACGACAATCGGAGAAGCATCAGAGTAAGCGGGTGAAATACCCGATGGCGCAACGGAGAGTAAATTGGGCGCCGAATTTGGAGTGGTAGTCGGTCAGGCCTGTACACTGTTTATGCACTAACATATCAATCTAATGCTTTAATTTTGACATTAATCTATGCTTAATCTCGACACCAATTTATGCTTTAATTTTGACATTTTAAACATAGTCGATATTGTTGATAGAGGAAGGCGTATATGTAAAGGAAAGCTATGCATACTATGGCTACAGACGGTTCATCCTCGCCAGCTCTAGAAGGAGATGTCCAGGGAACTGCCAAACCCCTCCTGTATTTCCTAGTCGCTAAAGCCAGTGGATATCGTAAAATCTTCCAGTATAACTGTCGCTTCTCCAGGTGTGGTTCTTTCATCTTTAACAGCCGCAGTTTAGCTCCTGTAATAAACTGAAGATACTCCCGCATGAACCCTATTACATTTTCCCATAAAGTATCCACTGTTCAGTGTAGCTCCAAGAGTGCTAAATTGAATTCATACATCTTGCCGTTGTCGTTCATAAACTTGACGTCGTAGGGAATGTCACAATGGTATTCAATACCCGACTCCACTCTCCATCAATAGCGGTAGTTCTTCATATTGACCAAACGGTAGAAAACCCCGAGTTAGAGCAACGCATGTGTCGGTAGAACTCTGAGGCTCCGTATTTGATCTTGGCCTCTTCCATCTCCTTCCGTACCGCTGCAATCCGTTCCTGATCCATTCAGTCAGGGTATTCTCAGTACTCCTTGGGAAACTCCGAAAAGCAGGCATCATCGGAGATCAATGATTGCACCGCTTCAATAAGTTCTCGGTCAAAGGACTCATCGTTGGCAAAAACCCAGTCGTAATATTTCGGGTTGAACCGTTTTTCCATGCTACTGGTCTATTTGACAATTCCCAGCAACCCAGCGTTCCGCACAGGCGCAAGGAGACAAGCACACTCTTTGCCGTTCTCAGTTTCAGCTGAGTATGTCGAAGCACTAGAGTCTATAGAGGGGGATGGGTATGCTATGAGAAAGACTACTAGCGTAAAGAGCGAGGTTAATAGGATGAGTCCTTTCCTATGGGTCTCCACACTAACTATGAGTTGCTTTATTATTGAAGGAGAAGTTAATAGCCAAACGTTTCATTGAAATTAAAACCTTCTGAAAGCCAGGAACCCCCTGCTCTTATAAAGCACCTGTCGCGGTGCATAAAACCACTCTGGTGTTCCAGGATGCATGTCAATGTTTCTTGCATCGCGCACGATCAGAGCTACCATCCTCATGTAACTACCTTTCTCTATGATAACCATTTATATCTTGTTACCAGGCGTATTGGAATCCTTTCCGGAGTATTGCATAGCCTCAAACGTTAGAGGGCAGATGCCGAAGATGCCGATTCCAACACCGAGCAAGGCGCAAATCCCGAGACTATACCTTGCAGGATCCGGGAAATGAAAATTCCGCACCTGCATGTTTCGGCATATTAATAGCGCAGCCATAACCGAGAACGGAGAGGTTGTGAATTTTGAGTGTAAATCCTAAGGTTGAATCGGGATATTGTTTCAGAGGTGCATGCATACCTTGGTGCATGATCCGTCATTTCGGGCTTTCATAACAGAAGAGCTTGAATAGGCGGTTCTGCTGAGCTCATCCCCGACTAGTGACCTCGTTAAGCGTTGGGGTGTACTTGAAAGTCTTGTGTTACATACGCTGCTTATCTTATGCGAGATCTCGAAACTTTAGTATCCTTGGTTGTGAATATATTTAGAATTTTAAACGTGAGATTCGACTTGTTTCAGGGGGTTATAGAGATTAAGCCACTGTCAGAACCACTTAATCGACATTCCTAATTTGTAAATATCAAGCCTAGCCAAATTTAAATAGATAGGCTGCAGGCAGAGACCTAGAGTAAATGGGCGATGCCAAAGCTACTCCGGTGCATAAAAATTGCTATATTTGACTCTCAACGTATTCGAATCTCCATTAGCATAGTCTTGTAGCGGCCTATTACTACATTAGTGCTATCTCATAAATTTTATTCATTTTCAGCGATCGATAGTTCACCCACCTCTCTCCTCCCTAAAGATACATTCCTGACGTGGAGGAAGTTCCACTGAAGGACTTTCTCACGCCGGCGCTGACGGTGCGCATGTACTTTTCCGCGCCAGCCTCATCCAACCGCAACAAGCTGCCCAATATCATACAGCAGTCGATCATTACATCGGGGGAGATTTTCTCAAACCCCGAGTTTCCCTCTGCATTGAGCGCCAAACAGAGTAAATCCGTGTCTGGGCAGGCAGCCACCACCGCGGCGGAAGGACCGGTGACAAAGAGTGGCGGCTTCAAGTGTGATACCTGGGGCAACAATGGTGACGAAAACACCGCTTCATCGCGTGTGAATAATTTGCTCAACGAGTCGTTGTTGTTCAACCAGGACGGCGCTAGAGCGATAACCTTGCTCTTTGATCCCAACACAGCAGCCACCTTCTCCGCCACCAAGTTGTACACGATAGTGTCCTGGAAGTACGGCACCAGCACCAGCACAACTTCCGCGCCATCGCAGGTGAAGGCATGGATATCAAACGATTGCGGTTTGTGGAAGCTGTGGAGATCTACAGCGCGATAGAGCTGTTCGTCCTCGTCGTATTCTTCGGTCTCGGCAGCAGCGGTAGTATCAGGGTAAGTGACGTGGATCGTACCAACTGTACGGGCCTTTTCCGGGATAGCAGTCAAGATAATGTCAATGAGAGAGGGCGCCACGAGTAGCGTATCGAACGTGGCATTGGCCCAGTCGATGGTGACGATTGGGAGCACGGGAGAAGCTTCGTACCGCTCTTCAATCACACGGTCCTGGATGATGTGGCGTGGCGTCGGAAGCTCCGTAGAAGGTTTGATCTGAGATTGTTAGCATGAATTGGTATATGCAATCGTAATACATACAAGCATTTGAGTGAAGATGAAAAAATAGGATGATAAGGTCATGTATGGGCAAACTGTTAAGTACATTTGCATCCTGCATGGATTTGCCCTCAGAATTTATCATGCATATAGGTCTTGGACGATGTATGATATTTTATCAACCTTTTAAAGATTAGGAGGATTAGGCTTTAAAGTTGAAGATCTGGTTCGAGCTTCTCCTTTCTCTATATCTTTCATGGGAATATCTCACGAAAGTTTCTAAGGAAAACCTACCACTTCCCACCTCGCCTTTTGTCAGCCTAACCAATCGACAGCCATCTTCTGCTGCATCTGTATATTATCCTGTACACACCAAGTAGATATTGCCTCTATTTTTCGACGCTATTGATTTCAGAGGCATTCACTCTTCATCCACCACTCTATCCGTTACCATGTCAGACAAGGCTAAATTCGAGGAGTTATCGCTCCAATTCAACAAGCTCCAGCAAGACTTGAACGATTTCATTACCAGCCGCCAGAAGTTGGAGACCCAGTTCCAGGAGAACAAGATTGTCCAGCAGGAGTTTGAGCTCTTGGAGGATGGCGCCAAGATTTTCAAGTTAACCGGGCCGGTGTTGTTACCGCAGGACCAGGAAGAGGCCAAGATGAATGTTGAAAAGAGAATCGAGTTCATCAAGGGCGAAATGTACGTATCGTGCGACTGACATGAGGACAATTACTAACAAGCCAGCGAACGGGTTGAGAAGAAGGTGGAGACCACCCAGAACGACATCGAAAATACCAGAAACGAGATTTTGGTGTTGAGATCCAAACTCCAGCCAGGTGCATAACCAAAAGTACCAATAAGCGCACGGATCCACAGGTTTCCTGACCAGAGTGCTATGATAATGCTTCTCCACACCGCTCTTTTATGAGTGATATGTATATTAAGATTAGTTTCAGACTGTTTAAAGGTGTAGGATTTGTTAAAATAGAAATCAAGTCAGGTTTCTTTTTTTATTTCATCTACCCCTTAATATGAAAATCGTGAGCATTTCATATCTCTGTTGTTTGGCCTGATCCACCAAATTAAATATGAGAATACCTGGATCGCTGCTATCCAACTTAGCCAGTGTCAATAAAACCCGGTATTACTTCCGCTTCAAACTCTCCCACCTTGGTAAAATTACCCTACATCTACTTCCGTCCAACCACAAACTTAACTATATACAAGATTCTAGCTTCTGGTCAACTGACTTCTGATCAAGTTGACAAGCCCGATCATGTTGATGTACCCCCACTCCTCCATTGAGTTGTACGCGTACGCCATGTTTTCCATCTCACTGACCTGTTCCTTTACAAACGCCTCCACCTGGGCAAACTCCCCGGCCGGCAAGCCTGCCTGGTGCAACTCGCAAAGCACGTAGATTTTGGCAACGCTGCCGCGCTTTGCATACCATGCAAAGTCGTTCGATTTATCACCCGAGTAGTGGCACAAGTCGTCAGCCAAGTCGTACAACTCGGAAAGAGACGCTGCGATGTTCGCCGGCTGGACCAACTGCGCCAACCCACCCTGGAGCTGTCCCGCTACCGCCACGTTGTCTCGTAAACGCGCAATAAGCAAGTACTGCAACCTGTCGTATTGACTCAACCCGTTGACGTGTGGTAATTCATAGAGTGTTTTGGCGTGCTCAGCAACCATCTTGGCGCGCTGGGTCTTCATGTGGTAGAGCATGATAGCCATTGGCGCGGAGTTGGCGGTCTGGAAGCTCGTCGCCATTGACTGAGACTTTCCGTGTGCCCGCAAAGCGTTGATAAGTGGTTGTTCCGTGAATCCGAGCACTGGCACACCCTCCACCGGATTTGTGAGTGCGTAGTCGAGGATCTGGGACTCGTGGGGCGCGTAGAAGGCGCGGTCGGGGTGGTCCGAGGATTGGTAGAATGCCCTGAGAACCGGTGCACTGGTTGCGGAAAACGGCGAAGCAGTACGATGCAGCAACAAGGCTCTGGTAAGGGAGGTTCTAAGGAAAAGCATTGACTTGTGTTTTGAGTAAAGGGCGGGATAAGCGCTAGGGCCTTGAGGAGTTGCAGGTTTTATTTTGTAAGTGGTACAATCATGTTTGGTATATACACGACTATAGTATTATGATCTCAATTTGAGTGAAAGCAGTGCCAACATTTCCGATTACGAGATGTACTGATTCTATTTAAACCTGTCTTAATTTTTAGAAATTTGCTACTGAATAGTGTTGGTAATCAACGGTAACTAGTTATAATTTGCTTATCCCTTTGTAACAAAGTCTTGAATATGTAAATAGAGTATGTATATTCGTTAGTTCTGATACTAATGAAGGAATCGTATACCTTTTTATAGATAATCAGTTCTTCCTGTAGCTGCTTTTGATTATACCAAAATCTCTTTGTCATCGTTTAATGTTCTTTTGGCTCGCAGTGTGGTATTCTTCAAACAAACATGAAACATTCTCGTGGTACTAACAGCATGCCAGAACAGATTTTAACATTAATACCAGTAATCTTTTACAATCATAACAGAGACAGCAGTGAAGTCAAAGGTAGCCTCTGCCGGTAGGCATTCGGATATTCCCCAACTGCAAGATTACGGGCGTGTGGCGTAGTTGGTAGCGCGTTCGCTTAGCATGTGAAAGGTCTCGGGTTCGACTCCTGACTCGTCCATATCTTTTTATCTTCAAATGGGGTTCCTTTCGATACAGAACTGGAAAGACGATTCAATCATTTTTGGTAGCTTGAAGTTTGATACATTTGAAATATCCTTGCCCTGGCTATCTCCACCTGGCATTCAAGCAACGAGTAATGTATTCATCATCAGCTATAGGTGTAGAACGGGAAAGACATTCACCCAGCAGGCCGAAATACATCCCCCTCCATATTTAGAATCAGACTGTATCAATCGTCATTTACAAAGTGAATTGATTTGTTGGTAAAGCACCTCCATGTAGAGGTATTCTTTTTTCTATTTTTTTTTTTCTTTTTTGCGTTATAATGGCCTCACCAACTGTACCTTGTTGACCACTGCCATACCCGAGACTAGCGGTTGCAACATTCCCAAGAACTTTTCCGTGTCACCAAAAGATTCCCGTAGTTGTCCCCTGGAGCGCTTTAAACCTGGTAGAACCCTGGGATATTTCTCCAACAAGACCTGAGGAAAGAATTTGGGCATGACAAGCTCTTTCTGCTGGTCGTTGAACGAAGCAGTAAGGTATTTCGAGGGGGAAATCACCAGTTCTGTGAGTAAGCAGTTACCCTGAACCGCAATACACGTTTCGGAAACTTCCTGGCAGTAGCTGAGCATCCACTTGTAGCCAAAGGCTACTGCATAGTCAAACGCCTCGACGGAAACATCGTCTGTCCACCGGTAGTCCGCGCTCTCTGTATCCGTCATCAGGAGCAATTTTTCGCGGTAATCGAGGGCAAATACCTCAATAAATTCGGCCAAATGCTTGAGAAAGTCGTGTAAACACATGAAAAACTCCCAGGTGTTGTTTACGGCTGTTATCTCATCCACCGGAAACTTTCGCACGCGTTCGTACTTTCTCTTCGCATCGTAGATGTCCCATACGCGTCCCAGGACTGCCCTATGGGTCAAAATCTTCTCATAGTCAGGTGGTGCCTGCCCGTCTGTCCATAATTTCACCCGAAAGTAGCGAATCTTGGGAATGAAGAATAGCACAAGCGGCCACACCGGTTCGATGATGCCCTCGTGGAGGATTAGCATGAGCGCCGTTGCCTCTGGTACCAGGCTATACGTCTTGGCCACCACATGGGTTATCTGGTAGACGTTAGAGTCGGGCACAAAGTAATCAGAGCAGTAATACACATCCGTGTCCACGAGCATGCGCAAGAGCCTGAGGCTCTTTTTGAGGCTCTCGGTGTTTTCATGGAATGTTACGTCAAGCGACCGGCCTCGATATGTTTTTGCACCACTCCGGGTGGCCACTGTGGCGATCCTGATCGCCAGAATGCATTTCACAACCTCCTTCACAACCTCATGCACACCCTTGATCTCTATGTACTGCGCGTACACGTCTGCCCGGTGGTCCATCAAGAACCGGTCTTGGAGGTCTCGGAGGAGCGTCCACAGGACCTCAAGCCCCGAGTGGATGGATTGCGAAATGAGTGTGTCAAAGTTTCCCTTGAGCTTATCTAAGAACTCTGGGTGGGTCTGGGTGGCCTGCAGCCGGAAGAGGCTGTCCTGTTGGCTAATGCAGTCCTTGACTCCCAACCCCTGGCGCCGGTAGAGCTCGGGGTTGGCAGCCCAGGATCGATACCCCGTTCGGAGGAGGTGGTCGTCACGCAAAAATGGATTGGTGTATATGTAGCAGTTGAGCTCGTCAACAAAAATCGCAAGCTCAGCGTAGACCTTGATGTATTCGATACGGTGGTCCCAGCTGACACCCTTGATAGCTGCCATCTCACGTGCATTTTCGTGGACCATTTCCGTGGGAGGGGCATAATCTTTGGGAAGATCCCAGAGCTCTTCCACCGTGGAATCTGGCATGGTTTCGGGAGAAAGTGAATGATTGAAGAGGGTGTCCGGCTGAATGGCGAGAAATTTCAACGTTGATGCTGCAGCCTGTATGTAAGCAGGTGCATGCAAGATGAGCTGCAGGAGACTGAGAGCTGATTGGGGGAACGGTTTCAGGGGATCGATATCATGGATTGGTTATTAATAGTATTGGAAAATTTGGGGTTTCGATCTCTAGTCAAGGGATATTGTTGGTTTGTGTAATGTCTAATCTTGGTATGCACGTTTACCTTCCGTATTTAGCCTGAGTAGTCGACAACTACCTTGCATATTTGTTGTTCCGTGGGTCTAGTCGGTTTTCTGGATAAATTAGTCCCCTTAGATAAATAGTTATTCTGGTAGCTGTCCATTTATTGTGGTTGGGTTGTCTCAGAAGTTTTATATTGTTGTTTCTGCGTGAAATATTTGTATCTGGTGTTATGATACTTGGATTTGGCACGTCTGATCTTTATACATTTGATCTATATAATTCGGATTTTATGCTTCAGATCTTTGTACTTTGGATTTTATACCTCGGATCTTTATACTTTGGATCTTTATACTTTGGATCTTTATACTTCCAGATCACTGTGGTTATCCCTACAAGATTATCTACCTCTTGTACTTGCCCACCCATAACATGTCTATACCAAAACCCGCACAAACCTCTCTCCAAAATATCTATGCAAAATTTCCACCTCCATTTTCTCAGCTACACGATAGATAAATCATTCTTATTCAAATGCTCAGTATCCCATAACACTTCCTTCGGGCCAAAAGTCCACTTTATCTTTATGCCCACTTTATCCTTATGCCCACTTTATCCTATCGTCCTTATACTGTACAACTCTTATCCTTTATCCCTCTAACCTCCATCTATTCCACCCTGATATCCTGACAGCCGGGCGGTTTCACTTCCGACGCCAAATACGCACTATACTTGAAAAGCCCCCTGGTAGTCTCGGAGTAACGCGGCAGAAGCGCGCGGGGGTCACACTCCATCGACTCGAGATTGTCAAACACCGGCACTGGCAAATGTTTTGCCGCAAGCCAGGCATCACAATACGCGTTGCGCAGCGTGCCCTGTACCCCTTGCACTCCCAACGAGTCTATCGTTGTGCGCCGGAGCTCGCGCATCACCGATAGAATCCAGTCGTAGTCCACCATGAACGCAGCATACTTACACGTCTCGACCACCACATCATCTGAGTACTGATACTCTGCTCGTTCCTCCTCCGTCAACCCTTCCAAGAACTCCACGTAGGTGGTGGAGAAAACAGACACAAACTCTGCAAGCCCCGTGACATAATCAAGCAAACACTCGAAAAAGAGCCACACAGCGCGAATGGTCATGCGTGAACTAACACGGTTCTTTGTCGCTTGAGTGTATTGCACTTTTGCGGAATAGATGTCAAGCGATTTTTCACGGAACTCTGTGAGCAACACCACCAACTCAGGGTCTCGCAATGGTGGCAGAAACTCGTTTGCCTCTAGCTGCTTGTGAAAGTACTCCACCTTAGGAAAGAAAAACTCCGCTAGCGGCCAGACGTTTGCCACTATGCCCCCGTCTATTACCGCGAGAAAGTCGTCCACCGCGCTTGAGGGATAGAGGTAAAGCTGTGCGTGGATATATTCATGCGGAGAAAGGTAATCTTCCAGACTGGCCTCGCTCGACGCAAGAAGGTACGCGAGCGCGCGCGTGTAGCGCTGGAGATGCCGTAGGTGCCGTGCGAGGTCGCGCGCGACACCGCGCAACTGCGGCTCGTTAAAGCTGTTCGTCTCTTCTCGCCACGCAAATGACGACTCTAGCAACGATTTATTAATCCCTGAGACAGCCTTTGCTAGCTCCCTGTAGATCTCCTGGGTTCCGTGGGTCTCCACCATCCGCTTGTAGAACTCGGTCTGGTTGACCGCGTGGAATCGGTCGGGGAGCTCGATCACCGCATCCAATCTCGTGCCCATGTCCAGCTCAACGCACATGAGAAACATCTCGTTGATACGGCGGTCCACCTCCTTAAAGTCCACTACGAATCGCGGATCCGTGCGGTCGAGTTTTGCGTAGCCGCGCCGCGTGCACTCGCGCGCCATGCCCTGGAGGCTCGTGCCAACGCCGCGCTGTGTCTTAGGGCTGCGCTGGTACTTGCGGTTCTCACTGCGGAGGAACTCGTGGTCCCGGAGAAATGGATTGGTGTGGAGTCGTTCATGGACGTCGTCTAGGAGGACAAAGAGGTCGCCGAAGCAGCCGATGAGGTCAATCTTGACCAGGAGCGAGATGTGGCTCGTGGTGACGCGGAAGTCTTTAGGCTCGTTCGCCTGGACGATTATCGGGGCTTTTCGGGGCACGGGTGTTGCCGATGGGGCTATTGTGGTGGTTTTTACGTCATCTGGAGTTTTGGCGGTGTCTGGATCTGTATAATTCATTGGGGTAGATGGGTAAAGTAAAGAGTGGGGAGGATTAGTTGAAATTTTAAACGCAGCGTGCAGGAATAATCTGAGTTCGCGCGCATGCGCGCGGTAATCCGTTAATAAAGCCCTCCAGGCCTGGGTGCAGTATTTTATATTCAATTGAAACTGTGCCAATTAAATAGCACTGTGTTTTAGACTGGTATCATTTATTATTGGTAGTTCTGGGATGTTTACACGCTGTGTTACAAGAATTCCTCGCACGCCACTAGAGACAGGGTTAAAGTAACTTATCAGCTCGGAGAAAGTCACAAGTGATGACATGATCCCAGGTACATTCCCACTCGGAATATGGAAGAATATACATGCGAGCTAAGCTACTATTCAGACAAATATAAAGATATGCTATAACTGCTACGACCTCCGTCCCAGTGGCTAATACTGCTTTCGCCTTAGCCTTTAACTTACATAACTAGATAAGTTATAATTGATGTAGAGATACATTCAAGGGTCCAACGTACCCACTCTAAATATAAAAACCAGTCAGACTTTACAAAAACTAGTTAGACTTTCTACCAGCATCGGCAAACATACCGCCACGGACAAATTCGACGCCGCCACTGACGGGCTTTTTGGCGAGGAAATTAACCGGAACCAACTTCGGCCACTGGACGTACTGGGAGCCGTGGCTGATGACGTACTGAAGAAGACCCAAACCGACGAGCACAGAGCCCAATAAAAACACCAAGTTCTGACCGCCAAAAACGGCACCCCCACGTGGGTAGAAGAACGATGCCAACGTAACGATAAAAGACGCGGCAATGAGACTCGGCACGGCCTGTACAAACAGCGGTCTGGCGTCGGCAAACGGCGAGACAACGGACTCGTAGGCGTGGAAGTTTCCCAAGGCGATATCAAACGCGTCCTGTCTTTCACCATCCTCCAAGTTGTTACGGTAGTAGCGAGTGATGGAGTTGCTCAAGTCGTTGAGGGCACCGATCTTGGTTCTGCTGCCCGTCCTAGTGAAATCCGTTTTCAACGCTCCGGTGCCGGAGTAAGCGAACGAAACCGCATCCGCATTGTCGGCCCACATGTTCTGGAAAACAAGGTTAAACGCCGGGGACACAATCTCCCATGGAGTCTTGTCAACCACACCAGTTTCGATGAGCTGCTCCTGGAGGATCCAGCGCGCAAGCATGGACTGGACAACGTTGGTGCGGTCGAGACAGTCCATGCAGTTCGTTCTGACAACAGAAGTCTGCTTGGAGCCTTCACTGGAGAAGTAGTCGCGGTTGGAGTAGCCCAACGCGGTCAACTGCTCGAGCAAGAGCTTTACGCGGTGCCACTGCATTTTTCTGCACTCGTGGTGGAAATCGAAGTAGATGTACTGGAGACGGGCATCACCCAAAAGCGCAACCACATCTTCGTATGCCTCCTTGACCGGAAGCTCGTAACCTTCTTGGTCGACCAAGTTCACGAGGTAGTTCTTACCGTAGAGCTGGGTCTGCTCCTGAAAGTGCTTTTTGGCCGGCGCGAGCGAGGCTTCCTTGTTGACAAAGAGGTTCGGGCGGTACTTTATATTATTCACCTCGCACCAAAACACCGGAACCGATCCTCTGGTCTGGAGGTATGAGTACTGCTTCCCATCCACAAGGAGGATCTGCTCGGTCTCGTTAAAGTTTCCCACGTTGCCCTCGTCGTCGATCCCCCGTCTGAGGTAGCGGGTCCCCGCGCGCATGGTCGAGCGTCTGGTCACAAGTCCAAACGAGACACGGCGTCCGCCAATCTGCGCCTCCACAAACTTCACATACCCGTAGATGAACGGAGTCACAAAGCGCTCGAACGCAATGTCCTGGCACATGTGTCTGTTCCAGAAGAAGCGGCTGTCAGCCGCCGCCTTTTCGTGTTGGCGCTGTAAAGAATTGGTCAAGTCATAGGCATCACTGAAGTACAATGTGGCCTTCGAGAGGTGGAGGTTGAGAAGGTGCAAAAAGTGCAACTCGTCCTCATCGTCCATGCGATTCGTCACATTAAGGACCTTGAACGTGCGCGCATGGAAGAAGCTTGCACCGTTGAATGACCCCACGGCCTCCGCAGTCTCCGCCAAAACCACGTATTTGTTCAACTTCAAACGGAGCACCCCCAAGAGCGCGGCCGCCGGCGTGCCCTGGAGCCCGAGGTCCGCATCCTTTGACACCGTGATCGCGTCGGATGAGACGATGAGCGTCGAGGCATCTGTGTCTTTCACGTAAACGGTTCCGTCCGTGGACTGGGAGTAGAAAAGCATTTTGGCCTTGAGGAAGAGGCGGAGCAAGGGGTGTGGCAGTGTATTTTGAAATTCTCAGGAGACGTGTAAGGATCCGGCATGGAACACCAGAACGTCCCGGGCCGAAAACGCAGCTACACCGAGTGGCACGTGACAAGGGATAGATTGTATGTCAAAGATTATCTGTCATTTTAAACTTGATGAACTGTGAACACACGGAACTGCCCGTAGAAGTCCCACTGGCCATTCGGTTAGCAATTACATTCTGTTTTCCTTATACACAGCTAACACTTTCAACGATTACAATACAGTCCACCGCGCTTCATTCCTTTCACTTTTATTTTATTTTAATTAAATCATGTAGCTTTTAGACTGGCATGGTAACTTCTTCCTGTGGGTTAAATATTTCATCCTGAAGAGTCCACATAGCTTACACGTCGTGCTACCGGTAGAGCGTTCTGGTTGCCTATATCTTCTCAATGTCCTCCCACACAATCACAAACCTGCTGGCCCCTGTCACTCCGTACTTCTCTCTGATCCGACTCAACCATTTAGGCTTGGCCGTGCGCTTGACGGTTAATAAATTTCCCAAGCCCACAATCACCCTATAGGCGGCCTCTTCGTTATCACCTCTCACAATAAGCTCCTCGGCAACATGGTTCAACGCGGCTAACAACTTGGTGTGGAGGATGGCGGAACCGCTCCACACGCACAACACGGAAAGGTTGTAGTACAACGTGGCCAATGCGACGGAAAGCTGTGCCAATTGTGCAGGCTTGGTCGCAGACAGCAATGCCTTGGAGTATTCATCGTTCACGGTGATGAGCACCTCCAACACGTCAAACTGGGAGGTTGGGTCTTCGGTGGTGAAGAAGGACTTGCCCCAGCCAGTGCGGAAAAGGTTGTCGAAACAACGCAAGAGCATGAGCAAGATCAACGGCGAGTCGCAGAGAAAACCTGTGGTTACCAACGCCTTGAAGTTCTCCGGTTCCCTTTGGTGGAACGGAATGATCGCCCTGAGAAGGTCAAAGCCGATGACCTTGCTGTCTACGGACCAACTCTGAATAATCTTTGATGCAAATTCGTACACCGAAACAAGCACCTCTTCGTCTACGTTGGCAGTCAACAGGGACAACGATGCCTTGATGGTGTCGATGTCAGCTTGGCTCACCGCAAACTCGGTTTCACTCTCACGGAACTTTGCCAACCCCTTGCTCAACGTTTCCACATCCACTTTATCAAAATAAAGGTGCTGTTTCACGGGCAAAAGCTCCAACGGGTTGCGGTCCTGGTATGGATCGTACGTCTTTTCCGGCCCTCCGATGCTGATCCCTTTGGTGTTGCTCAAAATAAACTGCACCACCTGTTCGCTGTAGGACAGCGGAAGCTCGTTCATGCTCAAAAAACGCTCTGCCGCAATGTACGGGTTTTCGTTGATGTTGTAAGGCAATTTCAAAGCCGGGGCACCGTCCTCGATGTCCACATCAAAAAGAAAGTCCCACTTGGCGCCGCTATACTCCACCTTCTTATCGCTCCCCGTGCCGCCTCTACCAACCACTTCACCAATCTTGACCCATTCCTGGGCCGAACTGGACCATTGGTGTGCCTCCACTGTAAGCTCGTTTTTCACCATGATGGTCTGGCCCTCCTTCGTTCCGGGGGTCTGCAAGGCTTCCAAGCCGGGCAAGTCCTCGCCCACATTGCTCTGCATTGTGTTTTCGGAAATTGCCAGGCCCTTAATCTCGTCGGCGAGCCCCTGAAGGGATGCCTCGTCCGCATACCGGGAGGGGTCTCGGGTAAACACACGAAGCTGGTTGTCTGAGCTCCCGGCAATAATGTCACTATTTGGCTGCACTGCCACCGTCCAGATCGAAATCGCAGGCAAGGTGATTACCTGGACACATTCGGAGTCGTTCCAGACCCGCACAGTACGGTCCTCGCCACACGAAACCAATTCTCCGGATGGAAGTAGGGCCAACTGGTATACAAACGACGTATGCCCCTTCAAGGTTGTTATGAGCCTTCCTTCGCTGCTCAGAATCGCGATAGTTCCGTCATTGGAGCAGGACGCGATGCCAAACGGCAACGGGAGGAGCGATCTGACGACGTCAGTGTGCGGGGAAAACCGCAGCACCTCGCGGTCCCCGATCCATGTTCTGATCGTCTGGTCGGCGGAACATGTGACGTACTCTCTTTTCGCGGCGTTGAGGATTTTAATGTCCCAAACCGCCGATTCGTGTCCCCTGAGCTCGTGGAGAAGTCTCGGGCCCGTGGTCAACGCCTGCGACACGTCCCAGACCTTGGCCGTGCCGTCCCAGGAACTGCTAGCAAGTAAACCGTCGACGTAATGGAGCGCGCAGACGTTCATGTCGTGTGCTGGTAATGTGATCAGCGCCTCCAAGTCAGAGGACGCAGGATCAACAAACCAAATCGTGGCATCGTTCCCTGCAAACACAACAAGCGACAGTTCGGGGATGTAGGCAACAGAGTTGATGTAGCTCGCGGATTTGTAGAGTAAAGCCGACGTCCAGGTGGAATCCTTGGTCCATACGCGCACGGTCTCGTCGCGCGACGCAGAAACTATGGACGTGTCTGAGAGAGCAGTCGCCGCCCTGACATCATCTTCGTGGGCGGAAAGCGTGGCTGAGAGCTTGAACTGCATGTTGAGGGTTTGGGAGAGTTTAAACCGAGATTGTAACGAATTGCGTGGGTAAGTGGTCGATATAGGCGCAAAAGTCAAACGCCCCCGAAGCTAGTCGGGAGTGCATACAAGATGAGGTAGGTGTATGCAGGATTAAGTGTGAGAGGGTAAGCCGTTTTGTTAAGCTACAAGTCGTTTTGTTTTGGATTTGACAAGAAATAAGATTAAGGATCTTTTTTTTTTCTCTGAACCGCTTTAAACTGGTCAGGAATATGTCGAAGCAGCAGTTTCTAGTCTCATTAAAAGCCTCCTTTTTGGAGGTTCGTTCTCGGCCCAGGATAAACGGACTGGGTCGTGACAGCCAGGACGTGTGTACACCAGAAACGCCCATTTTCCAGCCATCAGATATAACAGCGGTTAGTATTTCGACTGTTATTATGTAGTGAACGTTGCTAATCCTCTCTCCGTCCCAATACATATTATACACTGCACAATGTCTGACTTGTTAGAAAAATCCTTGGACGACATTATTGGCGACCAGCCAACCAAGCCAAGAGTATGTAAGGCAGAGACAAAGTAAAGATACTGAGGAGATGGTAGATGCCATGCAAAGGGAGGGTGATGAAATCCCAGCTATCGGGTTTGATTGGTGGTTGGCGGTGAGCACCTCTGAGTTTTTGATTCAGATTTGACGTGGCCTGAGAATCTATCTGAAGTGATAGTTTGGTGTCATGAAACACTCTAAGCGAGTAAAATGCAAGCCAGGAAAGATGCTAAAGGCAACGAACAATGGTTTTTGTTTGAGACCTGACCTTCAATAGACGTGATTGATGTGATGGTATCTGGTTGAGTAATCATTGCTTTTGCAGGTGCTCCGCCATTCAAGAGGCCCTAGCAGCTCTGTCTAGGATGGCTTACCCGATATCACAGGAGGTCGCAAGCGCCTTGGCACCAAGGGATTTCTCTTTGTAATTCACTCTCTGGTGCGTCTCCTGGACTGAAAGCGCCAAACCGATGGAACTGTGCTACGAATGCGCATCCTATAGGGTTTCTCTGGCCAGATCGATTGAAAGCTATGTCCTTCCCCTCTAAATCCGCTTAACTTTCATTGATACTTCACCCCTTGCGTTGCCCTTCTCTATTACAGTCTGAAATACCTGCATTATCCCCTTAACCGTTCAATTACTAACCCTTTTAGGCCTCCAGAAACGACAGAGTTAGTAAGATCCGGGGCCCTCGCCGTGGCAGCAACAGAGACTCTTTTGCGTCGCGCGCTCATGCCATTTCCCACTCTCCCTCTATGCAAATTCCCGATGAGATTGAGGCCAAGTCGCACGGTCAGCCTTTGTTGAGAATCCGCAACCTTCACTTCCAACTCACCAGTGAGGACTTGGCGCAGTTGTTTGACCAGGTGAACACCCTCGAGTTCTGTGAGGTTCAATACGACTTGATGGACGAGTCTAGATCCACCGGTGTTGCCTATGTGCAGTTTTCGTCGAACCAGGCCAGAAACAATGCCATTGCCATCGAAAAGTTCAACGGTAAGAAGGCTGTGGGCAGAATTTTGATTGTGGAGAACGCCAGAGGCTTGGCTGATAGATTGAGCTTGCCCTCTAGAGGCAATAGAAGAGGAAGACCAGAGAGATCTGGCGCGGGCGCTGGTTCGTCTTACCGTCCGGAGGACGAGGAAAAAAGAGCCCCAAAAGAGAGAAAGGCGAGAGAGCCAAGGGCCAAGCGCGTCAAGAAGACCGTCGAGGAGTTGGACGCCGAATTAAGCGAGTACTTGAACCAGAGCGTGACGGCTGCCCCTGCTCCTGCTGCCACTGCTCCCCAAGAGCCATTCCCAGCTGCCCAAGACAACATGTCTTATGATTAGCTAGGTAATTGAGATTTTTATTAATAGGTGTAGCTGCGATTGTGCAGTGGTCTAAGTGATTTATGTTGAGCCATTATGGATTTATGTTGAGCCATTATGGTTTATAGCTAGACCGACGGGTAAGTAAAAGTCACTTAACAAAGACACGGAGGCTTCGAAGCCTTATTAGACGGCTTTAAAGACTCTAGTCTTATGCTTTAAGAATCCTAAGGTGGGATTTTGGTGCATAACGGATTCATGTGGCTAATTATACCTAATTGCGCATGCATGTTTACGGACCGGGAAAACGTCCCGTCTCCGGGATAGCCCCCGGTGAATGAGAGCTCAATTACCCTACTCGATTTCCTAGATCTAAGCTCGCACATCTGATATGCAAAATGTACCCCCAACACACCGTTCAAATAATATGACCGGGCTCGAACTCTTTTTTTTTGGCCCACAGACTGCATTGAATAAAGATGCCGATATGCAGGGAACCGTGACTCGGCTTAGTACCGAGCAGACGTCGCAAGATTACACAGATGTTGCCAAACAGGATGGAAACAGGGCTCTAGTTAGAGACTAAGCTCTAGTTAGAAGATTTAGTAATGTGGTTTAGTATGGTTTGATATGGCTTAGTAATTTACTCTCTCAGCAAGACTCCTTTTAGCCCAACTCTAACGTGTCTTTGATCTCTCTATCCGGCATCTACGTGTTCCCGGATTTTCCGAGCCACACTCAAAGCTATCTCTGGAAAGCTATTCCGTCTGGGTAGCAACCACTTGGCGAAAAAGCTTCCAGGGAGTTGATCTTATCCTCTATAATCGCAAATTCAGCGTAGAATACTACTCCAAGTCCCATATCCCTATGGCGTATCTCTCCAAGACTCGCAGTTTGATCTCGATCCTGCACTAATTGGTACTTCCGGCATTGAGATATTTTTTTTTTGGCGCTGGCACGTGTCTGCGCAGCTAATACTTGAAGCACAAAAGCGAACATACCATACCTACCAGCTCAATGCAGCCCTCTCTTTAACGAGAAATTAAACCCCCACAACAAAAGTATAGACAGAGCCCGGCAGCACTGATGGCGTGGCTTGGCTCCGCAAAGCAGTCCTCGGCCCCGGGTCTCCTGCATGCTCCGCCGGGTAACCCCGTCCCGGGCCAATCAAACCCACGGTATCGGCAAAAAACGCGTACTCGCACCCGTTTCTTTTCCGCTGAAAAATCCTATATATAAGTCCGGGCTGCTGCGTGTTTGACTCCGCTGGCGTTCCCTTTTTCTTCCTACGCAAACTTCTACAATGTCTACTCCATCTTACACTGTCGGCGACTACGCCCGTTTCGCTCTTGCCGGTGCCATCGGTTGCGGTGTCACCCATGGGTCCATGACCCCAATCGACGTTGTCAAGACCAGAATCCAGTTGGACCCAGTTGTGTACAACAGAGGTATGGTCGGGACTTTCCGTCAGGTCATTTCTTCTGAGGGTGCCGGTGCTCTTTTGACCGGTTTCGGCCCAACCGTTTTGGGTTACTCCTTGCAGGGTGCCTTCAAGTTCGGTGGTTACGAATTGTTCAAGAAGACCTTCATTGACTTCATGGGGGTTGACAACGCCAAGAACTACAAGAACACCATCTACATGTCTTCTGCTGCCATTGCCGAGTTCTTTGCCGATATCGCTTTGTGTCCATTGGAAGCCACCAGAATCAGATTGGTCTCCCAGCCAACCTTTGCCAACGGTCTTGTCGGTGGTTTCGCCAGAATCTACAGAGAAGAAGGTCTCGGTTCTTTCTACAACGGTTTCACCCCAATCTTGTTCAAGCAGATTCCATACAACATTGCCAAGTTCTTGGTCTACGAGCGTGCCTCTGACGCCATCCTTGGCCTCATCCCAACTCCTAAGAACGAGTTGTCTGGTGCCATGTCCACCGCCGTCAACTTGGGTGCTGGTTTGATCGCCGGTTGTTCTGCCGCCATTGTCTCCCAGCCAGCTGACACCTTGTTGTCCAAGGTTAACAAGGCCAAGAAGACTCCAGGTCAGTCCACCTTGGGTCTTTTGGCCTCTTTGGCCAAGCAGTTGGGTTTCGTCGGTGCCTTCACCGGTTTGAGCACCCGTTTGGTCATGGTTGGTACCTTGACCTCCTTGCAATTCACCATCTACGGTTCCTTAAAGTCCGCCTTGGGCTGTCCAAAGTCCGTCGAAATCAACTAAGTTTGATGGCAATTACACTCTGTACAAATACACCATATTCTATTTATAATCAACTGTAAGGGGACGCGAGTCGAGTGTGTCTTGGCTGTCGAGGTATTCACTTGTATGAATGTTTTATCCAGGATCATATACCTGGCTTTTACCGTCTTTTGACATTTCCACTGTATTGTTAAAAAGGCAAAGCTGGATGTGGTACTACCAAATTTTCGACACTCGGATTTTCAGACCTAACCCTCACATCCTCATCCAGATCCCGGCACTGTTTTGGTTGCGGGTCTTAAACACGGAAGCGTTCGGTCCGGATCCAGCTTTTCCTTCCGAACGTCAAAGTTTCCGTTATTAATTTGGTTCCTGAAGTTTAAACAAGCGCGACTCCTCTAACATAAAACTCCCTCCCTGCATGGAAGGTATCTAGAAAATTAAGGGGAGAGTGGTCAACCAGCGGTATTCACCTCTGAAGCTGTCATAGATTACAAAAGCGCCAAGTGAAGGTGGAAATGTATATTAAAAATTATTTACGAATGAATAAGGGTAAGGCCATTGCTGGTGTTCTAGTGAGGACTTCATTTGTAGTCGTCCCAGTAAGATGGGAGTGTCGTTTGTTTCGAATATCCGGTGTCAATGGTTTAGACGCAGTTGCTTTATAATATACTTCATCTCATATCGATGTTATATACCATGAAATGGTGTGTACGGTAGTCCATCCAGTGTTGCAAAAAAAACGTTCCTCAAAGTTTACTCCACTCAGGCGCCTATCTCTGTTGAGATCAAAATAGATCTGTACACCAAGCCAAAGAGTTGAATGATTCAGTTTACTGCTCAGTGAAAGCATATATTGTATATAGCTTTAAAATCCGACACCTTGTCAATTTCCCCATTTAAATCCCTTTTTCCAACCCTATTTTCGGCAAACCTCACGAACCGTTATGTCTCGCTGCAGGCACCTCGCGCTGACTGCGCACTGGTCTGGACGCCGTGCCGTACTAAACCCCGATGGCCAACATTCCCGTAAACGGCCGATGCAATGATACCCCGCCTATGCACACACCACTTGTATGAAGAAGAAAAAAAGTGGGTAATTTTTTTCTTCCTTCCATCTTGTCTTTCTCTGAAAACCCCATTTCCTTTTCAATCACAGTCTTGCCGATTATCCCAATCTATTTATCATCCATGGCTGTGATCAATATTGACGGCGATACAGAGGTGATCATCAACGATGTGGACATTGACCACACCGTCTTCCGCATCAAGAGCCGTGCCTCCTTCTCCAACAGTGCACCACGTCTTCCTTACGTAAAGATTTTCGGTACCGGTGGTACTATCGCCTCGAAAGGCTCCTCATCGTCACAGACCGCGGGCTATAAGGTCGATTTGACCATCGATGACTTGGTCAGCAGCATCCCAAACATTTCCCAGTTCTGCAACCTCACGTATGAACAGTTGCTCAATCTCGACTCCAAGGACATGAACTACACCCATTTGCGCATCTTGTACGACAAGGTCATCCATGCGCTCGAGGTAGACAGGTACGACGGGATTGTCATCACGCACGGGACGGACACCATGGAGGAAACGGCGTTCTTTCTTCAGCTGACAGTCAAGACGGACAAGCCGATTGTGCTCTGTGGTTCCATGCGCCCATCTACGGCAATTTCTGCAGATGGGCCAATGAACTTGTACCAGGCGATTGTCATTGCCTCGAACCGCGAACTGTGGAACCGCGGTGTGCTCGTGGCGTTAAACGACCGTATTGGCTCTGGTTACTACATTACAAAATCAAATGCCAATTCTCTCGACACTTTCAAGTCTATCGGGCAGGGGTACCTCGGCAACTTTGTCAACAACGAGATTCACTACCACTACCCACCCTCCATGCCTTCGGGGATCACCCATTTCGACATCGGAACCGAGCTGGTTCAGGAGTTGGCCGAAGTGCCAGTATTGTACGCCCACCAGGGCTTCAACAAGCAGATGATTCGTATGTGTATCGAGCAGCTCGGCGCCCAGGGCATTGTGTTTGCCTCCATGGGTGCAGGCTCCATGAGCGACGAGGTGAACGAAATGGCGTATGAAATGTGGTTGGAGCACAAGGTTCCGTTCATCTACTCCAAGAGATCCATGGATGGTATGGTTCCAAAGGCGGCGTTGCCAAAGATCCACCATGAGGGGAAACCTGCCTTTGAGGGGGCGATTGCCGGAGGGTATTTAAATCCGCAGAAGGCGCGCCTTTTGTTGAGAATGTCGATGTTGGCGGGGATGGACCTCCCGCAGATTAAGAGAGTGTTTGAGGGGGTTTACGGAGGATAAGCCACCTAGGTATAAAGTATTTACGTATAGTATTTCGTGTAGGTCTCGTTAACTTGTCGCACTATTGTAGACACGGTTTTGCTCCAGAGTAAAGGCACTTTTCTTTGGTTATGGCTGCGATGTTTTCTGAAAGCTTGTTTGTTTTATTTATTGTTTTTCTCAAGTCATTACCTTTGTCTTTTGTCTTTCTCTTATTTAGAATTGTTCCTCAACCCAACTCAGCTTATGTTTTCAAATCTCAGTTTGACAACCATTGATATCTGTTTACCACCTTCTTTGTATTTCTGGGGAAATGTTTTAACAAAGTATTTGTCAGTATATCCAATTGATAGCACAATGGTACACCAGTTACAGGCTTTCCGGTTATTTACCTCCCTTGTGAACGCGTGCCATCCGGCTACCTGCTGATACTCTAGCCCACAGAGATTCTTAGTCCCAGATGCGAACGACTGGTCCATGGCCAGTTCTCACTTGCCTCTACTCCTTTATACACCATACACACGTATATACATGAGTTGACTCACACAATTGGTCATCCTTAATCATGGGTTCGCAGCAATCCGTCCGCAGACATCAAGGGAACCTCAAAACGATGGTTTTAAAGGTGAGATGTTTAAAAAACATTTGCTCTCACTCACAAGATAGACAGCCCCGCCCTCTCACCTGCTTGCAAAGCGGAACAGAAGTTCATGGCAGACTTGAATTTTGACAGAGGACAGGCCTGTTACTCAATGAGTTGGGTGTGGAAAATAAATAAGCCGGGTGAAAAATTGGAGATGCGGCCGTGCATTTATACCACTGGAAGAAAAACTGGTTGGTTTATATACAGGTTCTCCGGGTAACCTATCAAAAAGCCCTAAGAAAACCCCAGACACCAATAATGGTGGGATATTAAAACCAGCCATTGGCATCAAGGTCTGCTCACTGAGCCTACTCTTCTGGGTCTGGTTTCAGCGCGTGTAAATTTCCATATCTACTGCTGGTTAACAAATGGTTTTTATTACTATACATGGATGGAAAATGCATGAGACAAAAGATGGAGAGGCGGCTTTAACCCAATCTCTCCTCTAATGCAATGGGAGTCTATTTCTTTTCCTTTTTTTCCTTTTTTTCCTTCTTTTCCTTCTTCTTCTTCTCCTTCTTTTCGTCGGTCTTGGCCTTCTTCTTCTGTGGCTGATCCTCTTCGTCGGATCTAGCCCCCTCTGGAGCCTTGTCGTTGCCTGGCTGAGCTTCCTTGTAGTCCTTGGCACCATACCCGGTAGGGAAGTGTCTCATTCTCAACTCATAAACCTTTGGCACGTCCTTTCTTGGCTTAACAACCTGGGATATGTTAATCTCCGGGATCTCAATCTTCTCGCTGATGCTGTAGAATCTCAGAATGGTTGTGTTGGAGCCGGAGGGTTTCAACGTTTTCTTATCCTTGGATGCCAATAATAAGCTATATTTGTTGGACTTGGAGCCGGCCTTAGTGGAGGTCAAATCCTCCTGATGCATTTCTTCGCACACCTGGAAGGTCTTGTTGTCGGCCTCGAATTCGGCAGACTGGTTCAACTCGAAGGAAACAGGCAACTTTTCCAACTTTGAAAAGTTAAAGTCTTTCGGTGTCTTTATCAACCAGATTTCCTTATTCAGGGTCAAAGCTTCACGGTCGAATCTTGGAAGTGTCTTCAACTGGTGATAGCTCTTTGGCGGCTGGTAGCTGCGTGGGTTAGTATGGACCTATGGCGCATCGGTAAGATATTGGCACATACACATATTCCTCTTCCAAATCTGAGTCTGAAACGTATTCCTTGGATGTGTGTTTGGAGGACATGTTGCTTTCTGATATCAGGTATATGCTCTTCCACCAGTGGACCGCCTTTATCGCTACTCTTTAATGCCGAAATTTTGCATTGGTGTGAAAAAAAAAAAGTTTAGCTTCGTGCGGCGCAATCGATGCCTAACTGTAGATTTCCCAATTGGGATGAAAACCTGTATTTCCATTTTCATATCACAGGTCCCAGATAGTGCTAATCTGGAAATTTTATAACTACAATGACTTGAATAGTGCTTGAGTGTGGATTGGTTTTCAGGCAAGTTCGGCCTTAGCATCCTAGTTGTGTCTGGAGAAGGTTGGCTCGCTAATGTCAAATCCTACGAATTACTATGCAACAGCACAAAGCATTTCTACCTAGTTGTATTCTCTATGTCTAATATATTAATGTTTACGGACTATTTATAGTTCGGGGGCACGTTCTGCTTGTTCCGGGTCAACCGTACGGTCAACCAGTCCATGGCCTGTTTGATCCCGTACCCCGAAGTGGCACTAATGGGCAAGATTTTCGAGTCAATCGCGTTCAAATTCTCAAACACATCGTTAAAAGTTTCCTTTAGCTCAAAGAGCTCAATGCAATCACTATCGTCGTACGGCATCTCTTCCGGGAGCTCTAGGTTGGTTGTTCCTGTGGCACTTGGTTCTCTCAAGTGGTCCTGTTTATTCGCAAGCATGAGAATCGGAATGTTTATTCTGTCAAAGATGGCCCGGTTCACTTCGTCCTTCGTGATATCCATCAACACCTGTCTGGCTCGCGTGAGGTGTGCACGTTTGTCCTCGTCGTGGCCTAGCCTGCTATCTACGACAAACACGATGCAGTGGCACTGGTCGTAGTAGTTTGCCCACATCGGCCGCAATGCCTGCTGGCCGCCCAAATCCCAGAACTTGAGCAAGACCTTGTTGATTTTGATAGTGGTGACGTTCTGCCCCACAGTGGGCATGATTCGCTCGGGGGGCGTGATTCGCACCTTTGCACCTTTCACCAACGGCTTACCGTCGGCTCCGAGCAAGTATAGCTCCTTGAGCTTCTCTATGAATGTGGTTTTTCCTGCATCATCGATGCCCAATACCAACACCGAGTATTCTGTCTGATTAGTAGCTGTCTAGATCTGCCAGCCTAGCACGTACCCTCTTTTTTCTTAATGTTGGAATATATGTCCTTTGCAATGTGAAACATGTGGGAGAACGGAGGTGTTGGAGAGGAGGACGTTGATGCCGGTGTTGACATTTTTGCATGCGCTGTAATTCTCGAACACATGCATGTTTTTCGACGGATAATCCGCGCTTCATGACTGGGATCGTGCCAAAAAGCTGGAAAGTTTGAGCTGATAGGAGGAAATCATTGGTGTACAACAGACTGTCAGGTAATATTAACTTGTATTATGTTGCTAAATAATCCGCCATAGTCATAGATAAACACGATATGCTTTAGCATTGCACTGTCCAGTCATGTTTGAACGTCCAGAAGCATACTTCCAGAGATTAATGTGCTCTATCAATATCATATCTCCTCAAACTCACTTTCACATAGACTACATGCCAAGTATTGAACGGGTATTAAATAAATAAACTGATCTAGCAACTCCATGAAACTGATAGCCAGATTACACGTTGAAATGATAGGCATCCCCGGAAACACTCTCAGCGGAAACACCGTCCTTTGGAGAATGCTCAACGTTCTTGATCTTCTGGGTAATCTTGCTGATATCCACATCGACCCAGCGTTGCATGAACTGGCCAATTTCGATGTTTTCGTGGTTACCAGCCAAATTCTCGTAGATCTCGCCCATCACCTTCCTCTTTGGGGAGTACCCGTAGATGTTGACGTCAACGGCAGAATGACCGTGAGTGGACCAACCGGTGCGGGATCTGAAGGAAACCAAGTTGTTCAAGTAGTCAATCGCGTTGTCACGGATGCTGCTCAACGTCTTAATGTCATCTTCAGTGTAGTCCACGATCCCCAAATCGGAGCGCAAGGTTTCGCCGATAAACTTTCCTAATTCTGCTTCATCTGCCGCCTGGAATTGGCGCAATTTGGCCGCCACATACTCCCCGGAGTGAGAAGCGTTGTCAAGTGCCTCGGGATACCACACGTAATCTGGGTAGCTTGGGGAGATCTGTCTGGAGGTGGCCAAGCCACCGGTTTCGTGGTCAGAGGTGGATAACACGATAAACTGCTCGGTTTCGCTGGAATGTTTGTTCACAAAGTCCAAAACCTGCTGGAAAGTCTCGTCATAGGCCAACACCTCACGCACCTGTGCCGCTGGGTCGTTGTGGTGTCCCGCGTGGTCGATTCTGGAGCCTTCCACAAGCAAGAAGAAACCTTCACTGGTGTCATCATCTAGAGAAGCCTGGAGCAATGCGTTCATCGCAACGGTTGTCTCCTCCTTCAACGAAGGATACACGCTTGCGTTTCTGTCCAAATCGTACGGGATGTCGCCCTCGGCTAAAAGCGCCAATAACGGCAACTGCACATGTTCGCCCTTGGCCCCCAACTTGTCGAAGGAAGCTCTGTCGGAGACGTACTGCCAGCCGTCGGTCTGGGCCTGCACGATTAAGTTGGTCGCGTCGGCTCTGCACCCGCCCTCAGCAACCGGGTGGAAGTGGCATCTGCCGCCACCAATAAGCAAATCAACCACACGGCCCAATTCATAGCCACCCAACTGCTGTTGCGCAATCAAATCTTCCTGGAAACGATAGTCCGCGTGCGCTGAGAAGGCTGCAGGCGTGGCATCCGTAAGGCGCGTGGTTACCACCAAGCCGGTCTTATAGTTCCGCTGCAACTTGGCAGCCTCCAAGATGGTCCCAATAGGCACCTTGTATGGGTTGACACCAATGGCGCCGTTGTAGGTCTTCTGGCCTGACGCAAAGGCTACGGCACCAGCGGCAGAGTCTGTCACGAGCGAGGAGTCGGACAAGGTGCGGGAGGAGCCAATCATGTGCTTGTCCAAGGCCAAGGTGTTGCCAAACGGAAGCTCGTCGCGAAACTGGCGGAAACTTCTGGCAAGCGAGATCGAGGCTGGACCCATGCCGTCGGAAACCATGAAAATGACATTCTTTCTGACGTGCTTGGCGCCCTCGGCGTGGTATTTAGAGGCAACCCCAGTTTCATGCGCGAGGGATGGCACCACATGAAAGAAAATGGCAGAGAACCAAAAAGCGGCGAAAATAAGGGTGCCGACAATCTTGAACTTACGGGCTCTGGATGGCGACGCGGCCTGTAACTTACGAGCTCTGGATGGTGGCGCGGCCTGTAATTCGAGGTCCGCCGCCTGCAAAAGATCCGCCGCCTTTAAAAGGTCCTTCTCTGACATGATGGAAGATGGGTAAAGAATATCTAAAGAGTGAGGATATACGATAGAGCTTGGATATACCTGAAATGGTTTGGGTTATGTAGGGGGGGAGAGTGAGGGTGAGTCAAGAGAAAACAGGAGTTTCTGTGGTTTGTTGAATCGCCGGATTGTTTATGTGGTAGTGTGTAGTCAAATTGTTCTCACGTGTCCTGTACGTTGAGCTTATCTCGATCGGCACTGCCGGATCCGGTAATCACGTACGCGAGTTACCGCTTCTGGCAATGCGTAGCTTGTAGGCGATGTTTCTTCTCCTGGCTGTGGGGGTTTTAAGGAGGATGTGTAGGTGAAACCCGACTGAATCGGGTTTCTGTTAAGTAGTACTTTGTCTGTGTTTACGACCAATCTATTCCCTTGGTTATGGGCGTCTTGACTGAATGGTTTCATGGTTTGTATCAGTTCCTGGACTGGTTCTATTGCTTGAATTTTCAACTCGCATATCTAATTTTATAAATCGGGTCATTCGTCCATTATTTTATCTTCCAAGTTTCAAGCCCTCTAGTATGGGTTTTTCTTCAAGCCTGTATGAGTATTATGACGTTTGAGGCTAAGTGGTATTACATAGCAATTGGCCAGCTGTGTTTAGAAGTGCGATCTATCGGTATCAGGTCTTCCGTTTAGTTAAAGCCACTTGGTATCTCTCCACTTGGCTGCTTTACTTGGCTTCGGTGGCCAAATATGGCACACTCTTCCCACTTCCTACATCAACATACTGACCAAGGTGTGGCGGTACTCAGCCTTCAACTGGTCTATCAATGTGAGCGTGCCCTCTTCCTTGGTTTCAAACGCAATCTTATCAATCAAGTATTCCTCGATGCGCTTGCGATACTGATCAACCAACTGGAAGCCCTCGGTATTCGCCTGGGTGCTCTCGACCAAGTTGAGCTGCAACTTCGAGAGCAAGTCCTGGCTGAACGCGCGGAACTTCAACAACCGCGCAAACTCCAGATCGTTCACATCAAACTTGAACGACCCAGAGGAGTACGGATACTCAGCATAGACATTCATCTGGGTCGCAATACTAAACCGTTTGACGAAAATCGACAAGGAATACGACTTGCGGCCATCCACGATCCTCAAATTGCGGTTCTTCATATTGTGCCTAACAAACGACTCGTTGATAAAGTCCACAAACACCGCCTGGAAGTCGTTGAGCAAGAGCTGCTGCGCCTTGTGCATGTGGTGAATCTTTGCGGCACACTCCACAGACTTCACAGCGGAGGTCATAGACTCCCAAATGAGAAACAACTGCGCGGTGAGCTGGCTGGGCGTGATTGGCACTTTCTGGGTCATGAGACGCTCTACTGTAGCATCAAGCGTCGCGGGGGTGCACATGAAGTGGAATTTCCAGAGCAAGCGCTGGTACCGGTCTGGTAAATCGCCACGGAGCATCGCCGGAAGGAACCTAGCAATGTACTCGGGCGAGTCGATCATCGTGAGGGGATGCTTTCCCTCGTAGAGCTTCTTCAACACTGTGATTTCGTACTTCAAAGCGTCCGTCTCCAGCCACAGTGCAGTGCCGAGTAGATCCATGAACGGTGTGATGTTCTTTGTCAACGGATGGGTCAATAGCTGGTTCATCACCGCATACGAGGCCCGCCCGCGCACCTGATTGAAGATGTTGATGATCTGGAACTCTGACTGGATCTTTTCGCACCGGATAACGTCGCAGATCTCCGCATCGTTCTTCCCGGAAACATCCACCATGGGGTACGTGTGGATCAAGTCCAACCCACGGATCAAGTCCGCGTAGTGCGTCATCACACTCGCTCCCACCTGTTCCTGTGCTTGTGTGTGTTTGCGTCCCATTTGAGTGCTCAACGCGTCGCTGAGCACGCGTTTCTCGCCCGCGGTAACTGGCAAGTGTTTGTCTGCCGTAATGGCAGACTTGAAAAGGGACGGTTTGTATGGGGGTTGTGGCTTGCTAGAGAGCAAGTTTAGGGCTTTGGCGAGCACTTCGTACTCGGGTTTCTTTGTCCACGAGAGCAATCTGCGAAGATTTTGTGGGGCAATCGGTTGTTTAGGCATTTGTGACTACGGTTGTTTGGTAGGTGATTGTGGCTGCAGTTGCTTGGTAGGTGGTTGTGACTGTGATTGCTTGGTAGGTGTACAATTAGTGGTGCGGTTGTAATGTGTATATTGTCAATGACGGTAGCCGTTATACGTTTAAGGAGAATAAGAAAGGTGGGGGAAGATGTTTCGCTTATGGCTCCCTTGCTGGCCTGCCTCAAAAATTTGCTTATAAATCGCGTGACGTCATAAATGCAGGATGTTACCGAGACAGGTGGGGGTAATTATTTAATAGATTGTAGCCGCTTTATCTTAAAAAGTATCTAAGGTGTGCATTGTCTGGGATAATGCCAACTTCTTTCGTCTTGGTAGTTGATTCCAGGGTGACTTCTTGGCTTTTGCCACTGCGTAGCTTGTTCATAGTAACAGAAATGAGCTATAGTTAGATTACCAGACTCCCTATGTCAACACCGAGTATTTATTTTCAAATAATTATCGTGGACTCAGTCTTAAGTCATATTTATTATTTCACGGTAGATATATTGCCTAGATCGATAGAATAAGTGCCAAGCTGAACCAAATGCCAAACTGAACCAAATGCCAGGCTGAACCAAATGCCATGCGCATACCTCCGGAGAATACTCCCAGTGAAATAGAAACTTTTCGGACAGAAACGCCATTTTTGGAAAGAACTCCTGGTTGTGTAAATCACCCGCTTGGGATTGTTTTATTTCATCCCCCGACCCTGAAAGTAGACTGAAACCATTGAGGCAAAAGCCCGTCACGCACGTGATGCCTGAAAAATGTTCATGCACGCTGCGATATCAAGAGACGAGTGTGGAGAAAAGTATATCAAAACTACACTAAAGCTCTCGTTTTATCATGCTATCCGGGCGAAAACTCATACCAAGGCGGTTGTTTATAACGCATGGATTGAGAATTCCCCTCCATTCCGTATACCCCCGCCTATTCTCCTCCTCTAGAGGGTTCTTCGAGCCCATTAATTGGAATGTGCTCACTCAGAATGACATTCCCGCAGCTCTTAGGGACAAAATAGTCCTCCCAAGCAAACCTCCCAAGACTAAAAAGACCAAGAAAGTTGCTGGCGAACCCCGAACAACCCTTACTGGTGCCAAGGTCAAACACATCGGCTTGGTAGATCTTCCACCGGTAACGTCCCTCCGCAAGCCCGAGGTGGAAAACATCGCCCGCTTGGCACACAACCTCGACCGCGTGTTGTTTTCACCAGGAGTGCACTACCAAAAGGATCCCCGCACGGGGGTTTACAACTTTACCCCCTTTCTCTCGCAGCTTCCGTCGTTTACAGACGACTCCGAGGCCCATCTCAATCAGTACACCCCGCCGTCGAAGGATCGCATGCTTCAGGAGTTGACCTCGCTGTGCCACATGCACGAACCCAAAAAATACTTTTCCCTGACCTCCTCCATGACGGGATGTCTTTCTCAGTTTCACTACTTACTCAGCGGCTTCAGGCCGCCGGCAACGGTAGACGTGGCGAAAAACATCACGTCCAAGAAGTACACGGATTTCTCGCCCTCAGCCGTTTCCGCGGCCTCTGTCGTTATCACAAAGAAAAAGGGGTTGGATGGAAGATATGCCATCGATGCGGACAAGTCGTCCGACACGCCGTCGTTCCTCTCGGAATTTGGTATATGCATGGAGAAAATTCTCACGCATACGCCGAAGAAGTTCCGAGGAAAGTTCCGTGCCGATATACGACTGGAACCCCCTCCCGAGGTCTACAACTATAGCACGTTCCAGAAATTTGTGATGCGGTCGCAGTTGGACTGCTACGACCCCAGACTACCGGGAAACGGCACCTTTGACCTCAAGACCCGGTCGGTATGTGCGATTCGCTACGATCAGCTCTTTACCGAGGCAAAGTACCGCAATCCCGACGCGTCAATCGATTACCTGATCCACCAGAGCTATGGTGTGATGGAAAGCTTCGAGCGGGAGTTCTACGACTTGATCCGCACGGGAATGCTCAAGTACAGCTTGCAGGCGCGGATCGGGATGATGGACGGGATCTTCATCTGCTACCACAACACAGAACTGGCTTTTGGGTACCAGTACGTTCCGTTGGTTGAGTTGGATAAAATATTTCATAGCCATGTGGCTACTGCGGCCCTCGAAACTAACTTGGAGGAGCTGTACTTGGACTCTATGCACGCAGCTGACGCAGACTATTCCAAAGAACGACCTACGGAAATCGCAGAGGCGGAGTTCAGGTTTTCGATGCATCTCTGGGAGCAGGTGCTTGAAAAGGTGACCAGTATGCAGCCAGATTCATCCATTCGGTTGGTGATGAAGGCACTGAAACAGGCCCCAGGAACTATGGACATTTTGGTTTGTCCTTTGACCGAGGAAGAAGTGGTGTTGCTCCAGGATCGAAAACCGAACGTGACTCCTTCGACGCCATACGATGCCAAGTTGGTCTTATTAGACGAATATCTCGATGAGCTGGCACGGGTGAATGAATCCACCATGCATAAGGCACAGTTGTTGCACTTGACCGTGCGACACTTCTTCGGCAGTAAGCGTCCGTGCGCCCTTGCACATCCTTCGCCTGTCAACCAGGCTGAAATTGACTCCTGGGCGTTGCAGTTCAAGTTGAAAAAGTCAAAACGGCAGCGCCAGGAAGTGGAAAGGATGTATGTGAGGTTTCTCGATGAGAGTGTATTCTTCCAAATGCCCGGGGACGAAAATCCGCGGGACGGGTTTATTCGGCGATTGAGGCGGTTTTCGAAGTTTGGTAAAGAGAGAAAGGGAGAGATGGGGAAGCAGGAGGTGTGGGAACCAGTCCATGCCAACGATTTGATGTAGCGGGGTCAAAATGCCACTCGCGTTTTGTGATACTGGTATGCAGCGATAGAGCCTATCGTATTATAATCTATAATTTCCTTCTTTTATGTTAATTATTGTATATCGTTACAAACCGTGCGTAAGGTCGTGGCTATCAATCGCACTCAACCTGGATCTATAGGATGTACCACGGTCATCCTCAACACTACCAAACAAAAAAAAAAAAAAAAAATAGAGCGTATACCTGGTAAACCATCTATGAACCTTATGAGATAAAATATACCTTTATCCTAGCTTCTCTTTCGACTAGTGGGTTTCCTAACGGCTCCAGTGGTATCGGACACGTCAACCATGATGTCCTGCATAAAGGCCCAGATCTCATTCTGGTTCGATCTTACACCTACGCGACATTTTAATCCTGGCGCGTAATTCAACTCTTTGGCTGCATATTGCACCATCAAATAACCGGATTGACGCTAGTGATACACCATGGGGTTTACCAAAATATGGTTCTGCCTCCTCACGTTTTTCGTGCTCGGAAAAGTGATATCCGAAACATCTCCGTTCAGCCAAGATCTCCCGCCAAGTTTGACACTAGACACTTTCGGCGCCACCATAGCGGAGGGTCTCACGTTTGTGGAGTTTTACTCGCCAAAATGTGCTGGTTGCAGGAAAATCGCGCCAATATGGGAAGCCACGTACAAAGCGCTCCAGTCTGACGGTAAAGCTTACGGCGTGAGTATGAGACAGGTGAATTGCGATGAAAATGGCGACTTGTGCAGCCGTGAGAATGTCCCTCTGTATCCCCTGTTTATGCTTTACGGCCCCAAGGGTAATGCCAATGGCTTTGTTGAAATCTATCCCGCTGACATGGCTCGTGAAACCGAGCTGTTTCTTGCGTACTTTTTGAGTCACAGTCTGGGCAAAACACCCGGAACTGAGTCTAAGGTTGAGCCTAAAGTTGAGCCTAGAGATGAGCCAAAGGTTGAGCCAAAGGTTGGGTCTGAGGTCAAGCCAAAGGATTCGCTCGAGGGCTTGCCTGATATTCTCACTAAAACAACCTTTGATGCCATCACCGAGAAAGGTCTTGTATTTGTCGAGTTCTTCTCGCCCCTGTGTGGCCACTGTGTTCATTTTGCGCCCCAGTGGAAAGCCATGTTCGACCGGTTTGACCTAGTGGCCATAGACTACGGAATCGTGTTGAGACAAGTTAACTGCTTGGAGCTGGGCGACTTGTGCGAAAGAGAAGGTGTCAAACACTTTCCGCAGTTCAGATTATATGGCCCAGACGCCAACGGAAAGAGCAAGATGGTAGACCAGTTTCCATTGGGGAGCAAGCGAAGGGAAGAAGACTTTTGGCCGTACTTATTGGAGCACAGTCCAAATAAGGAGGCAGTGGTTAAGGCTGGTAAGGTTATTTCTGTAGAGCTGAAAGATAAGGAATCTAAGGATGCCAAGAACGACAAGGATGTTGCAAAGGAGCCCCCAAAGGTGGATGCAAAGGGTGCTGCCAAGGACTCGACTAACCCCCAGCTTGTGAAAGATTCCTTGGATGCAAAGACCAAGCAAGAACCTGCGAAGGAAAATGCCGAGGACACTAAGAAGACTCAGCCAAGCACTAATCAGCCAGCGCCTGGCTTGCCTGCTCTTCTCACTCTCGACACCTTCGACTCCGTCACCGCCAAGGGTCTTGTGTTTGTGGAGTTCCTCTCTCCCTTCTCCTCCCCCAGCAGAGACTTTGCTCCGACCTGGAAGACCATCTTTGACCGCTTCCAGCCTTCCAGTGAGGCGTACGGAATCACCATGAGACAGGTCAACTGTATCGACAGTGCAGCCTTGTGTGAGAGAGAAGGAGTGACGCAGTTCCCTCAGCTCAGCTTCTACGGCCCCGACACCGCTCATCCAGAAAAGGGCAAGTTGGTGGATAAGCTCCCGGTCGAGCCTAACAGAAAGGAGGATGACTACTGGCAGTCTTTGTTCAATCACAGTCCAAACAAGGATGCCGTTATTAGTTCCGGTAAGGCGTTAATGCTGGCTCCGCCTAAGGAAGCTCCAAAAGCGGCGCCAAAGGATCTCGGGTTTGACATGACAGGCATGCCAGACTATCTCAATGAAAAAACGTTTGACGAAACCACGGCCCAGGGTTTGGTATTGATTGAGTTCTTCTCTCCGTATTGCTCTCATTGCAAGGACCTTTTTCCCACCTACAAGAAGATTTTCCAGAAATTTGAACCCCAAAGCAAGGCATACGGGATCCAGATGCGACAGGTGAACTGTGTCGAGAGCGCTGACTTGTGCAGTAGAGAGAAAATTACTGGTTATCCGCATTTCAGGTTGTACGGCCCGGACTCAGACACCAAGAAAGGGAAGTTTATCGAAAAATACGTGGGTGGTCACACGGAGAAGGACTTCTTCGACTACTTGCTAAAGGTGAGTCCTAACAAGGCGGCAATAGAGGCTGAGAACGCGGTGTTGCTGGTCAAAGTTCCGGCGCTACTCACTGTTTCCACTTTCTACGACACCATTTCCAAAGGTCCTGTGTTTGTGGAGTTCTACTCTCTGTACTGCGCACGGTGCAAGGTTTTGGCTCCATTCTGGGAGAAAGCCTACCAGCAAACTGTGGGCGAAACCCTCCAACTGGGCGTTCAGATGAGACAGGTGAACTGTGTGGAGAGCGGTGACTTGTGCTCGCGTGAGCAGGTCTTGGGTTTCCCTGTGTTCAGATTATACGGACCACTGGAAGATGGCACAGGTGCGGTGATTGAGACATATCTGGGAGAGCATACAGAGGCTGGGTTTGTTAAGTATGTAAGGGAATTGTCAAAAGATCCTAAGGCTGCCGATCCTGCTAAGAAAGAGGTTAAGAAGGATTTGGCGGAAGCTGAGGTGGTTCCGGAAGTGAAGAAAGAGCCTGCTAAACCTGCCGAAATACCTGCAAAGCCTGCTGAGATACCTGATGAAAAATCTAAGCCTGCTGATACACCTGATAAAAAACCTTCTGTTGAAACTTACAACGACAAGAAAGCTATAACTGATGCCGTTAGGCCTTCAGATATGGATTCCGAGGAAACAGGCTTGGAAAACGTTGGGATGCCCACCATGCTCACTCTCAAAACCTTTGGCAAAGAGCTCAGTGAAGGGTTGACTTTAGTCGAGTTCTTCTCTCCATACTGCCACCATTGCAATGCCTTGGCGCCAATCTGGGAAGCCACCCACAAGAAGTTTCTTACCCAGGGCAGGGAGTTGGGCATCAAAATGAGACAAGTCAACTGCGTGGAAGAAGCCGATTTGTGTGGTCCAAAGCACTTGGACATCCGCGCATACCCTAACATCCAGTTGTATGGTCCCAGCAAGGATAAGCGGTCCGGTGTGAAGATTGAGACCTACCCAAGGGGATTAAAGCGGACAGCTGCGCACTTGATTAAATATATGAGGGAGGCCGCGGCTGAGTTCAACGCTGATCACTTTAACCTTCCAGGCAAGTCTACACTCATGACCGACCTGGACATGTTGAACGCCATTGCCGGCAACATTGAAAAGCCCATTTTTGTATCGTTCTGGCCATCCACCGATGTCCAGTTCAAAAAGTCGGTTACTAAGCACTCAGACAATTTCATCAGATGTCGAGACTGCTACGAAACGAGACGGAAGTGGGACCGTTTATCAAACGCCCAGGAGAGCGTGCCGTTGTACCACTTCAACTGTGTCTCCCACCCCAAGATCTGCAGCGCGTTAGGATTTGGCGCCTTGAAAAGCGACCACGGGATGGGTCATAACCGAGAGGCGAAGATGGTGGCCTTCTTGCCAAAGAAGGTATCGGGGCTCAGCAAGATTGCGTATGAGTACTACCCGACGGTGCGCGATATGTTGCAGTTCACTGGGAAGCTTATGGTGAACTACCAATACCAGGAAACCACGGCCGCAAAGCTTGAAGAGTTGAATATCAAGAGCAACATTTTGCCGGCCAAAGTGAAGTTTCCGATCGGCACTTCCAACTCACGCGTGGCTTTTGTCTACCACTACGATAAAAACACGGTGGTGGACGAGGACTTCCAAATCATGGGCCACATGTTAGAGAAGGTGATGGAACTCCCGTTCGAGATCGGCTTGTACAAGTCCTCGGATCCGGGAATTCCCGCGTTGGCAAGACTGCAGCACGAGAACATGGTCGAGCTCCTTAACTACAACTTAACCTCGGCTCCATATGTGTTTGACAAGAACATGCACACGAGTTTGACTCTCACCTCATTGCCCACGTTGTACTGTTTCAAGGAAAATACGTTGGCAAGCTTTACCTTCCAGAACTTTGACCCGCGCGAAATACGAGATGTCGACCGGTTGAAGGGATGGATGGAGACGAATGGGTTCCCTGCCATCCACAGCTTAAAGCCGGTGAACTACCACTACTACTTCAACGACGAGTTGGCGCAAACCAACGATAAAGTGCTTGTAACGCTTGTCAACTCTGAGACCCAGACCCCGGATGATCTCAATGCCATCATCCGCACATTATCGGTGGCCCAGCACGAATACAGCTACATGAAAGCCAAGTACTTGTACGACGATATAGTGAACCAACGGCTGATCAAGGACAAAGAAGTGGCTGCGTTGAAGGGCGATGCCGCTTCGAAGCGGATGAAGCAAGAAATCAGCCACGCGTTATTTGAGGACTACAATTTGTACTTCACCTATTTGGATATGGCCCAGGACGGATACTTGGTGGAGGAAAAGGGCTGGGATGTGTTTGGCTCGCGCTTCGAAAAGGCAAAGTACGAGTACAACATGGGAGACGTGTTTATCGTGGATAAGAACAACAAGCGGTACATCGACTCGGCTGTTACCGGTGACTACCTCACTGCCAACTCGTACCAGCTCAGACAAGTCTTCCAGTACTTACTCTCAGGTATCAAGACCAGCATCGAGTATCCTACTGACTTTGCCAAGAGCGCCTGGGTGCCGATCAAGTTGACCCACAGTCCGTACAGCGACAGGCTCAGGTTCATGGACAAGGTGCATCAGCAAGGATTCTTCGGGTACTTTGTCTTGTGTCTTGGGGTTTTGGTGGCTGCCTTCCTTGGCAGACGCAATCTCAACGCAGTCTACCACCTTTACAAGCGCTCTGCTAGCCGTGACCGCCACTACGGGATTTTGGGCAAGCCAGCCTCGAACAAGCGCGACTAGGCGTGTATGTAGATGACTGTTCGGTCGATAGCTTACGAAAAGATGTTTGATTTTGGACGGGGTCTGTAATTGTGTTTGGGTTCCAACCCCCATGGGATGAATTGGTCACTGGGTAAAAGTAGTTTGCAAAGGCATGGATAGAATAGTGGAATAATCTTTCAACCTCTCCTTTGAAATACTAAACTTTAGAATATATATATATATGTATATATTTTTAATCCAACAGTATGTTGGATCTACTCCTGTATAACCCTCAAGGTGGAAACAGAGACTGAGTCCGTGCACGTGATCTGGTAAAATCCACCCCCAAAACTAATTAATCTCCACAGTTTAAGAATCACCTTCCCAGTTTCTACTACACACAAACACAAACACATACAAATTATAATGGTTGAAGTTTACTACCACGACAATAATGACGAAGTTGATTTCAGAGAGGCGCACCACTCCGGAGAGACTGTTTCTTTGGAAGAGTTGGCCAGCACTGGCGTGCTCTACTACCACTTTGACACAGAAGAGGAGGTTGACCGATTAGCAGTTGAACGCTCGTACAAAAACAGAGACACAATCCGCTTAAACAGAGCGACGTTTGGTGACAGCGAGGAAGCGTTGGTGGAGAAGTTGAACGGATTCTACAAGGAACACTTGCACGAGGACGAGGAGATCAGATATATTTTAGGCGGCTCCGGCTTCTTTGACGTCAGAAACAAGGCAGATAAGTGGATCAGATGCAAGTTGGCCAAGGGCGACTTGTTGATTTTGCCGTCGGGGATCTATCACCGTTTCACACTCGATGCTGAGAATGACATCCACGCGTTGAGGTTGTTCAAGGATGAGCCGAAGTGGATCGCATTGACGAGATCAGAGGAGCTTGCCACGAACGAGTACAGGAAAGAGTACCTTCAGTCAATTGGGGTTTAGTAATGTGAATCTTTCTTATTTATTTCGGCCGATGGATGCTTAATTAGTTCAATATACCAACCAGTCTAGCCTTTATCTAAGTCGCTTAGTACTTTAGTTAGTTGTTCACGGTGGAGGCTGGTGGGTACCAGCCCAGTTACATTTGATTAACTGGGTAATTTGATTTACGGATTCATCCTTGGCCCTGGTATTCGTTATTTTTGAATTCCATAACATAATTACGGTTCAGCCTAGCATTACTTTATTTTCATGTTGTGCTAATTTCTGGGGTATACATTAATTGTTTTCATTCGTAATCTATTCATTGGAATTTAGGTAAGGTACCGAATTTCTAGAATACTGATATTTTGACTATCGGTCTATTTGGGGTACTTGAGAATCATCCACAGGTGCCATATTTTTATTGTAAGCCAATTCCTGGCCATTTTTCCCCGTCAATATTCCCCGAAACCCCCTACTCTTCGCGGATTTTATTCTCGCGAGCCTGCTGGGAAAACCAAAACTCCAAAAAAATATGCGGCATACAAAAGATTTGAAATCATTAAACAGTCCACTACCACCTATCCGCACCCAATGTCCCAAACAGCAGAGCAGAAACAAGGTATGTCTCTACAGGCTCCCCCATAGCATGCGTACTAACACTCCAGAACAACTCCAGTTCGAATACAATGACTTCCAGGGCGCCATCAAGGAGTTGACCACAAAGATCGGCGAGTTGCAGTCCGACGCAGAGGAACACAACGTGGTGTTGGCCACCTTGAAGAAGACGCCCAAAGAGAGAAAGTGCTTCAACATGGTGGGTGGTGTTTTGATGGAGAAAACCGTTGCCGAAGTCGAGCCAGCCTTAGAGACCAAGCTCACAAGCGTATGTATATCGTCTTTCCACGGCGCATTCGGTACTAACAATTATAGATCAAGGGTGCGTTAGAGACATTGGCTAAGGAGTTGCAAAAAACCCACAAAGAGCTTGAGGACTGGAAGAAGAAGACCGGTGTGAAGATCGTCAAGACCAACCAATAGGGTCGATTTAAAATTGTACTTATAAACTTCGATAGATTTTTTTGTAAGCTGAGTTTGACTGGCTGTCCGATACAGGAAGATATATGAAATACGCAGCCTTCTTCCATTTTCATTGCAAAGATTCGTCCTAAAAGTCCTCTCGTTAAATGCTATATTGGCTCTGACATTTATAATTTATTTAATCATATCCGGTATAGCCCTTGCCTTTGTCTCTGGTCGTGCGCCGCCAATCTCTATCACGACACGTTTTGCTAACCTCGGCAGCTATCAAAACGCGCCTCCACTTCACCATACTGCCGGTCTCTCAATAATCGCTACCCCTATCATGTTCATAAACGGCCTCAGAGTGCTCGCTTTTGCTACGAGCCTTCTCTCGGTCGCGGCTGTGTCTGTGACCCCGCGCAATGACACGCTCATCTTGTTCGACCCCAAGCTTCTTGCGGACGACGCCTTTACGGCGTCCCAGTTCAGCGAATTGTACGCAAAGCTCACAAACGAGCTTCACTACAATGTGCACACCAAGAGCTATGCGGACTTATCGGCCAAAAGCGACGACGCAAAGTTCGAGCTTGACTTTGCCAACCACCGGTACGCGAACCTCGTATTGCTCCCTACCTCGCTCAAGAAGTTACCGAAGCTCAGCGCGGGCAAATTGCTAGACTTTGTGAACGACGCTAGCCCTGAATTGGCGCAACAGGCGAATGTTTTTGTTGTGTCGAGCCCAAAGCACGTTAACGACGACTTCCGCGCGTTCTTGAACGAGTTGGGGATCTATCCCGCGCCGAAGAACCACCGTGTGGTCGACCACTTCAACTACGTGGACGTGGAAGCCTCTAAGCATGACTTGTTGCGTCTTCCGTTGGTTTCCGGCGAGAACTTGGTCGCTAATCAGCACATCGTGAGAGACCTTGATTCCATCCTCTACGAGGGCTCCGCCGCGTTGATTTCCAACTCGCCGTTACTCATCCCCGTTGTCAAGGCCTCCAGAACCGCGTACACTGCTAACTCGAAGGACGCGGCCGATGTGTGGGCGCTGGGCTCGCAGGCCAACCTCGTGGTGGCCTTCCAGGGCGCCGAGAACAACAACAGAGTCGTCTGGCTCGGCTCCGACGCGCTTGTCGGCAACGAATTCCTCGTCGCTGAGACCAGTAACAGCCAGTTGGTGACCGACTTGCTCCGCTGGTGCTTCCAGGAGACCGGGGTGATCAAGCTTGCCGACGCATCGCTCACCCAGACCCATCCCGCCAGAGACCTCAAGATCAGCGATGAAGTCACCTATGCTATCACACTAGCCCTTTGGAATCCTGCCACCGCCGCATGGGAGCCGTTCCACACCACGGACTTGCAGTTGGAGGTTATTATGTTGGATCCGTACTACCGTGTGTTCCTCCAGGAGGCTGAAGAAACCGCCTCTGGTGTCGTCTACTCGCGCACGTTCAAGTTGCCAGATCACCACGGCATCTTCAAGTTCCTGGTTGACTATAAGCAGGCCGGGTTGGCGTTTGTGCGCGACGAGATCGTCCGCCCTATCAGACACCTCGCCAACGACGAGTTCCCGCGCTCATGGGAGTTGACCAACGCATGGGTTTACATCTCTGGCGCCGTCACCGTTGTGGTTGCGTGGTTTGTGTTCGTTGTGTTGATGCTCTACTCGGATGACGGTGAGAAGAAGGTGCTCGTGGAGGAATCCAAGAAGGATATCTAAAAGTATATATAAAGATGCGAATATTGATATGTGGTGTAGCGTGTTCTGCCAAGATAGCTTATTGGGTGCGAACGGTCACTCAAAAAAGATGTCTAGGGCTGTACCGATAGATGCCAGACGTGCTAACTAGTTGGATTATCCATGGGCCATAGTCGATATTGATACCGACACAGCCATACATGCATCAGCTTGTTCGATTAGGGTATCGAATTCTCCTTCTCTTCTTCAATAGCTGGTATTGACCCCTCCATTTGTTATAAAGTCTCACATCTTGCCACTACAGACGGGAAAAGAGCGGAATCCTAAATACTGACGCAGACGTACCACGTGCTTGGGTTTTTGGATGAATGTCGGTCAGACTGGTACCAGTAGGAGTCTTTTTGGCTTTTCAGTAGTGATAATGCAGCTTGTGTGGCTTTGAGACACTTGTTTAGTCCTGCGAATTAGTTTAATCTATCCCTGTAGATCGATTTCAACTAATTGCCTCGTACATCTCTAGCCTAAGACTTTTGATCGCTGTATACTGCTACTCCGAAATCTACCAATTGCCAAGGTCAGTACCACCGTCAAGAAATAGCCACTATTGAACCGACGAAAACAGTTCTACCCTGGCAAGGCACATAAAACGTTCACCAATTTAACCTATAATATACAGCTAGAGGGTTCTCAAAAGGTTAAGCTTGTTGATGAATACCCCGGACCTGAGTTGCTTGTACATGGGCTTCACCCCAGGCTCCCCCCCCCCCCACAGAACACCAACGTCTCGTTAACAGTCTCGGGAATGTTGTCGTCAAAACTGGTTTCATAAGCACCACCTCTCGTCAGATAGCTTCCTGAAACAAGCGCTGATCTACGTAGTTTCGTTCCTTCTAAAAATCTCCAAAATACGAGAGCAGCGTCATATCCACTCCTATCGCTGATTTTCGGCGAATCCTCCGAGATTGTTACGTTTTAACTCTCGTTGAAGTCCTGTGAGGTTAATCATCGATAACGGTCTAGCATGTGCTGTGATCCCCAAAGTATCTTTTGTATTTAGGCTGGGTTGCGCGCATGACCACACTTGCACTCCCCTCCCACCGTATGCACAGGTACATATACGTACATGACGCACATACTCTCCCAGCTCCCACTAGTGGCGATTCGTCGGTATTGCATGAGACTTTGCATTAACGGGAGGATTCGGATGAGCAGGAAGATAGCCTTACACGGCAGGCGAGTCCTTCAGCTAACCACACAACATCCTATCCATGCTCAGCAGTGTGCGTATATCGTTCATTTTAAGATCTGCTTACCACACATCCTTCAGGTATTCCCTGGTTCTTATCGGAATTGAATTGAACGTCTGTTCCCACTATGGCCTCTCGGTGCTAGCTCTGACTTAGGGGCATAATTATGGTTTCACGATTGTTGGTGCATCTCGGAGATCGCTGAATCATCACTACCCTCGCCGTGCAACGAATCTACCAGTAATGACCATGTAAGTTTGACTAAATTCAAGGTATATATGCACTGTGGTGCCACACAAAAGAAATTCATCAGACAATGCTTATCTTACGACAGTTCCAACCAATATGTAAAAAAGAAAACAAATGCCTAAGGATCAGACCTTTATCTGGGAAGAAGTACGGTTTTCTGCTCTTTGTAGTCAATTCAAGTATCCTTCCAGTATGCTATACCGGCTCTGAGCCAAAATTGCTACAGCTCCAGGGTTTGTGGGTGCCAGCTAGGATGCATTATGACGATTATGCTCGAGTGAATCTCCCGGACCAAGAACGGTTTGCATAGCCCTGGTCTGGTTGATTACACAGCTGCATGACGGAGGTATTTTCTAGTTATCACTTTCGTAACAATCCCGGAAACAAAACAACCATGAGTTGCGGGCTCAGGATATTTCTGGCAACATATCACACCACTTTCCCTCATCCAAAAGGGCTTGGAAAGACTCGGCTCTAGCCTCGGCATATAGACCCGCCTCCCCTATCTACTTCTTTGTCATTCTAACTGGGATATCAAAGAGACCTCGTTCGTTAAGCTTTAGATAACAGTCAAGCCATCTAACCTTATCTCTAAAGTTACCCAATCCAAATATTATAAGGTATTTACAACCGTCCACTGGGAAATACTAAACACCCTGAAGGGTTCGGCCCTCGGATGTTGGCCTCTTAGAGGCCCGCTATTCGCCACACAGGAGCTGTGAAGCAGGCGGGAGGTTTTTATTCCGTTGGTTTCGGTCCAGCGGCTATAATACTCTTACAACACAGCAAACAGCCCCCAAATGTACAACAGCCTTCAGACCTCCGATGATCCCTCCCCAGGGTCCAAAAGAATGTACGGCCAAGAGTTTGAGCACTTAGAGTGCACAGAACACGTGCGGGGCGTCACTCATTCACGTTTAGACTCCATCATCTGACGGTCGTGTGTTTTAAGACACCGGAATGTTGCACTACCAGCTTTATAACCGTCACAGCTGAGCTCTAATAGCAAACGGTGTGCATGTTCTCGTTTTCACTCATTAGGGGAACATCGTCTAGATAAGTGTATTACCTGAGCACTAAATAGTGCCTCCCCCACTGTACATTAGACCGGCGCAGCGACCATGGCCCTGTACGGGATCATTTATTAAGCCAAGTCACGTTGCCTAGTCATTGATCCTTCTAACCATGTACTACAATGCTTTAATTGATTGTCCGACGCACGCACCTCCAAGACGCAATAGGCCGACAATCACCACCTGAGCAGGCCGTATGCCAATACTAAAAAGCGTGGCGTACTGGCTCCCTGATTACTAGCAGAGGTGGTTCGATTTATCTGTGCTTTTTTCCCACGAGTGTTCTGATTTGGTTAGTGTTTTGTCGCAGAAAAGAGGCTTAACCGACCTTGGTAGAGCAATAGATGAGATTAGGTGCGTAATGCATAAGGTTCTAGGCCCGCCGAAATCCTGGCGCACGTTCACGATTGCCGGATTCGCAGCTACCCCACACCTCGGAGTTGTGTGCGCGTGTATGCTGATAGCCACCCACTGATACACGGTCACTGGCAGCGGAAACCACGGAATTTCAGGTGACATCAGCTATGCTTCGGAAACAGGCGGTCGACGATTATGCTCCTGTTTGGAGGGAAGGTGGTATGAGCCTCTGTTTGACTCCGAACCACCACATCCATTCCTTGGCGTTATCGACCTCTGTGCATAAACTTTGAGGAGTCATCAGATCTGAATAAGTGAAACTGTAAGTTAGGTTTGCTTTGACAGGCAAATAAAGAACTAATACCTTTTGTATTCGTTGCCAGAGCTCCCGGCACGTGGACGTGCAGTGGCTCTCAATGGGGCAGTTGCGTCATGTGGAGTCCCCAGGTGGAATACACGATTGCCACACATACAGAACCAAATTCCAGGCGGCCTCACGTACGTGTCCTGTGAAAGTCGTGCCAGATCTGTTGGCCACTGGGTCTGTGCACGCAGACGCATGTATGTCCCTCCGCATGACGTGGTGCAGGTGCAGCGCTTCCAAATTTCGCGCACGACATGCAGCCCCGATGACCTTAATTACACCCCTTCCCCCCGACCCCACTTTGCAGGAATCCTCTAGGATTTTTTATAAATTCAACCATCTTGCTGCAACTTTATACGAAACTATAACGTTATCACAACCACCTGAATAATCATCGGCAGGTATACCAAAGCAGCGACACAAGCCTACAAAGCAACGCCACAGATCTGCTCGCAACCCAGCACTGTCAATAACGCTCTCCTTCACTAGCCCGCTTCCAAGAGCTAGTTTCCCTAATACCCATCCAGCTGACTAATAGCTCAAGCCTCAGCTTCCCCTAAGAGCCTTCAGCTTTCAGTTTCCATTCTACCTCTTGATGTCCACCCCCCTCAATCCCACCTACTTCGGTTACATCGGCTCCACCAAGGATGCCCTCCTCGTGATTCAGGCCACCCTTAACCAACAGCTCCACGCGGTCCCCCGTCGCCCTCACGACCGCGAACGCAACGCGCTCATCCAGTCCGGAAACTGCTTCGTCTTCTCTGAGGAAAAGTCCGGGATCAAACGCTGGACCGACGGCATTGCGTGGTCGCCCTCGCGTATCCTCGGTCGCTTCCTTGTCTACCGCGAGCTTGACCGCTCCGCCTTGAGCGAAAGCGACGACCGCAAGAATAAGCGCAAGAAGCTGACGAGCAGTGCGAGCGGTCAACAGCTCGCTGCGCCACTCGCATACGACTCGCACATCTCGCCACATGCGCAGAGCGCGAGTATGAACACCGAGACCGGCCGCCAACTTGTGGGCTCGCTTGTCGCATCCTACGCCTTCAAGGAGCAAGGCCTCATTAAGAAGACCTTGTCGCTTACCGTTGCACACCGCAGTCGCGGCGCCTCCGCGGCCCCAGAGGTGCTCCACCTCATTTCCTATTACAACGCAGATGACGTCATTTCCGGTAAACTCGTGCGTCCGCAAGACTCCACCCTCAGCACGTCCATTGCCATCAGCGACGACCTCTGGCTCGCGGTCAAAGAGTCCAGTTTGGGCGGAAAGATCCCGATCGAGGACGAGGCGCATTACTTCATCGACGGCAAGTTCCTGCAGGCCACGGCTCCCGTGCGCAAGAAGTCCTCGCCGCCACCGCAGCCTCTCCTGTACTACGGGAATTCGTACCAGCCACCACAGACGCAGACCTTTGGTCATTTTGACGAATACCCGGCCCAGACCCAGCAGTACTACGGGAACCAACCCGACGCATACTCGATTGGAACCAAAAGAAAGTCGGTCTACTCTCCTACGTCCAAACCAAAGTCGCCGGAGTTAGTGTCCAGCAGCTTCCCGCCGGTCGCCACGGCAAACCAGCCATCCTGGTACACGTACGGGTCTCAGGCCCAGTCTCAGCCACAGCCTCTGGGCTTCCCGCCACTCGCGGGAACGCAGTACTTCCTGCAGGGCGTCGCCTCGCCGACATTACCGCTGCTCTCGCAGCACGCTGAGAGCTACCCGTCGGCGCCGCCAAGCCAGCAACTGTTACCGCACTTGTTCCATAGTCTGTCGGTGAGCAGTGGTGCCGAGCTGTATGGATACCCCCAGAACAACTTCTACCCGGGTACGCGCAGCAGCTTTGGGTACTCAGGAGCCCAGCAGCCGCCACAACAGTACAACAACAGCGGAAACAACCGCTGGTACAACGACTCAGCCTTAGGCCAGAGCGCCAATAGCACTAGCGGTGCAGGTTCATTGCTAGAAGCGAAGGAGCCGGCAGGGCCCTCCGGCTCCACCCTGGCTACAGCTCCGGCTCCGGCCCCCTTGGCTGCGGGTTACTATAACCACTAAGGGTGCCTGGAATTTTTTTATACTTTCTCCAGGGGTACTGGATACCTCTGTAGTGGCATTCAATACCTCTCCGTTGTGTTTTAATGGTATTTTTCTGCGTGTTTTGATGGTACCTCTCCTTGTTTCTTTAATTCTTGTGTCTCGGTTTATTTCTTTGCTCCACTTCTCTCTCGTTATGTTTAATCTGTGTATTTTTTAATTTATGTGTGGTTCGGCTGAAAAAAAAAAAAAGTTGTAGCGTGATATGTTTACCCTGTTTCATTTTATCGGTTGATAACTCACTGATTGTGTGTGGCTTAGGAATTTAACGTTCGTTGGGCTTCTGCTGTTAAATTTAGCGCAAATATAAAATACCACTCTCCAGTTACATGGTTCCAACTCCGTCCCCTGTATCCCACCGTCATTAGGTTTGATTTCCATTCCTAGTCATCTCCGATAAGCTTTTTGCTTAGCTACTAGATCCGGTTTAGGTTTGGCTGGTAGAGATTGCCTGCAGCAAATAGCTTAGCGCAAGGCTAATCGGGTTTTACGGATGCTAGATCCCAAGCGCGCGGGGCATATTTTACGCGAGAAAGCTAAGGGCGCATTCCAGAGCTAAATAGCTCGATCCTCTCTGCCTTTAAATCGGAGTGGGCGTACAGTCTGTACCTAGTGCTAAACGGCCGAATATGGGCGATAGCTTGTTACTCCCGTATACCTCTACCGCGCGTAGGTTCTTTCAGAAATACCTCACCTCTTTACTACAGTTTGTATCAAGAATATTACAACTTCTATAGAAGGATTCACATTGCTATGTACAAACGGACCGCATCCTTGATGCAGAGAGTTGGGTGAAAAGTTATGAAATCGCGTAGCATCAGTTTGCGATATTGAAACATGTGTCTTGTATTCCACCATACCTGTTTCAATCAAAACGACTCATAAAAAGGGTTAGGTAAGATACGCTTCAAAAGACAATGTCATGTAACTAACGGGAGTCCAACCTGGAAGGAAGCTAGCCTTACCAAAGCAATGTACTCAAAGCACGATATGTTAATTATATAGACGTATTATCTGTTTTCAAATCCCCGGTCCTTTTCCCATCTATAGCCTCGTGAGGCAGCGCACTTGTACAGGAGTCAAGAGGACAGCCTATACAGGAACATGTTTCGTAGATTCGCTGTTATGCTTAAAGTTGACATAAAAGTGGGTCTGATAGTTGCCCATTTTATTCCTCTCTCAAGAGGCATGTTGACTCTGTTCAGGTTTTCCAAAACGTAAATAGCGCAAACGGCAGACTATACGATTCCCCGCGTGACGTCATTGGGTCGTGTGCGTTCCATCCGCTTTTGGTCTGGTTTTTTGCACAAACGCAGTCGAGACTGGCTCCAACATGAAACAGCTAAAGAGCTTTCGCAAGTGTCTTTCTAGCGTACTTCAAAGTCATTATAGGTTATCTTTTGTGTGTCTTTACGTCTTAGCCCATACTGTACCTCTGGCACTGACCCAAGATCTTTCATTAGACCCTCGTTTAGCCTTTCCACGTTAGATCTGCCACCGTAGCCAGATATCCTAGCCGCCGTTTCTGTATTATCCTCAAGCCTTAAGTCAGGAAAGAATAGCCATTCCCGGAGACTATAAGTTTTCCTCGCTGACTACACTCTGCCGGAAGTTTACCTAGATCCGAACAGAGACGTTTCTTACCATCTTGATACGAATTTTGTTTCTACGGACATCCAGACTACACAAACACTAAAGCCTCTATCACCGGAGCCCTCCTCTTCAAATTTCGAGAGACTTTTATTAGACTACCTGTCATTCCTTCCACTGCTCTTCTCTCATGTACTCGCTATCGTCGTACTTTGACATTCCCGTGGGGTACTGGGAGTACCTTCCGGACACGCACAAGTTGGTCAACCTCTACATGATGCTCACACCGTTTTTTTCCTACGGCTCGACGGTGTACAGCATCCATACAAAGCAATCCAGCACGGGTTTCTCGATGGAAATCTGTGCCACGATGCTCATGGCGGCAACGCTCCGAATCTGCTACTATTTCGTGAACCCATACGAGGTCACGCTCTTCCGCCAGTCATGCTCCATGGTTGCCATCCAGTGCCTCTTGCTCAAGGTGAGTCTACACTACCGCAGGCCCGTTTCTGCCTATAGTGACGACCTAGCGGCGCGCAACTCGTGGCTGCAGGAACTCATGAACGCGAAGGACCGCTTCTATGCCTCCAGCTCGAGCCTGGCGGGCTCGCTTTTCGACCATATCTGTCTCTACATCCGCTACTACTCGCTCATCGCGTGGCACTTTGGCTGCTACATTGTCCGCTTCTTTGATGTCTACTATCGCAGACCGTTCCGTTTCTGGCAGTGGCAGCACGAACGGCCCTACTGGCGGTTTATCGGCTCTTTTGCCGCGTTGTTCATCGTGTTGACGTACTGCTTTAGCGGCTACCAGGCCTACGGCGAGTGCATCGGTATGGTAGGCTTGCTCGTGGAATCCTTGCTCCCCCTTCCGCAGATCTTGTTGCTCCAGCGGTTGCAGTCCGTAGAGAACTTCAAGGTGATTTTGCTCGTCAGCTGGTTATGTGGGGACGTGTTGAAATTGAGCTATTTATTCTGGGGAACGGACAATGTGGCCGGGATTTTTGTTGTCTTTGCCTTGTTCCAGATGGGGTTGGACTTTATTATTGCAGGGCAGTGGTGGTATTATCGAGAAAAGGCCAGAATGAATAGCTCAAGTTCCAGCGAGCATGAGATTGAGTATAAGTTTAGCGTTTAGCGAACAAATTTCGAGCTTCGATACGGGGTGATAGCATGCTAAATATCTATATACATGTACCATAATAAATAGAATAAAATAAAATCGAATCAACCTTGCACGTATGACGATTAATGAAAATAATGTCCAACTGAGGAAATTGGATTTTTCCTATTCCTTTTCAACTTTTCCTATTCCTCGCTTCAGTTTTTAAAGCCCGGCCAATCCCGGGTTGTAAGCCGCTAAGCACGAACCCCATGTCTCGCCTAATATATCTATGACTACCAAGAGCCATCATGGCCTTAACCAACGGTCATAAAGTCGTATATAATCTCTCTCTCTAGATAGTTCTTCGGAAGCTTATAAGATAACCTTTATCTCTGATCCTTCGGAAGCGTCTCGTGGCCCCGGTCTGGCTTCAGTCGGGCCTCCTGCACACAGCCGATAGGTGTAACACCTTTTTCTGTTTTTTTCAGCTGGAACTTGACGCCGAGATCTGGTCTTCTGTGGTTGTCCTTTAGAGTGTACGAGAACGTTTGCCTGACTAGTTTTAATCGCTGCTCATTTTCATTCCGTCTGGGTCCTACGCTTCGGCCGTTACTCTATTCCTTCCCTCTCTTTGGCTGCAATCCTATCCCTGACTCTTCTCTTCAGCTGATACCCATCACACTTCATTCTCCATCGCTCCGGTTCGCCTTCATAGCATCCGCCTTCATAGCATTCCACCATAATTAATTTATGAGTGAGAAAGATTTCCACCAGGAATACACAGCGCCCAAGAGCGCGCTAAGGCTCACGCCGGCAAAGGTGACCGCGCTATCAGGTGCGCTCGCGGGCTTTCTCTCGGGCGTGGCGGTATGTCCGCTTGACGTAGCAAAGACGCGCTTACAGGCACAAGGCGCATTTGCATCACTGTTGCGCAGCGCTGACGCTCGCGGCACACCCCCACCGTTCAAGTATAAGGGCTTGGTGCAGACAATCTCATTGATTCTGAAGGAAGAAGGTATCCGTGGGTTGTACCGCGGGTTGGTGCCCATAGTATTCGGCTACTTGCCGACGTGGATGATCTACTTCACGGTGTATGAGAAGTGCAAGCCGGTGATTTCGCGGAACCTCGACCACGAATTCGGGTCGTACGTTTTATCGGCCATTTGTGCGGGTGCTGCCTCGTCGATTCTGACGAACCCCATCTGGGTGGTCAAGACCCGATTGATGCTCCAGACCGGCTCTGGGTCCCTCATGAACCCCACCTTTGATCCAAAGATAAAATCTCGCGCCTCACATTACTACTACAAGGGCACGATCGATGCCTTCAGGAAGATGTACAAGTACGAGGGCCTCACGGTCTTCTACTCGGGATTGGTCCCGTCGCTCTTTGGCTTGATGCATGTGGGGCTCCAGTTTCCCGTATACGAGAAGTTAAAGAAGTTCTTGAGGGTCGACCAGGAAGACAGTGATGTCACAGGCAGCCGCTTGTGGAAGTTGGTGGCGGCCAGTTCCTTGTCCAAGATGTTTGCTAGTTCTATTACGTATCCCCACGAGGTTTTACGAACGCGCATGCAATTATCAGGAAACACAAAGGAAGACCCGAAGGACGTGAAGGTGTACGGAAAGGGTGGAAAGAAACTTGGTTTATTTGCCACGATGAAGAATATTTATGTGAAGGAGCTGATGCGCGGGTTTTATTCTGGGTTTGTTGTTAACTTGATGCGAACCGTTCCCGCCAGTGCTGTGACGTTAGTCAGCTTTGAGTATTTCAAGGCGCATTTTACACAATACGTGTGAGCGAGTGGGTAACACGAGGTACAAGGCAGCGCCGTGAATGAAATAGAAGAAAGCAAGCACTGGGCGAATTCAAAGACAGCGACATCGTTGCACGAACCAGCGACACGCTGCGTGATAGAAGTGAGCAAAGTCAGTGGGATAAGTGCCAATGGAAGAAACCAAAGAGATATAAACGCTAGAAGCCGGAAAAGCCAGAGAGAGCTCAACTCGGGGAATGACGTGAACACGTTGGATAATCCGAAAACAGCGGCATAAATCCGTGTATAGAATATAATAATGTTATGAACTTGAAGATAGCCAGGAACTGCGAAGTTTAATATAAGACAGTATGGGATGAACGCTGTTAAGATCTTTACGGATGGAGCTTCGCAGGTTACAACCTGGGCACGTTTTCCTTAATCTTGCATCAAGTTACTTCCAATGACGCTTTTTGCAATGAAATTGCTGACTTATATATCTCCGGTGGAAGGGTCGCATAGACCATGAATACTGTAAAAAGAAGAGCATTCAATTACACTTTTTATGTTACAATATTCTCATGCACAACTTTGCTAATGTAGTGTACATACATCAATGTCATACTTATCGGCTCTTCACTAATACTGCATCATCCCGTTTAGCCGGCCAGGTTACGGGGCTGGTTTAGAGTACTTATGCTGTCCCCTTTCTGAGAGCAGTTTCCCCATCGATATACCAACTTCTTTGAACCTGTGATTCTATCACAGGTGCCAGCATGATGACATCTTTGTCGCGTATGTCTTTCGGGCATACCATAAATTTGAGAGCATTGGTCCTAGCGGTTCATATCAAGTTGAAGGGTCAAGCTTCTCCACCCAGCTTTGCAAAGGCAGATGTTCAGTCTCGGTTCAATAAAGACGAGCCAATCGCACCATTTAGAATCCAGGAACAGGGCAGAGGCCCGGCCATCTTACGCCTATGCAATACAATGGCAAAGGAAAGGATTGCTGTTAAGCCGTTGTATGAAAGGCAAGGAATTGTTTAATCTTGATCGTCCAGATCTTCTCGCAGAGGCTCCTTACCGCAGAGCCTTTCAGCCAGGTCCGTAGCCTGGAGTTCAACCTCACTAAATTCTTTATCACCAATATCCTCCGCGTCGTTCAAACGGCCGGTCTTCAACCAGCGGAAACGAATGAGCCAGACGAGTTGCGAGGCAAAGATCCCCAACTCCAACAGCGCGCAGATGGCGTACAACACACAACCCATGATGTCCAACTTTGCAGTGTCAACGGCCAAACTGGCCAAGGAAAATACGGCGCCGGAGAAGTCAATGGTTAAAAAGATAAAGTTGATCCCAATGACGCGGCCCTGACGCTTCCACAACTCAAAGTACGGTGGAATCAAACCTGCAGCAAGCAAGATGGATGCAAGAATCCCGAAGATTAACGGCGGCCAGGTGGTGCCTTCCTGGTACCATCTCTTCAACGGGATGATAAAGCCGACCTCTAACGCCATCGCCCCGACGACAAACGCCACCACAACCAAAATGATGCGTCTAGTGGGCCATGATACCGGCGGATAATACAACGACTGCACGAAGCCAATCAAGCAGAGAACCGTGAACACGCACGGCTGCACTTGCACCGGGATATTGGAGTCAATGGAGATGAAGTAAATAGCAAACGGCACGCCACAGGCCGACCAGAGGAAGAGCATGAGCGGAGGAAGTCCCTCGCAGTTCTTCTTGCGGTAGTTGAAGTAGATCTGCGGTACAAGCTGGACGCACCAGAGGACCGTCCCGATGGTCCCCAACGTGTTGGCAGCAGCACTATCGTTGGTCATGTAGTTTGAATTTGACCGGATGTAGAGGAGGTTGCGAATCCGGGGGGAAGTGATGTTTATATATCGCAGCTAAAAAAAATTTCAGCAGAGTCAAATGTGGCTTTGAGTCAGAGTCCAGACCCTCTGCATACCTGTTAGATGCAAATATTTTCCCGCGCATCAGGGAGTCGAGCGGAGTCTTATGCCTAAAGCGGAGCTTCGAAGCGCCGACCCGGTACTAGTTTGCGCGCCGTGCGCAGAGGAGCGCCACACCGGCGATATCTCGGCTCCGTGCCAAGCATTATTTTTCTAGGCATTGCTTCTCTGGGGAAACTGATCTACGGGTATCGGCGGTTAGAGCTGTGCGAGGATACTACTTTGGTGGTAGAAAGGAATAATCCAGGCAAGGGGCGTAGAGTTAGTGCGTGATAGTCATTAAGGCTAGAATTTTTATCACTGTTTTTGTGTGACAAGCTCTATGTACTTTCATTTCAAGCACTGTCCGTGATAGTTTAGTGGCTAGAATCCCCGCTTGTCGCGCGGGGGACCGGGGTTCAATTCCCCGTCGCGGAGCTTTTTTATAATCAGTACTTTTTTTACTAAACCATTTTGATATTCTCATAAACTGGCCATATATTCGATCAATTATTTGAACTCAAAAACCTTTGTTCGTCCTAAGCTTACGGTGTTGGTTTAAATACCAAAAGCAACACTCTTCTTGTTATGTCAACTCTAATATATCTAACAATGATTCTATTAGCTAAAATATTGTTGCTTGCCTTGTACGCTAGATATATAACCAAGGCAAAGAGGTCCTTGACCGTATCACGCCACTCTAGATGAAGGAAGGACCCGGGCGGATCAAACTGTCTTGTCCAGGGTTTCCCACGGCTCGCTTCATTCCCAACTACAAATAACCTCTTCGGGTAGACCTCTTCAGGTAGACCTCTTCGAGTAGACCTCTTCGGATAGACCACTTGGCATGCCAAGAAGCACAACGAGATTACGAATCAAATCAAAATTAAATTAAACCAAACTACAAAAATTATTCCTCGGCCTTGACCTGCGCGTGGAGCTTGCCCTTTTCCTGCATCTCGCGCTCCAAACGGTCCTCGATGTCCTTCAACTCTCTCTCCCTCTCCATCAACTCCTTGCGCTTGTTGGCCAAGTCAATCTGAACACGCTCTTCGAACTTACGCAAGCGCTCTTCCTCTAACTTGATCTGCTCCTCACGCGCGTGGTACGCCTCACGGTTCAGTATGGAATCGTTCATGCTTTCGACTTCGTCAGCGTGGAACTGCGGTGCGGAGAAACCTGAGTCATCGTGGTCCGGCCTGTAGTCCTTTCCGGAGAGGGCCTCGGTTCTGTACTTTTCGTACAACACATCATGGGTGCCCTCCTTCAAGTCGTTCAAATGGGTGATCAAGAGTGTGTTGCGGAGGATGGGAAAGTCGGAGATCGCGTCGTCCTCTACGTTGATCTCCCCGTGGGGCAACTTTCTAATCCGCAACACATTCCCATCCGGCAAGGTCTTGAAGTCGTTGCTCCCAATGACGGCAAACGGCAAACGGGAGTACAAGTACTCGTTGTAGCTGATGATTTCATCGTCGTCGTGCGCGGCATCGTACGGAAACTTGTAGTGGTCAATCCCGTGCTGCTGCAAATCGTCCATTATCAACTTTTTGTTTAACGCCAACTCCTCAGGCGTGAGTGAGTCGGCCTTGGCAATCACCGGAATCAAATTGACAAGTGGACACACCTTCAGCATGAACGTGATATCGATCTCCCTCAAGCCGTGGCCGGTCGGCGTGATAAGATAGAGCAAGCAGTGGATCCGGCCGTCCTTGAAGCGCGGATTACGTCTCACACGGCTTTCTTCCAACAAAATCTCGTCGTACTGGTGCGTAATGTAGTCAAGGATGATCGGAAACTGGAACTCGTTGTCGATGGAGTCGCCAAACCCGGGCGTGTCGATCAAGTTGAGCTGGATCTTGACGCCCTCGTTGTCCTCCAACTCCACGCTCTCGTGTCTCAACTGCAACTCCTTTACGTGGTCGGCGTTGTCCGGTGATGGCACCGTGATGGACGACTCGATGATCTCCTGACCGCACAACGTGTTGATGAAGGTTGACCGGCCGCTACCCGACTGGCCCACAATCATCAAGGTGAACTGAATCCCCTTTTTTAACGTCTTTTTCTTTCTCAAGGCCGAGGAGCTCTGCGCAAATGATGTGGATGACATAGTGAGAATTAATAAATAGTAGAGAAGGGAAGAAGGGCTAACATTGGTGGATCTCCGTTTTTCATAACAAGCGTAGGTGGCAGGAAAGTGAGCCGCACATCAAATCAGTGAATTACGAACCAGGTGACGTGTTTTAGCATTGGCAATTATGTTGTTACCACTGCTATGGCCTATGGAATTTTTATTTTTAGTGACATACATAACTCTATAAAAGTCTATAGTATGGTGTAAGGGGGTTGTCTGGGATGAGCTTTTTGTCCGTGCCAGCGGTACGGGTCGCCAACACGAAATCCTGCAAGAGATTGTAGAATTATTCGAGAGTTCCGAACGCTTGGGTATAGCTTTTTACTTTTGAAGCCGATGGGATGGATGGCAGTCCAAAATGGAAAGGACCCGGACAAAAATTGAAGAAATTCAATCAGCAAGCCTATCTTAGATCTCAAGATCTGTCCGCTTTGGGTAAAATAGACTCCTGTATACAGGGTCCGTACCAGTGGCTCCCGTGGAGTCAAGGGTGAGGGACCCGTGAATGAAAAGAAAAAAAAAACTTTCTTGGCAAATGTCTCCATAGTTTAACCGAGCCGGAAATAAACAGCCACATCTATTCTACATTCGAGGCACAAAATATAAATTAAATTCCAATCAACCCCGTACCTGACGTTTAAACCCAGTTGTCATAGGCCATATGTACTAGCTCTGACAAAGAAACATACTACACCTACTAGGCAACCTGAAGATACCGTACACCATGTAGGTACGCGCCAACAATTTCGAAACAATGACTAAGTGCAGACTCTCTACACAGACCAAACCCTGGGTGACCCATAAAAGTTGACACAGTCGTTACACGAGCCAGAATCAGTCTAATTCCTCTATGCCTGCTCAATCCGTTCACTGAAGCTCACTGAACTTCTCCGGCTGAGAAGGGCCGTTCTCTCCGTATCTTCGTCGTTTGGATTTGAAAGATTGCCGGTAAAGACATGCCACGCAAGAACCACAAACAACACACCAGATGCAACGTAGAATAGTAACATCAAATAGAAGACAAAGTGCGGGTTGTTAGCCACAGTCCTACGGTACACGTAGAGAAACGAGGCGGGACCCACAAGGGAAATCATGTTTCTGAAGACAGCTAACGCACCAAAGACCTCGCCTGTCTTGTGCTTGGGGCCATACTTGACAATCGAGCTCTGCAACGCCGGCGACGCCATAGCGCCAATCGCCATGAACACACTGGAGAGGAGAAATACCTTGGTCACGGCCGCAAACGTCATCATAGAGCCTCCCCCGATCTCAAACAAAATAGCCGCGCCAACCACAGTCAAATCGACTTTATCCAAGACCTCTGGGTGGATATCAAACACCCTAGTCTTCAAGAAGTTGATGAAAAGGGGCGCCACCAAGACCAACGATAAGGTCCGGGCACCACTGGAGATCAGGATGAACGCATTCAACTCGGTAGACGTCCACTGGAACTGGAAGATCCCGTACATGCTGACTACCGGAGCTATGGAGAAGGCTGAAACGAGAAGGAGTAACTCCACCCCAAGCAAGAGGCACACGGTGATACGAGCTTCGTACCGCTTGGTCCACGGAACAGACAGGCGACCCGAGACGTTTGCTGGAACCCAGAACACCTTCAATGGCAGAAACACGTTCAACTGATAGAGCACCTCGTGCCAGTTGACTCCCGAGAGGAGCTTGTGCGTGACAGGCGAACAAGTCTCTATTCCACTGCGTACAGAGATGGAGGACCTCTTGCGATGAAGCTTTGCCTGCATGGACAATGTGCGCGACTTCTGTCTCGCCTTCAATGGCCTGGACTCTGGCACTACGAGCAACACGACCACCGTGACGATTGCCAAAAGCATACACTCGGTGTAGCAAGTGAGAATGATGTCATCCTCACGGCCAAGCACGTCGTTGAGGATGAAGGACCCAAAAATCGGGCCGATGGAGATCCCCAGGAACATAGCCGCCAGAACAATCCCCAACAGCTTAGTTCTGACTTCGGTATCTACAACATCGGTCACATACAGACAAGCAAGCGCCAAGAAGGCAAAGGCCCCGCCTCCTAACTTTCCTAAGAGGTCCACAAGCACGAACAGCTTGAAGTGCAACTCCGACTGGAAACGCGGATCGAGCAAGTACGCAGTAAGAAGTGTCAGCATAACCAGGAGGCACAAGAAGAAGAGGAGCGCCGGCTTCCGGCCGAACTTGTCACTGTACTCCCCTATCTTCCCCGAAACCAAGATCGATGCACTACCCCCGATAAACAGGCAGTAGAGCTGGAGGGTTGAAATCATCTCCTGGGCATCGGCATTGGTGCACTTTTCTGCCACAAGAGCCGAGTCGCCACGGACCTTGTCAATAGACGAGCACGCGAGGCGGAGCATGAGCACCAACTTTGCCGACATCCCTATCCCGACCGCAAGCGCGAGCGTAAACATGATCGCGACAATCATACCAATGGACGGCCGCTTGTGCCACAGGAGTTTCAGGTGCTCCAAACGCGCCTCGCGCAACCAGCGCATGTTCTCCTCCTCGTCATCGTCTACGATCGCTTCGCTGGCGGTATGTTTGGATGGGCCTTCGAAAAGTACGCCAAAACCCTCCACAGCCGCACTTTCGAGCAACTCGTCTCGGGTCTCCTCGTCGCAACGTGGCAACGGATCTCTTTGCACGGTCATTGTAGGGGGTGTCTTTGGGAAGGCGTCAAAAGCTATTTGTTTGGACTATTATATAAAGCGGAGATTTGTTCGTATGAAACAGACCGTTCGCTAATTTGAAATCTGGACCTGGTATATATCAGGGCTTGGTATTTAAGATCAGGGTTTAATATATCTGGGAGCAAGGCTTGACGTATCTGGGATTGATAGCGATTAGGGGTCAGAGCAAGGACTGTGAGGCGACCAGCCGTGGCTCATATGAGGTAAGTCTGTAGCCTTTGCAGGCGCTGCAGATTACTATGTTATATGGCGGAGTTAAGCAAGGCCACAGGGGCGAGCGGCAAATTTCCTAATACGACCTAACGTGAGGTTATCGCCCCCACGCTGTGGAATGCGGCAGTCCGGAAGAAGCTCTATCTCCGGGTATTTTGATGACAAATACATCAAGCAGGTGGATACCTCATACCAAACCCGTCAAAAGTAGCCCTGCGTAGATCGGTTTAAACGGGTAAAGATAAAGGGGTGCTAAGTCTCAACTCTGGTCGATGCCTCAGCTCTGACCCAGTGTCGAAGAAATTGGCAGTACATGGGAACAACATTACGCCTTAGGCATTGGATAAAAGACTATCTGAGCCAAGTTCAGATTTAAGTTTATCTTTTGGTGGTCGAGTTACCAATTAAGCCCCGGTTACATCCTTTGGAAAGCACTTGGACCAATGGTGGCTGCTTGTCACTTCTTCCTCCGACTGCTCACCCATTGTTAGAGAAATATGAATGAGAATCTCAATAGGGGGCTTATCTTACGGGTTGTATCAATTTTGGCCGGTTTGGACTTCCACTGCCATGAACCCTAGTTGCATCGTTTTAGGTTCGGTTGGATAGTATGTTCCGAGCCGGTGATAAGAGCAAAGATACGTAGATGCAGAGCTATCCACCTTTCAAGTCCCAACAGACGCCCCAAGTAGACTTCAAAAAAACGCGGTTATGAAACCCTTTATCAGGCAATTTCAACAGCTGCTTCGGGTAATAGCAGATGAGATGCTCTGGCTGAGAGAATCCCATCGTATTCAGTGGGGAGAAGGTAAATCTAAACCAGGTAGCTTGTAGTCCTAAACAAGCGAGATTATTCCATTAGCAATCTCAATGAGAATCAATGTCGAGCGGTAGGAAATAATGGCTGGCTATAATTTACTTGTCCTTTGGTAAGGTAACAAAGTCTTGGATATGTAAATAGAGTATGTATATTTGTTGACTCCAAGAATAATAATAATAATAATAATAATAATAATAATAATAATAATAATAATAGTAATAATACGGGTATAGTATATCTTTTTATAGACAATTGGCTCTTCCGAAAAAGCTGCTTTTGATCATCCTGAAATCACCTCTGAGTCATCATTTGACAAGGGTGAGTCAGTTTGGCATTTCTTCAAACATTTAAACAATCCCGTGACATAAAACATGTGCAGGGACCGATTTCAATACGTCAAAATTAAACTACAAAAGCTAAGCGCCTACCCAACCAAGGCATAACTAAACATCAACACGGACATTCCCACCATACTCCACGTCAACACGACCCGATGGCTCCCACCGAAGGAGATGGCGCTGGCAAACATCTGCAAACCGATAATGTTAAGGAACCCGGCGGTAATTCCCATGAGAATGCCAAATGTGTAGTCGATGGCGGCGAGCGTGTGGTCGCCACTGTACACCGTATCCATGAACCAGACCCCCAATAATGCCCCAAGAGGCTGAGACAACACGGACAAGCAGCCGGTGATGGCAATTGCCTTGGCACGCGAATTGAGCGAGTAGTAAAGGGGCAAAGTCATGGAAAAGCCCTCGACAAAGTTGTGGATGAGCAAGCTGACAAAGATAGATAACCCGATTGCCTGCTCCTCCTTGCCACCACCTCCGTTGGACGAAACAAACGTGATAAAGCCTTCGGGTAACTTGTGGAGTGTGATGGCAATGGTTGTCTGCAAAGAAATGGAGAGCAAGCGCGATAACGGGGGCGTGATGTGATGGTGGTGGAGCGTGTGCTTCGTGTGTTCGTCTGAGGGAGGTGTCGTAGGTGTTGTGTCCAGGGCAGAAACCGACATCTTGATAAAGCTGTGCGCTTCGTGGGGCGTTGGACGATGGGTTATCGCCTGTCTGAGCTCTACCATGTCACCCGGAACCTCGCAGAAGTGCAAGACTGGGTGCTGGTGCTCGCCCTTTGTCTCGAAGAGACAAGCTTCCGCTGATTGGTAGCCCATGCACTCACCGTCGTCCGACAGCGATCCGTCGTGGGTGTGGGCGTGCTTGTGGGTCTTGGGTCTGTGGAACGTGTCTGAGAGCACGTCCACAAGGGACTTCTTTTTGATAAGCGGGGAACGCACTAAGGGCGTGGTTTCCGACGCATGCGAGTGCGAATGCGAATGAGACTCGGGGTCTTGTGAATGGGAGTGGTGGGACGAACTTTCGGCCACTTCCGACGAGTCATCTCCATGGCTGCAGTGGACAACACTCTCGCTGGTCATGATGTGGATGAGAGCGTTAAACCCGGAGCAAAGCACCATTCCGCCGATAAAACACACAGAGAGCACCATCTGAATTTCCCGTTCGTGCAAACCGTCCTCAAGCTCCGGCGTCGGGTAGTAGCTCCTGTACAAGTATCTGTACGTAGATGGCAACAACTTGTACAATGACGTAAGAATCAAGCAGCCGGCAGACAAGGCGAGCGATGCGATAAGGAACGCGTAGTTGTTGATGAGGGTAAACCTGTAGCGGGAAGTCACAAACCTTGGCAAAAGGAGGTTGTAGAGGTAGTCGACATAGATGGTGCAGCAGCCCACGGCACACATGGCTGACGTGAGCGCAATGTAGATCCAGCCCCTTTCGATACCCTCAAATATGTTTAGCATGGGAGAAGAAACGCGGATATTGTAAGAGGAAGCGTGGGTGTTTATAGGAAGGGAGCAAAATGCAAATATACTGGTGGGTTGAGTTTCACGTGGCGTCAAGTCCAAGCCTCCATCTTGCAGGTATAAAAGGCACCTTGGCGGTATGTAGGACCTCATCGGTGGGAACACGACAAATCTCGTATCCTAAGTGGGTCCTTAGCCAAGCTTTTGACGCAGTAATTACAACTGGTAGGGAGTGTAAAAGCCGTTAAATTAAGTGTTGTCGCCGTGTTGAGTTGAGAAAGCCCCATTGAGCAGCGGGGTCACTGTGGCGTATCTCGGGTAAACGAGCAACTAGTCGACGTATTTACCCTGCGTCGCAATTTTACGAGGTACAGGTTACGGGTGGTGGAGGTTTTATAAATGGTGCTTAATAATCATTAAATTTGGTCCCTTCCTTTGCAGAGACTTTCTCGTTCAGATTCTGTCGCAGTCTATGGAATTGATAATAATTGTCACCTATCAGATAGAATGGTCAGTAATTTCAGAAACAGCGCGCAGAGTTTGAGATGGTAATAAATAAATAGTCTAAGGATAAATAACTAAAAATATAGATGGTGCTCTACAGCCTAGTTATCAATCTTATAGGTCCTGAGGGCACCGCGGACATCATACGGGTTAGTCAAGCTATCCTGGTAACACTCCAATACAGCCTTCTTGACATTTTCCACAGCCTCCGGCGAGTTCTGGAAGTGAAACGCAATTCTGTTGCCCATCAAGTTAACATCATACTTCTTTCCCAATTCCTCCAACAAGTCCGTGCTCATTTTCATCTTCTTGGTGTCAATAAACACAAAGTTGGTGTGGACCGGCCACTCGAGTGCGATCTGGTGTTGCTCTAAAAAGCGCTCCATGTCCTTTGCATACGCCTGGGCAACCGCCAACTGCGGGAGGTTTTCGTCGATCGCCACCGACGCCATCGCGGTGAGGATCCCAGACTGCCTGATCCCACCGCCGTTCTGCTTCTTGAAGTGGTTCGCCTTGCAGGTGAACTGCTTGGTTCCCACCAACACAGACCCCACAGGCGCCCCCAACGACTTGGATAAACACAAGGAAATAGAGTCAAAATACGAGCAGTACTCTCTCATGGAGATACCAGTAGCTACGTGGGCGTTCCACAAGCGCGCACCGTCGAGGTGTAATTTGAGGCCCTCTTCCTTGCACCAGGCAGAAATCCGCTTGATCTCGTCCAACGGCATAACAATTCCGTTGCAGGTGTTTTCCAAGGAGACAACCTTGGTGGGCGCCAAGTGGATGTCGCCGTGGTCTGGGATGTAGTTCTCGATGAGATCTTCCAAGGTGACGTAGATTCCGTTAGTAGGTCTCACGGGGGAAACCATCGCCTGCGACAACGTAGCCAATCCACCAGCCTCATCGATGTAGATATGCGATCTGTGGTCGCACAACACCGAGTGCGGAGGCTGGAGCAAGTGCGTTCTAATCGCAATCTGGTTGGACAAGGTCCCGGAAACCGCAAACAAGCCGGATTCTTTCCCAGTAATGGCCGCAACCTTAGCTTCCAAGGCAAGGGTCGTCTGGTCCTCGTTGTACACGGCGTCGCCGAGCGTGGTGGTGGAGGCCATCCCAGCAGCAAGCACGGATGGTGTGGGCACCGTAAAGGTGTCACCTGGGGAATTAGCATTGGCTCACAGGGACGATACTATGGTACATACTTCTGAATTCGTTATGGGCACGGGTCTTGGTAAATGGCATGGTTAAGAATAATCTTACTAGAGTGAGGTGAAAAATGCACTTCAGGGGGTTCACATATATATATGCGGCGTTTATCGGCTGAGTCATACACAGCCGCATGGGCGGTAGGCCCATCTTAACTACGGTTTATACAAAGCTAGCAGACCTAAGCGTGGTATCAAAAATAGCACAGATCACTAGCATATCAATCTTGGCCCCTTTTGTGGATTAAAATATTATCAGCAGGTTTTCCCTGGGGCTATTGATGCGGCCACATTCTCGGCAGAAGTACTGCATATGCAGCGTGCCCCATTACCCTTATCGCCACATCATAGCTCAACCATTAGCTGTAGATCAATCCGTGATAGTTTAGTGGCTAGAATCCCCGCTTGTCGCGCGGGGGACCGGGGTTCAATTCCCCGTCGCGGAGATTATCTTTTTGCCTTATGATACCAGGTTGTTACCGCGCGATAGTTAACTCTGAGCCCATAGTCCCGTTTTATAATCTACTTGGAAAATCCTCTTTAACTCTAAAGTGCTGAAATATGCAAGGCTTTGTTGCTAAATCGACCGCGTAACCGAAATCTAGACCAGGAAAATATATTAGATGGTTTATCTCGATACTCAATGTATTACATTCGTGAGCTCCGGCTTTATAAATAACATTTCACGTATCCATATAACAGGAGCAGTGTAAATTAGCACTATTTTTGTTCTAATGGCTGAGCGAGTGGGCCATGCGCATGATTATATAGATATTAACACCTAAGTGCTTAAGTTTACTTACTCTATTCCAATATTAGCACTATGACTATTTATGAGTTAAAGCTAATTATACCATTTCCAAAAATATTAATAGCATTACAAAATATTGTTATATAATAATATATTTCCAATACGGAACGTGATATATATGACAATAATGAAAATTTTAAGTAGATAATTTGATATACAAATAAATTTAAACAAAGTATACAATACAAGATAGAGAAAATAGAATTATTATAGGATCGGAAGGGTCATTATTAAAAGATTGTATCTGCTGATCCCTACGTTATTAGCACGATGCCTTAACAACTAGGAAAAGGGACCAAGCCGTACTGAGGTTACCTGTAATTGCTAGAGAACCATTAAATGTGTGGGAATGCAGTAATATTGCAATAAAATAGCAGTTCGATCCTTCTAGGGACCATTTGTTTTTACATATATAGAAAGGTTTTTTCAATTCCAAGCTCTAAGAGCAACACGGTAGAGAATGAACCAGTATCTTTCCATCAAACTCCAGGATTTTGTTCCGTGATCATGGTTTACAGACCGGCCAAAAATCTGGCACCAGGTGGAAGTTCGATGAGACAGACTCTAGATTTATGGCTACGTAGCTAAAGCACCTAAAGACCCACGGGAGATCCTATATTCAATAGTTAGGAAAAATGAGCCAGAATCGTGGAGTTTCACCGCTTATCAGTTATCCTGCGTACTGATAAGAGGTGAAAACTTTTTCGAAGCCATGCAAATGTACAGGAAACTCTACTTTGAGTTTGATAGACTCTTGGCTGCTGGTTATTGTGCTTCCACCAGTCATTAGCTCCCTTCAACAACCAAATGTCTTCTATCAAACTCAAAGTCGAGTTTCTGTACGTTTGAATGTACCCATACATGGCCCCCAGACTACTAACCCTGCCAGCGGCGGGCTTGATGCCATCTTCAACCACGTCAGAGAACACAAAATTTCTCTTCCGTACAGCGGAGAACCCCCAAAGATGTCTGACCTAATCCGTCACTTGGCCGACAACGTTATGACTGACAAGAAGGACCACCACATCTTCATCGAAGACGGCTCTGTCCGACCAGGTATCCTAGTATTGATCAACGATACTGACTGGGAGCTCGAAGGAGAAGACGAATACGAGTTAGAGGCTGGTGACGTCTTGACCTTCACCAGCACTTTACACGGAGGTTAAGGACCGATTCCAGAATAGATGCATCTTACGCTAAAGCTTGTCCAAGCGACAACCCAAAACACCCCTGCCGCCCCAATCCGCACACGGCCTCAAACAAAGACCGATCTTGTCTGTTTTATTACGTAGTACCAACACTTTAATTTCGTTTCTGTTTGCCACACTGCTCTGGACTGTAGCTACCACCCTTTTCAACCCGTCATGGTTGGTGGCGTTGATGGTTTCCGCAAAACTGATGAGCTCGTCCCCGTCCTGTAGGCCCGCCTTGTAGGCTGGGCTGTGTGCAACCACCTCATTGACCACAGCAAACGGAACCATGTCTACGGAGGGCTCAGAATTCAGCGTTATTTCGGCAGGAGCAGCACCGCTCTGGAAGAATTCCTCTAGCCGGATGTTCAAGCACTGGAGCAAGCTACGGAGGTCGTTTCGTAAGCGGATGATCTGGGTTCTGATCAAGCGAACCTGCACGACGTCGATGTCAGATCGTGGGAATCCATCGCGCGACAATAGAGGGGTGTCCATATCGCACTTGTGGACGTTTTGCAAGGCCGCGAAGAGGCTTTCCAAGTTGCCTTCAATGGCAGCCTTCGTAACGGTAAGCTCTTGTAGTGGAAGCTGGGGAAAGGCCGTCGGATCATAGAAACTAGAGTCGAGATCTAGGTTGAGCTTAGCCATTGCATTTTCAAACGACATTTTGTGACGAGATTGTGGAGGTGTGATGTGACAAGAGCGAAACTGATATTACTTTCGATGGCCTGTGGCAAATCGCCGGTAAGCGCACGCAACCTCAAACCTACATTGGCATACGAATGTTACAATTTGTATTATGCCCTGATACACCTCGGAGATACCAGCTGGCTAAGGATTTTATGACGCAGATAGCGCGCCGCATCTTTGCAAACTCCTTACCACAAACTAGCTTCCGCTTTCAGGAATTGCTTCGCTCCAACTAAGAAGCTTAGCTGAAAGCTAAGCTAGTTGGACTTCTTGGTTTTTTTCAAGTGGCCTTCTGGGATCCAGGCCTCGTCGTACTGGCCCTTCTTGGCAACACCGGAGGCCGCAGCCTTGGCGGTGACCTTGAAAGTCTTCTTAGCCTTTTTGGTGGTGGAGGCAGCAACCAGACTTTGGTAGAACTGGTAGCCGTAGAAACCGACAGCAGCGGTACTGCTGAGTAAGAACAAAATAACCATCAAGAACTGCGGGTTGAACCAGGAGACGTATCTGTCCTTAAGGGACACAAACTGTGGTCTGGAGCCCACCATCATCAACCCGTTGTTGTAGAGAACGTACAACACTGGGTTCAAGACGTAGTTGCCCGGATCAAAATTAGGGTTGATCTTGTGTCTGAACACAACAGACTCTCTGGCACCCACGCTCAATGGGCCCAATTGGGTGTCGGTGATGTTGGAAACGATCTCTTGAGTCTTTGGGTCAAGGAAGGAACCACCAACCCCGACGACACTGGCTTCCTCATCCTCATTGTTGGTGAACTCGTAGCTCAAGGTGATCTCCTCGCCGTTGAACAATTCCACAACGGTCGATTCATCCGCCTCTGGGAACTCCTCGATGGAGTAAGTGATCTTGAACTGGAACGGCTGCCTCGATCCGAGATCGGCGTACTCACCGGTCATACCCGCAGCCACTTTTGGGTCCATACCTGGAATTCTTGGGGCCTCATCCTCCCCGGCTCTGACTTGGAACTGTGGCTCTTCAGAATCAGCAGCGCGGGCAAAAGAGGCGAGTGCAATCGCAAAGGAAGTAAGGAGAGACAACTTCATTTTGGTGGTATTTGGGAGACCTAGCAGTTGAGGAGGGAAAGAAGTAAGTGCCTATAAATTGTGCAGAGAGCAACGAGACAAGTCCGGTTAGTGGGGACGTGGCCAGTATTCTACAACTCGCGTTCCGCGCTAATCCCTGCTACGCGCACGTGAATCGGTAAGGCCACATATGATAGAGAAGCATTAGCGGCTATGGCGATAGGTAATCAATGGTGGCTGGTTACAATAATTTACTCGTCCTTTGGCAAGGTAACAAATTCTTGGATATGTAAATAAAGAACATATATTCGTTAATTATAATACCAGGAAGAGTAAGAGTAAGAATCGCGTATTCCTTTTTATAAACAGTTGGTTCAGTAAATGTAGGAACTACGGATTAGTCTCTAAGGAGCAAAGCCATGCGGCAGGCAATAGTCGCAAGCCACATCAAGCATCCATGAAACACCATATACGGGCTATACTAGTTCTGAGGGTTCTAGCAACTCACGATTAATGGCTTCCATATCTTGAGAAAAGCGCTAGGCTTGTGGTATCGCTTTACATCGGGATATTACATGAAACCAGTAGTATACATTATAGGCAATCGTAGATATCGTTGGTTGACCAAGGGAGAATATTTTTGAATCCTTTATACACTAGATACACAAGCGAGAGGAAGGTGATGGGCCCCTATATACTATAAGGATAACCGTATCACGCCACTCCGGATGAAGGCAAAGTCTAGTGAGCGAAAGGTGTCTGAGACGCACGTCGTACCTTTGACACAAGGACTGAATACAGTATATTTAGTATATTGGAACTCACTGATCTCCTTTCGTTATATAAAACGCCATAATTTATTTACCTGCGATTCTTACGTAACACCAATTACGTCTCTTACAAAGGGTCCTCTCAGAACACCCTATAGTAGTGCTAAATGTGACAAACACAGAATAAGTTTCATCTACCATAGCTGAAATTCTTATATAAAATCGAGGAATATTCATAATTCAGTAACAGCACGTGTTAAGCCCATATCCCCTTCATTAGGTTTCACCCTCGCCGTCGTGAATACCAATACCATCTCCGGAATTTTGGACATGCTTCCGCTGGGTATTGCCGAGAAAAATTTTCCCCACTTACCACTTCCTTCAATAACCGTATTGATGAATTCGGAAAATGCCACCCTCATTTTCATAGCATGGAAGTGCTACTATTCAAACTTCATATTGATCTGCGACCCATCAGATTATAGCTACCTCCCTCATAGCTACAGTAATGTCCTTTATGTGAAGCCCATGAGTTTGAAGTATTGGAAAGAAGCAATATTTTGGACCAGCTTCGGATCAAGAAGCTTTTCGTTTTTGTGCGAGGAGATATCAAGGATTACAGGTTCCCCTACAAAGTGTTCGCCAAAGCGTTCTTGATTGGTATCAACACAATACTAGGGTTTAACAAATACAGTTATGAAGAGGTATTTGACTGGGCTTGTTTACAATCCTCGCACCTCGTCCAGAAATGTATCCGAGAAATTGTTGAGGTTTCATGTAGAAACCTTCCCAGATTACTTCAAAGAGTTGATATTAGACCATACAGATATTCCATCATCCAAAATCCGCATACTCAAATTTCCTCCAAGCTTAGTTTACTTGCTGGTTAAATACTCACGACTAACATCCTTGGATTTTGTCAACTCATTACCGAGGTATTTAGAAATTCTCAATCTGAGTGACAATTACCTTGGCTCATTAAACAAAGCAGATGAAGATTCAGACACTTCCAGGTCATATCGAATCAATTTCCCCCGCTGTTTCGAGTTCTCAACCTCGAGAAAAATGATATAGTATCAGTAGAGGAACTTGATATTCCTCCTACATCGATAGATTTAAATTTGAGCGGTTTTCGAGGAAACTACCTGACAAAGTTACATACGTATCCCTTGGGCATAAAAAGTTACGAGAATTGATGAACCTTTACTTTACGGTAAATTATACCTCCTTTGAGCTCTCGTTCAATCCCTTCGAAAGATCCGAATCACCGACGCATATAATCGGGGTTTAAAGCTCCAGGATTACAGATTGAGAAACGTTGCCGCCACTACACTCCATGGCATCTTACCCCCTCACAGTGTCTCACCAGCTTCGTGATAAACTACTCAGATGTATGCTTCTTGCCTGAAGTCCTATTGCCTGCGGAAACTAGACTACCTTGAAGTCACCTATAACAAGACAGCTTCGTTAGAAAACGTTGAGTTCCTACCACGCTTGAAAACATTGCGTCTCTTGCAAAATCAAATATCCAACTTGACCAATGTTCGTTTCCCAGAAAGTCTACTTATGTTGGATCTTGGTGCTAACCATCTTACATCAATTAACCTCACCCGGCTTCATCCCAAGCTAAATCGTTTGGATTTATCCAGAAGCGGTTTATCTGAGCAGACTACTCAATATTTAGACTTCCCCACCAGTATGAAAACCTTACACATGCATGGAACCCCCCTCAAAAACTACCGAGGGTGGAAAGAAAGAGTTAAGCCGGAAAATCTGGGGAGAAGTATCCCCGAGGAGAATTATTTAACCAGCGGTAACAGGCGCGCCTATCTTTAGGTATACACAGAAACGCGTTGTAACATAACTCAACCCGTAGAAACTATTGGAACACGATCCGGGTATGAGCTCCATTTGGTATATTTAGTAGGTTATAGTCGATACCATTAGACAGAAAAGAAAATACCTTACACCCGTAAAATAAAAATAGGGAGGAGGGGTTGAGGTCCTTATACACAGAGGGCCAGGACCGGTGTCGCCAAATCTAGATGAGGGAAGGTCATGGAATTGTTTTAATGGAGATAGGATGCCGAAATGTCATAAACATTGGATAATACTTGCCAACAATGCCTGTACTGTTAAATGGCACCTTTAATACAAAACCTGAATATGAAGATGCTTTGGGATCGAGGTAGCTTTCCCATCCAACACTGCACCCAGATTCACAGATATGTAACAAACGAGCCTTTAATTTATTTGATATAAGCAAGCCAAGACTATAAATTGAATCCAAAAATAAAAAAGGAATGGTCCCTAGCAGGATCGAACTGCTGATCCCCGCGTTATTAGCACGATGCCTTAACCAACTGGGCCAAGGGACCAAACACATACCCGTTCACCCTATTTGTACATTGTTGGTTATGAAAATAGTGATTACAACAAGGCTGAATATCAAGGTATTCCTGAGCTTACCCGATCAACGGGTGACGTACTAATATATAGGAGGTATTTTATAAACCAGACTCCATCCTAACGAGCCATAGCTAAACTTTGAGGAATGTGGATTTTAATACATATTCAAATCGTCCCTGCCAGGTTAAATAACTCGAATTCCTTGACTTCACAAGTATTTCAGACATTTCTCAATTTAGAAGCCAGAAACCTCAGTGGAATAGGATATTTTGCAGGAATATAGAGCAGAAGCCTCGACCTAAAACATAGCAATAAAAGTAAAGACTAATACACAGACAACAAATATCATAACTCCCTTATTCGCTAAAGAAACAGAAGAGTTAAGAGACAACAGAAGGCATTTACCATATTGCAGATGCACAGTGCGATCAGACTACATCTGAGTAAGACAAGATGGATGAGCGTCGGAGCTATAAGATTCATTTTACAGTGAAATTTAGACTACAAAGACATACGAGAAAAGCGGGACTCGGACGCTACAGAACGAGAGGTCGGATGGTGGGCAACGAGAGCCCCAGGGGTAATCACCAGAGACCATATCAAGGCGGAAAAAATACTGATTTTCCGAGGACTAGAGAGGTATGCAGACTATGATTTATAAATGTGAGGGGAAGCCCGGCAGAGACACTCCATACATATATAAATCTTGAGAAGAGGATATGACAGAATTTGATGAGCAGAAGCCAATAAAGGATCTAGGGTAGTTAATGGGCGTTAGGCGAAACAATATCTCCGGAAAATTCGCATCAGAGAAAAGCTCAAATTTAATATGAAGCGTATTTGAATGGTGACTGCTAGCCAATAAAGTTAGGCTCGTTCAATATTCCCATCTGTTACCGAATTACGACATTTCCAACTTTCCACAAGGCCTTAGGGAAAAGCCGTGACTTGCGCAAACCTCCAGGGTTTTAACATTATCTAAACCCATCTCCTCCAATTACACTAATTAAGCGATAAACACACCTGGTTGGACAGCGGAACCTTTGCTTCATATTGCCAGGTAATAATCCATTATATGGCCAATAAAATATCTTGAGCACACAAAACTTCACCGGAAACACTAGAAGTACAAAATAATTCTTCAAGACGTTAGTGCGGATAGAATGTAAAAATGAATACGAAGCATAACATGGATAGATACCAGGAAATACAGCCAAAGAATTGCATTATTCGATCAGCAAAGCAGATGGAGCAATTTCTATCTTTCACAACCTGAAAGGGAAGCCATAGCATCTGGTATGGTTGAGTACAGAAATACCAGACACACCCAGAGAAAATTCACCAAGAGTGGCAGGATATCGAAAAGGAAAACAAAAATATTCAGTAAACCAGCTGCATCGCTAGAGAAATGAGTTTTCAAATAGTAGCGAAGGATATCTCCTTAAACAAGTAACCTGCTCCCAGCATGCAAGTGAAACAAAAGTATCCAGTGACGCTGCTTGATTAAGGGTAGGGAAGTAGGCAACAAAGCAAGCCATATTTATTACAAGAATTCAATCTTCTAAAAATACCAACAGACGTACATTCCTAATCCAAGAAATATCTGGTTCCCTTTTATTGAAATAGTCACCATCTATTCACCAGGCTGTTTATTCCTGGAGTTATTCAGGGCACCAATTCAGTATCTTGCGAATAAAATAACCCGACAACAAATACAAAATATCTTCTGGAACACCAGCTCCCTAGAGCCCATGATTCGACAGAAGCAAAAGCTGTCTAGAGAGTTCGGAAAACCGCGTGAATGATCGAAGGTGAGGCCAACAGAATCAGTCAACATGATTCCATACAAGTCTATATCTCAAATTATATCCAACTGGGATGAATAACTCCATAGTTCAGCAGAACAATTGCTAAAATTAATGCACTTTAGGCATATCAATTTAAGACAAACAGGGGACTGTAACTAAGTGAGTCTCGTGAGTTAGAATAAATTCGACTAAACTGATTTTGTAGTCCAGACCCAAAAATACTTAATGCCTTCTTTGTATATTCTGGAATATTATACATACTGATAGTGTCCGAAACATTAAGTCATGGATAGGCATCATCCAGGGCATGATGAAAAAGTTTAATGTACCCGATGCCAGAGAGAGCTAAAGCATATAACATAGTGAGTATCATTAATTGAACCCATTAGAACGTTCCACCTCCAATAGCTATTCTATATTTCTTCCACTCATGTCTGAAGCTGAGTCTAATACGTTTAACATCACCTACCATTAACCAGCAAATGTAATAGCCGATAGGCATTCTGTATGATTTTGACCTTAAGGGACAGAGCTACGACATCAACGCTCACCTTCTGTTTTAGTGGAACTATCCACAGATGGTCCATTACTTTTGAACTAGAATAGGTTAAATAGTCATGAAACAAATATCACATGGTTCATTAAAGTCCTCTCGTGGCGATGTATATGACAGCGGAGAATGAAATATTGAAATCTAGCGTAAGACGTAGGAAAGGACTCTTGAATGATTTTATTTGATTTCCCTAGGCATCCAGTGTGATTCTCTTCAATTTATGTTTAGTCATCTCTTGTGGCTGTAGGCGATTACACTGCTGGCCTCAATCAGCTAAGGGATTTACCTCAAAGAAAGTTATATCCACCTCATCCATGTCAATTGAGATACAGACTCGGCCCTAAGAAAACATATAAATGTCATTGACATGTCCAACAGAGCGTAATAGGTTATAATTCAACATACCGAGCTAGTCTGACTAGTTTATTTTGACAAGGGAATAGCAACGCTACGAATATTGCTTACAATCGTATACCCCTTGTATGAGCATGAGATAACTTATTTGTGTTCATTACTGAACCTATCCTTGAATCACACATTAATATGAGCCTTCTTTGATGTACAAGCTTAAATCAAATAGATGTCAGCTATCGGTGAAGTAAACTATAGGACAGTTATAACGTTAAAAAAATCTATTACACCATCCAGCGGAATAAGTTTACTGGGCATCTCAATATATGAAGTACAAATCACCTCTCGATTTCTAGATTGCAGTCACACTTACATATAACGCATACACGATAGGAAAATACGCGCAAATGGAGGACATTAATGAGTATAAACCAAGATACAATTAACTTCAATATCTAAACTGCTGACTTGATTGAGGGATTCATATATATATAACTATTATAGCTATAAAAAGTCCAATATCAGGATTGACAAAGGAAGTACGTGAACTATTATTGTCTTTAGCTTTGATTAAGGAACCAACTTCCAAACACTTCAGTTGGATACCAAAAAGAAAAACGGACATGGACACAAATACCTGTAACTATGACTATACTACTAAGGAGTCTTGGTAGCCTTTCAGTATGCTAGAATAATACCAATGACACGATCTTATAAGTGGCTTAAAGTCTTAAAACAGGATACAAAGCATGATTCCCAACAATGTAACAGCCAACACTCCGATCCCAGTTGGATTCATGATGGAGGATTATTGCTACACCTCTTTATCATAATGTCGAATAATACTTTCAAGATTGGGGTGAAGATATTGCAGTTAATTCGACTCGCTTGGGAAACGTAGGTGTACATAATTTTCAGACTAATACTATGAATCTCAATGTGTACCATGATATATGCTATATCTCATAGTAGCGGAAAGCCATTTACTTCCAATACGCTTTAGCCTCTCTGCGTCTTATCATCTCAACTTACTTTAGCACTCCCTGCCCTGGCTACCATAGGTGCATATATCATAATGATTATATTTGATACCCAGGTTAAGAGGGATATCCTCACCTCCATAGACATTGCGAAGGTTTATCAGACAATATGTGACACCTCGTTAACGCACCATATAGACCACAGCACCATTGTAGTACGTAGATACTATAACATTAAGGAACTAGGATGATTTAATGGAAGAGTTGTAAAAAAACTGTTGCGCTCCTACATTGAACTAACTGTACACCTCCAGAAAACATAGTGTGTAGTTCTGTATTGCAAATTCTATGTTCAACGAACGTAAAGACCGAAGGAATAGTAATGACATTCTTTAACACCAAATACCAAGAACAATTGAATTTTTTTGCTCTTGCTAATCTAATCCACCACTTCAATACAGCAGGAACTTGGTTAATGGGATTAAAATCTTGGAAGGTATTTGCATCTAGCCTCCCACCAACCACTATCCCCGTTTTAATGGTATTAATCAGTAGATGGGGACGCCTAATAGGGTAATCTCGGAGCACTGGAGCCGAAATGTCAGGTCAGTGGGTTCTAATTTGTTTTCCATAATTTATTGAGATAATTGACCAATTTCCTTATCTCGATAGCTGGAGTGGAGTATGACTTACCGAGAGAGGTATTCATAAGGTGGTCTATTCTCATTTTCCACCATATCAATAATCTAGAATATATCTCCAAAGGTATCGAGGTATATGTAGTACAAAAATGCTACTAACAATATGTGTAATTCGTACGTTACGGATGCCGTCCATGACTGGATACTTATCCTGACTAAGCTTTGTGTTGTTTACCTCCTGAGCCTATTAAAACTGATTCTAAATAATAAAGGTCTGTACCTATTTATTCGCGATATGACATATTTCTGATTCAAACATTTTGGAAAAACGGGTATCGTTACTGAGGTAGTACTCAGCGAAGACATAAGTATAAGTTTCCAGTGTCGCCTTAAGGTCTTATTCATAATTTCTAAACGCACGCCATAATGTTGCTCAATTCTACATACTAAAATACTTTTCAGTTTTCCAGTATTGTACCTCCACTCATACTTCACCATAAGCCACTGTGCGTGTATGTGAGTAGAAAGGTTGAATTGAAGGATATTTATATCCTTGCGTACTTGTGTTTTCTAAACGTGTGGGTTGAGCTTAAGGACTGTGAGATATTCAAACTATCTTATATAGATGTGTTTATAACTGAGTTATGGCCTGTAACGTTAGAAACGTTTCGCTGATACTTCATCTATCCCTGTAATGAGTCTAATTGTATCTTCGATAAAGATGCTACGGGCATTGTATATGAAGCAGAAGTATGAGTTTAACTATCTTTTTTTCGGGATTTCAACAGAGCACGTATCGTTTGATGGAATAGCGAGTTCCTTCATGTAACTTTTTTCTCAGTACTTATGTTTTCAGCTCTACAGAATTATCATTTATGAACTATTTTCTCTCTGAGCATCGAATGATTATTTCGTTAATGTTGCACAAACCCACTTTACCGAAAAGTGACTATGTTTAACAGTCCAAACGCAAACAAGCCTGTTTGCATAGTTGTTGGAGGTGTGTAAATTGAAAGCAGAGATATCTATGGATTCATGTGAGGATTCTCACTATCGAGTATGTCGAAATGTTTACATTACAAGTTTTAGGACCTTCATCTTGATATCTAGGGCTCAGTATGTTGTTCAACGCCCACAATGTCGTCTTCTGGGTATATCTGCAACAGGACAGTTCTATTAAGGTGGGGTAGAAAGATTTTTGCCAATTAAAGTAGATAACCCATGGCGACTTGTCTGTTGATATGGCTTCCTTCCGTATTAATGAAAATTAATGGATCTTACTTAATGGATGAGATATCGCTTACATATTTTTTTTCCATTTCTTGATTCGATTGAGGGCAACTATCTCCTGGCCGACCGTTTGTAGCACTTATACTTCGTTATATATCAGCTATTGGTTCCTCTTACAATAAATATTGGAGATTATAGCATTGAAACCATAGACTCCCAGGACCCTGCTTAAACTTGGAAATCTGTTTATCAATTAGCTTCCCTAGGGCCCAAGACTGCTAGCCTTAGTGAGACATAAGATTGGAAATTGTGTAAAAAGTGCCTTACCTTTTCAAATTGAATAACTTGATAACGAATAAATTCAAATTAGCAAATTACTTCTGGACGTTTGGCTTGCATTTTCCTCTAGGGATAACATGTAACAAATTTATTTTCATTGGATGCTGCTCTACCGAAGTCTTTCATCAGCTACTTCAGACAACTCTCCCCAGTCTCCCGGTCATCTTCTAAGGTCAGATAGTAGTCTAGAAGAAGTATCCACTTGGTACCTCTCGTGCGTTAACAGAGGTGTCGTTTTGAATGTAGCCAAGATCTCAGGTGTATTAGAATGCTTAAACCCCAATTTTGATATATGAATTATTGAAAAGGATCTCTCATGGTTATATTAGATTTTTCTTTACCTCCCTCCTCTGTTGAGATTTATATAAATTTAAACGAGCATATGTAAGTATAGCTGAAGTTGCGTATTAGAGAGCTCTGGAAAGGTTTCCATTCGCATTCTAAGTCTATGCCATAGCGCTTTTTTGATTATTATTATAATGCTATTTTTTTGTAAACTAGTCACTTTGGCGAACCTGCGATGAAGATTTTGTTCCATTGAGATAGTTCTTATTTTCCAGAGCATTCTTTAGGTTATTTTCGTGTTTTCTAATGTCCAAGTCTTAGCTTACAGTCAGATATGTGCTCTTTTTATACCCTTCCTACGCCTACACGATCGATTAAATATAGGGAGTTTCCTCATTTTTATGAATACGTCTGTTTAGGCAGATTTTTCATAATACCATATCCGATGACTCAACTTGTGGATAGTGACGGCTCGTTTTTGCTAGTAAGAAAAATCTTACGCACGGTCATATTAAATTTTCCCAGGCACTTTACCTGCAGAAGATAGATTCTGAGGAGTTAATGTCCATTAATACACACTACTCAAGCCTCTAGACAATGTCATTCTTTTATCTGTGCCAGCAATCGAAACTAACAACCCAAGGGTTTCGTGGACATTTATAGTGACGATACCTCCTTTAGTGGCTGATGACACCCTTCGAGGTCGTCACTATCCGCAGATTAAGTAGTATTGGTGTGTAGCAATTTTTTCTTGACCCTGTGTGAAGTAGGGGGGTGAGAATGGGGCCTTGGGTGTTCAAATGCTGCTTACCGGATCAGCTTCCGCTTCTGAACATCATACTGTGCCAATTATTAATGAAGTTCTGTTGCAGATATTTCCAAGTCAAAGTGCTCTATAAGCAAGTTTAATGGCAAACCTTTTTTTGGTCTTCGCGGCTAAGCATCTTTGCTAGCTTTACCTAAGGCATGCAGCTCGATTTCTCAAAAATCTATGTCGGCATGATACAAATTGTGTAATTGCCAGGCTCCGACACGTCACCCCAGATAATGCCGCCTGTTTCAAAGTATAAAAGTGGTTGCTAAGTTTAATTGACATATAAGCGTTCTGTTTCACTGTTCCGCCGGTATGTTCGTAGTGAATGGCCTATTTGTACTGATCTCACGGCCCAAGTATCTATCAATGACTTTCTCTCCCGCTGAGAGTGGCCTGTTACGACCGTTAATCGACCCCATACTAAGAATAGCATTATTCTTACGACCAACCCCTGTTGAATTATTGCAGCCTGCTGCTGAATAATAGAGATATCGATAATTATGAGCGATAAATTGTAAGTAATGCTAAGATGTTGCCTATCTTTTGTGAGGTATCAGAGCCTTGGCTGGAGAAGTAAAGCAAGTGTAAGATATCCTCTGGGATAAGTGGAGTCTGGCTAAGCCAAAAATAAGATATTATAGGTTAAAACAGATATATAAAGAAGGAGTCAAAATCATTCTATAGGGTTTCAACAAGACTAAAAGCCCGTTGTAAAGGTCCTGCGGGTATTTGTCCACATGTTTGTAAGGCCAAGTGCATATGGATCCGAAATAACGGGACGACGTACCTGAAGGAATGTATGCCTTTACTACAGAATGTAGGTTTGTAAAAGTACAATACTGGGGGTAATAAAAGCAAGGTTTTCAAATGCCCCTTTACAGACGATTAGCTCTTCTAATAAGACACCTTTTGGTTGTACCGAAGTCTCTTCTGAGACATTGGGTTATGCTGGGGCACTGTATGATATTCTCCAAACAGATTTCAATTATCCTAGCAAAGAACTCTATTTAAAGTCAACGCATGTGGATGTTAAACATGAAAGTAAGCGGCACGCTCCTCGTTTCATAACCCTATGATATCGAAGTAACATTATATCGAGGTAGTGTAACTTCAACTGTCAGGGTTCCAGCGCCTGTTGGTATTCCAGTCGGGGGGTTGTAATCAGTCATTGATTCACAAGTTACTTATCGTGATCTTCCACAAAAATAAAGATAATATTAAAACCAAGATCATTCTTAGATCTGGAAAACTACTTCCTTATATAGCTTTCTTCGGTGCCTCATTTGCTTTATGCGACAGGATTAGTTTCAGATACTCATTATCAAACAATCCTAGTAGCCTCAACTGGAACCTCATAAGGTTCCTGAAACAACTCTCTAACTCTGACATCAACAAGCTAGCGCCAGTGGTTTAGTGGTAAAATCCAACGTTGCCATCGTTGGGCCCCCGGTTCGATTCCGGGCTGGCGCATCTTTTTGCCCCTTCTGGGACAGATATACTGAAACACTATTGGATGTGAAGGTTTTTTGATTGGCTTGCATCTCATGAATATGGGGTTAAGATTGGATTTTAAGTTACACAGCTGAAAGTATGTTTTATCTCACATAAAAGTTCCAATCGACAAACATCAATGCTATCGAGCACACCTGGTCCCTTAGACGAACTTGGGAAAGTTGGAATAAGCTATCCTTGTGACTCACCCAAAATATATAAAGTAAAATATGCTTAAGAGCTGGAACATTGGCGAATGCGCTTCCTGTCTGTGAGTCACCAGTCCCGTGCAAGCTACCTTAGCCATCGGTTTCGAGAGCTTCACCAGAGATGACGGCCCCCGATATTCAAGAAGAGTAACCGCTCGTAGTAGTAAAACAGCTAATAGTTACCCTGGTAGGGGATTATCGTAAAAAGAGGTGTGAACCTAGTAGCAGAGGTATGATAGATCTTTCGTTGCTTAAACCATTGTACCTCCATAGTAAACCTTATTTGGCCAACCATTACTCTAAGAGGTGAAATAGCGGCTTTAAAAGGCGAATCTCCTACCCAAATATCAGCCTTTCTTCAATTTTGTCCCGACCGGCCTGTTACACTGGCCTGTTATGGGTGAGATTTAGAAAAAGTTAAATGGAGGCGTCAGGAGTCGAACCCGAGACCTTCCACATGCGAAGCAGACGCGCTACCAACTGCGCCACACCCCCATTTACGTTTGATAATGAACAACGATGGTCCATGTCGGCTTCTATAGCCAGAACCCTCCGCTCGACGCCATCTGAAGACTCTACTAAAAGTCGTATAAATCATAGTAGTGTCTACCTATTACACCCAACAGTTGGACACAATTGGGTTCATATAGCTGATCTTTCCCCGGTATATTGCTCCGCAGCTCGAAAAAGCTTCTTGTTATTAAATGAGATACGCAAAGGCGGTATCCCCAAGCAACCAAGAAATGAAACTAGCGAAAATACTAAAGTGGCTGGACAAAAAGGATACTCACAAAAACTATTTGATAGCTGCTGTATCATGTAACCCTGGGGGTTAAAAGGCTCGGGTCACTTAGAAGATGGAGTTGACGATGTCACCACCGATGGTGGCACCGGCACCAAAGATCGCGGCGTTACCCAATTTAGAACCAAATCTCTTGAAAGCACCGTTGTGGCTTCCTTCTTGTTGGGCTGGCTGCTCTACCACGACCTGCTGCGGAAGAGGCTGCTGGTACTGTTGCGGAGGTGGCTGTTGGTACTGCTGCGGAGGGTAGTACGGTTGCTGTTGCTGGTAGCCCTGGAACTGCTGAGGTGGAGGGGTGTATTGGTTATTTTGGTATTGCAGAAGAGGCGCCGCGACCTTCGCCGGTGAAGTGGAATCGGACAACATCTTGACGTAGGACGACGGAAACACACCTTCCTGGCTGGAAGACGAAACCTTGCCTCGCCACCAGTCCTCCGATAAGTGCTCTAAAACGGCAATCTTGTCACCTCGGCGTAACCTCAAATCGTCTGGCTGCTGGGGCTCGTAGTCGTAAAGGACCTCGCAGTAGCTGATGACCGCATCCCCGGCCTTCTGAGCTGGAGGTGCGGCAGGTTCGGAGATGGATGTGGTTGAAAGCTTCTCGGACAATTCCTGGGAAGTTTTATCCGAAACCAGGACCTTGGCGATGACGGTACTTGCCGCCTTAACGCCTTGTGGCGCCATCCCTTTGGTGTACTTTTGGGGTAACGACTCTACTAAGTGCTGGTACAAGGCATCGGTGATGACCCCCTCTTCCTGGAGAAATTCGAGCTCGGTTCTGATATTCGTTAAAGAACGGTTGATCGTGGCAGACATTGCTGAGTTGTGGGAATATGGAAGAAGGCGTCAATGGCTCTCTTGGAATAAGCTGACACAATTTTTTTCGACCCAAGCGCTTAGTGGAGGCTATGCATGGTGGCACGTGACATACGGGGCGTACGGGAAGAAGTACAGGATTGGCTGACAAGCCTACCGACATTCGGGGTCTAAACTAGGTTGAAATACATGATCCCTCGTTACTTACAATATGGAGCTGAGTTGTCTAATATTGGATACATATATTGTGTATCAACAGATATTTATCGTCTATATGCCGTTGTACCGAAAGAATCATATATTTATTATTATATATACGTACATTATTATGAAATATCGAATATTCATATATACGATAATTATAATATCCAATATTAAAATTGTGACTATTATAACTTTTTGCGTATGGATTTCCCTGCCTATTACTCATATTGAAGTAAGTCACATGGAGCAATTGACTAAATTATACAGCTACCGATTATTACCTATATACTCCCAGCATCGCCAGCATGGATAGGCATTTCTACGGGGTTTTTACTCGGTCGTGCACCGCGGGGCTAATTTTCCAGGACTGGCCAGGATAAATGCGGGGAGGATATTTCACCACAGCCTTCCTCATCGCTCAAGCTAGTGAGAGATGTCGTTGCAGCTAGATAGTTTACATGACGTGAAAGAGGCAGCTCGAACTAAGGAGTTCAAGGAGCTCTGCTTGGCATGCCGCTCGGGGGATACCGAGAAAGTGGACAAGCTAATTTCAACGGGCGTGGATGTAAGTGCCATAGTTTTTTCACGGGATCAAAACTAATCGTTCAGGTTAACCAGATGGATGAATGGAACTACAGCCCCTTGGTTTTGGCCAGCTTGTGCGGCCATATTGAGATCGTCAAGTTGCTCTTGAACAACGCCGGTGCGGTATGTGACAGAGACACATTCGAGGGGGCGAGATGCATTTACGGTGCCTTGAACGATGAAATCAGAAAATTGCTTCTTTCGTTTGACATCAACAAGGCGGTGGATTTGAGCCAACCTTTCGTGTCGCATATTTCGTCCTTGTTCAAAACGACCCACAAAGCCGCTGACGAGAGCAGCTGGAGGTCCTCCTTGAAGGACGTGGAGTTCAAAACTGCAGACGATGATCTCAGTATTATCAGGGCGCACAGATTCATCCTCACTTCCAGGTGTGGTTTCTTCAAAAAAGAGTCGCCCGGCGCGGCAACAACGCTGATGATCGATGTGTCCCAGACATTGGACTTGTTAACGTTGAAATACCTCCTCAATTACGTTTACTTGACATTGAATTCACAAATTACCTTCAGTGACATTGACTCAGAGACCCTCAGAGAGCTTGCAAAGGTGTACGAGTTGGACGATTTGACCGAACTATTAGACATCGAAGCTGACGCCAATATCCGGCAGTCCGAAAGGTCCAAAAAGAAGAATAGGGTAGTTTTTGACATGGTGGAGAGAGGGAGGGAGGATTTCAAGAAATTCTGTACCGAAAACGTCATCGGCAGGAAGATCATTACGGCTGTTGAGGAATCCGATACGGAAGAGGGGGACTCCAGCGTTGTTTCCAGCGGTATTTCCTCAGAGCAGAAGCTAGCTCTTTTCCAATCGGCTGCGTACCCGGATATCATCCTCGGGGTATATGATAGGTACAGCCATACAGTAGCATACTACCCGGCCCACCGATCCATTCTTATGAGGTCTGGTTTCTTTGAGACCTTTTTCTCTTCGCTTTTGTTTCTGACAAATGACGAGGATCCTGGGAGCCTTCCGCAAGTGATTACCGTCCCAATTGGATCCAGTGAGGCGGCTGAAATCATCCTCAAGTATTTATACTACGACGAGGTGGAGGTGCCAAAGGAGTTTGCGGTTGACGTCCTTGTCGCTAGTGACGCCTTGTTCATCGACAGATTGAAGATGATGAGTTCGGTGACCATCACCAATTCTGTCATCATTAATGAGACGGAAGACGAGATCGATAGCGACGACAACGAGGTTGGGTACACGATTTATGAAATTTTGCAAATCGCGTGGGAGACCAGAATGGATCGCTTAGAGCAACATGTTGCCAAAATCATTGCCTGGAATCTAAGACAGTTCATTGGCAAGGAGAAGTTCCGCGACATGATTCTCGAGAGCTCGGAAAGAATTAAGGAAAGGCAGGTGACGGATACCATCGAGTTGTTGGATGACATCAGATACTACTTGACCCGAAAGTATGTCGTTGAGGATGAAAACTATCTCAATGAGAAGTTTGTGCACAAGGCGGATGTTTTCGAAGCAGAGCTCTTGTTAGATGAGGATTTTGTTTCGGATTCTAACCGGGCTAAGGATTTGGCCGAATACGACACTGATTTGACCTTGATAGAGGCTTTGTTGGCTGATCTAGGTTTGGATGCGTAAATGTGTATTAGACTTCTAAATGGGGCTAAACACATTTTTCCGTGAGGGGTTATTTCAACAGGTAAAGATTTTTCATAGAACGAACTCAACCCTAGACTGCTAGGGTTGAGTTTCCCATTAGAGCAAGTGTAACTTCAGATTAAGAAAGGGTTTGTTGTTTTATTAGGTCAGCCAGACCAAGAGGAGTGTATTCGTTTTTTAGAATTCCCCTGCATAGCTTGAGGATATCCCAAGTTAGCATTAACTAAACCTTTCTAGATGTATTAGCCCCAGACTTATCGTGGAAATAATCGATTTTAAACTAGGTTTGAAATTAGGTTTGAGACTAGGTTTGAAACTAGGTTTGAAACTAGGTTTGTTTGAACCTCGATTGGAGATATGAGACTGCTCCTCTTTTCCCCTCCGTAGCCGTCTAATCCACATTTTTCTATATAATTCGTCTTAATCTCGGGTTGCATATTAATTCAATTAGCTTTATTTTTCGTCATAATCGAACAGTAACTGTACATGCCCGCACCACCGAAAACCATGGCACATCCGATCCAGCCCTGCACACTCAACGTGTTGTTGAAAAGGTAAATGCTCAAAAGCAAGGAAACAATCTTTCGAATGAGCAAGAAAATGTTGAGAGTCAATGCGGATGAGACTCCAGCCATCATATTGACACCCTTGACGCAGAAATACTGGGTAAACACGTTACTGGCCAAGTACGCCACGTTCCAGTTGAGCCTCCAGGCCACGAGCGGAAGCTGGATGTAGTTGTGGTTGGCCAAATCGGTGGCATCCAAGTCCCAAAGCAAATGGAATTCCTTGCGTAACCTCCCAAAGAACAACATAAATATCGGCAAGGAGAGAAAGTGCTGGTAGAATAACCCCTCCCGCCAGTAGTTCCCATAGGTCTTGAACACGTGTTCGTTGTACAACTGCATGGCTGCCGCAAGGATACACGCAAGAGAGAGCAAGAGTATGCCGGTATAGATGCTCCCCTCTGCTTCAGCGCTTCTGGGGTTGGAGCCGGTGCTGAGAGTTACTACAACGCACCCGAGTGTGAGGAGCACGGTGCTGAACACCTGCTGCCGTGAGAACCGCTTGCCCCACAAGTAGCCAATGAGCATGGTGATGCCGGTCCCAGATGAACGGAAGATGATATGCAACGGGACCGTGATGCTGTATTCCCACACCATGTTGTTTAGGGTGGACACGATAAAGAAGAGCATAATGCTCACCGCCCATTTACGAAGCGGCACATGGTTCGGCTTGATGAAACATCGACCGGGGTGCGCACGCGAGAAGTGCTGGCAGTAGCCCTCGAGAGATATGAACAAAAACTGGGCGAACGTGATGATGTTTCCCGACTGAGGCTGCGCTTTGACGAGTTTTTCTAAGGTGGAGACATTGGAGCAGCAGCCGCCAAACACAAGGGAGATGACTGTGAGCCACTGAAGTGCCGGAAGTTGGTAAATTGACGCTTTGATAAAGTGGTGCCTCTCAGCCGCGCTCGGATCTTTTCCGTCTCCAACACTCGCAGCCTTTATGCGTTTCTCACCACTGGCGACTGTTCGGTGCGTTACTTGCTGAACTTCTTCGGTAGCCATGGTAGTGAGGGTGGGTTAGAGGATACGGAAAAAGGTAGGGATCGCCCCTTCTTGTAAGAATGGGAGATAGCCTGTAAACAGAGCAGAACACGCCATACAGCTGGTCCTGACAACGTGGGGTCAAGATAGTTACATAGTGCACCAGCTTTTCAGGGCTAGATCAGGGCACGAAACCACAGGCAAGGATGTGATGGGTTCCAAGTCCCTGTTTAATAAGTATGATCCCTCTGCTTGGTGAATGAAGGGATAATTTTTAGTCTTACATATTACAGTTCTTTGGTTAATTGGAATAGTTTTATACTATCGTACATCTGGTCTGCTTACCGATACCACACAGCCCTTCTATATTGTACTAACAGTGAGGCCTAAGGTTAGTACATTGTTCTTCGCGGAATGCTACATATTATTGGGTTATTTCATATCTAATAAGTGCGAGTTTGGCCAATATTGCCTATTCTCAATCATTTTTCTTTTTGACCTCAATGCACACTTCCAATATCCGCAGTCTTTATCACCTAAACCTTGACGGTTCTTTTATCAATTCCCCAACTTATTTCCCTGCGTATTGCTTGCAAATTTTTAAATTTTAAATTCTATTCTTGATCGCCTCTTTACCATAAAAGCAGATGACTTATTGGTCAAGCCGCAATGACATCCGCTTGTCAGATTCGCAATACCTATAATTTGAGTTCCTCCTTTCCCGAGAAGGTTACGCCCGCCGTATAAAAAGGCGGTAAAGACAAGTCTATGGGCTATTATACAATCTAGACGGAAGCTGGGGGCCTACTTCTTCATGGAGGCATAACTGTACATGGTCGCCCCGACTAACACCATAATACTTCCCACATACCCGTCAAACGTGAGACGGTTACCGAAGAAATACATGCTCAAAAGCAACGATACAAATTTCCTGATCATCAACACAATGTTGAGAGTCAACGCGGTGGTGCTTCCCGCCAACATGTTCACCCCTCGTACGCAGAAATACTGGGTCACGCAGTTGAACGTCAACCAGCCAAAGTTCTTGTTGAGCTTTGTGTCGAGGAAAGGGAGCTTGAAGTAGTTGCCGACGGCGATATCCTCCACCGAGAGGTCCCAGATCACCTTCCACTCCTTGTGCAAGGTGGGCAAAATGAACAACGCGAGGGGCACCGAGAGGAAGTGCGAGTAGAAAAAGCCCTCACGCCAGTGGTTCCCATAGGTGCGGAACAAGTACTCGTTGTGTAAGCCCAAAAGCGACATCAACACGCACGCAAGCGCCAAGATGATGATTCCGAGGTAGAAGTCGCCCTTATCGACCGTTTCGCCCGTGGGATCCGCGGTGTTTGCGTTACTAAGAGTCACCACAATGCAGCCGACGGTCAACATAACAGTGCTCAAGATCTGTTTCTTCGTGTAGCGCTTGCCAAACATGTAGCCAATGATCATCGTGATGCCCGTGGCCGAGGAGCGGAAAATGATGTGGAACGGAACGCTGATATCGTATTGCCACACAGAGTTGTTCAAGATTGACACAAAGAAGAAGAGAACCACAGAGCACATCCATCTGTACACCGGAATGTGGGTGGGTTTGATGAACAAGCGTTTAGGGTGCGAGATGGAGAAGTGCTGGATGTAGCCCTCAACCGCGATGAACCCGAACTGGCAGAATGTCAAGATGCTACCCATGTTTGGCTTACCCTTCACAAGGGACTCCAAGGCAGACACGTTGGCACAGCAGCCGCCGAATACCAACCCGAGAATCGTCAACCACTGGGTGAGCGACATGTGCGCCCCCGCCATGGGCGCTTCCTTCGTGACAGCAGCCCTCTCATCGTTTCTTTTGGGGGCAGCGTCCAAATCTGCTAACGGGATATAATCTTTCCCTTTTGGCATGAGGAATGTTTTGAGGAAGAGGGTTTGGGAAGAGACGGAGGTTGACTATCAGTAGGTCCGTGAAAAATATGCTAGCATAACACGACCTTTTGGGGTAACGCGGCGCGTGTCATTTTCACTGGTAATCTCTATGACGCAATGCTGAGGCGGCGCCAGGGGGGCGCTTGCAGGACCCAGAAACAGAGTATGTATATAGGCTAAGATGTAAATTTCGGTTGAAAACTGAGAAAATAGCATTTCGTGAGCTGAATGGTGGAAGCACACGGAATAAAGCAAACCCATACTGTGCCCTGTTACCTTTGGGAGCTCGTGTCTCCGGTAGATCTTCGGGGAGATGTACGTGACGTAGCTTTTCCCCCTTCAGGCATATTCGAATCGGGTAAAACGTCTAGCGAGGCAGGTGCGCATTTGCCCGTAGGTACGAGGTGCTACAACACGAGAGAGTTTAGGTGGGCAGTAAGGGTTCAGATGTGTTGGATACTACCAGACTGGCGTAGGTGGTTGTGGACTAACAGATTAAATCTCCGGTGCCGGTGCTTTCCTCGGGCTTCTGTCTAGGTGCATAGCGGCCACAGTAATGAATCCCGAGATGGCCGGTAGGCTTTAAGGTTTATAGAGTGGAACAGGGGGTTCCCGAATGCCGAATGCCAAGGATAGCTACATTTATTAAGGAGGAGTGGAGAGCGGGCTCTGGAAATTAGAACGATTGGTGTTTTATTTAGCAGTTTGACATAAGATAGCATGCACAAATGTACGGTATCTCTCCATAACACAGGTAATTTAGTAATTGTGTTACACAGCACACAGGAACTAGGTCTTTATTTGCTATGAGAAACTAGGCATTTCCACCAGGTTTTATGAGAAAGATTCTTACCCCAGCATATAGTGTGAGCTTCCCCAGTATATAGTAAAAGCTTCCTACGGCAATGCTTCCCCACTGATTTCTAATCATGATATTACGTGCGCAAACCAAATATATATATATATATATATGCGTGTATATATATGTGTATGGATACATGCAGGATACTAATTTCGGCGATTTCGGTATCAATTTGCAAATGAAGCTGCATGTCTGCGTTCCGAGTAAGGCACGGATCGATGCGATGAGCGACGCGTTGAAGTAATGCTCTTCCTCTTATCCTTATCTTTACGCTATTTTCAGATTTTGATGGCTCTTGAGTTTGACTAATTTTCATAACAAATACCCTACTAGGTCACCAGATAGACACACCGCCCCCATTACCCTACATATGTCTTCCCGCGTGCTAGCGAGCCTCCCTGAGGGCAAAAAGGCCCCCGCTCCTGACAGAAAAGCACCTGAGAGAAAAATGCCGGTGGCGATATCCAGCTCCCCTGGCACTGAAGCCAGAACGCCGTCGGCCGCACCGTCACCCACGATAGCCATGAAAAGACCCATCAGCATTGCGGAGAACTCGCCTGGAATCACCAGGATCGTCACATCCAAAGAATGGGTGCTCCCCGCGAGACCCAAACCCGGCCGAAAGCCGTCGGTCGACACACCTGTGACGAAGCGCAAGGCGCAGAACCGCGCGGCACAGCGCGCGTTCCGGGAGCGACGTGCGACACGCGTCCAGGAGCTTGAGGAGAAGCTTGCTGAGTTTGAGAAAGACCGTGAGCTCAAGGAGTTAGGCTACGTCAATACAATCCAGCGCCTTAAGCTGGAAAATGCCAGCTTGAACCGTGGGATGGAAGAGCTCAGACGCCAAATCGGACACTACAAGGGCCCACAGGGCCAACCGTATGTTAACCCCATGTCTTCATCGTTTGCAGCCTACCAGGCCACTTCTGACACAATTAGTTCCATTTTGAACGGGAACAAATCGCCCGCTTCCAACTCCTCCATCTACTCCAGCTACCAGCAGATCTCACCGGCACCATCTTCTGACGCCCCTTCACCGACGTCAGTGTATGTGACTCCGCCCGCGAACCTCCTTAATCTCTCCCAGGTGGATGATGACTGTGGGGCGTGTGTCAAAGATGATTGTGTGTGTGAGACGATTGGAATCAAAAAGCGATCCACCGAAGACGACTTCCTTGACATTACCAAGCCAAGGAAGCGGAAGCTAGAGACGGAGGTTGATTTCACTGCCCAGTTCAGCACCAAGAAAACCGAAAAGTCATCGAACAATACGCTCATGGCGAGTTTCCACGGTGAAGCCAAAAGCAACTCCAGCTTTGACATGGATTGCGGTTTCTGTTCCGATGACACCCCGTGTGTGTGTCGCGAGGCGGCGAAGGAGGCTCTCCAGATTAACAGGTCGTTGTCTGAGTGCAAGAAGCAAAAGACGGAGATGGCTTTACCTCCGCTCAAGGTGAACAACAACACAAAAATAGAGCTCAAGCGGAAAAGCTCGTTGGTGCACTTGCCGGTGTTGCACCCAGGGCCGTCAGTGGAGTTTAACGCTGGGAGTATGGATGCGAGTGTGGCTAAGGCTGCAGTTGCGGAAGGCCTGGCAGCTGCGTCAGATAGCACTCCCCTTAAAGCGGTTAGCATCCCCCTTAAGGTGGCTAGCGTGCCACTCAAGGCAGTATCCTTGAGGCTGAACGAAGGAGAGATTGAAATCACCTCCAGCAAGCCGACTCTCCAGGACAAGCAGTCCAAGCTTGCGGCTTTCATACAGAGAAAACCCTCAGCAAAGAAGGAAGGTTGCACCGGCGACCCCGGCACTTGCTCTTTGTGTCAGATCGACCCAATGTCGACGTTGTTTTGTACAACCATTGCCACCAAAAACTCTTCCACCCGAACGCCCACCGCGCCTGTTCCAAAGCCCACGGAAGATGCCAAGATTGGCCTCACCGAGATTCTCAACGTGGCACCACGGCCAAACATTGCCCGAAACACCTCCGCGCCGCTGCTCCCAGCCTTAAATGGGGCTGCCCCCGCAAGTGGAGTCTTCATCCCCGTACCGGACGCCTACAGAACATTGTCGCGCCACGAAAACTTTGACAAGATGGATTTCAACTACATGGTGGGCAAATTAACCACAAAGGGTATGAGTGTGGATGTCGGCAGTGTGGCCAACTTGTTGCGCGAGCTTGATAGAAGGTTATACAATTAGATTTGGGTAGCTGAGCTAGAATATGGACTAGTTTGAGGATTTTTCGTTGAATTTAGGAGCTAAGAATGTAGGGCTAGGAGGGGAAACTAAAGGAGCTTGACGCTGGACTGGAGATGTGACAGAAAATCAGGTTGAGTCTGATGTATATGTTGATCCTCGAGATCTGTTAACTTAGTCATACAGGTGCTTCTGAACGCTTCGCTGCTTCGAGAGGGAGGTCACTATGTAATTAATGTTTTTATTTCCTCTTATCACCACTTTCCGTTGAAATAAGACGTATCTTTTATTAAACCCATATTAAATTCGCTGCCTTCCCTTGAGGTTTTCAATAACCAGCCTTGCTAGTTCAATCGATAGAGCGTGTGGTTAGCAGTATGCAATCGCATGGTTCTGGGCTAGATTCCCAGTCTCGCTTTTCCTTTTCATTATCGGTTTTTTTTTGTTTAAGTACCGGCTATCTGTTTCATCTTTTTAGCGCTTATTCAAGGTTTGGGTTATATTTCGTGGACAGAACCTTAGACTTGTCAACGGCCAGTCCTGTATGCTTATCAGAGCAACCTTGTCCTGCAGCTTCATTTTATTGCATATGCGGGCAGTCATCTGAAAGCACCAGCCTCCTTCCTCCTTCCCATTAAGCAACCACTCTACCATGTACATCCCAGATTTAGTGTCATCCTTGTTATTCACCCTGCAAGCCCTCTTTAGGCTTCCGACCCCTTTGGAAAATGCCGCGTCGCTTCCCGACTCGCAGCTCCCCTTGGTGATATGGCACGGATTGGGCGACACCTACAACTCTGACTCCATGCAAGGCGTTATAGACGTAATCCATAGGGAGATTCCAAACTTATACGTCCACTCGGTGTACGTAAACGAAGATGGAGGCAAGGATGAAGAAGCTGGCTTCTTTGGCGATGCCAGTGCCCAGATCGAGCTTGTGTGTCAGCAGCTACTTAACGATACTAAGCTTTCCAGAGGCTTCAACGCCATCGGATTTTCCCAGGGCGGTTTGTTTTTGCGAGCTGTTTTGGAAAAATGTGGCCCAGAAAGTACTGCTGACGGAAGTGATACCATTAGCATCAAAAACCTCATCACGTTTGGGTCGCCCCATTTAGGTGTTTCGGACTTGCCCACGCCCGCGTGTGGCTCCTTTGATTGGGCCTGTCGCCAGAGAAACAGATTGTTAAAGTCGCAGGTCTGGAATTCCAGAGTGCAACACCAGGTTGTTCCAGCACAGTACTTCCGTGCGTTCAACGAAAACTACGAAAAGTACTTGGAAAACTCCCGCTTCTTGGTGTTTGTGAACAACGAGGTGGAGCACGAGAAAACGGATACGTTCCGTGCTAACTTTGGCACATTGAACAACCTTGTGCTCGTACAGTTTGCAAACGATACAGTGTTGGTGCCTAAGGAGTCGGCGTGGTTTATGGGCGACAGGGATGAGGAAAACCAGCTCTACGCGTTTGACAAGACACCAATCTATGTGGATAATCTCGTTGGGTTGAAGAAGTTGCACCTAGAAAGCAGAATCCAGTTTCACGTGACTGAGGGCGAGCATATGCGTATTGGTGATGATTTCTTGATTGAGATTGCCAGAAAGTATTTATGATATATCAAAACAGTATATTCTGCTCAAATGGAGGCTGAACGTGGCGCACTAACCTTGGCCAATCCGTAGCTCAGAGATCCATGCCTTTGAAAGAACGGTCAGCCATTACGTTATTCTAAAATACCCGCCAACAAAGCTTGTAATGTTGTCACAAGTTACAACCCGTAGTGCTTTATATGTCCCAGTGTATATTTTAACTTCGTAACTTTCGGTGCATATACAAAAACAGAGCTCAGTCATCAACAAATCTATAAGCATACACCTTTCTCCACATAAGCTTCCTTCCACTCATTCCGAGAAATAAACACTGGCGGCTGTTCGGCTCCACCTTCCACGTCAAACGGATTGATACTCAACTCCGGGTTGAGGACTAAGTCATCAGTGGGGCCGTCCACGAGACATACCTTCGCAAACATGCCGCCCTCGAGCCACCACTTACGGGAGTCAGAGCTTGGCGGCGGAAGCCCACTGACAGGCAAGGTCGTCAACTCATTGAGTTGTTTGTTAAAGTACAACGCGTCTAGCGTTGTCTTTGCCACCTCCAAGCGGCGTTGCTCGTAGAGCTGTTTCGCGAGCTCTTGCTTCACCGTGTGGTCAATGACCTTCACCTGGGCCTTGAACCCCCCATAAATGGGTTTATGGTCCGAGAAGCAGATTTCCGGCACCGAGTTGTACGAAAGCTGCTGCAACTCGTTTCCGTTACGGGTCAAGGTCACGATTCTGTCGCACCAGGCGGGGACCCTGCCCTTCTCTGATGTGTCGTAGTTACCTGTACCCTTGTCAAACTTGTACGTCGGGGCAAACTTGATCTCGGCTTCGTTGAAATACGGAAACGACTCACCAGCCGTCATCTGGAGTCCGAGCTGGTCGTGCTCGAAGAGCTCGCCGTATCGCGCCTGTTTTACCATCGGCTTGACCTCTTCGCTTCCGAGCAGAATGCGGTAGTTTAAGTCACCAAACCACATGACCACGTCGTGGTCCTTAATGCGCTTGTTGCGGGAAAACTTGAGCCCGCGGGCCAAGGACTTGTAGTCTACATGTCGTTCCTCCACGTTGTTCAACCCTGCGGCGAGATGCGAACTGATGAAGCAGAAATTGGTGCCGCTGAATTTGAAGCTGACCCCGACCCCACCTTTGTTTGCACTCATACCCCCAAACCCAGTCTTCCGGACCCGCCCCTCGATGTTGGTGATGCGGTCAATCCGTGTGGACTTGACAAACAACAAGAGGAGAATCCCACCGAGCTGGCCGTCCCAGAGCAATACGTACTTCTTTCCGTCCCTGAACTGGCTGTTGAGGGTGGTTTGGATTTTTTTCTTCCAGAAGTTGCGGTTGCTTGCGTCCGTGTTGAGCATCTTTCCCGGTTTCAACTCCACAATTTCCTGGAACCCCAACGCGTAGATATCCGCAGCCGTGTCGAACTTGCCACTATCAAAGCCGCTGCTTTCGGGGAACAACCAGCCGGAGAGGTTTTCCTCGGGCTGGGCCGCGTTTACGTTGAACGACCCTACAAACACACCGATCTCCTTGCGCGAGATGAAAAGCTTCTCCCTCTTCTCCAACTCGGAAGTAACGTAGTCGTGGATGGGATCGTGTAGTGTCACCTCGTACTGGTCATTCAAGCGACCGAGGAGCTTCTCCACCACAAAGTAGTGCCGTGTCTTCAGCGAGTGGTCCGTAACCGGGTTGAGGAGATATTTCTTGGCCATTGTGCCGACGATCCCGGCCTTGTGGGCCTGGGGGGCCGCACCCTTGGCGCTTCGACCATCGCTTGACGGAACCATGTAGTTAGTGCTGATGCGATACAACTCGGCGGCGTTGCTGGCCCAGATTTTTTCCAATACCCTCCACACAGAGGAGGCAAGGGACCCCGGACTGTACGAGACGTTGATGCTGAGGTCGCGCAAGGCGAGTTCGAACACGGTTTTGGCAATGGCGTGCTCCACTAAGTGGACCTTCTCCGAGTCGTGGCAGTTGATGCGGAACACCCCGAGCTGCTTCCCGATGTAGGCCTCCTTCGTGGCGTCGTAGAAAAAGGCGCCAAAGTCCACGATGGATTTGTCAAACTGGTCCACGATGCGCTTTTCAAGCATGGACGACGTGCACTTGGAGATGAGTCGCCGCAGGAGATCCAAGTCGGTGTAGGAGACCGGTATCGGTGAGGTGCGTTTGAATGCGAGAGCACTGCGGCGGTACTGCGCCGACAAGTCCTGCTGCACGGTCTTTTTGGAGGTTCCCGAGACGTTGAGCACATGGATTTCACCGTATTGTGACTGCAAAAGGTCGAGGTGCGAGTTGAATGCATGTTGCACCACCTCCGGTGGCCGCGGAAACGTCGCTCCGCCGGAACCCATCACCGTCTTGGGCGAAGCGAGCTCGTGAATCAAGGGATAGTCGCCCTGGACCACCACATACGAGAAACAGTGCTCTTTCAGGTGGTAGATGACCTCTGTTTCCACAAAACCCGCGCAGTTTCCCATCTCGTCCATCCCGTGCGGCCCGTAGAGCGCACCTTGCTTCATACAGCTCTGTTTGGAAATGAGCGTGAGCAAGCCCGCAGAGTTGCCCACATCGGAAATGGACGCGGTTTGCACGAACCCACGGGTGATGATGACTAAAAAGCCGGAGGCGTCAAAGATTTCGCGCTCGGTTGACGAGAGGCGTGAACGATACGAGATGAGCTGGTCCACCATGAAGCGGTTCCACATGAACCGTCGGAAGTAGTCGTTTCCGTCGGCGATGATCTTAAACTCGGTGTTCATGCCACGCTCTTGGTAGTTTGACGTGATGTCAAACTGCAGCGAGTAGTAGAACGAGCCTGACGACAAGAGCTTTGTGACGGCCTGGCACGGGTAGTGGCTGGTGTCCGGTGCATTGGCATCTTTGGGGTACTGGCTGATATGATCCCATTGGCTCGAGTCTAGGCAGAGAAACTCAACCTCATTGATGACGTTGATGGTCTGGGTTGGGTTTATGCTCCCCGCGTGCGCTTTTTTCGTCACAAACCCCAAGAAAATGTGGTTTTTGAGCGGCAAGAGCCCGAGAAAGCCCGTGATGGAGGTAGCCCCGGAACGCGCTCCGGTGATGTCCTTGAAGTCTTGTAGCGGGAGGGATGATACCGGTACGAATTCTATCAAGCACCTGGGCTTGGGCTTGGAAAACGTTTTAGCGAGCTTGTGTTTCTCGCGGGAGGTGAGAGGCGGCGGCGGTGGACACACAAAGATGAGTGCATAGTCATTCGCCACAAGTGCAAGTGTGCGCGGTTTCTCCTTGAGATATAGCTTCATGGGGAGGTGGTTACAAAGCAAGTGGTATTGTTAATGAAGAGCGGAAGAGAGAAGAGAGAAACGTTTGTGCACATCACTGGCTCGCCGGTTATACAGCCTGCAGCCATAATAAATACTGCACAGGCTATTTTTGGCACGTGATATACCGAGTTATATCTTGTAGCACGACTGAGTTTTAATGGGCTTGAAAAGGGAGATGTGTGGAATGAATAATAATTGGGGTGGGGAGAATTATACACAGAAGGAAAAGGGACAAGTAAAACGAAAATCTTTTTCGTTAGTTTGTTGGGGGTGTATTTATACATTTTTCCAGGTCTGACGTCATGCTTATGGATAAGACCCTGTACAAGATCAAGTCTCGACCGTCAGAGATAGGGCTTGAATTTAAGACGTGGGAATAGTTATTCAGTTGTTTTAATAGTTTAAAGGCTTTTGTGTTCTTCCTCTTTGGGTCTGATAAATCTCCTAGCTACCAGTACTTTTCTTGTAGGCCCTGTAGTATATCTAGGTAGTGATGATATAATCGAGTAGAGTTGATTGATCATTATATCTAAGCTAGATATACAAGGAGACATTCAGTCGGTCTTCATATAGATTGGCTGGTGAAGCTATGTCTCACCTAAGATGAGACGCCTGTAGCCTCATTTAGAACGAGGCACATGTAGCGCCTTTACTACAGGCTCCATTTTCTACGTTAGACTGAATCCCGGGCACTCCTCCGTACTACAATTTCCCTGGCTTTTCCAACTACACGTATCAGACGGGAAAGAAATAACCTGGTCTTCCCAGCAAGTGCAGGTTTGAAAATGTTAAAAATCAATGGAGGCGTCAGGAGTCGAACCCGAGACCTTCCACATGCGAAGCAGACGCGCTACCAACTGCGCCACACCCCCATTATTAACCAATAGTGTTTATATACCAGTTTTTGTTTAATAGAAATATGTTCACCTTCAGAAACATCCGCCCGCAATGACCAGAAAAAATAGTTCTTTGGAAATAGCTCCTTCTGCTTCACCCCAGCTCTCGGCTTTAACAAAAAAAGTCTTGTTGAAATATGTCCCTGCGCATATTTGACGTTACGGGATTGTTTAAATGTCTGTGTAAGGAAATGCCATACTCACCTTTGTCAAATGATGACTCAGAGGTGATTTCAGGATAATCAAAAGCAACTTTACTGGAAGAAACAATTAGCCATAAAGAGGAATACAATTCCAGCATTCCTGTTATCCTTAGTATAATTAACGAATATACATAATCTATTTACATGTCCAGGGCTCTGTTATCTTACCAAAGGACAAGTAGATTTTTATGAGTAGTCATTATTAATTATCGCTGTAGACATCAACATTTCTCACGTTGAGAACTATGCCGGAATTCCATCCATACTTGGAGAGTAAATCGATTTAGGAATCAGAACTTTACCGTCATTATTGAAAACTTCGAAACTCGCTTTGCCGCCTTACTTACAACAAGAAGACACTTTCGATACCCGCGGGCATCGTATTAACCGATGAATTAGGACAGATTTCTAGAAAGAACAGGGACTATTTAGGAGTCGTCAGGGTGGAGAGTCATTCTCTGATTTAGTACCGGTCCACGGATACTATTAACCGCCCGGGGGCTATTCTTTCTGATGGATCCTTTTCTCATAAGGGTAGGCACTGAGGAAACTAAAGTGTGGAAGGGTCTGAGTTTTAGAAGAATACAAAGGAATAGTTGAGAGCTTGGTTGCTGATCATAGTCTGGGAGGTTTGTACTCTGCCTCATTAAACTGCTAAGGCCAACTACTCTACCGTTGCCAACACTGTTGATAAAAAGAGAGGTTTTCAGCAGTGGAATGCTTGGGGGCATGTATCCCCCACTATAAGTTATCATCTCACATTCATGATGATGTATATTGGGTGAGCACCATGTCCTATACTTGGGCCTTTTGTTCCCAGCTCTGGAACCAATTTAGGTTGCTTTTCACTGGAATTTTTGTGCTGGGTTCTCAGTGGGTTGTCCCAGCTCATATTTCCCCAAGAATAACCTCAAAGGTGCGATCACATTAATAATTCCAAAGACATGCTCAGTCAGCAAGAAAAACATGCGGTGAGCCACGAGGTGACAAGTTCATGAGACGGGACGGACCAACAGGGTGGGCGTACACAAGACATTCACAATGGTTGGACTACTGACCCAGTGCAAATAGCTGGCCTGACTGTGCCTATTGGCCAGAATAGCCCAAAACCAGATCAGACTTCAACTTGCATATATGCCTCAACTATTCCTAGCTAATTTCTCGAACAAAAACCAGGATCCGACTATTTCCGGTTTCACGGCTCGCTTGTCCTACCTCCCAAAAAGGAACGGTGCGCTTATAGGGATCTTGCCTTATGCCCGTTAATGTATTACAGGTTTGCAACCAGGATTAACGCACTTCGAGGAGGAAAAGCGAAGCTAAAGCCAAGCGGCCCATAAGAGAGCATCGCGAAAGTTTAAACCACAAAACAGCCTGGGTTCCCCACCCATAACTCCGATGCTAAAGTTTGCAGGACATTCCTCTGAAGCTCCGTATCGTCTGCCGAAATGAAGCTTTCAAATTAGAGCGTATCAGCAGAGCCTTGGTGTGCCGTTTTAGTCACATGGCCACCGAATAAGGATTTGGCCATAGTCCACGATGGAGGGACTTTTACTCTCTGACATTCCATTATGCTAGTCGAGAGCCATTCCATGGAGCTACGACACGCCCTCTTAGAACACATGAAACAAGGAGCAACGATTTCCTACTGTAAATGATTAGACACTAGCAGCAGGGAGAGAAATCCCCTGCCGGACGGAGACTATCGGGTATTCAGGAGTTGTCTTTTATCGGGCCATAATTGTTGGGCGCTTGAAAAAAATAAAGAATAATAAGCCTTCCCATCTTCATGGCGACTATTTTAACCATCGGGTCACTGTGGACCAGTCGGCCTGGGATCTATAACTCGCTCCACAGCAGGGTTGGGAGGTCTGATTTCCATCTAGACGGCCGAAATCGGATCGGACTAGGCAAAGCGGGGACATGGCACGTGAGCCGCAGTACGTTATCGTAGTGCCAGGGTCTGTCCGTTAAATGGGGGGCCCCGTCGTGGATGGAAATATTACCGGGATTTGTCTTACGGCGCTCTGGTATATTTGTCAAGTTGGGGAACTGAAGGCTGTCGGGTGGGCAGTGACGGGGGTTTTTCGACCCGATATAACCTGAGTCGGGCTACGATTCCGACCATTCTGAGAGCTACCGGGCTGACTCACCGGGACGCATACGAGGTTCTTTACCCTGTATATCTGTAGATAAACAGGCTAGGAAAATTAATATATTAAATGCAAAACCTGAAATTAATGAACTGATATACAATTGCAAAATGGCAGTTTGAATATGGCTTATTTACATTCTGTTGAATGGCTAAGCTTTGGCGAAAACATGGACGCGTGATTGAATAGCCGTGATCGAATCTATGTACAGGAGCCTCCCAGCTCTACCCGGTTGTAACCCTCTCGGCTCCGGTTAAGTCGGAAACCGTAACCGGAAAGCATCTGTACGGCAATTCGATATTCCCGCAGGGATACACGTGACCGTGGTACGGTACAAGTGACCTCATCTCGATAGAAGCTCTTGGTGGCACTCCACGCATGACGCCTCTGCATCTTCCGATGCTTTAGTTTCTCCGTTGCTTCGTAAGCCTATGCGGCCAAGCATGCGGGTGGTCACTCACTGAGCGATTGCCGATACACGGCTATGGTTTATGCACGCGGCAAGAAGGAGCTCAAACTTAACGTGGGAATCAAGGCGTCGGTGAAAATGCTTACGTTTGGGGTGTTTCTCCGTTTATGCAATGCTACATAATCAAAGAACTCGGGAAACGGACTATTTTTACCTGTCCACCTTGAACTAGCGCCCTACCCTGCTCCACCCGCATTCTCCCCGCATCGATGACTGGTCCTGCATTGGGCCTCAAGAGGGAATGGCAAGGCTTGCCACAGCTTCCACAATTGACGACCGAAAAAGCGATCGTCGTATAAATACAGCAAAATACCCCCTGTTATAGTGAGGAGGGATTACAGCTTTACAACCATTCACAAACTAAACATGACAGTCCTCGACCTGACTCGTCCACCCCCGGCGGATGAACCGATGCAGGCCCCCAAACTCGATTCCGTCACTATCAAAAACTACCTCAAAACCCGGTTCACTCTGTTGTTACCGACAAGCGAACAGTTGCGTGCTAGCAAACATAACCTCAACCCATTCCGCCCATTGGGCCAACTTACCAGAAAGAACTGGTCCTTTTTTGGGGTTGCCCTCTGTGCGTGGACGTGGGATTCGTTTGACTTTTTTTCCGTGTCCTTGAATGCCAGTGCCATTGCCAAATCGTTGGACGTGTCGGTTAAGGATATCACTTGGGGTATCACACTTGTTCTTATGCTCAGATCTGTGGGTTCTATTGCGTTTGGTTTATGGGGTGATAGATACGGTAGCAAGTACCCCTTGATCACCTGCTTGGGCATATTGATTGTTATCCAAATCGGTACTGGTTTCATCAACAGCTATAAGCAATTTTTGGGAGTTAGAGCGATATTTGGGATTGCGATGGGGGGTATTTACGGCAATGCTGCCAGTTGTGCTCTTGACGATTGCCCAGTCGATGCCAAGGGTATTATCTCGGGTATGTTTCAGGAAGCATACGCGTTGGGATATCTCTTGGCTGTGGTTTTCCAAAGAGCCATTGTGGACAATTCACCAAAGGGGTGGAGAGCCATTTTCTGGTTCAGTGCGGGTCCGCCGGTGTTATTCATTGCCTGGAGGTTATCTCTCCCCCAGACTGACGCATTCATCAGAAAGATGGAGGTCGAGGAGAACGAAGGCGTGGAAGGATCCAAGTTTTGGAAGAATGCAAAGGAGTCGCTTAGAACTCAGTGGTTGATGTTTGTCTATTTGGTGTTGTTGATGGCGGGGTTCAACTTTAGTTCTCACGGCTCCCAGGATTTGTATCCTACGTTGTTAACCAAGCAGCTTGGGTATGGCGATAATCGTTCTACTGTCACCAACTCGGTGGCCAACCTCGGCGCTATCGCCGGTGGTGTTGTTGTGGGCCATGCATCCTCCTTCCTCGGGCGTCGCTTGTCCATCATGATCTCTTGTGTTTTGGGTGGTGCCATGATCTATCCTTGGGCCTTTATCCGTAACTCTGGAATCAACGCTGGTGTCTTTTTCTTGCAGTTCTTTGTGCAGGGAGCTTGGGGTGTCGTCCCAGCCCATATTTCCTCCTTGGCCGACCCTAAGTGGAGATCGTTCATCGTGGGTACCTCTTACCAATTAGGTAACTTGGCTTCGTCCGCGTCTTCTACGATCGAAGCCACCATCGGTGAACGATTCCCGCTCTATGATGCAAACGGAGTGGCGAGGCCAGGTGTCTACAACTATGCCAAGGTGATGGCTATTCTCATGGGCTGTGTGTTCGGCTATCTTTTGCTTATTACCTTCATAGGACCTGAGAAGCGTGAAATAGTGGGGATAGCCCACATGGATGACTCCGACGATTATGATGTTGCCAGTTTACAATACAAGGACGAGGCGGAGAACGTGGAACATGTTCACGATGTGGAAAGTCAGAGAGTCAAAGCTCCAAATTAGGTTATCGGTATAGTGTACTAAAGGAATATTATTGTCCTAATCTGTTTCTAGGAAGTAGGTATTCATAGTCTATTCTGTTGAGTGTAAGGTATTCATTGGCAGGTTTCCCTGACCGAAGAGAGTGAGGGTCCAAGAATAAAAAGCAATGGAGGCGTCAGGAGTCGAACCCGAGACCTTCCACATGCGAAGCAGACGCGCTACCAACTGCGCCACACCCCCATTATTTATAGATTTTAATTTGTTGTTTTTGTTCGAAAAGATACATTCCTGTCTTTTTTTATCAGTCCGTCTTGATGCTAAGTAAGCGCGGTAGATATTCTAAACATGTTGAAATCTGTTCGTGTGCACATCTGACGTCGTAAGACCGTGTGATGTCTGTTAGAAGAATTTCATATAGTGCCTTAAAATGAGCATTAAATAATGTCTCAGGAGTGACTTCAGTATAATCAAAAGCTATTTTACTGAGGGAATCGAAACTTTATAGAAGAGCACATGGAGTCCTCACTTGTCCTTGGTGTTAGAGTTAACGGACATAAAATATTTAAATATTCATGACGTTGTTATCCTACCAAAGGATAAGTAGTTTATTAACCATTAACTATTATTTATTACCGTTGGCGCCAACATTATTCAACGGCAGATTGCTAAAAATTGACAAACACACGAGGTAAAATCGGCTCATTTCTAGGTCAAGAATCTAGACTTCCATGGATGATTATTTATAATGACTGAAATGGCATATAATGGGGGTGTGGCGCAGTTGGTAGCGCGTCTGCTTCGCATGTGGAAGGTCTCGGGTTCGACTCCTGACGCCTCCATTGCTTTTTATTCTTAGACCTGGAACTGTCTAAGATATGTCGGACCAAATGGTTGGAAGGCCGACAAGGACACGCCCTGGTACCTGATTAAGGAACCGATCTCTTGAGGGTCGGTTTAACCTTAGATGTTAAAAGTGTTTGGCTTACTTTCGAGGTCAGGCTAACTATTTCTCCTCATTGTCAACGTAATCCACCTACTATACACCATCTGATCTACGTAATCCGCTTCATTGATTTTCCCACTTTGTTGATTTTCTCACTTCATTAGCGGTCTCTATCTTGGCGTTATACACATCTGATTTCTTAGCTCCACATTCATCATATACGAGAAGCCTCCCATCAATGATTTCTTCAACGGAAAACGCAGAGGTAGCTACCCAATTGGTAGGTACCAACAATGTTCAACCCCCATCCAGGACCAGCCAAGGCGCAAATGCTTGTCCGTAAAAGCAAGGAACTCCAGAGCTACAACCGTATCAATTGAACTGGGCATAACAATATCCTGGTGCTCGAATCTGCCTATAAAACGTCTTTTATTTGCCATTACCGCGTTGTAAAATACGCAGTATCATTGCACCGAAGAGGCGAGACTCTGCCGGAATACCGTCAAAGCCAGCCAGGACTAGGTGGTATTATTCATGGTGCCGCATGGCATACATACGGCTCTGTCCTCGTAATTCGTACATTGTGCCGATCTAACCGTGTCATGGAGCTAGCCACGTGCCAACGGTGCATTGCTTATAAATAGCTCGGAGTTGTTAGTCAGGCGGCTCCGAGGGTTGCTTTTGTCACGTGAGCATTCCCCCCATTCGCGGAGAGGTTCTTTGGCCTATTTAAGAAGCGTCTATCCACTTAACTTTTATTCATATCCTCATTCTCCATTCATACCAGTCATGCCATCTATTGACACTTCCTTCCAAAACAACCACACGTGTCTCCGGATCAAGGACCCTAAGGTGTCCGTTCCGTTCTACGAGGAACACTTTGGGATGACGTTGATCAAAAAGGTCGACTTCCCTGAAAAGAAGTTCTCGTTGTACATGATGTGTATTGATGCCGACGAATCTACCAACTGGGCAGCTAAGACCGGGGTATTAGAGTTGTGTCACAACCACGGGTCTGAGTCTGATGACAGCTTCAAGATCAACAGCGGTAATGGTGAAACGTTGAGAGGGTTCGGCCACATCTGCTTCTCTGTGGACAACCTCGAGGTGTACTGCAAGAAGTTGGAAGCCAAGGGTGTAAAGTTCCAGAAGAAGGTCAGTGATGGGAGACAGAAGAATATTGCGTTTGCGTTGGACCCTAACGGCTACTGGGTGGAGTTGATCGAGCATGGTTTTGCTAAGGTTGAGGGAAAGTCCGAGGTCAGCTCCGCCGTCTTTAACCACACAATGGTGAGAGTCAAAGACCCTAAGAAGTCGCTTGACTTCTACACCAAGGTGCTTGGGTTCAAGTTGTTTAGCACCCGTGTCCACGAGGGAGCCAAGTTTACCCTCTACTTCTTGGGCTACGATCATGACGATGCCTACGTGGAGAACACCGAGGATCACGGGAACCAGGCTCGCCGTATTTCCGTGCTCGAATTGACCCACAACTGGGGTACCGAGTCTGATGACACGTTTGAGGGCTATCACAACGGTAACTCAGGCGACTACACCGGGTACGGTCATATCTGTGTTTCGTGCGATGACCCTAAAAAGTTCTGTGCCGAGGTTGAGGCCGAGTTTCCAGCGGTTTCCTGGGGCTTGAAGTATGACCAGGGGTTTATTAAGAAAATTGCGTTTATCAATGACCCAGATGGATACTCTATCGAGGTCATTCCAACTACCTTATTGCAGCAAGCCCCATGTTGCGCTCACGAGTAAGTATGGAGTTAGTAATTTGATAGAGAAGGCGAGATTACTAATTTTATGCTAGTCTGAACTTGTAGGATGATACATTATCTTTTATTGGGTAGGGTGCCCGGGACAAGCCTCTGAGAAGGGAGGCTATAAATCGGGAGACGCTCTCAATGAAATTATATGGATATCTCAGATTTAATTTAGCGCACATTCTTTAATATAATTATTTATACCTTTAATCCCGTAAGTGACGATATTTGCTTGACAGGAGAGGTCGCAACGTGGGGTATATCTGAAGGACTACGTCACATATGGTCTGGGGTAATTCGCCACATTTAGTACTTCCGCCCTAGCTCTTCCCTCTCCTTTTATGACTGAAACCTACTCCCTGTTTTTTACCTTCCTCCAATCTTATATGTAACCCACTAGGAGGTGATACTACCTTCTTCCCTCTTTCACCCCTCAGAAATCCTCCACCAATCCGTAACCCGTTTACATATATATATAGTTCTAACTATCCACAAGGAATGTAACACCGCAATCCATTATATTGTAAATCTAAGCTTGAAAACTAAGCCAAATCTACATATTCCAAGCCTGCTTTTAACATGTTTATATCTCGTCTGGCCATCTCCTCTGTTAGGCCTCTACCCCGCCGCTACGCGTGCCTCGGCTTTCTCGTAGACATTTGCACGTGCGTTTTAACCGCATCAATACACTCGCCCCATGTCCGTTACCAGACACTTTCTGCTTTCCTAGCCACTACAACTTATCTTCATTTGAATCTTCTTCTTCATCCGACTCCGCACGCTGAATAACACCCTACACTTACCATGTATGCTCTAGCAAAGCCCCAGAGCTCGGTATGGGCCCGGTTCATCATTGACCGGCTCTTGAAGTCGTGAGTATGTTTTGCACGCTCTCTAAGCACGCTCTAACACCCCTAGCCCCTCAAAGGCATTTGCCATTGCGTTCATCTACGTGACGCTTCCCAAGTTCTTGGCCAAAATTTATCAGAGCGCCCGACTGAAAGAGTCCAAGGGGCTTCTCTCGGCGTTACTCAAGATCCTGGCAAACGCGTTGCACCCGGGAAAGTTCCCCATGTTCGCTACCAAGCTTGTGCTAGGGATCAATGTATTGGAGCCGTTCTTTTCCCGTGTGCTCCCGGGACAAAAATACAAACGCGTGGTACCATTTGCGTCTGCGTTACTCGCCAGCTTGGCCTCCTCGCTTCTCACCTTCCCGGACTACCAGCACCACATTATCAGTAAAAACCGGTTCTATACCCTCGATATGACCCTCTTGCTCTTTGTCAGAGCCACAGACACGGTCTTGTCAACAATTCTTGCACCGCACACCCCAGCATGGATGTACCACTTCAATGACGTAATCTTCTTCAACGCGTGCACGAGCGTCATCATGTTCTGTTGGTTCTACTACCCAGAGCGCTTGCCACCGCTGTATCGTGACTGGATCACCTCCGCTGCCAACATGGACAACGGCTTGGTGAAGGCGCTCAACATGTTGCATCACGAGAAGATCCGGTATGGCGAGTGCTCACCAAACGGAGAGGAGCGAGTCTTGGTGGAGGCGGCAGAAAAGTTTGGTATGCACCCCGACGTGGGCGACCTTTCCAAGACCATACCCATCCCGTGTGCCTTGGTACACAGCAACATTTCCGACAGCTGTGAGGTGAATGCACTCTGGCGCTTCGCACGGGGGCTCCGCTTTGGCCTTTCCTTGTATATGCCGTTGAACGCGTTGATTTTCGGGATAAAGTTGGCCATGAACCCTAAGAACCGCTCGCGGAAGCTGATGATCACCAATATTATCCGCAGTATCCAGTCTTCCCTCAGATCGTCCTCCTTCTTGGCAACCTTTATCGCGTTGAACTGGTACGGTGTGTGTCTCGTGCGGACCCGGTTGGGCCCTAGGTTCTTGACTCCATACTTTGGCATCAGCTACAAGAAGTTTGACTCCTTGTACGCCGTTGCCTGTGGCTCCTTCATTGCCGGACTCAGTAGTATTGTGGAGAGGAAGCAGCGTCAGAAGGAGTTGGCGTTGTTCTGTGCTCCAAAGGCGTTGAGCGCCTTGCTTCCGCCAATACTGAAGCCGCAGTTTGACCTTGGGGACCGGGAAACGAAGGAACCGGTGGACAACAAGGCTGAACTCGAGATCGAGGCCCTTGTATTTAGCTTTAGTTTTGCGGTATTGGTCGCCTTCAGCAAGCAGAACCCGGAGAAGATTAGAGGGATTTTCGGCAAAGGGTTGCAGCAGGTTTTTTGAAAACGATTATAGTGTGATAGATGTCTCTGTGCGACGGGAAACTTGCGGAGCGTAAGAAAGGCTGTAGTAGACGGGTACCCACCAGCGTGCATCCATTCCACCCTCTTATACGGCTAGTGCAGTTTTAGTCGCGCATAAGGGAGAGTGGATGGGCCAGTGAAGGAGGCTTTCTTTCAATAACTCTAGATGTTGGTAGCTACGGCTCTCAATCTCTTGTGATGAGTTTATTATAAAACGCTATGTCCAGCTACATGTACAGGTGAAATACCGCAGCTATAGTTCTACTAATACTGATTTAATTATAATATCAATATTAATTGGCATTTAGAAACTAAATATCGAAGATTAAGAAACGGTTAATCACAAGCATATACAGACCTTTGTTTTGTTTCTCCGTCGTATGACTAATTGGACAGGTTCGATGTTATTGCAGCAGCGCTGTGGCGCAGTGGAAGCGCGCAGGGCTCATAACCCTGATGTCCTCGGATCGAAACCGAGCAGCGCTATTCAATTTTTTTTTACGCCCTATGGCCAAATTCTTTGTCCCGGGTTGGTTCCAGAGTCGGACACAGTTGTGGGGGCCTGTTCAAGCAGTATATAAGGGGTTTTTCTTGAGCCCTAAAGTTCTGTACATTACACCTAACTTATTTCACTATAGTGTAGTACCTTTTATTCAGGGATGTCATACATTGAGGAGGCTCCTAGGGAAAGTAGTACAGGGCAAAACGCCAACCGAAAGAACAAAGGGGTATAAGAAGGGGGGAAAAGACAGAAAACAAAGCAAAGCGCCAAAAGAAACTAGAGTCCAGAAATTTAAAGTAAAAATGGAATAAGTGAAAAAGAAAAGGGGATGGCGAGAATCCTAAACTATGTAGGTTTCACCAATTCTGCCGCGACGCACCATGAGGTGATTATTCTCGTCCTCCTCAAGCAAGTCCTCCTCACGGTTCTCGTCGCTCAATAACAAGTATCGGAGCTGAGTGACGGTGAGATTTTTCGTCCAGTTCAAATTCTTGCTCATGCCGGCATTGGTCAAGTCCAACTCCCGCAAGTCTGACGCGGAGGCTTCGCCCACGAACTCAGACAAGATCTTCTTGTTCAACCACGTGAGGGACTGCAATTCCAACCGCTGCAACCGAAAGCAACAGTCTTTTATGGCGGTGAGAACGGACTTCTGTGAAACAGAGACGAGGGAAATCGGGTTGATGGACTTCAAGTTCAAGTCACTCAAGTACAACTGGCTGTAGCCACGTGAGACGGGCGTCGAGACGCTGTAGAGGGATTCAAAGTCGTTGACATACGTGATGGAGGTCATGTCCGCATCGAGGTACGGGCTCTCAGTCTTCCTGTGCGACACAAAAGAGGGAGAGTACACGCTGGCAGCGTCGGAACCAGATGAGGCCACTCTGGTGCGCAGCAACTCATCGAGAGATTGCCGCATAATGTTGGCGGTGTGGACCGTTAGGTCTTTGGGGTAGTTCGTAGAACCGACATCATAGCCCAGGAATTTTGACACCTCCAAAATCTGGTAGTCCACGGAAAGAACCAACTTCGATAAGTTTAGGTACTCGAGATTGGGGCACAAGTGGATCACGTGCAACAAGCTTCCGATGGGAACGTCCTTGGCATTGATGTACTCCCTCAAAATGTTGTTGGATAGCGGGTGCGCAGGCGACCTGGAGGCGCGCACGTTACGTGAGGCTGACAAGTCAAGCGTCTCGGCCACCGGCTCGAGCCTCACGACGTTATGGCGTTCCACGTAGGTCCTGGAGGGCTTTTTGACATGCTTGCGTTTCTTGAGAAAGCGTTTGATGTCGAGCGAAGGCTTGAGGCTAAAGAAACTGGAGAGGGAGGCGGAGAACGAGGCGGAGAAGGACCTTGAGGAGTGCACGGAGGATCGGGTACCCACAGAGAGTGCGGTAGTACCGGTAGAGACGGCGCGGGACCGGTACTTGGTCAACGGAACTACCGGCCGGTACAACGGGTTTTTCAGGAACTTCCATTCGCGCCAGCCGGCCCAGTCCTGGAAGTTGTCCACGGCAGAGGAAGAGATGTAGCGGTGGGTATCAGGGACCTCGCGGCGCCCATCCGTTCCGGGCTGATCCACAGGTGGTTCCGCGGGACGCTCGGCTGGCTGCACTTCGGCCTCAGCTATTTCAGCCACGGCCTCGGCTTCCTCAAGGTGGGTCAAGCGGTCGAAGTTTGATTGCAACTGCGACATGTCTAAGCTCTTAACCAAGTAACCCACGCTGTGGTCCAAGCGCACTAGGGTGACAAACTGTGCGAACCGATATGTCGAGGTAAACACAAGCGACTCGTAGAGCAACGGTTTGGTAAGCTTGTAGAAAAACTTGTTCACCTGCATTAGGCTCAAATAGGATTCGTGGTCGTTGACGTAGTACAAGATCATGGCGGTTATCTCAAACGGAAGAGCGTAGATGGTTGACGGAAGAGCAGGCGACGGTGTCAGGTCAGGAATCTGCAGCAGCACCAAGTTGGAGATCTTGAGGGACAAGATGGACCGGGTGCGGGAGACGTCCGAGAGAAGCGACTTGTAGCGCATCTTGAGCTTCTCCTTATTGACAACCCCTTTGAGCGGAGGGGTGAACTGAAACACCCGTCGCTCATCGAGCGGGATGAGTGAGTGGGTCAGATAGTCATACTGGGTGGTGGGATTCAAGAGCGAGCTATACGGCGGTAGATGTTGATGTAGATCGAGCACTGAAGCGTGGATGGCTGTCATACGGAGGATGTGGTTGGATGAGGTGGGGGATAGAGGACACTTCAAATGAGCGGGAATGGAGAGTTAAGTATGAGGGCCACAGCGCTAACGAGAACCGATTGGCAGTTACGCTTTAGGGAGAAGTCACAGTGAAGCTAATTAAGGCTAGGCGCCGGTCGCTGCAAAAAACAATAACAAATAGCAAGCTATTTCTGGCCTGCAGGGACGAGAGTCGCTGTGCATATATAGGCATGACTGTGGAGTTCTCGTACAGGACAGATCCAGATTGGGAGCAAGGCGCAGCACGATTGGTGCTACGAGGAAAACCTGAGGAATGGAAGCAGAGACGAAACGAGGGATGAGTTCCAGTAAGGGGCAGTTTGTATGTGTATTATGGCCCACAAGAATAATAGCTGTGTAAGGACTCAAATTAATTTGCACTTTAAGCCTGATAGGGGAACTCGTCTAGGTCGCTAAAGCCACATGGCACTTACACTGCAGCCTGATGCTTTCTGATAACGATGCATGTGCTTCTGCTCTTCGGGCGTTTTTTTCGACCGAGCCTACCGAAGGGGAATGGACGAGGAACGGAAGAGGCGGCACTTTTTAGACCTGTGAGAAGACTTATATACTAAAACAACAACCAAACTAGTTTGCCAATATTTGAATGAGGTTTATTAATTAACAATACTGGGTTTTGAAATAGCTCAGCTATCGTCTTGGCTGCGATATGAAACTCTCTTTGCAGATCCATGGCAAATCTGTGGCGCAAGCGTCAACTAGATGTCTTGGTTATGAACGTTGGCAAGCCAGGGGTATACTATGATTACCAACCTCTACTGGGTCGGTAAGAGGAAAAAACCAAAAGCGAGAATAAAAAAGCCATCCATGGGAGTGGCCTGTGTTTTTTTTACGATTGAGTGTTTGGGGAGCCGATCAAAAAAGGCGTAGGTCTAGTGGTTTCTATGGCTGAATTTTCGAAGCGGGCGAATGCTGACCTCGGAGTATCGTGGAGCACGTTAGACAACGGAGCTCTACGATCGGCGGAGCCGTGCCATTTAAGTTCACACAGGGAATTTTCACGACCCATCAGGGATAGTCTATGTGCCCAAGGTAGGTCGTATGCCTGGGAGAGCTCGTGTGCTTGGAATAGTTTGTGCGCCTTCCACACTAAGGAAGTCAGTCCTGTGAGTATACTATATCGACTTTTGTGGTGTCTAATTATATTGACTCGACTTCCATGTGGACATGGTGCAGCTTTATATAGAAAGATACGGCAACCATATGCAGGGAGAAAAGGCCGAGGAAGTTCTCAGAAAGGGGGCGCTATCTGATTGGAGTGAAGGTCATTGGCGAGGCACCAAGGGTAAGATATTTTTAGATAGTCTCAATACAGCGATCCGGTAGACCGAGATGGTGTTGAATACCAGAACTAGCTTCAACTTAATTGCCCACTTTTCGTGCGTTTTTAACGAGGTTTTTCCAAACTAGATACGGATTTCAACGTTAGTCGCAAGGGTAGGCCGCATACACGAGGTAAGGTACACAGTATCCGGGTTATCCTGCGAAGTCGAAGCGTGGGGATAATCGCAACAAAGAGATTAGCTAGTTTTCTGTGAATAAATCTGACAAAGATATGCGTGGATTAATTTATAGTTTTAACTTCTGAATGGCTTACGTACGTGCCATTATAAACCAAAAATACAGAGCATATTCTACGGATAGCAAAAAATCTATAAAAGTGGGTTGGGAGACTCCTGGAGACGCAACCATAAGCCCTAGTAAGTCCAAGGGATAGATCGGGGAGTATCAAGATATCAGCAATATAGTGGTTTCACTATATGCCTAGCCTTGGGCTTTATCGGTTTGTACCCACTACTTTCAACCAAACTAGACAGTCCTATACTTATAAAGCTTTAGTTTTAAAGTTAGTGTTTCAGGTCAATGATCCAGACCTAGATTACAACACGGAACGGATCTTGGAATCCATGAAGACCTTCCTCCCCAACTTGTACACCTGCTGAACGTTTCCAAACTTGTCCAAAATAGTCAAGTCAGCGTCGCAACCAGGTCTCAAAAAACCCTTGGTGGCGCCCATGCCAATAGACATTGCAGGATGGTTGGTCACGGTCTTGACGGCGGTGGCCAAATCGATGTCGCACCACTTCATCAAGTTCCGCAAACATTCCGAAAGGTCTGTGCTGCTACCAGCGATGGTGTCAGTACCTTCTAAATGAAGGTACTTGCCGCTTTTGACGATTTTCTGGTCATCCCACTTGTACACGCCATCGGGTAACCCGATCAACATCATGGCATCGGTGACGAGAATGCACTTATCTGGGGCACTGTGATAGGCAATACTGACGGCCGAGTGGTGTAGATGCACGCCATCAGCCACAAGACCAAAGTAAGGCCCTTCAGCTGTGGTATGGGCCTCGTTCGACTCTTCATCTAAGGCCATGCCAAGGAGACCAAAGATCCCCGGGGTGCGGTGGTGTGGCTGGGGCATGGCATTATACATATGGGTAACCATGCTAGCACCCTGTTGAACTGCTTTAACCCCAAGATCGTAGGAGGCGGTAGTGTGCCCGATGGAGACGGTAACGCCACTTTCGACGAGCCGAGGAATGGTTTCCAAAACTCCCTCCACCTCCGGAGCAGCAGTAATGATGGCAATGTTTTTGAAATTGTCGGCTCCGTAAACTTCCTCCATAGACTTGAACTTTGCCGGCGCGGTGACGAGACAATCCACGGGATGACACCCCTTCTTATCGCGGGAAATGAACGGCCCTTCACAATGCGCGCCTAACGACTCCGTCTGGTCGCTGACACGTTTGTTGCCCACAAGCGGTAACACGTTTCGGTAAACCTCAGGGTAACTGGAAGTCAAGGTAGGACAGATACTGGTGACCCCGGTCGACAAGTACTTTCTCATGGCGTGTTCATAGTCCTGGACATACAGCCTGACCTCATTTTCATTTGTAACGGAACGGGAAAAATCAAACCCAAAGGCTCCGTTTATTTGCACATCGATGAAGCCGGGAGCAACGACCAACCCGGTCATATCCACGGTTTCGTAAACAATGGCCCCAACCGGAGCATTGATGATGACCCCTCGGTGGGCATCAACCCATAGGTCCTTCTTCTGCATCAGCCCTTCGTCGCACAAAGAGCAGTTTGTAAGCTTGATAATATGAGTCATGGTATTGGAAAGGTGGAGGTTGAGGGTAGTATGTGGGTGGAAGCTTTTAGCAGCAGGAAGCATGCCGTATATATAGCGTAGAGAGACAGGGTACAATATTTAGATCGTAGCGTTGGTCTTGGCTGCACTGTATACTTACAGGAGCTCAATTGCCTGACACAATACTGTAAGCATGTTGCATTTCTGTCTGGTTAATGACCTTGGGCTAAAAGGCAGATACTCGGGCTAAGATTTACTGCACGTCATGCGCGTGTACGCCTATCTCTGGGACGGGTAAAATCCGTCCTACAGTCCCAGCCGCTGAGCCGATGCAACCTTGTTACACTCGATCGTGAATTAATTAGCAACGGTGTAGCCCGAAATACGACCACCCTATAGGCAGTACACTTGAAGCAAAGATAAAGACTATATATTAATCACCGGATCTAGGTTTTTAATTTTCATGCGTTATCCGAACCACACCTCTCTTATCTCTCCCCTAAATGTACGTATATTGGAAGCCCGCTCGTTGGTTTCTCTGTCCTCAGACACTAACTTCATTATAGGCAGCAAAAGGTCTTTGCTAACGGCGAAAAAGCGTCCGATTTTCTTGCGGAATATATCGTGGAAAAGATTAATGCGTTCAACCCAACCCCATCTCGACCATTTGTCATTGGTCTTCCAACCGGGTCCTCCCCTGAAAAGGTCTACCTGAACCTTGTGGGCTACTACAAGGCCGGCAAGATTAGTTTCGAAAATGTGGTATCCTTCAATATGGATGAATACCTTGGCCTTCCACCAACGGACCACCAGTCGTACCACTACTTCATGCACCACCATTTGTTCGACCACATCAACATGAAGCCAGAGAATATCAACATTTTAGACGGTCTTGCCGCCGATCCTGCGGCCGAGTGCGCGCGTTATGAAGCGAAAATCAAGTCTTACGGGGGCATTCAGTTGTTTTTAGGAGGATTGGGCCCAGAGGGGCACATTGCCTTTAATGAAGCCGGTTCTTCTAGAGATTCGCTTACCAGGAAGGTAACCCTTGCCCCAAGCACCTTGGAGGCCAACAGTAGATTTTTCGACAACGACCCGAACAAGGTGCCAAAGTTTGCGTTATCGGTGGGGATCTCTACGGTTTTGGATAACTCCGAGGAGGTGGTTATTATTGTGATCGGGAAACCAAAGCAGTTTGCTTTACAAAAAACGACAAGTGGGCCAGTTGGGAGCAAGTTTCCATGTACTTTCTTGCAAACCCACCCAAATGTTCTCATCGTTGCAGACAGTTCTGCTGCGAACAAGATCAAATCATTTTTGTAGTTTTATATATTAATAAAGCTAGTGTGAATTATTTCAAGGTCAGGTATCACCCAATGTTAGTATAAGTATGCGTGTATGGAAATGTCAAAAAAAAAAAAAAAAAAAAAACCCAGGGGTCCAGTACAATTTTTTTATCTCTTCAGAGGTGATTATGTCTTGTGACCGAATTTTCACTTCATTATTTTCTGTAAAAGTATTCAAGCTTATGCTCCCACCCCCACCAAAAGACCCGACTCCCCCATGGGGAGAAATAGGAGTAAACGCATGCTGTATGAAAATTTGCACGTAGGCCTGCAGTGCTCGCAGGTTGCATCCAGTTTGATGTAGAATTCCTGCCAAACGAGATCTGAAAACCAGAGTTGTATGAGGTCACACTGATAAGCATGTTGCATTAGATCAAAATACACCGCAAGGGAATGTCAGAAACTAGTGGAGTTCTGAGAGTACTGCTGCAACACCAGAACATCCGGGGCGGGATATGCCATTTGTACTCGGCCCGCGTCTCTTATCTCCGGCCAAGAGATTAGTTGGCGTCACTACAAGAACTCATGTAGCTTTGCATGGCCTGTACTCCGCAACTACCCCACTCGAACTATTTTAATACTGTTTATAGTTGCGCTAGCTGTTCCATGTTTCCGCCCGGCCGGCGTTAGATAAACTGCTGGCGGACAACGGGCGATACTATATGCACCTCTGAATTTACGAGGAGACAACTCGGCTTGTAAAATTCCGACCTATACAAAGAAATAAAGGTATCTTAGAGGGCGGCACTAGCTAAGTGCTACAGTGTTAATGACGGCTCTGCATACAGAAAATCCAACTATATTAGACCCTCAAAGACACGGAGTGACCCTTCGTTTTTACCAATATACAATACCATTCCTAGAATACTTGCAAATGAAAACCTAAAACAAATATGAGGGGGTATTTGGATCTAATAAACATTGTAAATGAGAGGTGATACCAGACATAAACAACCACGCTATTGATTGGGCAGAGTAAAACCTGAGGATATCCTTTGGGAGCCCAGGTTTTGCAAAAGCATCCCCACCAGAGTTCTGTAAGCCAAGTGATCGAGAATCGAGCCTACAAACGGAATATGAACTTTTTCACCCCCAGGCATCTTAGAGCACACAGGCCATAGCCACTCCCCATAAGATATATACATGGCTATTCTTACATTGCTTTCGCCGATTGGTATGCTACAAGTGCTATGATAACGTTTCATTGTATCTTCCGGTACCACAAACTTCACTCAAGTAGCAAGTACATCCAAAAGGTTATTTTATCAATGGACCGGAAACTCCTATTGCCTATAGAGGATTTGATCGGCGCGGGGTAAGTCATTCGCTAATAACTTCCGCTTTGCATGCTGCATGAATTCTGACCCACGGTTCACACGCTGTGTTTTATCAAATGCCGTAAGGTGGGCCACACAGCTTTAACTGCCAAGTGGCATCTAATTTCTGAAAGCACCGGTAAAGACAAGAGTTTAAACGTTAATTGCATTCATGTTGTATTGGGGTAAGCTGCAGCCCAAGATTACACTCTGAACCCAGATGCGATGTAGGCTGCATCCCATCAAACTAGACCGCTTTTCAAATTGCCGTGCGCGGAGTTCCGCTCTCACACCTATGCTGAGTGCCTCCAACCGTATAGCCTGCACCCCCCCAGTATCCCCAAGCATTCTAGCCCCTTCTAACGTTGCACTACAGGTGGCACTAGCTATGGAAAGAGGGGTGGTGTCCGTACTGCCGGGTGACTAGCGTGCACTAAACTAGACTATAGGCGGAATTGTACGTGGTGCATAGTGCCGAGATATCTCGATGCAATAACTCTATGCACGAAGTACTTCTAACATGAATGACACCTTATTATATGGTTACCATTTTCTGTATTATGAGCGTTCGAGTGTAACAATACCAGAAATTCAAAGTCCGGAGCTTGTGATCTTTCGAAAAATATCGACTACTGATATTCCAAAGCGTAAAGTTATGGGGAGGTGCTCTGGTAGCGACGCTGAAAAGAGTAAACCAATTAAATATCCATTATCTAAGTTCATTGGGTAGTCATATACATATTCATTATCTAAGCCCATTGGGTAATTATATACGTTTTAATATTTACGAACGAGAGGAGGCCATGTTAACAGCAGCGGCTACGGAAGCACCGATAACACTGCTACTGGCCGCATGCTTCAAGCAAAACCTAGGAATGTGCTTCCGTGGAAGGGTTTCTCGTGCCTGGTTCAAAAACTTCTCCACCTGTTCTCTGTAAGACACAAAGTGGTTGAGGATGGAACCCACAAAGGGAACGTTAACTTTGTCATCTCCTGAGATCTGAGAGAGTTCGCACAAGGCCAAGATGGAGCAAGCCACAATAAAGGCCCCCCTCTCAACAACCACAGAAATAATACTCTTAACCACAGCAATATCCATATCTTCAATCACCGGCAGAATGTCGCTTTCTACCTGTAGAAACTCCGACAACTTTGCCTTGCATTTGTCATTGTCCGACGTCTCACTCAAAAAGCACACCAATTCTCCAGAGAACTCAAAGGCTGTGGTGAGATTGAGCGGACACGCGCCACGGAATAGCTGGCCCTGGGCAATAAAATCAACCATTACCAAGCGCACAAGTTCGGAGATGTACCTTCCAGAGGTCATTTCCTCAATGGGCTGGAAAATTCCATTATCTAAATTCATGTGAGGTTTAATCAGCGCGGGGGACAAGCCAAACCGAAAGTCGATGAGCTTATCATACTGGGTGGCATATGAAAGGAGGTCAAGACCAAAGATGGACAACTCGGTGTTGACAAGACACTCCTTGTCGTTCTGAACATAGTTCGCCACCTGTTTCTCCTGACAGAACAAACGGGTTGGAAGGGGTAAGCAGCTGTTTGTACCAGTCCCCAACACAATGGCAAGCTTCGCCTCATCGAAAAACTCCCCGGTGATGAAGACGCTAACTGCATCGTTGATGATGGCTTCCACTTGTACCTCAAGCTTTCTCTTCAAACACGCCGACTCAATCAAGACCTTCAAGTCTTTGCCCGCAACTTCGGAAGTGAGCTGGTACCCTTTGCTCACCTCCTGGATGATGCCCGAGTTCTTAGAGGTCTGCTTGACCGGAAAGCTCCAAGTGAGACCAACATGAATTAAGCCTCCCGTCTTATCGACGGCCGTCTGAATGTCCAAGACCTCCTCAACCCTTTCGGCGATCCAGGCAAAAAACTCGTAGCTCAACACTTTGAACGAATCCTTGATCTCCCACGACCTTTCGGCCAAGATCTGGGTATTGGTAAGAGCAAGCAGAACCACAGCAACCCTGAGGGTGGAGCCGCCCAAGTCAATCACTACAAAGTGTCCTGTTTCGTTCCCAGTAGACTTATTGTAAAAGGTAGGGATCATTGTGATAGGCGAGGCATAGACCGCCTCTTTGAAGGAGCCCACAAGGGATGTTGTGAAGCGAGATATAGAATCTTGCTGGTGAATGAAGCCGGTAAAGTCGTGGTGCAAATCGGTCAACAACCTAACAAGCTTTTCCGAAGCAGTGGTTTTCACCGATGGGGTGAAAATAGGGGTGGAGCTGAGCGTTTGGGCTAAGGTAGAACTGATCATGGTTGTTGTTCTGCGGGGGTAATTGCCTACCTGGGATACAGCCGATTGGGTGATATATAAGGTCCGTCTTCAATTTGGCCGCGCTGCTCGGATGGGTTCATGGGCTGACAAACACAGGTTCTTCTGAAACACTTGTTGGAGACGGCAATGTAACACAGTGCCGCTCAGACAGGTGCCAGGAGACTGGACACCGAGAGAGAACATACGTGTCTCAGGGCGCGGAAGAGGGGAGCGATAAACATGCAATGGAACGTTGGTACGAATGAAACCTGGAGATTAGCGTTTTACATAATGGAATCATGTTACATCTCCTCGCCAGCGGAGAAAAGAAAAAGAAATGCTTAGCGCGTGACACATATGTGCACGGCTGGGGTTCGGAAGAAAAACACTGTATCTGCATGCATGGCGGACGAAACCGTAAAACGACGAACGAAAGATAAGCATGAAAGTTATAAATACATCTCCATCTCTACAGTTTTTGGGCTCTCTCTTTATAGAATCATCATATAACACAAATCATAGGGTACTTCACTATGACTACTAACATTACTGACTCTACGGCTGCCTACGCTGAGCCGCAATATCCACCTGTGGGAGAGCCTGTCTCCGAGGGAGACAGGTGGTACGATCGTCGCTTTAGCAAACACCTTCCTCCATACTCTAATGCCATGGTGCAGGTTATTTTTGTTTCCTTTGTCTGCTTTCTCACCACGGGCATGTTTAATGCCTTGCTGGGGGTAGGGGGCCTGGGGGGTATCGACATCCACACCTCCGACCTTGCCAACATGAGTTTGTACACCACTTTCCTGGTTCTCGGGTTTGTATCGGGGACTATAATCAATATGATTGGGGTGAGATATGCCCTCTGCTTTGGTTCTTTAGGGTACGCCCTTTACGCCGGTCTGTTGTTGTGCTTCGTCCACACGGAAAATTCAGGTTTCGTGATTGCGCTGGGAGCGATTTTGGGGATCTGTGCTTCTTGTCTCTGGTCGGCCCAGGGTACCATTATGTTGAGTTATCCTACCGAGAATAACAAGGGTAAGGCCATCATGACTTTCTGGATCATCTTCAACTTGGGAGCCGTGATTGGGTCTGTCATTCCCTTGGCACAAAACATCCACGACAAGGAGAGCAAGCCCACCGATGGCACCTTTGCGGCTTTCCTCGCCTTGATGTGCTGTGGGAGTTTGGTAGCATTGCTCTTGTTGCCAGTGTCTAAGGTTATGAAGTCAGATGGCACCCGCGTTGAGGCTCCACAGAACCCGCTGTTGAAGAAGGAGTTACTCGAGCTCTTCCACATTTTAAAGACCGAGCCAATGATCTATACGTTGTTCCCAATGTTTTTTGCCTCGAACTGGTTCTATACGTACCAGCAGAGTGACTTCAATGCGGGCCACTTCAACTTGCGCACCAGATCCTTGAACTCGTTGCTCTACTGGTTGATGCAAATGGTTGGGGCCTTGTTCATCGGCTTCCTTTTGGATTGGGCTCGCTTCTCACGTAAGATGCGTGCTCGGATTGGCTGGGTGGTGTTGTTTTCCTGCACCATGGCCATTTGGGGTGGTGGTTTCAAATTCCAACAGGGCTTCACCCGCGAGTCGGTCGAGAGCATGACCAAGATTGACTTCACGGATCGCTCATACATCGGCCCAATGTTCTTGTTCATGTTCTATGGTGCGTTCGATGCTATCTGGCAGTCGTTTGTTTACTGGCTCTTGGGGGCTTTGTCCAACAAGCCAAGAAAGGCCGCGTTGTACGCGGGCTTCTACAAGGGTATTCAGTCTGCAGGTGCCGCCATTATCTGGCGTTTGGACTCCTTGGGGAAGCTGTACATGGCTATCTTTGGCAGTACCTGGGGCTTGTTAGCCGGATCCTTGTTGATTGCAGCTCCAATGGTGTTCATCTATGTTACCGACCACACGGTGGAAGACGGACAGCTTAGTATCGAAGACGATGCCGATAGCCACTCCCAGCAGAAATCCGAAAGCTCCTACGTCGAGGTGGCTCATGTTGGTAAGTAATCTCTTTCTGGTGGGTGGGGTTAGAGCTTTGACAGCCAGCCCCCAAATTTTGCGATTTCAAACCTCTCCACATTCTGGACAATGTTTTCTTAGTTTTTGTATACTTGAAATGGCATATCTTATAGTATCTACTGTGTAATATGGGACAATGCTTGGGAGCAATTAGAACAGTGACTGAGTTCTGGCTGCTAGCTCTCTTACACTATAGGTATATTCTACCAGTTAACAGGCCTGTGTTCCACCATCGTAGCCACTAACAAGCTGTTCCCTCTATGCCAAAGGGAATTATCCTAATGGATATGCCAAAATAATATTATTGGGTACTTTGGTTATACCTCGGTTTTGCTAGACCTGACTGCAACAGGTTACAAATGTATGTTTACCCATAATTACGAAGAAAAAGCGTCCAAGATTCTGAAACATTGTACAATCGGTGTATGTATATCATCCTATTGGAGGTGAGTATAACTACCGATGGCAGCAGGGTTCAATGGCATGTTTAATACAAGGCATAAACTGTCAATTGGTGCCTGTTGTTGAAGTTATGCACAGTTTAAGGTCAAGCAGACCTCATCCCGACCAGGTCATGTTGGATTTTACGGAGAGGATTGGAGATGCTTGGTATACCAGTTTTGGCTTAGTACCGATCCGCGATCCCTTCAGGTTGTCCCTATCCTCCAAAAGCATATCTTATTTGAGTCTACCACAACTATGAATCCTTTATCGAAGTTGTGGTGTCGGATAGTCTCAAGTAACCTTCAGGAAAAGCATTGTAGGTGCACTTGTTTGAAGCGCTATGAATTAGTATGCCTTGATATTTTACCGATTCAGACTGGTTACCTCTTAAGGTCCGTGGAACAAGGTAATATGTGGTATTTTCTTACCGATAAGTCCAGATATACAACGGATTTTCTGATATACCTAAGCCACGGATTTAACCCATGACTATACTCGACGTGTTGATATAAGACAGCTAATGAGGACATAGTGATATCCAGATGAGGTGCAACTAGAGTGACTACGTAATATGTAATTTATCACTTGCATGCACGAAAATTTCCTCGGTTCCAGCCAAAGTACACTATCTGGCCTAATGATTGGCCATCTGTGCAACCACATCATAATCAAAGATGCATTCAGATCTACAAGTTGTCTGACAGGGATGAATATACCTAACTTACAACCAGTTTAGACATTACTCCAGTTTCGAGTATCCCTTTGCAAACCCCAAGTACTACACAGAATGTTGGAAAGTAAAAAAAAAAACATTCCTGCGTAAATGACGTAGCTATGTCCTAAACCGACGCAAACGACAATAGGACCAGGGAAGAATAGGCACTTTCCTGCCGTACTTATACTCTTGAAACTCTCAGAACATGTAGTGGCTTCAAAACGGGTATTAGCTTAGTGGAATTTCAGATGTAGACAGTTTATTACGATATACCCCTGCTTGTAAGTATATGACAATAGAACCTTCCACGAATAGAGGACCATGCAACCTCTTGCCAATCACTTCGGCGCAGGATGCGGGGATTGCTACTGCAGCTTATCCTGTCTGTGAATGGAAGATGCTATACGCCACGTTCGCAAG